AAGTAATTCTATACTATTCTAATAGTTTTAATTATAAGTTAAATAGCTATTTTAATTAATTTTTTAATATAGTTTTCTATCTAGCCTTCTAATAGAAATTTCAGGGCTTCTACTATAATAATAAGATATTTCTTAATAGTTATTTTAATTATTTTCCCAGTTATATATAGAAGTAAAATAAACTTATAGATTTTAATATAGCTTCTTTCTTTTTAAATCTTATTTACTTTCTTAAGTATTACTACTATTATACTATAGTACTGCTATAGAAAGTATTCTAGCCTTATACTAATATAGATTATTCTAGCTATTATCTTATTAAATATCTTATTATAGACCTTAAGAAGGCCTATAGAAATATTATTATTACCTAAGGCCTTCTATAGTCTTATTTTTACTAGAATATCTACTATTTCCTTATTATTATATTTTTAGACTCTGAAGTTATCTTAGATAAATAGAAAAGAAGTAATAGCCCTCTTAGAGATATTATTAAGATTAACCTTTAGATTTAAAAAGAAATATTCTGCTAGAATTCTAGCTTTCTTATTATAGTTATCTATAGGTTTATCTCCCTCTTTTTTTTATAAGAGTAGGATCTACAGGCTATTTTTAAGGAGGCTATTATAGAGTTTTATCTATCTCTCTATTTTTTAGAATATTTTAGAGTTATTATTAGCTTTCTAAAAAAATAGCTTTTATTATTTCCTATATAATTTATTTATAGCTTTATTTTAAAGATATTAAATAAAAAAAAGATTCTTCTACTTAGTAGTACTTTTATATTATTAGTAGTATCTTCTAGCTTATTTAACTTATTTAGTAGTTTTTTAGATTTTTATATTTTACTATTTTTCCAATTACTAGTATAGCTATTTATACTATAGTATTACTATAATTACAATTTAAATAAGAGCTTTAGTTAGTTTTTCTATAGCTTAATCTAGGTTTTTTATAATCTTAATATCTACTTTAATCTTATTTAGCTTTAGCCTTAGGTTAACTTTAGCTACTATATATAACTTATTTATCTTACTCTAATTAAGGTTATAGAGAGCCTTTTTAATATTATCCAGGGGTTATTAAAGTGTAGGTTAGAGTATAGATTAGGTATTTACTATAATTAATTAGAGTCTATAGTCTGATTTTTTAATATTTAATTTCTCTTTATAGCAGGCCTATACTTCCTGCAATATCTATACAAGGTTTATAATATTATTTCTATAGCTTTTTTAGCTTTTTATCTTTCTTTTTCTTAAAGTTAGAAAATTCTATTTATTAAGTATAGCTAGTTTAATAACTATTTCTACTCCTTTTAATATTCTGTTATACTTATTCTATATAGGGTAATATTAGTTAATATTATCTATAATTATTAAGGGATTTCCTCTTATAGCTATTATAACTTCTCTAAATAATCCTCTCTAGCTAATTTATCCTTCTAGGCTATAGAGCTCTATTACTTAAAGGCCTATTACCTTAAAGATTACTCCTTTTTAGTTAGCCTCTTCTATTACTATCCAGTCTTAAATTCTATATTTTTTATATATATATATTACTAAGTAGCTACTATAATATATTATATAGTAGTTACTAGTAGCCAGATAGGCTAGTTAGTCTATAATAGGATTCTAATATAGTTTTTATAGGGATATTATATTATATTACTCTTTATCTTTTAGAATAAAAAGTATTAGAACTGCCTACTTATTTATATTTTACTAAAAAACCTTTAATTTTATATATTAAAGAGGGAGTTTTAGATATAGCTAGAGCTTACTTTAATTTTAATTAGTTAGCTTATAGATATTATTAGAGCAGAGCTTTATATTCTATAAAAGGCTCTTCTAATAGTTATATCTTTTAATATTTTATTAGCTTTCTACAGTACTACTATAATAATATTAGAGCTTATTCTAGCTACCTTAGCTACTCAGCTTATATTTAAAGGGCAGCTAGAGCTCTTTTTCTAGTAAAAAAGAATTTAGAATTTATAATCTTCTAAGTTTAACTAGCTATAAGCAGAGGCTTTAGAGTATTACTATAAATTCTATCTATCTTTAAATTATCTAAGTCTATATAAGTAGGCTTAGATTACTTATTACTAGTAGCTATTTACTATAGAATACTATCTTAACTATATTAAGTAGTTACCTTAATACTCTAAATATTTTATAGCTTTATTAAATACTAATAGGTATTTTTTTTCCTCGTCTAGATATACTATAATACTATAGTATTTATAATAGGCTTTCTTTCTATAGAATCTAGTAATATAGCCTATTTTATAGTAGTTAAAATATTACTTTAGCTATAGTAACTTCTTAAAAAATTTACAATTTATTATTATTAAGTTATATACTAGTCCTCTATTATATAGCTAGTTAGCAGCTAATATACTATCTACTGCTAGAATTATTTTAATTCTTATTATAGTATTCTTATAGCTTTATACTAAAGTTATTCTAATAGCTATAATATTATTCTTCTTTTTATTTTCTTATAGAGAGTATTACAGTTAATTCTCTAGCTTTTAGCTAGTATACCTTTTATTATAATACTATATATTCTCTTTAATATCAATATATTATCTTTAAAAACCTTAAGAACTTAATTATCTACTATAATATATTTAGCTATTAGACTATAGAAGATAATAACTATATTACTACTTTAAAGACAGCAGGCTACTACTATAGCTTTTAGCTCTTTAATAGCTAGGTTAACTGCTATTATAATTTTAATAGAGGTTTATATATAAATCTCTTTAAGAGGGTTATTTTACTTTACTATAACTTTATAATTATACTAAGCGGGGATAAACTTTAAAGGGAGGCAGTAGGTATTATATCTAGTTAATATAACTTCAACTTAAAATTACTATAGCTATATATTAGAGGCAGTTTAAATATCTTAAATAGCTTTATATATAATCTTATAAATTATTTTTTCTAGTTTAGATTATATTAAAGTAGTCTTAGCAATATTACTATAGTAATATAGGATTTTTATATTAATAAAAGTACAGATAACTCTTTATATTTTATTTAGAATTTCCCCCTAAATAAGACTAAATAATTCTTTAAATATCTTCTTTTTATTAGTATTTCTTATAGACTTTTTTTATTTAGCAGGGCTATTATAATTTCATCTTATTAATACTATTTATACTAGAAGGTGCCTATATTAAAGTAAAATTAACTATTTTTAAGGCTAGTACAGCCTGAATCTACTGTTATTAGCTTCTCTATCTTAGTAGTATTCTATAGCTACTACTGTAGTATTATTATCTAGGTAGATTTTTATGCTAATTTTAATTCTGGTAGTAGATTGGATATTAGGTAAGAGACTGTAGAAATCTTAATAATCTCAGTTTTATATATAAAGTTCTTAATTCTTTATATATTAATTAAAATATTTAAGCTACTTAAAATCTATTTTATTATTAATCTAGCTATTTTAAGTTATTATAATAGCCTAATTACCTTAAAGATTACTTTTTTAATACTAATTAATAAGATAATATTAGCTTATAATTATAATAAATAGCTAAATTATCTAGCTTTTTATATTAATTACCTAAATAACTATAATTTATTTCTAGTTTTTAAATTATATTAATTTTAAATTTCTATATTTACTTATATTTATAATAACTATTTTACTTATAATTATATCTATTATAAAACTAATTTTATTAAAGTTATAAATATTAATTAAATTAATATTATATTTTATAATTATATTCTCTATAAGCTAGAATTAATTATAAATAATAATTAGATTTTTATATATAGCCCTCTAATAGTTATATTTATAAAAAAATTATATCTTAAGCTTTAGTTATTATCTAATAAAATTAAAAGCCTAGTATTTACTAATAGATAATATATTACAGTCAGTAAGTAGTCAGTTAGCTATTTCTTTAATATTATACAGTTATAGGGGAAACTCTTATAAATCTAGGTTGAGAATAAATTAAATAATAATCTATTCCTCTAGATTAGATAGCCTGTATAATTTGGGAATAGTATCAGCTCGGGCTTGTATATTATTATATTAGTAGAAGAGAGTACTATAGTTAACTTAATAGATTTTTACAGTATATTAGAGATTTAGTTTTGGGTTATTTTAATAGGCCTGAAGTATAAAAAGGATTTTAACCTCTTTATTAGACTGTAATATACTGGGTAGTTAAGAATTAATTAATTAAATAAAGAGGATATAGATTAAGGGATTTTTAATTAACTTACTTATTTAATTAACTTACTTATTTAATTAACTTGCTTATTAAGTATATTAAATAATATAAATTAACATATATATATAGTAAGTATCGTACTTAAGTAAGTATTGCACTAAAATTTTCACCTTAAATCTTAATTTTAAAATAATCTTTAAAAATTCAAATTAAGTTTAAAATAGCTATAATTTTATCTATAGCTTAATTATAATATATACTATTTTTAAGAATATTCTTAAGCTATATATACTTATAGCGCTAGTAGAATAAAATTCGCACTGTATTTTTTATTATTTTTATTTATAACTAGCTTAATAATTTTTCTAAAAGTCTAAAGAAAATACTAGCTTATTAACTTTTCAGTTAAATATTTAAAATTAAATTACTAAAAATTCTAGACTTATATAGGCTATTTTAGAAAATTTAAGGTTTAACTTTTAAGGTATACAGTATAGGTACAACGCTTACTTAACTGCGACGCTTACTTATTATATATGTTAATATAATATAAAATAGGTTTTATTTTATATTTTATATAAAAAGTTAAAATTAAAAATAGGCTTTATTTTAGATAATTAATCTCCTATAAGAATTTAAGATTATTTATTAAACTAAAACTGAAAATAGAGCCCGTTTCTATTTTTAATTCTTAAGTAGGCACCGGAATATAGTAGAGGTATACCCCTGTAGTATCAGCGTAGGGTATGCTCGGGTCTGAAGAAGAGAGTGGGCATCCACCAAAGAAGACCGGGTTCTATCACTCGCTGTCAACGCCCACCAGCTTGTTCGATTCTTCCCAAAGCTTCCTTTCAGCCTCCTCATCGTAAGCCCAGGGGGCGTATCCAACCTCGCTCTGCAACCAGTCTCCCGTAGTATCCGCCAGCTCCTCCTCGGCGAGGTTGCTGAGGTACTTGCCGCCTCGGCCTTCCCATTCCTTACTTAGCGCAGCGTAAAGGGTCGTGGCCGCTCCCTGGGGTACGCTCTTCATGCTCTTGTGCAGAGATTCATTGCTCGCCAACGACTCTAATACCTCCTTGCTGAGATACTGAGAGAGATTGGTCTGGATGATACCCGGGTGCAGAGAGAGGGCGTGCAGTCCCTTGGACCCGTATCGTCTTTCGACTTCATTAGCGAAGTGGATGTTGGCCGTCTTGGATTGTCCATACGCAGTCCAGGCGTCATAAGGGTCTTTTTCAAAGTTGAAGTCGTCGAGGCGGACCTTGCCGTAGCGGTGGGCTGAGGAGGCCACAGAAATTACCCGCGATTGAAACTGAGGCGTAGAGGCTGCGAGCAGATCGGGCTTCAACAGTTGGAAGAGGAGGAAGTGGCCCAAGTGGTTGGTGCCAAATTGGGTCTCGAAACCGTCCTCGGTCTTCCCCTCGGGTGTGGCCATAACGCTGGCGTTGAGGATGAGCAGATTAAGCTTGCCGCTCTTGGCGTGGAAGGCCTTGGCCGCTGCTCGTACCGAGGCGAAGGAATCTAGACGCATCTCTATGGCGTGGATGGGGGCATCAGACTTGGGGCCGGGTCCGTTCTTGACGTTGTCGACGGCCTGCTGGGCTTTGGCCGAGTCTCTGGCAGTGAGGTAGAGAGTGGCACCGATGGCGTGGATAGCTCGCGCTGTTTCGACACCAATACCAGAGTTTGCGCCCGTCACAAGGACGACCTTGCCGGCGAGCTTGCCGATCAGGCCTTCATCCTCAACGACTTGAAGAGCTGTGGGCCGCGCATCTCCAGGACCCTGGGTGCTAACGTGGGAGGCAGCGTATCTAGACATTGCGATGGATAGTGGCTATTTTCTTAAGGAGTCTGGCTTGTGCGGTAAGAGGATGGCGTTGTTGTAGTCCGTGAATAGTGCGTGACCGTCAGTTTGAGAGGGGAAACACTTCGTTTTATACCTTCAGTGTGTGGGCCAGGTTCTGGACACGACAGTATACGTGGTGAACCAAGAGGAGAAACGCCGTACCCAGTGCCACGAGTGGGGTGAATATGGACAAAGCGGCATTTCAGGCACTCTTACAAAGCTCGGAGGAACCATATCCGTGCTTTGCAATCAAGCCACTCGGTAGGGAGAGCTGAGGAGACCATTCAAAAGATTGCTTCATGATTCAGAGCTTGAGTCAGAGCACAGGGCGGCTCATTGACATCCCGGATTTATAAGCTCAAGTATACATGCATGGAAGCCCCGAATCGCATGAAGTGTCTGTATCATTTCAATGGCCCAAGTTAGCGGGGTGGAGCATTAGAGAGACCAACTCAACTCCACTGCTTTGGGGTGTTCTCGGCAGTATTAGACTCCGTTAACTCCGTGATAGACTGGAAGTTTGCAGGCATATCACCTCCCCCACATCACTGCCTGATCTACACACAAGCTCTCAGACACACATTGGGCTGCATAATGAAAGATTCTTTTGCCCCGAGGTGTCACCTTCATGCACTCGGCCCATCCGTGGCACAGGGCATCCCGACATCAAGCAGTCTTTCAGCAGCGTTTCCTACTCAAAGGACGGCAGTCTATACAGGAAAAAACAAATGGCCAGAGTGGAATCTTCTCGCGTACCTTGGTACTACTACCCCTTTGATGTATTATTGTATGCACATCGCCAGCTCTATCCATGGCCGTGTCTCCACCCAGGTTTTTTAGTTTGAGCTTGCAGTAGTGCAGATGACATTGGAGGAAGAGCTAAGGCCACCTCCATAGGCTGTGGTGTAGAACCGTACGAGAACAAAGAAAGTTGAAATATATCGACACCCCCCCGATTATCCTAACGTCATAGCGGCAGTCTAAAACTGATTAAGTCCATCGTTTTCCCTGTGACCTGCTGATTTATAAGCACTTTCTCCAAATCTAAGTCTAGCACTCTTAGCACAAAAGCGCATGGCTCATTGCTTAGGGCAGATTCGTTAACTGGTCAGAAACCATAAATACTCATAAGTTCGTGGACACTCAAACTCACCCGCTTCTAGAGAGGACCATTGCACTCACGAGCTCGCATCCTCACCTAACAAACCATGGCTCCTCTCGTCTGGCTGATCACCGGAAGTTCCACTGGATTTGGTGCCGAATTCGTAAAGGCGCTTCTCGCTGCGGGAGACAAGGTTATTGCTACGGCGCGCAACCCCACCAGCATCGAACATTTCCAAAAGGCGGGAGCATCGGTTCTAAAGCTAGACTTGACCGCTAGCCAGTCCGACTTTGACCAACTGGCGGAGGCGGCCATTGGTATCCATGGCGGTGTAGACGTTGTAGTGAATAATGCCGGATACCCACACTTCAGCACCATTGAGGACGATAGGTTTGACGAATCCATGTTCCCAACATCTCGAGCTGTCTAACTGTTGCTAGCCTTGAGAACTGGAAGAACGTTTTTCAAACTCACGTGTTCGGCCCTCTTGGTGTTGCACGAGCTTTCCTACCACACTTTCGGTCGAAGAAGGCTGGAAATTTTGTGTTCATGGGATCGATTGCGGCGTGGGGAGGGCTACCAGCAGTGGGGGCGTACTGCAGCTCCAAGGCGGCTCTTCGAGGTTGGTTCCACCTTCGTCACGCTCAAACGCAGCAATCAACTGACCTATTGCCCTAGCCGCGGTCGAGAGTTTGAATCTGGAAACAAAGCCGCTCGGAATCAGGACGCTCCTTGTCGAGCCCGGGTACTTCCGAACTGAGTTCCTCAATGAGAAGAAGGCAGTCTACATTGACACCAAGATCGATGAGTACAAGCCTCTCGTCGACAACCTGTACCCACAGGTGAAGGGAATCCATCAACAGCAACCCGGCGATCCTGCCAAGGGTGTGGCGCGCATCCTCGACGTGGTCAAGTCCCAAACGGGCGGTGAAGATTTCCCCGTCAGCTTGGCCTTGGGCGATGACGCTCTTGACACAATCCGGAAGAAGTGCAACGACACGCTGGAGTTGTTGGACAAGTGGGCAGAGAAGTCTTCGAACACGTCATTCTGAGGGACTACTAGATTGAATGGAGAAGCCGAGGTCTGCAGACACGATCGTACTCAGGCTCACATAGTTAAAGGAAGGCCCTTACCGCTTGCTCTAATGCAACCTGAAATAGCTACCGTAACATTACCCACAATTTATCCCTCCCAACCCCTTTTACCGTTCCACCCTTCATTGCTCACTCGGTCGGGGTATGTTCGTCATCTCGACGACATGTGTGACTTGCTCCGCCCTCGCCCTTTTCCATGTCTTATGGGTGTTTCGACCTTTATCCGGCGCCCTCAGTCTCGGTTTTTACCACCAAGGACCCGCAGGGGCAAACACCACAGTTGGCGCTCTGCCACAGCTTCGTCAAAGTTGAACAAAATCAACAAAAATGAGAGAGTATCAAAGAGTACTCCAGACTATTTCGTCCCTTGTAGTGACTTAATTGGTGGCCTTGCTACTAAGGAAACACATTGATCAAGTTGTACTGGAAGGACACATCAAATTGCAAGATTTACATAACTGCAAGATACTTTTCAGTACAAGAGGCTGAGACGTTAGATACCTCGGAAAACCCTGCAAACCGGCGCCCTGTTCGATATTTGCAAGGCGAAAAATATCATAGCCCACTGTCGTAACTTGGTAGATTGATGCTTTTAGCTCTTGGGTCTAATACGTATGCACGTCGTTAAGATTGGCAGAGGTTGTTGCACCTGACTCGTTCCTCGGTTAAGGACAAACAACGTGCGCTGAGGAGTGTTTCTGTGTCTGGAATGGGTTATTCTAGTTTTGTTATACCTTAGCTTGCGCCGGATGTCCCCATTAGGCAAACAATCTGGAAACCCTAAGTACCAACCACTAGTGTTTTAAGTCGAGCCACTGCTTCATAAGCCAGTTGATTGATTGTTTCCCTAAAACGGCAAGACGCAGGACTGACGCCACAGTCAACAGGGGGGCAGCTTAACTGTTTCCCAGCTTAGGTAGCCAGTATTTGCTAGCACCTTGGCCACCTCACAGTCCTCACGACAACGGAGTAAATCCGCAACAGAAAGCTCCGAAGCCAAGACCATCATCGCTAACGCCGGTGCATTTTTTAATTAACCCTACAACATTACCTTGCCGAACTGAGTACCACTGCCCTCCTTAATGCTGACTAACAACGATGTGTCTCTAGTAACCGGGGTTGCACGGAGATAGATTGGCAAAACTACCGGAATCTTTTGCTTGCCTTGTCCGACAAGTGGTCTTAAACCACTGACGGTCCGTACTCGAATCTTATATAAAGGTGGTGACCACATCAAAGTTATCCTAAAAACCCATCATTACAAAATTGCAGCTTCTTTCGTCCACTGAATCCAGTCAAAATGAAGTGTTCTGCCATTTTCCCTCTCGCCTTCATCCTAGGAACGGCCCGCGCGATCAACATGAAAGACTATGCACCAACCTGCGGTGTTGACAGAGAGTTCAAACGGTGGTACAGAGAGTACGTCAAATAACAACAGACATCGCTACCAAAACTTACATTTGCCTTGCGCAGATTACTCGGAGCCTTTGAAGACCCGACCACAACCGACAGTGTCACCGGTTTCTTTGCGCCCGGCGGCGCCTTGATCCTCGGGGGATCTAATATCACGGGAGGAGAGGCCATCCTAGCAGCCCGGGGAGCAATTCTGCCCGCTGACGGATCCATCCAATGGAATGTGTGTACCATCATGTTTGCTTCACGCTTATGGACAGCCACGGATCTTGTCAGCTGACGTCGAACTAACAGCACTTCCCCAATATTACCGTTGTCGCTTCAGAGACGCCAACAAATAAATCGTTCGAGGTCACTGGGGTCTTGCAGATAACTCTTTCCGCCAACAAAAGCTGCTCCACAACATAGTAAGACGCCTGAAGATCCTGTTAACACATCCATAACAAACACAGTAGTGCTAACGGCGCAACTCAAAGCTATCAAACGCTCTTCACCGTCGAAAAGAACTTGACCACTGGCAGAGCAAACCTCGCTCCGCAAGGTGGCAGTCTTATCATCTATGACGGGTTTTCCGTTAATTCCACCGATGACCAGTGTATCAAATAGATTAGCTACTGGCCAAGCAGAGTTTCGTTTCGGCTAGACTGTCGACAGAACGTTGAGCGGTTGACTGGTGGTGTGACCTACTGACGACAACTCTGAAGTCCTTGCTCCTCTCAGGAGCGCACAAAGAACTAAGTTGCGGACTGCAACAGACCTGTCGCTTACAAAAATATATTTATAAGCTCGTGTATAGATGTAAATTAACGGTGTCTTGCCCTAAGCAGTCTCCTCCTCGTAAAGCATCCTGAAATGCTTGCCTTCTCTCGTTTTTGAAGTGCGCCCTTAATCTGCCAATAGATCCTCCGCCCCTGCAATACCTTAAGAGTAAGTTGGGAAGAGCCCATGAGTAGAGCGACGAAGAAATACTGAAGCAGAAGTTTGAATCCTCTGTCAGGTAGCTTGTAACCTTGTAGGCAGTCATTGGAGCCAGGATACGTACTATAATAAACCTTTAATTTAATAGAAGGGTCTTCGCCTCTGTACTTGGCTCAACGGTACAATCCTCGTTCTGACAACAATCATCTAACCGGCAGGATTCCTCGTCGTCTAGGCACCTAATGAGCATAATTTCAGCCAGTAAATTGTCCCAACTCGAATAGGTCGGTCAGTGGGCTCCCTCAATACGGGGTTGACTGCCATAGCCCGGAATGGAAAGAGTGTAGGAGGCTGCTTGGTAGCTGGGGATATACAGGGTCGAGGGGAGGAGCGCTGGAAACCCGTAGTGGGATAGAGTTTACGCTAGGACCACAAAAGGAAAACAATCTGAATCTTGGCAAGCACTTAGCTTGTTGCAGGCCATGTTATAAATTGCGCGTGGCGTTGTTTCGGTGTTCCCGTGCCTTATATCCGGGCCGAATATCCAAACGATGATATTTTGTTGAGCTCTGACTTTCTGTCTACAACTTAAGTTACCTCCTTCGATTATTTCCCTAATTCGGATACCAATCAGCGAAACGTACCACCACCCATTCCATCTACTATTTTTCATGCCGATACTTGGCACGATCTACCTTCTACGTACGGACAGGAACACGCTTGCAGCCCCCACCTAGGCAGATACCAGTGGTTCAGCTTCCATCCGAGTGGTACCAGGACGGACCCTAGCAAGCTTCTTCCCACCAAACAGCCTTGCAACCGCATGCCTGGGTCAATGTTGCCCCCGTCCAAAGGTACCGCCTTGCACATGAATGGGGTACATTACAACGGAACGATGCTGACGGGGCCACAAGCGGGTAAGGGGTTTGTTTTTGTGGCCGCGGACGCCCATGGTCAGCCGGCTGCTGCAGACCGTAAGCTCGTACGGAGTCATGTCATGCGGGGGAAGAATACCCGTAAACGAGCTCTTCCTGATCGGTTGAAGGGCCGTGTCCCTGCTACCGCTGTGGAAAGCCAACGGTCGCAGCATGCCGCAGGAGGCAATGATTCTTCCGAAGAGTCCCGCGGAGCTCGGACACGACATGAGTTGCTCAAATCTGACGTGGATGCTCTGGCCCGAATCAGATATCCAGGCATGGTCCCCCGTGCCGCCAACGTCTTCACCTTCATCAAGTTCCCGGAAGACATCGATAGTAGTTCGCGCAGCTTGCTATGCACATGTACGTCTCTCCTCTTCAAGCATGAGCAGGCCCTGCCCCTGACGCCTTCCGTCTTCCAGACTTTTCGTACTTGAAAGATACAATGTACCCGATTGGGAGGTACTCCCGTTCTGACGCTACCAATACATACTGGTTTCACTGGACCCAGCTCGACTTGGCCTACCTACACTCCATCCTTTATACGACGTCTTTTTTTTACGATAGTTTGAAAGGACAGAAGAGTAAGAGAACGGAGTTTCACTCGTATAGGACGATTCGAGAGCTCAACAAGCAACTGGCTGATCCGACAACTGCACTGACCGACTCGACAACCACTGTCGTCATGGGGATGGCCTTGATCGCGGAGTGCTTTGGAGACGTAGAGTCCGCACACATGCACGTAATGGGTCTCAAGCAAATCGTTGGCCTGCGCGGTGGCATAGAATCGTTTGCAAATAACCCTCAACTTCAAGCCAAGCTTCACCGGTAAGTCTTAGTTCTCCCCTTCCAAATTCAGCTCATCATGATCCGGCCAAAGTCGCTGACTACAAACGCCTAAAGAACTGGTTTAGTCTACAGCATCTGCACCGGCGCGAATCCAGCCTTTCACCAAGATGTTGCAACTTTCGAGTCAGCCTTCGACAGTTCACCCGAACTCACCCGGCTCAAGCCATCGGACGCGTCCTGCTTCTCCCGCTCGCGCTCTGTGGTACGAGCTTTAGGAAGGAGGCTCTACGGCATCTTGAAGGATGTCCAGGACTTCTCACAGCTCATCAACGATAGCCATAATTCCGGTCAAAAGATGCGGGAAATGTCTCTCGAGGAGCTCATGACATCCATTCAATCCCGACTGCTTATGCTCGAATTTAATGATAACCACATTCTCCCAGAGCTTCTCCGGTTGTCACTTCTCGCTTTCTTGACAACCGTCTTCTGGAGTTTCCCTGGTGTCAAATTCGAGTACCCGCATCTGGCCAACCAACTCCGACAAGCTTGTTTGGCCTTCACGCCCACCACGGCTGGAGAGAGCTATCTCTTCGCCTGGGCCTTGATGGTGGGGGCAGCGTCTGTGTTCCACGACCATGATCAGACCTGGCTTCCGCAAAGACTGCGCCCTCTGATCCGAGACAACCTAGGGAGGACGTGGTTCGAAGTACAGAATAATCTGAGGCGAGTCATGTGGATCGATAGTATTCATGACGGCCCCGGGATAGAAGTCTTCAACCAGTATCTTGGGGAAACTGGGGACTAAAGTATCACTGCTCGAAGCAACTCTCTATATTGCTGACAGCTAGAGGTGGGACACAATACCCCTGCGGCGTCAACGCGTTCGACAACAGCGGAACTCATACCTTGTCCTTGATCCGCCTCATGACATCTGCAACATGGCATCTGCAGCATGACCAAAGCCGAAGGTCCAGCCCTTGATCCTGGTGATGTAGATGAAGGAGTAGACCAGGCACCAATTTGCCACCGCAAAAGCGATCGTGTAACCTAGACATGGCCACTTGTTATCTCTCTCCACGTTGAGCACTCTTATGGACTCAATACTGTGATGGGGCCAACGGTCCACCTGGAGTTTAATACGGTACGGAAGGCCTATACTAGCTTAGGCAGTCAATACTTAAGGCGTTGAGTCTGCTTGAAAAATAAGACGGCACGCTTTTTTCTTCTTCTAATTAATAGGATACCTTGAGTCTCAGTACGCTCCTTCTACTGCAGCAGCTCTTGATATTATTTTTTCTTTTTTTTCTTTTCCCTGGAGTAATCCAGAAGCAATTAATTAGTTACTTTAAATGCCTTTCACTTGCAGGAGGCAACTCTGGTGCTGCCTTTTCTTTGCCTGTTATCCCTCTGATCCTACCCTACAGACGGGTGTGGTATGCACTAACGACCTCGCCCACCAACAAAATACCATCATTGTATGCGCAGTATCCGCAATCGGATGTCGCATTTTGATCCTGAAGAGTACGTGGTGTGGCTGACCGAGTCGGTTGAAAGAGGAAACAGATCGCGGGTATGCCTTCCCGTATGATAAAGGACTTAATCCTCCGCCGCATCCTCAGCCGGCTCTCCCTCGACATTGGCTGGCGGAACCCGTACAGCAACAGACTCCTTAATAACTAGTCAACGGCCTCGTCACCCGTCTTCCCGGTCGCCTCCAGCTCGACTTTGGCCGCCTCCAACCTCTCCGCGCTCAGCGAGCCCACGATGCGCTCCACCTCCGGGAAGTCTTCCTCGTCACGCTGAGCATGCTCACGCGACGATTTCTCGACCTCACTCCTATATTGAAGACGAGAAAGGCGAAGACGTGATGTGTCGCGAATCGGCCGCCGTGGCGCCACCACCGAGACTCCGCGTCCTGGCCTCCGCTTCGACACCTCCATCCACCTCACCAGCCACCTCCGCGAGGCCCTCCTCGGCCTGGCGTGGGCCCCTCTACCGACGGGAAACAGGGTCGGGAACGCCTTCGCAAAGAACGGTAGGGATCGGCAAAGTCCTCTCCCCTAGACACGAGGATATAAGGTTCGCGCGTGTCTCCATGCCGCACCTCGGCCGATCCCACCACGTCCCGGCCCGCATTTCGTCACGGGCATCATCATGGCGCAGACCGTCGTAGACATAGCGCAACTTCTCCACGTCCGCGATATCCGGTCGCCCATCGAGGGCGAACATCCCGGACGAGCTGATCTCGTGGACCGGGCTTGCACCGGCGGTAGCGCTATCGGGGGTTCTCGTCACCGGCTTCACAATGGGCATCCACTGGTGTCCCCGCCTCGTCCCCCTGGATGCCTACATCGAACCCCTGGCCCAGCGTTGCCGGCACTTCTCGAATATCTACATAGTACACTTCCCTCGTCCTCCAAGCCGCGCTCTGTGGGTGGGACGACTTGTGCTGTTCGTGCCTTCTCCCACGCCGACGGCTCGGCTCGTCCCGTTCCAAACGCTCATAGACTTGGTATGGCACGCCGTGCGACGGTGCGTCCCAGCTATCCAGTTCCGCCGTGTCAATATCGATGTCGACATACAAGGGATTGTGCCTCTTCAGCCACACCAGCGCTCAACCTCTGCTCGACATATCTCGGCAAGCGACCTTCTCGAATACCATCCACCTGCGAGACTTTGTGGACAGCATCACGGACGATCCAAGTCGGGAAAACGCACCCAACTACGTCGAGATCTAGGCTGACGTTGACATCTTTGAGGAGGAGGGCTTCTACACTTCTACTATCGACGTTGAGCCCATTCGCACCCGCATTCATGCCTATCTGACACGAGAAGAGCGGGAGCTCTACACCCCCAATACGTTCTTCGATGCCGACGGCCGCTTCTCCGCCGCCCCGTCCGCGGGTGGCACGCTAGAGATCAGCGTCCAGGCCCTTAGTTTGTCGAGGTATGTCACGACTCACACTCAGTCTCACACGGCCTGACCTTCCTAGACACCCTGGTGACGTCTCTGACTTCGACGAGTATCGCCGCTACTTCCCAGGGCAGTGGTGCCCGATGGTGACCGTCATCGGATCCGTGCCATTGCCCAGCGACAACACCAGCGACCCTTCTGAACCTCGCCGCTTTAAGGTGGACAGCTCAAGCTCGACTCAGACCCTGCTCGCCTGGCCTCACCCTAGCACCGGCGCGGCTCCCGCTCGCCCCGGCGTCGTCTTCCCACACCCGCAAGGGTAGACGAAACCATGACCCCTAGGCTTCATATAACCAGGGATAGGCTACTAAACCAATGTAATGAACTCTAAACCGCGTCAGAGTGTCGGGGTGCAAACCGGAATGGGTAAGGTGAGGACCCCACCAAATCACCACCAAATCGTTCCGGTGTTTTTTGACACCCCAAGACCTTCGTACCTCAAGTAGGGGGGGGTCCTTTGACGTGTAAAAACGACTCTGACATGCAAAAACAATCACTAGTACATGGCGTATAGCTGTAGCCTCGACCCAAATGAAGGTATCCAGTTCCTAGCCATCATGTGTGTGATAGAGTGGCATACTGGGCAAAATCGGTACATCCCTTACCATACTGAAATTGCTGCCACAAGAGGTATTTTCTTTTGCTTGTCAAAGTCGGTTTTGCAGGTCAAGGGATCCACCTACCTGAGGTACGAAGTTCAGGGGTGGCTGACGTGTAGGCCCCCTTAGTAGCGAGAATCCTCCTGATCCGTTCGTTATTAGTGGAGACGCGTTAAGGGTTCCGGACAGGGTTAGACTCAGATGATCACTGAGAGAACGAGACAACAACAAGGTTGGGTTCAGTATAGAAGAGCAACATGACCTCCATCCAGAACTTTCCCACCCATTGGCTCGAAAAGTTTGACTCGACCACGTCAGAACCGCGCATCTGCAGCAAACCGATTAGCGAAGGCCTAACTACCGACTTTTTTTTTCTTTTCCTTTCTCACTTTCTTTAATTTTTCTCTCTCCTCGAAACGACGCCAAAGGTCAAACTAAGATAGGGGGAAACGAACAGACGGTTGGGCTTCGGCGCGGCCCGCGTTACAACAGATGGCTTACGCAACGGACAATGGGCGCGACTCAAGTTCAATGAGAAGTGGCGGCGGGTCCACGGACCAAACCCTGTCATCAGCCGTGACAAGGCCCCCTGCGCAAACCTCCATGTCGACACTCACCGCCTCCTCCTCGTCGAACTATTCCTCTAGCGTGTCGAGCGGCAGCCAAAATCAGGGTGGGGGTATCCCTGGCACACCCATGAGCAGACGCTCAGGCGGATGGGACCGGCACACGCTTTCTCCGGCAGCGGCTGCAAGGGCCAGGTTTGATGATGTGGGAATTCCCTGAGCCAAATTGCGTTTTGATGGTGTTTGATCATTGTTGGTTGTCTAACTGACTGTTGAGAAATAGCCTATGATTGAAGACCATGTCGTTGATCAGCCAAGCAGTCTACGGCCCCAGGAGGATCTAGATGACTCTTCTGATTCTTCAGATGAATACATGACGAGTTACAAACCTTTGGAACGGTGAGAATTACCCATTATGCTGCTATCAGTTCAGTATCACTTCATTACCCTTGATTGTGGATCAACGGGGCGAAAATCACCTACCATACTGGTAGATTGGTTGATTGGTTCATCTGTTTGCTCATGCTGACTTGGCAAAGGAAATCCACCAAGGCCAGCGGGTCACGCTCCAAACGTTTCTTTCAATCTTTCGTCAAGAAGTTGACCAAATCCTCTGTTCGTCCGTTTCCCCCTCCCCCGGTTCTGACAAGCCATTGGCATCCGAGAATTAATCAAACAATTCACAGGTTACGGCTTGGTGCCAAACAGCCCGGTATGATCCCGTCTCACCCATCGTACTCTTCGATAGCGCGCATCTTAATTACTCGTGTGCTAATGCGCTTTCGTCGTTTTAGCAAGAACAAGACAGAAATGGTATGGATTGAAGCCTGGGCGCGCCACTCCCTCGCTACTCTTTAGCCTTCGTGCTTGCTGACAGATTGCGCTAGTCATTCAGCACACCATCATCATCGATGTCTTCAGAGGGCGGCTTCACTTAGCACCTATCTCATCAAAGCCGAGACGGGTTCTTGATGTCGGCACTGGCCCTGGAACATGGGCATTGGTAAGTTCTTATCATTGAACGAATGTGGTGATTTGCATCTTTTACTGACATTTGCCATTTTGCCGTATTTAGGAATTTGGCAAGTCTTTTTTCCCCATTCCTGTCCTTCTGTGCCATTGAAGCTAACAATCGTGGCGTTCGTTGGTAGCCCAAAAACATCCTTACTGCTCCGTTCTAGGCGTGGACATTGAACCGGTCAAGCCGGCTGCTACCAGATCCAACTGTAGCTTTATGACAGTGGATATTACGCATGATTGGGACTTCACCGACGGCGGTAACTTCGATTTTATTCACATTCGACAACTTGGTGATATTCAGGATAAAAAGAAATTACTCCAATCGGCTTTCGACAATCTGAAGCCTGGAGGATGGGTCGAACTCACGGAATGGATCGCAATTCTACAGTCACCAAATCATTCATTGGACGGCACCGCATTCCGCAGATGGAATGATCTGCTGGAGCAAGGAATGCGCACTTTTGGTACAACGCTGTACTACCCGAATCATTTCAAGCCATTGCTACAGGAAACTGGCTTTGATCACATCATTGAGACCAGAAACGGCGCGACGTCAAATGCGTGCTATCCTGGGAAAAAGTTGCAACGCATAGGCCATCTAATGACGCAGAACTGGCTGATGATTCTTGAGCCATTAACAATGCCTGTTTTTACGCAAGCGTTGGGCTGGACTCCGGATGAAGTCAAGTCGTTTCTGGTCGATGTGCGGAAAGAGATTCCCAACACAAAATACCATTCCTTCATGACGCTGTGAGTACCATCCGCCCCCTCCATCCGAGAACTTACCATGTGTTTGTCGAAAACTCTTATGCTTACAATTGTGATCCAGAATAACGTTTTGTGCCCAAAAGCCGTTAAATAGTTCATCCACGTCGGCAAAATCGACCTCAGCCTCAGCCTCCGCATCCGAATCTTCTCTTCCCACGATAAAGTAGGTCCTCCGCTTGGACCAGACGCACGTTGAACACGACCCGCAAGGTTGCCTTCTCAAAAAGGCCACTTGCGAAGCTAGCCCTAAATGTACTCAATAACCAGTAGCACATGGTTTGCGATACGTGGCACAGAATGGGGAGCCCTGTCCGGTCTCCAAGGATGGATCGGGTTGGCTTGTGTGCAGTGACATCCGTGGGACGTCTAGGTTACAGTGTTTTTCTGGTTCTTTTGCCAGGGAGTTTTTGATAATTGGGATGATATCAAGAAGAGTTTGGAGTCTCTGAACTAGACCCTTGAATGGGCCTGAATGGTATGTTTTTGGTGTTACATTGCTTCTTTTGGGCCCGTAAGCTGTGAGGAACTCGAGCGCAAACCTTAGATGAGGATATTGAGGGTCGTCCTCCTGCTCTCCTCTGAGACATGTTACTCTTGCAGAATTTTTCCACAAAAAGGGCCTTAGAATAGATGAATAAAGGTGCGCTACGGTTATCGGAAGGGATAATGATCTCCAGAAAGCAAAGAGTGTATGCAGTTGATGTGTCTCTCAAATATCCTAACAAAGCTATACCTGAACGCAGAAAATGTGAACTATCAAAAAAAGAAAAAGGAAATCCATGATCTGTAGTAAATTTCAACACCCTGGAGGAGAGATCACAATCCCTCATACAATCATTCGAGAAACCCTAGCTGCCAGATCCTGGATACTATATGGGTTCGTCAAATCATTGATGGGTAAATCAATCTGGAATGCGTATCTGGCCCAAGATCTAACCTCAATGGCAATGAGCGAATCCATGCCATACTGGACTGCTGATCTCGTAGGTTGGATCTCGCCAACCTTCATTGACAGTACCTGTGCCAGCTTGGCAACAAGAGCAGAACAAACGACGGGCTGCAAAGCCGCCTCTTTGCCCTCAGGCACATCAGCCAGCCGCCCCAGAGTGTTTCGGAAGGCCTTGACGGCTGTTTGGACTGCACTCTCTCCGCTATCAGAATCGGCATCAATTGCCGCATTGTCAGCAGTCCTGGATCGCAGCAAACCAAACTTTGCGTCCTTGGCCCAAGATTGCCATTCTGCCGTAGCTTTGTCAATCATGCCAAAGCTGAGGACGATTTGACTTTGTGAAAAGTCATCGTAAGAAGAGTCTTTGGTTATGTATGGATTCTTGGGCGAACCCGTTGCAATAGCCCCCTCGACCACGCGTAGAACATCTCTCACTGTAATGGGCCTGAGTCCACGGGATGACAAAGAAGCCTGGATCTCCGGACGCTCGCTGATGTTTCCGACGTCCTCCACATATCCGAGGTCAACAGACGAGGCTGGAAGCCCGAGACTTTGACGGTATCTGGCAAAGGTGTCGAGGAAAGTGCTGCTTGCCGAGTAATTCGACTGACCCTCATTACCCAAGACTCCGCAACCCGAACTGAGCATGACAAAGAAGTCGAGGTTGTGATTGAGAAGGCACGTATGGAGATTCAGCGAGCCATTGACTTTTGGACCAAATACCACATCGAAGTCTTCCAAAGTGATATCCTCAAAAAATCGGTCCTAGATAAAAGGATTAGATGGGTATACGCATAAAAATCATCAAGTTTTGGAGTAGACTCACGCTAAGTCTCAAGGCTGAGTGAATAACTCCACCGACAGGAGTCTCGATGGCAGCAACGAGGCGTTCGACAGCTGCAAAGTCGCCCACATCGCAAACTTCAACTCTGGCATTGCATCCATATGATGATAATTGTTGTAAAAGATCACCAGACTCCGAGGCCCTCGAAACCGAGCTGGTGGCCAGAATGAGGTTCCGAGCGCCATAGCTGGCCATCCACACCGCAATTGCGCGTCCTAAGCCACCAAGACCGCCTGTGATGATGTATGTCTTGTGTTGATTGAAACGAGAAGTCTTCGGTCGTATCTAGATGATGGTTAAATGCAATCCTGTCGCGAAAGGTATTGAGAGCACATGCCTTGATCAATTGCTCATCATCGACATCTGTAAGTGATACGACTTGTTTATGCTGATTACCTTCTAACAGTGTCGAGAAGGCTGACTGTAGGGAGTGAAGCCCAGTCACCGAAACCGACATGTCAACATCGATTTCTCGCCTCTCAACCATGCCAATCAGTTGATCTAGCAATCTAATGCAATCCAAACGTCAGCTATCAGAGAATAGACACGAAAAGGTTCAACCACTTACTTTCCCAGGTCTTGACTGCTCTCATGATATGCATCCGTCAGATCAATGGAAGCAAACATGATGTTCTTGTTAGGTCGAAAATGGAATTCATCGCCATGAGTTTCACCCAACCCGATCTCGATATATGTTCCACCGTTCGCTACCAAATGAGAAAACTCTGCATTCTGGCCGGACCGAGTGTTCAACACGAGCTTATACGCTTGACAATTAGTGGCACGGGAAACGTTGGAACGGCTGGCGCTTGGCGGGATAACAAATATCTTGGAGGAAGAGATTCCGTGTTTGGTGAGAAGAGACTTGTTTCTGTCACTGATGGTGGCGTAAACATCTAGCTTCAGTGCCGTTGCCGTTTTGATCAGAGCGATGCCTTGACTTGACGTGGCGTTGATGACGAGGATTTTCTGATGCCATGTTAATACCCCTCCAACTCTCTGGGTGAATATGGTACACATACCTGGCCTGTCGAGACTCTGGCAGCCGTAGTCAGCGCGTACAACGCAGTGACGAAACTTGCAGGGATCGCCGCCGCATCCTAGACCCTAGTTAGCCGTACGCTCTCACTTTTTCATATCAATTCCAGAGCTCTTCTTACCTCTAATGAAAGCCAGTCAGGTATCTTCCTACAGCAATCTGAAGGTGCCAGGTAATGTGTTGTAAAAGTCCCTTGACCAATGACCGCAACGCGATCTCCTGGGCTGAATGATGTGACATTAGCAGCGCACCTCGCGACGATGCCAGAACACTCGCGGCCAAATTCCGTCGCCGGAAGAGATCCTTGGGCGATGCGTCCGTCCTGATTCAAGGTTAGAGACGACGGTTCGCCATCGATGGAGGAAATTAATTGTACTTACCCGTTCGTCGAGTCCGACGGCTCTGACCTCAACAAGAACATGCCCATCCGGCAAGGCCAAGTATTCGTCATCTTGCGCCATGGTCAGACTATCCAAGATTCCTGGTTGTCCCACAACCAAGTGATGTCGAGCCTGAACTACCTGCGTCGCAGGTGCCTCCATCTTTCGAGCAGGACCAAAGGCGTTTTCTAGGCGGGAATCATTCACAAGTCTGCATGTCCAGAGCTGCCCGTCCTTTTCTGCCACTTCGTAGTCCAATTTGGAGATTGGATCGTCATGCGAGTAATGGATCCGTTCCATGACGTGGTAGATGATGTTGGCTGTTGCATCGCCCTCGCTACTCAAGTCCAGTGTGTAAAGCTCGAGTTGGCTGTTTTCACTTCGGAGGGTTCGTGCAAAACCTGTTACAAGCCCTCCTGTCGTATTCTGCGGATCCAGATATACCTTGCGGGTAACCCAGATGCACTTGATAGGTTTAGTTAGCCATGACCTCAATGCCTCTAACTGCTCTGGTCGAAGAGAGGCAAGAAGGCTTCCTTCAGCCTCGTCCACAAGGATGAGCCAGCCTCCAGACCATTGCCGTGAAGAAAGCTCTTCAAGATTACTGGACGTTGCAGAAATGCCACGTTTGCCGAGGTATCGCTCAATGTGGTCCCGCGTTGATAAATCGCTGCCAATTCCAGCGATATGCACTTCCTGCCCAGAAAGTGGCTCGGGTAGAGTATAGTCAGCCGGTTTTGCTCTCGCCATCATCACGATAGTGCTTGAGAGTTGATCAGTATCGCTCTTGTCGTGTCTGGCTTCGATCTCGGAAACGCTGTCAAAATCCTCAGCGAGCTCTTCACGCCATTCGTCCATAGTAAGGCCAGGTCCAGACCGGCCAGGTGATCGAGGGCGTAGCCACCAGCCAGTCAAGGGTCCCTACAAAAGAATTAGTTATGAAGCCCAAATGATGATGTGTTAGATCATACCCAAAGGAAATTGGCTGAAGTAAGGTCTGCAAGTTCAAATGTTAGCTAATCTTGCAAATCACATAAACGGAGCATGTTACTTACCCTCTGACAGCTCACCCACCAAGAGGTATCCATCGTCACGTAATAAGGATCGAACATTCTTCATTGCGAACTTCAAGTCGGCAGTTGCGTGCAGAACCTAACGTAGAATGGTCAATAATTGATAGCACCTGCCGTCGCGTATATCTGGGACCTACGTTGGCTGCAACCACAAGATCGTACTTCTCAGTAAAGCCTTGCTCAGAAACATCCTTTTCGATGTCGAGAGTCTTGAACTCGATCCGGTCCCATTCGGCAAACTTCTTCTTGGCCTTGTCGAAGAAACCAGCCGAAATGTCTGTAAAAGTGAAGGATTGGTAAGCATTTGGCCCTCCAGCCCTGGAGAAGCCGCGCAGCAACTCAGTTGTCGCACCACCAGTTCCAGCTCCAATCTCCAAGATTTTCATATTGGGATTCTTGTGTGCCAGGAGCTCGGCAGCAGAAAGGAGTTTCTGGTTCATGCTCGTTGTGAAGATGCTCTCTTGATAGAACCTGTACAACAAATTGTCCTCTAGCCAAACTGCTAGTGCTTCTACTTCTCCTCGGAAAATTCTTCCCATGTTGATGGCTAGTTGAGATACGATGGACGCATCGACAGTCTGAGAAATTCCGGAGTTTGAGACGACGTTTGAGATGGCACCTTGTACTGTCGCAAATCCATTCTTTAGCTGGTGACGCGCTGATAGCCTTTCTTTATGCAGATCAGCTTGGTCAAGCAGCCACGAACGGTACATTTGCAAGTGAGGGGCCAAGTCTTTGCCGTTTTCGAGACCATTCTCGACGATGAGCGGTATTAGCTCCTTGACCAAGTTCTCGAGGTTGATAAGCTTCTTTTCTGCTGGATGACTTTCGATCTGGAAGGAATTGAGCATGGGATCATTGTTTGAGATGTCGCCGATGTCAGGTCTCCAGATTAGCCTCAGCCAGGGGAGAGTAGTTTGGTCATCACTCGTGGCTCTGTCCATCTGCAGACCTTCCACGACAAAGAAGGGTTTCGATAACGCATCATAACACTCAACAGTCCCTTCTATCCGGCTAAAACCCACGGGCGATGTATTGGTAGTGCAAGACGCGATCTCCGTGTTCTCAGCGGGCATGCGGATCGATATTCTCTTCATTCGGGATGGCAGCAGCAATGTATCGATCTCTTGGAAGTGGCCGGAGCGATTGGCTAATGCAGGTGTTTGCAGAGCCGCATCCATCATTGCTGGATGCAAGAGATACCGCTGGCCGCGAATGGGAGATGGGGCAACCGACGTCATGTCGATTTTGGCAGAACAAGCCGAGAGGCTTGGGCGAACCCGAACTTCAGAAAGAAGCTGGAACTTGGGACCATAGCCATAGCCAACTCTTTCTAGAGTTTTGTAATAGCTCTTCAATGGTACCTTGAGGGGCATATGATGCCAAGAGGTTCTGCGCAGAAAAGCACCATCGTCTTTGCCCGCTAGAAATCGTCAGCTTAGACCACCAGTTGTTTTGTCACCCATCACTCACTTTCCAGGACTGCAGCTTTGCCATGACAATGGCGGACATCAACGTCGCCTCTCAGTGAGGAAATGGTAAAATCATACCATGTCTCGTCGGAGCTGGCATTGTCGTTTTCCGGGACCAGTGTGAGAAAGAGATCGATCGGTGTTTCGTCGGGAAGAATAATAGAATTTGAAAAGACAAAATCTTCAAATTCGAATGAATGATTTGCCCAATCAATCTCTTTGGTCTCTTCTTGTACTTGCATCATAGCCTCCACCACCATCGCTATGCCGGTAGTGAAGGAAAATGTCACAATGCCATTGACCTGTCTTGAGTCAGCCTTGTCTTAAAATAGATATATTCTCTTTCTCGTACCTGATGATCAACGAGCCAAGGCGCATCTTCTATCGACACCTTGTTCCTCCATGTAGGAGCTGATGGATTCACTCCTCGGCAACGGGATCCTAGAATCTCATGCCGTGGTGCTTTGCGGAAACGCCATTCCAGGCTGTTTCGTGGCTCGGTCCACGGTGTCGAGGAATAGTCCCAAGCATAAGGGGGAAGCCTGTCTTGAAGCTCATTGGGGAGACGTCCGGACTTGCCAGCGACCACAGAGCTGGCCTTGTTGACTTGTTCCAAATCCAACTGCTTTCCATTGAGGACCAAGTCTCCGGCAAGGCTCATCAGCTGTTGGCTTGAGTCTGCATTTCGAAGCATAGTAGAAAAATAGGGGAGTTGGGGCGAATCAGCCAGAGACTTCAGAATCTCAGATGTAGGACGAGAAAGCAATGAGTGAGGCCCAAGCTCGACGCACAAATCAAACTTGCGGTCTGCTTGAGTCACGGCCAATGTCACTGCATCAGTATAAAGAACTGGGGATACGAGGTTTGCCCCCCAGTAGTCGGCATCAACCTCAGTCCCATTCAGCTCGAGACCGGAAACAGATGAGAACATAGGAACCCGTCCAGCCTTCGGATGCAGAACACCCTGGAGGTGACCGATATACTCATCCACCACACTCTTCATGGCACGGGTATGGTAGGCTCGAGTTACAGCCACGGCTCTGGATACAATGCCATGGCTGCTAAGCTCGGCGGCCACCTTCTGAACTCCCTCAACCGAGCCTGCGAGAGTCAGATTCTGGGGACCATTGAAGCACGCAATTTGCACATCGTTTCGCTCCAATGCATCCTGCAACTCTTTCGCCTGTGGTGCACTTCGAACGGCCAACATGGCACCTGATGGGGCGTTCTCGCAGGCTATTCCTCGATAGTAAGCGACCGTGATGGCTTCCTTGGCAGTAAGAGCACCACAAGCGTACGCCGCGGCCGTCTCTCCACCTGAATGGCCGACGACCCCATCTGGAAGGACGCCCCAACTAGAAAGAACATCCACCAGTGCGATTTGAACCGCCATGGAAAGAGGATGGGCGAGTGCCGGTGAATCAATCTTCTCTTGGGAGAGCTCAGCAGTTAGCTTGTCTATAAAGAAGTCAGTAACCAACAAGCAGCAACTTAGAATTGTCGCGTCTGGACGCACCTATCAGGGACCAGGCCGACGTATTCGATGGCTGAAGTTCTCTAACGACCTGCTCAAGATTGTACAAGGTGTTGCGCGCCACAGGGAATGCCTCGAGGAGGCGTTTACCCATCTGGGACCACATGGCTCCTTGACCTGTGAATGTAAATAAAATTCGAGGTGCATCACCACTGGACGGCGTTGAATTCGATTTCAGGGCGTTGTTCTCCAACTGCTGGATGAGATCGTCAACTGTCTGGGCAACAGCGTACGACTTCCATGGCCGGACATGGATCTGGCTTCGAGCATTCAGCGCTGTGACAAGGGGATCCGTTAAGCTGTGGCATTCATCGTGACTTTTCAGAAACTCTAGGAGGTTGAGTGTGTTTGTGTCTTGAGAGTTGCGGGAGGCGCCAGATGTGAACAGAAGGAAGAACGGTTTGTTGGCTTGTTCCCCTGCCTCATGATGGCCATTAACACCATTGGTGCCATTGACGCCATTGGCGCCATTCACGGACCCGTTAGTCAGTTTAGGCGGCTCGTAGAACTCAACGACGGCATGCGCAGTAGATCCACCGATACCAAGGGAGTTGACGCTTGCTCGGCGTATGGACTTGGAAGGCCAAGGGTGGGGGCTGGTCGGAACACGAACTCTCCATCCTTCGAAGTCGACTAGGCAAATCATAGTTAGTTGGATCCAAAATAAGTGTAGGGACTGGAAAACACTGTACTTTTGGGGTTAGGTGTCTTGTAATTGGTGTTGGGAGGAATTTCTCCCTTTTCCAAGGCCAAAACTACTTTGATGAGACTGCTCAAACCACTCGCCGCTTCCGAGTGTCCCACATTCGGTTTTGTCTGTTCGCTTGTTAGTCTATGTTTTTCTCACTGGAATAAAGAAAAGGCAATGTTGCAAATGAAACTTACAGAACCAACCCAAAGTGCGTCTTGGGATTTGTGACTGGCAGCAAAAACTGAACCTACGGCTCCCAACTCTATACAATCGCCCACGGGCGTACCTGTTCCATGACACTCAAAGTATCCCGTCTCACTGAAGTCGTTGATTCCTGCTTGGGCATAAGCCTGCAAGATGGTATCTCTTTGAGCTCGCCCGGAAGGTTCCGTAATTGCTGGAGTAGCACCAGAACTGAACTTGTTAGTGAACCCGAACTGTGTCAACCTTGCTTGGAGAAGAAGTAGACGTACCTATTAGATGAGGTGCCCCTGATGACGGCTCGAATATTATCCCCATCTCTGATCGCATCGCTTAGTCTTTTTACATAGACGGCGTTGGTTCCTTCGCCACGTCCGTATCCATTGGCGCTGGCGTCAAATGTCTTACACTGGCCGTCTGCAGCTATAGCGCCAAGACGCGTCAAAGACAGTGCATAATCTGGACTCAGAAAAAGATTAGATGCACCAACCACAGCACCGTCACACTCCCCAGCTTGCAGTGCTTGGCAGGCAAGATGCAGAGCAACCAGGGCACCGGAACAGGCTGTGTCGATCGTCACACTGCATGTAAAGTGTCAGCATCGTAATCAATTCCACGTGTCGGTCCACCATTGAAAGACAGATTAATTAGTCATAACACACCTGGGACCACCAAGATCAAGCGCATGACTAATGCGGTTTGCAAGCATGGTTCGTGTTGTTCCAATGGCGATAAAGGTTGGAAGATATTCAGGGTCCTGCATCAACATGTCATGATAATCGGCCACAAACATGGCACAATAGCAGCCAATCTTGGAGTTGGAGATCTTTTCCATGGAAATATTGGCTGACTCAATGCACTCGTAGACAACTTCGAGCAATTGTTTTTGCTGTGGATCCATGGCTGTAGCCGTGTCTTTGCTTATACCGAAGAACTTGTGATCGAACTGCTTGATGTCCCTCTTGACGAAGTGAGCACCTTCAAACGCCTGAGCTCCCTTCTGATTAGGGTCCATGGTTAGAAAATTCTCGGCATTAAATCGATCTTTCGGTATCGCCGTGGCCGACGAACGTCCTGCTCGAACATGGTCCCACAGGTCTAGTGGTTTGTCGATGCCGCCCGGGAGACGACAAGCCATGCTCACAATGGCAATTGGCTCCCGCCATTGTGAAATACGGGAAGTCATTGCATAGACCAGGAGTGAAACAAAGAAGGTATTCTCAGAGATTCATTCCAGAGAGCTGTACAACTCCAGGAAAAGTAAACGAGAAAGCGTGGATCGTGGGTCACACCATAAATATGGGCAAACATAAGCACCACATACAAGTACGGTCCGACTGGTAGAACACGTCCGGTAGTTAGCGCATGAACTGCATCAGCGCATGCAGGATAAAGTTAGCCTATTACCATAGATGCACTGCCAATTATCGTCAGTTGTTATCAGTAAGCGCCAACGGGTAACGCGGGATTGAGGAAGGATGAGCGGGCGCTTTCGCATTCTTGGACGGCGCCGAGATGTGGATACCATTGACGTGGCACGACAGCTTTCAGCAAAGCTGGCTAGAGTATGCAGGTAGTGCAGGTAGGGTTACTTTGCCGTGGGGCCGTTCCGTCGTTACTACTGGAAATACGGGGACGATGCTACGACCTGATGAACTGGTGATGATGATGACAGGTAGGCTAGCTATATGACAGACGGTGAGTTGCAGGGGATATGACCTCTGTCCCATATTCCTGGTATCCCAGGCGTAAAACGGGACAAGTCGGAACAAGGGTCCAACCAAGGGTCCACCAACAGTTACCAACAATTACGAGCTAAAATGCGACATGGGAACCCCGCCTGTTGGTGACGGCTCACCTAGGAGGACTCAGGCTCGGCGCAGGTTAAAGCAGCGGCTGCTCAGGATGGTGGGCGAGAAAGGAAAAAGCGTGCGTCGACACGCCGACTCTGACTGCCACTCCGCCTTCAAAGCGGTGTGCTCGCTGGGAGGGTTGGGCCACTCCATCCACCCCTTCAAAGAGACAGCACGTGTCCGAGGATGCCGGCGACGCTGCGTCGTTGCGGAGCCATCCTAGACTCATTGGAGCAGGAGGTTACTGCGCTAATCCGCTGCGGACTAGAAGCGGGATCACGCTCCTCATCTGGAGGTTAAGATGAATGGGTAACCAAGCGCTCGCGATTTCTGGAATAGGTGCATTTTAATTGCGAAATAGCAAACGGAATTGGATTCGAGGCTAACTCAGTTTGTCAGAACCATCTTCTGGATATATTTTGTGACTATTTTGGTAGTAGCAACCAGTCCTAACCATTTATCGACTGATGTGGTGAGCTTGAAAGTCAATGGCCGAATGCTACCGCGCGAGCCGGCTGCTAGTCCGCGGTACATATCCCATAGCGTCCCAAAGTACCAGGATGACTACCTACTGAAGGACTTGAGCGCCTAAACCCAAAAGGAAACGACCGCCGGGGGGTTATGCAACACTGCCACCTATCGCCCACCGAAGTAGTCAGTGATTGACGTGAATCCTACGGAGTAGTAGGCCGAAATGGATAAGTCGGGTTCTGGAAAACGCGCGTCCGCGATTACGCAAAAATGGCACGTAACGCCAGGATGTAGACAGTCTGATCGACTAGTTCATATTACCTATGTGCGCTCATCTCGCGGCGATGTATGCACACTCTGTATTAATAGAACTTAAAATGGGAATATTATAGTTGTATATTATCAGATAATCAGACCGGGGTGACGAGAAAACAGAGGTTTCAATCTCAGTTGAAGCTACTTTGCGCAAACTACAATTGAAATCGCTTCTTCTGTGACCCAAGTGCTCACCGTAATAATTTACTTTCAGTCACGGAAGGTACAAACTATTAAATTAGAAATATATATGTTGCGACGTATATGTTACTATATATAAGTGTCTAGTTCCGCTATACCCTTTTCACCTCAATACGGGTGTTTTTCAGCTCGGTTCAAAACAGAGCTAAAGGGCGGAAGGCTGCCTGTATATAAGACCTCAACAAATCTTGCGAGCCGGGTTAATAGAGGTCTTAGCGACAATCATATGTCTGAAAATGCCCAAGCTCTTGGCGGGACCAACCTGAGCTGTGTCCCCTCAAGATTCGAAGATTCTCTAAACGGTACAGTAATTAAGCTTGGTTGTCCTGCGGGGAGTTAGTTTCGTGGAAGATATCCCCAGCCCGCGCCCTAGTCGGTATAGCCCTACAGATTAAATCTGTATATAGATTGTTTAGCTAGAACAGCCAAAAGAACACCTACATACTAAAGCGCGAACACTTAGAAGAAAGCGCTTCCCAATATGGGCTTCTAGCCGGCGACATCTCAGCAAATGGAGAACCCAACGAATCTGTTCGGCTGTTTTACAACATCGAGGCTCCTTCTAGCGTTTTATATGCAGAAGTCAGGGCTCTGGTAAAAGCCATACGTTAGCAATACTGCTGGAGAATTTTCTTGTGCAGTTTGTGGCAAATGTACTGACTAGACCATTAGCAGGTCTGGTATTTCACTATGACTCCGTCGTATCGGACGCAAGTGGTCTCCCATGTGAAGCAGCGTACCTGTCCTCCAATAAGAATGTGAATGTCAGGGTACTCTGTCACATATATCGGGATATCGGATTCCGGATGTATCATGCTATTGAAGCTTTCTTCCTTCATCATAGGCGTCCATCGCCACCTGCCTCATCATCGGCCTCGTCACCGATCTCATGATAGTCCTAGCTTTTCCTTGATTTTATCAATAGCTAGCTGAAGCCAAAGACTCCGGACCATCCGGAGCCTCTCGGCCGTCCGAGGTCATCCGAGGTCATCTTCATCTATAAGACTGACCTAGCAGACCTCTATTAGATAGGAAGAATAGCAAGAGCTTCTCACACATATGATCCTATCCATCTGCCAGATGCAACATACTCTATCCTCCAACTAACACGGCGACTATTAAGGTACTCCTCGACTATTATGTTCTCGGATTAAAGAATATCGCTAATATCCTCCAAGAAGATCTATAGCTGTGTCCCAACGTCTCCATCCAAGAGCTTCGCTTTTGTCAGGACAGCTTTAACACAAAGCGAATGCTAAATTCGATAGTAGCAAGCCCATGCCAAACTGGTCGAATGCTATTATACCTTCACACAGTGATACGCATCCTGCGAGAATTATGAATCAAGCAACAACAACAAGGGGGGTGGGGGGTTCAACTATCAAGAATTCAAGAACGCCATAGAAGCTGAACCTCTAACCAAGGAGCAATCCGTTCCTCTTCAGCAGCGACTTGAAACTTTGGGGAGCTTTATGATGAGGCAAGACACAAATGTGGGAGGACCTGCAAATACAAAGGGGGAAAATAAGTGGGCATCCCATTCAGTCGCGGCTCATAGAAGTATTGATTGGAAACCTCTCGTAGGTTGACCCACACTCTTGTTTGGCCACAGACTAATCGTCTATCATCCAGAGCGGCCAGCTGACTGTTATCGATCTATCTTGTCCATAGATAACTGCCGAACAGGCCTGCTCTCTATTTGACATATGTCTCAGTCTCTTCCTGGAACAAACAAAGACCTGGGACGAGTCGTTGCACTTGATGAATCACACAAGTATATGACCGAAACTGATGAAGATCAAGTATTCACGGAATTACTTTTATCTGCGATTCGCTTACAACGCCACAATGGCACGCGCATCATAATATCCACACAAGAGCCTACAATATCCCCTGGTCTATTGGACCTCTGCTCCATCACGATCGTTCATCGTTTCACATCCCCGGATTAACTTCAGTTCTCCGTCGTCATCTGGCCGGTCCTTCTGAAATTGGTGGATGTAAAGAACCAGTAGCTAATGGTGGAGAGTTGTAAACGTCTGGTTAAAGCTTGTAGGTTTTGTCAGCTCCGAAGCGATATCGGACAATACCAGGACCTGAGCTTTTCTCGAATATTGCGCAACTCCGAACAGGTGAGTCATTTCTGTTCGCTCCAAGCGGCATGGTGGATGCTATCCAAGGAGCCATTCAAAGATTTCAGCGGCGGTGGACTAGAGTGGTTGGCAGCCGGTATTCCTCGGCGACGGCACCATGAAAGTGCGAATTCGTAATTGTATTACTGTTGATGGAGGAAAGAGCATTATAGCTCGATGAACAGGTGCAATAGAGCAACACTATTGCCCTCCTACTCAAGCAAAATATATTGACACCTTTACCAGCGGTGGGGAGGGTGTAAAACAGTCTGAAGGGTTTGCCGAAGCCTCCCATCCCGGAGAGCCACGAATATTTCCCGGGTGGCTTTCATCACTGTGGACTCTCCAAGAGACCATCATGTGACCTGATATTTACTTGCTCGACAGGCACTGGGAGCCCCTGAAAGTGGGACGAGGGTACCAATCAGCCTTGTGGGATTGGTAGCCCTGACTGGAGATGACATACAGGCCTCTTCCAGGAGACTTGATGACGATGAGTTTGTTCTTTTGCTTGACCTGCCTCGTCCAAGAGCAGTTCGCGAGCTCGACGCCTGCCTGACTCGTTCTGATATCTTGGAGCTGACTAGGGCCACTCGTCTCACTGCAATGGTTCTGGGGCGCAACCGGGCATGCACAAGCTCGAGAGCTCAAGCCATCATGTCCGTTACCGACGCAACTGACTGGCACATGGGTCGCTCTGTGGCCCAGTTCATAAGCAACCAAGCCGAAGGGAACCTCGTGCTGGACTTGTATCCACAACAATTTGTCAAAGAGATGCGCAGAAAGACAGGAGCCACTTTCTTCATGTGCAAACACGAGATTCCAACTTTGATATATGGGCAAGACCCCAAGAACAAGATGTCCTCAGTCTCCGTTGCTCTAAAAGGGACGATGCTTCCATTTATGCCCAACTTGGCAGGAAAGAGCAACGCCTTCAATACCAGCACAGGTTGCAACGGGGATAGTGATCATCCATCAGTGAGCACATGGCGCATACAGCTTGATGGCAGTGTTGTGCTTTCAGAGGTATGCAGGATTGCATCAAGCCCTAAAAGGGGCCATTCGATGGGCATTCTCGACGGCTATTCGGTTACCATCCATGGAAATGACCCACGCGACCAGCAAGGACTGTTGGTTGCCAGGATGCCTGTTACAGAGATTCAGGATTGGCTCGACAAGTTTCCTGGCGAGGCCTAGCTGTTTGCACCATGCGCTCGAATTACATGCTGCAGGGCATTATTCTTCATCGCTGGGAGAGAGAGAGCGACGTTTTCGTAAAGGCTGGAGTGTTTAAGTCCTGGCCAAAGATCGGGTCAGAGCCATTTAAAGTCCCGAGTCCGACTACAGTCAATTGGATCGTTGTGTAATTAGCTGGAGCTACAGTTTTAAAGACGAGGTGCTTTAGTAAAGGCTGAATTTGGAGAATTAAGCATCTACTTGTAGCGCTTTCTGTCTAGGAACGTAGTCGATCACGTTGAACCACTGGAGGATCTTGGCAAAGTTGGAGTTGGTGGACGCGATGTTGCATGCCATGCTAAAATGTTAGATGAAAACAGAATAATTATCTTAATCGTCCTGGATAAAATGTATTCAAGGGACACTTGAGAACGGACAATGCATTAACCCTAAGCTACTGCTTGACGAATCAACATCTCAAGCTCCAATCTGCAAAGTACTAGGCTGATCAGTCAGAAGAGTGCTCGTCTTCTTGGTTAGGTCTTCCAGTTGAGACTCTGCACTTCTTTCAGTATTTCCGGTTCTAAAGGTCTTGGCCGTCGACCGCCGCTGAATAAACTGCTCCGATGTGGCCACACCTTGTCCAATGACTTGAGCAAGTTTGGCCCGCGCTTCGAGAAGCGCAGGTTCAGCCGCTTCGTGTTGACCGTGCTCGTCCAAGATCTGCTTCTGAAACTTGGCTACCTGGATCATATGATCGCCAATAGCAGTGCGCTGGGCGTCTGCAAGAGTAGCAGAACTGGTCAGCACCACGCGGTAAGCATTGTCATCGACCATTGTAGCAGCCGAGCGAACGATGCATGTCCCTATGACCGCTTTGCTGAAGTTGGTGATTCCGCTTGAGGCAAAACGATAGCAGAAGAAGTATGCGTCAAGTCGATTGAGCCCACCAAGCTCATCGAAGGTGACCTCACTGAAGGTGTGTCAGTACGACTGCTCGCACACGGATTCTTAACGGTGGTGCCTTACTAGATCCTTTCGGTCTGGGCTGAACCAGAAGCAGATCCAAATAGCTTGTTCAGAAGAGTCCCAGCCAAGTCACCGAGACCCTCCATGACTTTTCCGTCGGCAAGCTTCCCAATCAGGTCCTTAGCAAATTTGCCGATATCCGAGCTCTTGCCGGTGAAGACATCAATGGAAGTCCGACGACTGATAATGTAGCTTATCTTCAACAACTTGTGGTCGTTGCCATTGGCTCTGTGGTCGTGTTAGAAAATGAACAAAATAGATTTCACTGGCTTTCTTACTCAACCTCGTTAAGGAAGTTCTCGAGCTTCTCTTGAGCCCACTGGGAAGCAACTTCAATAGCCTCCTCCTCCTTCTCGAGGGCATTGCGATCAGCCGTCTCTGCGACATTCCTGGCAGCCTGTATCATGTCAGACATGGTGATTGATTGCAAAGGTGAGCAGACAAATTCTTGAGAAGTATGGTATGGGTGATAGAGATGAATTGACTGATAGAGAGAGAACGAAGAGGAGTCTTGACGCAGATCGATGGCAAGTCTTATACGGGGTTTCGTGACTTGACCTTCCGAGTTCTGCCCACATTACCCTGGATACATTTCTAGGTTCCGAACTTTGGAGTCTAGTTCACGCTCCGTCAATAGTCATGAGATTTTTATTCAGCTCGCCAAGGACAACATTTTCGCTTATGTGTTCCACTTGAGGTTAGACGAACGAATATTTCGTTAGCGTGGCCTAGGCAAGGGTTGATGGGCGAAAGTGGCGGCCTGAAACGCTATTCAGGAGTTTGTCTCAGTTCTATATCACCCGGTTTCGGCTATATCCGGACGAACTATTGACACTAGGACTCATCACATTCTCGAATGCACCAGGGTACTTATGCAAGGATTCAATAGCGCTATTTCCAGCAAGTTGGCGCATGTCGCTTCAAAGTAATCTCGATGTCGATGACACCAATGATTGTGAAGTTCGAGGCTGCGCTCAAGTAGTGTTACTACGGTATGTGATGACTCGGAAAGGACCTCAATAACAGTCCCGCGAAGTTACGTGCCACCTTAGAATCTTCCCAAGGGGATCCAACCTTTCATCTCGACTTGCATTCAATTGTAACCGGAATAATTCGTTTCCTGACAAACTGCACTGCTCATGCTATTCATGCCATACTATCATATTTCAACCCTTGCCAGATACCGGATTCACTTACAAGATGGGATTTTTTGATAGCATCACGAACGCGTTTGACAAGATCGCCGAGGTGGCAGCGTCCTCAGTCCAGCAAATCGCGGACACTGCCGAGCAGATTCGACGCAAGATCCAAGAGGAGGCTAAGAAGGTTGCCGAGGCGGCAGCGCAGGGAGTTATCAACCAGATCAATGGCACCGCAGAAGCCATGTGCCGTGAGCTGGAAGAGATCATTCCCAGCTTCGACGACAAGCTACAGCAGGTTGTAGATGAAATTACAGAACTTGCTTCCTCTGCGGCTGATGACGGCGTGGACATCACAGAGGCAGTCAATGCGGCGATTGAGATTGCGGTTCAGAAAGTCGAGGCTGCCAAGACAGCGGCCATTAATGCCGTAAAGGCATTCATTGAACAAGCACAACAGAAATTATTCAGCCTCCTTAGGTCAATCCTTCCATCAATCCTTGATTCCTGGATTGGATGGCTTGAGGAGAAGGCGGGATTTCTTATCAACAACCTGGTCGGTATAGGTGCAAGACTTGTCGATAATGGCATATCCTTTGTGTTGCAAAAAATCAAAGTCTTGGTTCAGACACTAGTCAAGAGGGTAGGCGAAGTCCTCGGCCCTATTTGGGGATTCATAAAACGAATATGGAAGCTTTTGTTCGGCGAGCCACCAGAGCAGTGCGAGCTTGCCATGCAGTGGATCGAGGAGAGAATGAAACGTACAGAAAGACAGATGCTGTGAGTCTCTCAGACCTAGAATTTTGACGCTTTAAGACTCACGACTCCTCTCTTCACTTGCAGTTACAAACGCTCGGCTACCCCTGTCAGCGCGATGATCCGGCAGAACAAATTCTTCGAACTCCTTCCTCCAGATGAAGATTCATGGAAAACAACCGTACTTGAGTTTTTGACAAGAAAAGGTGGTGCATCGGCATGGCGGTCTTGTTGTGAGCGCATCAAGCCCGTTGTAAACTCGATGAGTCCCAAACCTGGCACCATGATTCAACTGACCTGGGACGACCACTTGACGGACGAACTTGGCGGACAACAGCGCGCCCAGATCAGTATCATGTACTTCAGGTGGAGAACAGAGGGGTTTCGCAAGGTCTCGTCTGGCTTTATTGGTATTCTTGCCATGGTTAGCGCAGTCAATGTATCTGCAGAGCCATACGAGCCTCCGCCTCTCACTGAGATTCATCGTGGAGAGCCTCTCCTGATAGACGCAGCCGCGATGAAGAAGATATACGATGAGCTTGCACCCCACATGAAGCTGTTGTCGGCGAACAATGAACAAGACTCGGGCAGGTTCACTGGGCCTAAGAAAGTCATATCACGACAGCTAAAATTCAGGGACAAAGATGGGATATGGAGACCTGGGAGTACAAGTTGATACTAAATGTTTCAATTCATCGATTAATGAATATGGCTATACACAGTTATCTTCTGCTTCTTAATCTAGCTATTCTTAACAACATTCACGCCATCGATCCTAAAAACTGCTGCGAATCATTCTAAACATGGGCGGCAAATTGCGAGAATGGCGGGAGAGGCCAGGTGCATGGGGAACACAAAAGTCGAGGAAATACAGATTATGAGACCCGCTATGACAAATGACCACCCACCGGCTTGATGTTCCAAATGGACGTATAGTCCTTGCAGATCCCAACCGCCCGTGACTACGCTATGCCCCCAGCCAACAAGGCATTAAACTTTTGAAGGGAGAGAAATCATCCCAATTGAGACAGTGACAAGGCGGGAAAAATGAACGCCTCACAGAATTTTACTTCCCGAGGTTTGTGAGTCCACCTCAGACCACATACACGCCAACATCATACCGCAGCCGGCCAGCTTTGATCGAGTCTTGACGAAACCAAACCCTCTCAGATTGTGGCTACCTGAGCAACACCGCCTGAGCACATACTTGGCAATAACTCCAATACACAGTGGTGGCATAGACTCTAGAATGTACGATTGTGGCTGGTATAGTTGAAGCCGAGACTCTTTGTTACAAGGTTAACTATGGGAAACTACTCCATTTTCATGCTCGAGGCCTGAGACATATGTGTGGGCAGCGTGTCTCTACTATGCTGCATTCCGCAGCTCAGCCCGCCACTATTTGTTCAAGTGACAATTTCGAAGTGGTCCTATTGGCGGTATGAACCCGTTTTATGGGTTACTTTAGACCTAGTGTCGTCAATACGCTGAGACATTAAGCCCAGCTGGCCGTTCTCCAAGGCTATGCCTCGTCTTGGGTGCGTCACAACATGTATCACCTGGCGCCAAGCTATAGGTATAAGCGCCGTGGCTTGCTAGAGCCGGTCACCACGCTATCGATCGTTGAGTGGCTGCGGATGGGCCATGCCGATCCACATCGGAGTAGCGCTGCTTTGCCTCGTGGTATTCCGTGGGTTCGAGGCTGAGGATGAGACATGGGGATTGGAAGCCAGTCAGTCCATGCTTGAACGGCCTTGACTTCACTGTCAGGAGCAATGGAAAGACTTCAGAACCCAGTGACAAGGGCAAGGCTATCGGAGTCCTGAAAAAGGAAAGACTTTGGCTGTCCCTCAGTCTCGATGGAAAGATATCAAGGGAAGCCTCAACGCCGAGGCCGCAAGCATTCCGCCGATATCGCTCACGGTGTGGATTGAGAACGATAGCATCGAGGACGACGAGCGAGAACTAGGTCGTCCCATCCACCCCGGCTCCATGGATGCAGAATCAGACTCTGGATACAGTAGGTGCCATCACTTCTACTACTCTATGCCCCTGGGTGTTCAGCGACTTTGCCAGCACCGATCTTAGCATTTCGCTCGCAAAACTAAACTCCAAGGGGGAGACACAGTGGGGTGTGCCTTGAACTCGGCCAGTTCAGCCAGCCACACGCACTCCATAGAGATTGTTGTCAGTGCCAGTGCCAGTCAATAATTTCCAACACCATACGTGTTTTAGTCAATAAATTATTTGTCTTCCCCAATTTTCCAACAAATACTTTCGACATGCTGTGCGAGGGGAACCCATGCCCCTTGTGGAGGCCACAATCGGCAGGCAATGCCGCTCCTTGGCGTACAGGGGAGCGTAGCACATACAGGGGTTTCTGCAGAAGCATTGCCCTCTAGCACCTCGCTTTGCGGAGCGACCCATTAGCCCGCCCCAAGCTCCAACCAGCTGATCACTTGCAACAAGGATATTCCATCACAGCCGCTGTATCGGCTTCAAGCTGAACCTGGATCCGAACACGGGGTGGGCCGTGGTGGGCCACAAGCAAGACGCTAGTAGAATTCAGCTGCACGCCTCGTTTACCGTTTGCCAAAAGCGGAGGAAGTCTGGTCCCTCCAAGGACTGTATACTGATGATCAGTTACGTCCGGCAGGGGCTCTGCCTGGTGGCTAGCTGAGATCTTTCAACGCGCTGTACAGTTCGTTCCAGTGAAAATGCCAAGCCGCTCTTGTCTCATACTCCCAGCAGACCACTGCCAAACCAACCGGTCTAGACTGGCTACGCTCGGTCAGAGGGAGGAGTCTGGCTGGCATCATTCCGTCAATCGCATGGAATGTGGCGTATTCAGCCTGTATCTGCGACGCCACTGTGGAAATATTTGCCAACACCGTTCAAGTGGACAAAGACAATGTTCCAACTTTAAAATCTCACTCCAGTACCATTCTTGGTTACAGGGCCTAGATGCAAGCCTTGAGGACCAGGAGCAGGACGGCGCCGCTGGGTAGTGGAGGTGTGGCACACACTCAGCATAGTCCAGCGTTCTGGACCGAGTCGTTAGATATGTAGATGGTCTTGGGTTTCATGGAGAGGAGAAGGACAATGAAAAAGGCTTAATGCCGACGACCCAGCAGGAGTATCACTATATAAACCAGGACGTCCCTTCCTAATACTTCTCTATCACAAGGTTTTATTCAGACTATTCACCCAACTCCTACAACAACAACACACCAAAAGAAGCCCTGCTGAAGCCCCTGTGGTATAACCTTTTATATATCTATCGACACTATGCCTTTCCCTCAGCCCGCAAAAGACTACATCAGATTCGACTGGCTGAAAGATTTCACCCTTGACCAAATTACCCAGATCAGAAACGCCGTGGCCGCGTGCAAGTCACAGGGACTGCAGGTAGCACCATGGAACAATCCCGCTAGAGCCGTTGTACTGTAGGTCCTCTTCGGATAACCGCAACATGACACTTTCCGTGAAGATGGTCAGCTGATGAGACTTGATTAGCTCAACCAAGGTCAACACCACTGCTCAGGGTCAGCAAGTGGTTGATGTGAATTACTGGGCCAATATAGACGGGAAGGAGTCGGCGATTCCCATCATGCAGACGGTGACGATCACAGGCTTTTGAGTGCTCGAGGCACAGCCAATATGTGACGCAGAAGTGCGGTTGAAGTTTAGTTCACATCCAAAGACCTATAAATAAAAAATATTACGGTCCTTGTGTCTTATATGCGGTTTGACTACCTATGAATCGGGAGGTTTTCTTATTTTCCTTTCTTTTTGTGGTTTTTGCATGTAAATATAGTCCACACCGCATACCCTTTGCCGCCTCTTCGTTTATATGTCGATATACCTGAGTTGGATTGACTGCTATTTGACGCACCTCTTGGAAACATGTAACATGGCGTGATTGTTTTTTTTTTTGGAGATACCGTCCTCTCCTTCGGCGGTGTCATCGGCGCATTTGACGTTCTCGGGTCCCTCATCAGTTCCTAGATCAGACGCGGCATCGTCATCGTCATCGTCCGGCTTATAATCAGACTCATCATTTCGTGTATCTTCTACCGCTCCGCTTCCACTATCGTCTGATTGAGAGAGTAGATACCTTTTACTCCGGTAGTCTCTGTAATACTGTTACAAGAGCTGTCCTCAACGCGGTCGTTGCTGAGACGTCATTGCTTTACTCGGTGACTCGGTGACGCGGTGACTCGCTGGACTCGCTTGACGCCTGGCTCTCGCTAGAGTCGAACCCAAAGTCGCCCTAGTCTTCTCTTCGGAATCTTCTGCGTCCCTCATCCCGTGCTAGATGGATTCATCTTCCGAAGTCACCTGCCCTAGATTGATGCCCGCGCGCCGAGGTCTCAAAGAGATGTAGAAGGCCATCGGCGCGCTACCTCCGCAGGCCAAGTTAAGCATCTTCTTATGTTCGTTCAGCGACAGATCAAATTCAACTCTTCGATCAACGTTGGCATCAACCCTCGATGAACTGCGGGTTTTCAATGCCGAGAGTCTTGCTTGGTGAGAGATATGGAATATGAAGCTTTGAAGGTGCGCGCACAGGATGAGCATCAAGAGGCCAAGGATTCCGAGAAAGCCCTCGGCTTGTTGGTTGCTAGTGGAGCTGTCCATGATGTATTGGACTGTCGTCTCGTAATCTTTCTCCATGGTGTAGAGAAGAATGATGTGACCCCGCTTGTGGTGAGGCTGATCTTGGCCTTGCGATATAGCAGGATGCTGGCAACGGAATCAAGCCCGTTCCTGATGACCACAATCAAAGCTGACTGCCCATATGGACTCAAAGCATCAAATCAGCACCATCCTCACACAGCTCACTGTCCAATCCGGGTTTCCTAAGAAGGCAGCAACGTGGAGCGGTAGAATGAATTTTTTGCGATGCCATCTTGGACTCCAAAAAAGTCTCTCTCCATCCAGAACTGCCGAGATCCTACGATAAACGTTGAAGTGGAAAAGAGGGCGGCTGTAAAGTTATGGCTCTGCTGATCCTCCACAAGGAAACACATCTCCTTAAAGAAATCTTGATCATCATTTAGGTTCTTCACTTGGCGGTGGTGCGTATATAGATTCTCCGCAGCATGCTCTGAGAGGGGAGAGTTTCCAGTGTGCAGTCGGAAAGACCATTTTGGCCACTTCAGCTGCTCAATGGGCGACACACAGAGGTACAGGGTAGTGGAAATTGTGATTCGCTTTTCGAAGTTGGAAAATTGGTTGGCTCGGACGCGTGCAAAAAGTCCTGGGCGGATTTGTGAACAAAGCGGACGGCACAGTCGAAATTGTTGATGAGCAGCCCGTAGTAGTCGAAAATGATCTCGCTCTCCTGATACAGATGTGTCGCGATATTGCTTGAGGTTGGCGGACAGGCGTCTATCGCGAGGGCATGTCGAAGCTCACGAATCGATATCGGCAGCTGGGCATATTCCAACCATGCTAGAGTGGCCCTGTCACACTGTTTCTTGCTGTCTGAAATGTCCCGAATTCTTTTCATCGTGTTCTCGTATCTCCCCTGGATGGTCACCGGCAAGTTTCGCAACACTTCTTCCATCTTGGCTTCGACTTCAGTGCGTTAAGAGCTTCTATGTGAAGCCGGGCGATAAGAAACCCGGAAGCAAAACAAAACAAAGACGTGTGAGCTCGAGTAAACCTACGACGTTCGATCAACAGCAGAGGCGGCGATAAAGCCACATTTTCCCTAGTTTTCGCTTAAGTAGTGACTTGATCTGATTGTGGTACTTGGTCCAGCCATGGAGGTAGCGCTGGATGAAACTGTTAATATCGTAGGGTAAGGGAGTAATTCACGCACCCGAAGGAGGGATTAGAGGCTCAGCAGTAGTAATAAAACAAACATTAACCATAGGTCAACAGTATCACAGACCAAATATCCGATCTGCAGGTTCAATAATAGACTTAAAAGGGATGAGAGTTTCCGTCCTAAGAAACTGTCAATATATTCTTCCACATCCTCATTTTGCGAACGCTTGTTGCTCCGTACTAAGGTGAGGCATTGCCAATCTGACATATTGGGGCAAGCCATCGCCGTGTGCTGCTTTTGGAACGTCTCGTGTTAGATGATTGCTATCACATTGTGTCTCAACAGTACGTATCGACACGCGAATGGTGACGACAGCGAGAGGTCACTAACCAGCATTCACAATGGAGTCGATATGTCACATTGAACATGGGAAATCTTGCAAGCACTGCCGCGTCGTCGGTTGGGGGCCACTTGGATGTAAAAATCTCCACCGCCGCAACGATTCGTTTACCGTCTCCCTTGTACTTGTCTTTGACTTTATTAGCTCCGCGGAGGGTTACAGTGGCTGAAGAGCAGTCAGCAATGATTCCTATGTGCCAGTATCGTCCCCCCTCCCGGCTAAAACAATTTCGGAGGAGGACCGTTAGCTCTAATATCCCACCAATAACAGGGGACTGGAACGCGCATCATACATTCACATGTTCAATCTAAGTTACGATATCGCGTCATGAATCCGTCAACGGCGCCCTGTGTCTGACATTACAGTGTCTGAAATTACAGCAACTGAAAATGGCCGTGACAAGCTTGGAAAGCAACACGGGCTTGCGTCAGTTCAGCTGAGAAATTACCCACGCGTGCAGAAACCAACATCAATTGCCCAGCTGAAAGCTCTTCATCTTCTTGATCATGTCGGGCTCCAACCAAGAAGAGTCTGCTGGGTCGAAACCCGACGAGGAAAAGATTGCGCAATTGCCACAAACAAACACTCTAGACGCCCTTCATAATCCATACTTTGTCGACGCAACGAAGCCTTCGTCAGCGAGTAAAAGTCTCCCACCATGGCTCGACCATTTCAACGCAAAAGACATAAAGAGGCTATTCAAATCTTCTCTGGCTGTCTGGATCATGGCTGTTCTGATGCTCATTGAACCATGTCTGAGAGCGATAGGTCGAGCAACATTTCTTGGATGGTAGGCTCCTAATGCTCTCTCGATATGGATTGTACTCACTTCATCCAGCATCATCCTTTTTATTGCTCCTCCAGCTGGTATCGTATTTGTTCAGCTGATGGTGGTTATTTCCGTTTTGCTTGGCTGCTCTCTTAGTTGGGCCTGGGGTGTCATCACAATGAAAGCTGCCGTCGCGACGTGGCCGCAAGCTGAGAAGCAGGCTCGATTCGCCACGCTTCAGCAAGAGGCGGCAAATACCACAGATCCGCTGCAATATGCAGAGGTCCAGATTCTCAATGGCTACATGTTGAATACGAACGTGACCATCACCTATTTTTGCATGATGGGACTATTCGTCTACTTCATGGTAAGTTTCATGACCATATCCGTATTGAGTGAATTCATTGAATAAATGAACAATTCCAGGCCCGGCTTCGCGTTGCATTCCCCAAACTCATACTCGTGCAAGTTGTGGCTTCAATTGTTACTGTCGTGTATCTCGATGCCGCACCACTTTTGCCAACCTTCGTTGGAACACTTGCCAAGGTTATCGTCATTCCCTGCTCCGTCGCTGCCGGGATTGGCCTCGTCTGCAATATTTTCGTCTTCCCTACGTCCTCCACATCCGAAGCACTCGATGGCATGCGAGATGTCCTCGCTCTGATGCCCGAATTCTTAGATGCCTCTGTTCTCGGCCTCAAGCATCCAACCCTAGACCTGAGCGAGGCCAAGTTGACCGGACTGCGAACTGGGGTGCTTTCGGCCTACAAGCTCCTAGGTCCTCTTTTCAGAATCCTGCCGATTGATTTGTCTGTCGGAAGATGGGGCTCAGATGACCTATCGACATTAATTGAGCCTTTTCGCCAGCTCACTATTAATTTTGTCGCCCTCACGGAACTCTACAGACAAACCCAAGTGCGAAAGGAAAAGAGCATCGATGCATTGAATCGTGCATTAGCTAGCAATGACGGGAGCAATAGTGACCAGCGGACGGTCGAGCTTGGGCAACAACAGATTGATCGAGAGTTTGATTTCCGCGTTAGGTCGGACTATCCTCTCAGAAACGTTCTGATCAAGGAGAGTATCCAGTCATTGGTGAATCCAGGCGATCACCTGGTTGATGCATGCAAAGAATCTCTCCAAGCTATCAGCGAGGCATTGGCCCAGGCTCATGCCCTTCGAAAGAACCCTGGCCAGTCGGAAATGCAGCAGAGGCACGCTGCTGTGCTCTCCAAACTCCGCGAGCAGCGCGACATCTTCATGGCCTCGACTTCGCGATCCCTTGCTGAGATTTCTCGAAAAAGTTGTGACGACGATGGACTTTCAAGAGGTGGCATTGCCTCATCGTTTGCCGGGCTCATGCTGGGGATTCTTCTCCAGGAGCGGTTGTTCCGGCTGGCAGACGCTATAGACCAAGTTCTCACCAGAATTGTGGAACTAGAGGGGATGAGAACCAGGCTTCGAGTCTGGTTTCCAAGTCGATTGACGGCACTCCTCAGATGGATCGGCCATGAAGACTCTTCGGAGGATGCAGTGACGGCTGCGGACCTCGGCGACCGTCTTAGGCGTACCTCGACCGTCACTTCAGTAAGCCCCAATTTGCAGGCTAAATCTGAGACCTCAGATCCCTATGCGAAATCAGCACGAGCTGAATTGGTTCGTATGCGGGCACCCAACGGCCGTAAGAGAAGCCGGGGAGGCAGAATCGTTCTAGCTATCACGAACTGGTTTGGAAATGAAGAAAGCTTCTTTGCTCTTCGAATGGTTGTGGTCACTCTTGCCCTTTCAGTTCCTGCCGTCGTTAAGTCCACCGCAGGCTTCTTCTACCGCAATAGAGCCCTGTGGGCTGTCATCATGGCTCAGTTGACTTTGGTTCCATATACAGCCGAACTACTCTTTGGAAGTCTTATACGAGTCTTTGGCACCATCATCGGCGGTGTCATTGGGATGGTGGCATGGTATATAGGCGCTGGAAACGGTCCTGGGAGTCCGTACGGCCTTGCCGCTATCTTCGCGCCTGCTATTATCCTAATGATGTGGTGTCGTCTATTTACTTCTCCTGCTATGATGCCTGCGGGAATTATGATGGGTGCGACAGCGTTCCTTGTTGCTGGCTACAGTTGGAGCGATACACAGATCCCGCAATACGGCACTCCCGGCGTGGGCTATGCGGTCTTCTGGCGGCGTGTTGTCACTGTACTTGTCGGTATTGCAGGTGCCCTTGTTGTAAATTTTATACCAAAACCGCCCTCTGCAAATCGCCATTGCCGACACCTGCTCGCCGATACTCTCGTCAGCGTTCGAGATCGATACGCTCTCTTTGCGTCCAGTTGGAAGGATCCTGCTCCTGATCTGCGCCAAGTAGCTGAAGAAGAGGGTTTAGCAGTTGGCGAGACGCTCCTGGCAATCTCAGGATCCATAAAGCTAACGGTATTGGAGTTTTCATCCTCTAATTTCGACACGAGAACGCTAGTCTTGGTTTGTAACCAATGTATGATTCTTAACCAGAATATCACACTGCTGCTGCAATATACGACCCGACTCTCCGAGGGCGAAAGAGCAAGAATCATCCCAGCTACAGGCGCCATGAATGAGAATCTCGTCACCGAGCTAATGGGCGTGCTCTCTATCGTTCAACAGGCGCTCAAGAGCGGCGACCCTCTACCAGCAGTGTTGCCCACGCCATTGTTCACCAAGGCTGTTGCCCATGCGCGAGAACAGGTTGCGGAGGGAATCAGCCGCTCGAGCGACCTCCCGTGCAGCTTCCCGAACAAAGAGAATGTCGACAGCGAAGTAATGAGGAATTTCATTGTTATTTTGAATTCCTTGGTACAATTGCTCGCGGCCTTGGACGAGCTGGTGCTGATTTTAAAACGGGCGGTCGGTGAGACGAGTAGCATTATGATGCTAGAGACTGTGTAATGATGATCCAAACAAAATTGTTAAGGAGATTGCAGACCGTGAAATGACGAAGGATGGACTCGGATAGTATACGATATCACTACCTACTTCTAAACAGAAGCAATGCGGACAATTAATACTTTGAATTATAAATGACTCAAGGCCGCGTTTGAATTGAGCATTTTGTATATGTATCAGACAACGCATTATTCGGGTAGATGTATTGATACCGATGCCTCATTCTGAAAAGGCCGAAAATAAAGTGCTGGTTCTACATGTGGTTATTACTATACAGAACAGCCTCCAGACAGCCTCCAGGTCATACACACTCTCTCTTGGATAAGAGCAATAATACCGCGCGACCCAACGTGTGACATGACCGTGTGGCCTCGAATCAAGGTCACAAAGTATGACGCCTATATTAAGACCTTGATAGGCGATTAGGTCAGATATTCTCCAAATGGTGGAGGAGGTGGGTTGGGCGGAGTAGTGGTGCTCATCAAATCTGTGGAAGACCCGGTTTGCGCCCAACTTCAAGAGCATCTCGTACTCTATGTCGGGGGTGCGCAGATGGCGGCTTTTTTGGGACATGCTGAGCGATCTGGCCAAGCTGTTCCTCGAGAATACCGACCGTATGAGTTACGGTAATAGATGTCCTAGAATCGTCACACACAATCAAATTGAAAGTTTTCTGCCCCTCCCAGCAGTGTCTGGCTTTCTGTGGCGGATACAAAGTGTGCCCCTGATTCACCACGTTCGGCAATTAGTCGAAGTTGTGTGCGCATCCACTCCCTTTGAATCTCTGGCACGGACGAGGCGCTGCACGCAACATGAAGCGGCCAAATGAGAGAAAAGCTTCCGATGCCTTTCACACCAGCCTTCTTAGCTGGGGTAGATCTGGTTGACCCGGGATGCTCCTGTTCCTGTTGCCTCCAAGTTCTTGTGACAGGAAGCTTCATTCTGGACAGGTCATTTCCCAATAGGAAAGGAACGCTTGCACATATTTCATCTACCAAGCTCCGACTACGTGCCTCCCCTTTCAACACATCGAAGTAGTCCGGGAGAGGCTCTGGGGAGACACGCAGCCACCAAGAGGCCGCACGGATGAGTAGCGACAGAATAATGAGACGCGACACACGATAGAAATTCCAGACTCGAGCGATGTAGAAATCCGGGTATCTATGAATCTCGTATGGAGAGAATTCTGGACGTGCGATGCGACTGACGTTCGTCGCGGTCGAATAGGGCCACGAATCCATGGCCTTGGTCGCCCAGTCTGAAAGCTGGCAGTCCAAGGTTTTAGCAGAGGACATGAATATCTCAATATCGCTCTTGCTAGTGTATCGGAGTTGGGTAAACAGGCCAATACCTATGTGTTGCAGTTTCGGCATCGCAGCCGAAATTGAAATAAGTTGGTCCTCCAGACTGTCATGCAAAAAAGTCGCCGCGTCCGGCTCAGTAAAGATTTTGTCAACTGGTCGGGGGATTTGCAAATGACTTATGACCTATCCAAAACATGGTTAGAATTGTGGTGTGCATATGAACACGAGGGAATCATCTTACGACGCTTTTCTTAATAAAGAAAAACATGCTGTGTGAGGCGGATGTGTGTAATTTGTTTTCGGTACGGAGCTTCAAAACTGCGGCAGCTCCATCGACATGAGCTCGCCATTCTGGTGGTTCACTGGAACTCCATACCATGGTCTTCAAAGGCCATCATTCTTAGCAAGCTCTTATGTATTTCAAGTCGGGCAGACGTGGTGACTAACCTCATAACCACACAGAAGAAGGATCGCATACAAAGCCTGATCGCTATTCACTTCTCTTGGGTCTTGAAGAGCATTCTTGAGTGCTTTGATGGCCTGGACGTATCGGTTTCTGGATAGCGGTGTCGCTTCCTGAACTAGCCTCGAAGAGGCAGCATAGGAAATTGCCTCTGTGGCCAAGCATAAGGCAGAACCAGGGCGGCTCTGTGAGTACAGATTTGGGAGGAGTGTGTGGAGGTAGCGAACGGGATCTTTGTCGGATAGATTTTCCAGTGTTGCATGATAAAAGTTGCATATTGCAAAATCTTCCATTGATGGGCGCATGGAATAAACCGGAATCCTAGAAATGCTCCCTGTGAATGAACGTTCCGGGATCCAAGTATCTGCTAATGCGATATTGGCCGCTGATGTACGATATGAGCCTTGGCTGGACGCGTCTCGCTGCCGAATCTTCTGCTGCGTTTTGGACGTCTCGTCGCAGAACATCAGACCTGATAGGTCTCGGTAGCCAGCACATGGTCTCTGCATCTTCAAGCATCGTGAACATTGGGGCTGCTTCTCGTCGCACTTTCAATTCGTTAGAAAGATCGGCTGAAGGCGTACTTTCTTGTTTACCTTTTTATGTACTCTCCTGGATAATTTTGAATGTGAATTAATGCTTACAAGGGTTGATTCCACCAATGAAGAGCCTACCTGCAGTTTTCGCATCCCCGACTCGGTTTGCCCCGATACACCATGATGAGTACTATTCGAGACGCGCTGGAAACAAGAGCCTGGTCTGGTCTGGCCTCGGCTAGATGGATGGGTTCGGGGATAACACGGTATCACAGGCAGCGGGAAAAGTCGAATAAACGCATATGATTGAGAGATTGATGAAAGAGCCTTGTTTCTGCATGGGAAATCGCGGTCAGAGTGGACGTGAGAGCGGAGCCCCTATTGCGGGCCTGCCCCCGCCAATCATATGCATCCCCCTTGCGAGAGGTGGTAAAAGAAAGAATACTGTCGACGAGGGCGGCAATTTCCAGGAAGGCGTCTGCTGAGGGTACAGCCCTGTTGGCTCTCTCCCGAGTCCTGACTACGCCTCATTGGAAGCGGACCGCGCGTACCGGAATCTCAGATGACCCGCAGAGGTTGGCAATATGTTAGCAATGATACCAAGAGTCTTAGCCCGAGGCATTCTCGTCCAGATAGGGTTAATTATACCCTAACCCGATTTGGCATGCTTTGAGCCAGCCAGTCAAGAGGAGGCCATCAACGCATGATGGTTAGATAACCCACTTTTTACACAGCATTTGGTTTAGATGCGATTTTGCACTTGAGCAGCGCGTTGTTACCGTCACCAACATGATTAATGTGGCTTCAGGGGCACCGTTGTTCAGTACCCGATTGCATTGCAGAGTAGAATTTATCAGATATTTAAACAGCTTTCATTCCCCCAGTTTTGGTTCTCCTTGTTCACTTCCACATTATTCAACCGTTTTCTCGTACCTTTCACAGAATCATGTCTCAGAACGACAGCACCAAGAGCCCGGTGGGCTTGGACTCCAAACAGAGCGCCAACTTCACTACACCTGGACAGCATGGGCTACCGGAGTCTCCAAGTGCACAAAAGCTAACGTCCTTGGACATGAGCATGCCGAGGCTGTACGGAGCTCGTTGGATCCTGTGCTTCCCCTTACAACCTGACACCGACACAGCCCAAGTGTATGTGACACTGCCGTCAAAAAGTCCGCGTCTATGACGAGAATCCGCTCACAAATACTCTAGCTACGAGAACTTGAAGCTTGGACTTGCACACACAATCAAGTCTGTTCCGTGGATTGGAGGAAACATTGTTAGTGCAGCCTCATCCACAGCCAGATTCCATCCCTTTCCCCCCCCTCTCGACCCTGTTGCTGACCGTTCCTTCTCTGGCCACAGGCACCCGAGGAGGGACAAGACCCTAAGGACAACCGAATCCAAATTGTGGACTCGTCAGACGGCGTCAGATTCCCGTGAGTGACGCATCGTTGCGAATCGCCGAGTTCCGCTAACACAGTCCCCTCACAGATATTGCGATCTCACCGGAACCCTCCCATCGTATGAAGAGTTGAAGAAGGACAATTTCCCACTTTCCAGACTCTCGACTGCGCAGCTCGGCCCTATCGGAGTCTTTGCCGAAGGACCTCAGCCCGTCATGGCAGCACAGGCGAACTTCATACAAAATGGGCTGCTGCTGGCAGTCGGGGTTCACCACTCAGCCTGTGATGCCTCTGCGCTCGACAACATTGTTGGCATCTGGTCGGCCAACACAGCAGCAGCGTCTGGATCCGGTTCCTTCACCACGTATGACGCTCAATCCAACGACCGCAGCCCTTTGATGAAGGGCATGTCAGGAGCCCAATTGGGCGACTTCCCTGAGTACATGCTCGTGCCCAGCGCCGGCTCGTCTATGCCGCAAATGCCTGCGACGTTTCAAATGCCACCACTTGTTACGCGTATCTTCCGCTTTTCTCCAGAGGCACTTGCTGGGCTCAAGGCTGCGGCGGCAGCATTTTCGACCCACGATGCTCTCTGTGCCTTTATTTGGCGCCACATGACATTGGCTCGAAGGAATCCTGGTGCTTCTACTTCTAGTACGGCCGGTAACAGTGGCGACGAAACCTCTGTTTTGGCCTTTGCCGTCAATATTCGCGGCCACACAAGCCCGCCCCTTCCACCGACCTATTTGGGCAACGCCTCAATGGCCTCAGTGACAAGCCGGTTCCCAACATCGACCCTCACGGCGGATGATGGTCTCTCCTTCGCAGCAGCTGCAGTCCGAAAGTCACTTGCCGCCTTCAGAAGTCCCAGTCGCGTGCCACTGACCATTGGGATTCTCAATTCCCGACCAGACCCTACCGACTTCAAGTTATCATACAATGCGTTTCTAGGCCCTGATATCGTCTCAACATCGTGGGCCGATCTTCGTGTATACCAAAATGACTGGGGCATATTGGGGGGCGTTGAATCCTTCAGGACGCCTGGTGAGGGTGCTGATGGTGTTATTGTGGTTTTCCCTCGCCTGAAAGACGGTGGTTTGGAGGTTACTGTGGCATTAGAACTTGGTGCGATGGAGAGATTGCTCCGGGATGAGCAGTTCAACAGCACTGCTCAGCTTTGGGCTTAGATATCTTTCATGGCCTCTAGGGTAACATCTCGGGCCAGGATCCACTTTACTTTTTCCATGATCATTTCATACTACCCTTTCTATTATCCTCGCAATTTTAGAGCCTAGTTTCAAATGTTTAGGACTGGATGAATGGTGCTTGTGCAGCGTTAGGCTGAGGCAAACGAGCGACCTTGGAGTATAGCAACGTCATGTATAGGCATGTAGATAGTAAGCTGGTGGACAAAATCCCTTTCTCTCCCCCAAAATATCACCACCGACGCATCTGATCAGCGATGGCATCCACTTGCTCTCTTTTGCAGCAGAGGGGCTCAAGTTCGATTCGAACCTCCCGTAAGTTGGGGGTTTACATAAATCTCATTCAATACCTTCAGCCACGACCCCTGAAGATGAAAGGGTTGGCCATATTCGCGATTCTTCCAGTCGGCATGGTGAATATTAATCATTTAAACTTCGAGGGTTAAACCTGCCTACCAACTCTATAAACTCCCCTTATTGAGATTCTACAGCCGAAAGAAATTTCTTAATCTGTTGACTCTGAGAGCTTGTTAGCCCAGTTGTTGATAAAAGGAGAAGAATAATAATAGAAGGGTTGATTGATACTGGGAGAGATATAGGGTAATGGCTGGACTATTATAGTAATACAGCCATACTGGATTGTTATCTCACACAGCTGTAGCACCACTTTCAGGAGAACCTGAAAAGGCGTGCCGAACATTTATTTATCTCTGTGTGTTCTAGTAGCCCAAAACGAGGAGAGTTGCTCTGAGAGATACAAGGATTGACAGAAAAGAAGGAAGTGACGTTTTCATAGCGAAAGTGGGTATAGGGACGACGAACTGGCGGTCAGCCTCGAACGTGCATCCAGTTGTTGGACTTGTCTACCGAGAAAGGTGCCTCGTGTATCTGCATCACCGGTAACTGATGTGTTAAGAGAAGATGTTTTGAGTCTGGTTGGCGGAATTAAATGATCGAGTTCGGTAGTGCAAGTTGAAATGAGATTGAGATAGATTGAGATGCTTGCACGATGGCTGTGGGTTGATGCGTTGGATTCCCTCTGGATTTGTTGAGGAAAGCCCCTTTTGAATGGAACACATTCGCCCTTTAGATAGCAACGGACTTCAATGCCGTGCCACGTCCAGCTCCATACCAGACAAATTAGACCCAACAGATAACAGAGTCTCCATGTTGGTGTGGGCCGGCCCACTCAGGGGTACACCATACATGGACAGCACATTTGTTGCATTTTCGTGCAGAACGTGGGTTAAACTGTCCCACAGATATCAATTGATGACATGTCTACAGTGTGCCTGTGCAACCAGTTAGAGACGGGCTAGGATTTTCTTTTGTAATAATGTTAAGGTGCTCTACTGGTCAATCTGAAGCTGCCCAATAAACCTGCCATTCGGTGCTGCACCCTATATGCGGAGGATATGGCTGGAAAAAATGGAACCAGAGTGTCAAAGCCGGTGTTGTCTATCCACTTAGTCAGTTGCTCTTCAATCCATGCCATGTCCCTGACTGTTCACACAAGTTCGCTGGTCTCCGTCTAGTGTGGTTAAGAATACAAGGATGTTGCCCCTGGACGCTTCCAGCCAAGGCAATATTTCGGCACCGCAACCGATCTACCTAGCTGTTTCATCGCACACGGCCACCCTTAAATCCCCCGTGGTTCGGTTGTTGACGTACTGGATAGACTGCCGTCAATCGGACAATTTTGATACGTTAGGAAATGGCGCTGCCGGGGAACACGAGTGGATGTACCACAAGGGCACCCACCTTCCAGCAGTCTTGCCTCGTTCTCGTTGTCGTTCTCGTTCTCATCGCCTGCGATGATAAGCTCAAACTACAGGGATGACGTATGATCGCAACGGGTATCGCGCAACAGGTTTCTAAATGGCGCGGAAATGTAAAATTTAAGGTTAATCCTGCGGGGCCTTGCGACCCCTGATGCTGATGATGCGGACTAGCTCACCCCTTAAATGAAGGCCTTACTAGACAAACTCGTACAGCAGGCCTCGGGGAAGCTCAGGTAGGCATATTTGGGAAAGGGGGCGGAATAATTGCTCACATAGAGAGAGACCTTGCTCGTGCTAAGAGAACTACGACGAGCGGAGTAGCGTGTCCGAGTTCCTTTCCGGGATCTCCGTTGCACGAAATTAAGGCGTACGCTAGGAAAATCCACCACTAACGGTGTCCAAGCATAGAAACACACGCCCGATTGGGAGGGAAATTATTCTCCCGCTTCCCCAAACAGGCCAGTTTCATGGTAACACTTGTGGTTGTTCAAAGGGTCGGTAGTCAATTGGGGCTGTGATAATGTACTGCGTATCAGTGTTGTTGAACGAGCAGAGTCATCGTCTTTACACTTTGAACTGCTGAATCTGTAGCGCATGTCTACAACGCCCAAGCCTGGATCTGCCAATAAGTGTCTCACTGAATACCGCTCTTCTTTCCCCCATGCTTTGGATTGCTCGGACAAGCTGGGTTGAAAGCCTCGGGCCTGTTATTGGCAGGAAAATCCGCAATACGACGGCAGGACGAACCGTGGAAATGTGGAGCTTCTCGTATTGCAGGACGGAGGGCGAGTCCATCTTATGGTGGCATTATTCCGGCCCTGCCAAGCAAACCACTATATAAGAAAGGCCAAGTCTCCTCAGAATTTCCCAAGTTTGTATTAGGAAGCCACTGCAGCACCCGCTCAGCTCCGGATGTACTCAAAAATGCCTTCCATCAAATCCACCGTTGCTCTCCTACTCGCCGCTGCTGGCGGCGCAGCCAGCCGCGAAATCTTTGTATCGCCCACTGGCAGCGGTTCTGGAACCCTCACTGCGCCTTTCGGATCCATCCAGTCGGCCGTCAATGCTGCAGCTGCTGGCGACACCATCTACTTGCGCGCCGGCACGTATGCGCCGTCGAAAAACATCCAGTTCTCGAAGAGTGGTACCAGGACGGCACCCATTACGGTGAAGCCCTACAATAAGGAAAAGGTCATCATCAACGGAGAGAACCTCCCCGGGTAAGGAAATATTGAGTTGAACCAACTTCAAACAATCGGTTGACTGTCTTTAGCACCCCCAAGGCCTTGGATGAAGCTCTCCCCAACGGAGAGCGAGGCATCTTCCACATCCAGAATGCCAACTACTGGGCCTTTTATGATCTGGAGTAAGCACAGGACTTCTTTGTGTCCCTTCTTTCGATGGCTAATCAAAGTATAAGGATGATCAATGGACCTTACGGCATCTACGCCCGTGATGCATCTCACAATTTCTACAAAGGTCTCTCGACCCACGATAACTATGAGACTGGTTTCCAGCTTGAAGGTGCCTCGTCCAATAACACCGTAGAGAACCTTGACTCGTATCGCAACCGCGATCCCCGCAAGAACGGAGAGAGTGCCGACGGCTTCGCTTGCAAATCGGGCAAGGGAACGGGCAACGTCCTGAGAAACGCGAGACTATACGAGAACGTCGATGACGGACTGGACCTTTTCATGTTCGAATCGCCTATCACTCTCGAGGAGGTTTACGCTTGGGGTAACGGAGTCAACCGATGGGGATTTTCTCCCTTCGAGGGCGACGGCAACGGTTTCAAGCTGGGCATCACCAACAACCCCCCCGCCAACCATATTGTGCGCAACTGCATCGCCTTCAGCAACCTGAAGAAGGGTTTCATCGACAACGGCAACCCTGGATCCCTCACCTTCACCCGTAACACGGCCTGGAAGAATGGCGACGTGGGTTTCAACATGCGCAGCTCTTCGTCGTCCATGAAGGGTAATATCGCCGTCTCCAACACCGGTAGCCAAGTCTCCCTCGTCAGCTCTGTGACGGCTTCGGGCAACTCGTGGAACTCTGGTTCCTGGAGCGACTCGTCTTTCAAGAGCACTGATGCCAGCAAGCTGAAGGGAGCACGTGGTTCTGACGGACGAGTCCAGGCAAGTGATTTCTTGATTCCTAGCTCTGGTCAGGCAATTGGAGCCACCACTCGGAGTAAAATCTGAGTTTGGGTTTGAGATAAATAGTTTGTCAGGGGTCTGAATTGTACAGTTCAGTCAGCGGCCAGTTTCGATGTATATATATCTAGGTAGCAAATACACCAGTGCTGGGAATAGCCAAAGTCATCTACTTAACTCTGACCATGTTCTATTTCAGAGCTACTAGCCTTATTTTGAGATGAGAAATCACTCCTCAATACCAACCATCCTGAGAGAGTCTTTCCATAGTCTTGCCTCCTTATCCAGGTCATGACCATGTGCCAAATGCCCCACACCTGTAGATCCCTCATCTTTAACCGCCAGCTGCAACTTGGCGCAATCAGCAAGATCTTTCCTGCCCCCGTTCTTGCACTCTTCCCCAATGGCGGCCTAGACTGTCGTGGCTGCGCCTTGCTTACCATTCTTCAGCGTATTCTCAATCGTCTTGACAAACGCCTCGTATTGCGCAGCATCAATATTATCCTGCAGCGCAGTCTCAATGATTCCTGGGTGATTTGTAGTTGCATAAAGGCCCTTGAATCTGTAGCGATGATTGGTATTATTTAGTATGGAGAAGTTGGTTGCCTTTGTGTGTTGTGTAGATGTTGGAGGTTATAGCCACTCTTCTTGAAATTGTAGTTGTTAACCCTATTCATACCAGTGCTTGTATTAAGATCCCAGAAGATATTTATAACTTGAAAAAACAAGGGGTAGAGTTAGAGCTGGTAAATCAAATATTCCTAAGGAGCTGGGGAAAAGAAAGAAACACAAGAGATATCAGATATTAAACTAGTTCTTAAACCTTTGAGAATCTCGGCCCCGGCTTTTTTGATGCTATTGACAGATGAGTTATCTTGAAACTAGCTTAATATAGCCCGACTTAAGAAGACCTTTGCCAAAAGTCAAGGAAAGCGGTGTTGTTTATGGGCGGATAGCTGACCGTAGCAGGTCATGTAAAGGACAGGCAGTCACGGGCACAAATAGAGGTGATTGCCTCTGGTATTCCAATCTTGAAACTAGCCCAAAAGGAGGAGGCCATCAGGAGGAGTCGTTCGTGAGTTGAGAGAAGCGTTGTTCTTGGGTGCCAGCTGTGTAAGTATGGAGAAAGACCGACGTAGAAGAGGAGAGTGACAGTGAAAAATGCCGAGAACTCCTGCGGTATAAGTGTTCCCGGTGTATAATACCTAATGCTCATCAGATGATAAGTCTAAGAAGGCTAGTTATGGCACTGTGTGGTCTCCCTCTAGTAATTTATTGAAAATGTACGTATTTGTGTATCTCGTGAACTCCCTGTTATTTGGAGAATGCTCCATGGGCTCTGCGATTAGGAATTCCTTGGCGTTGCTATTTCCTCCGGAGAAGACGACGATCCAACATACAGTTTTTATGTGGATAGATAAGAAGTCCAGGATCATTTCAGGGGTGCGTATAGTTAGTTCTCTGTAGCAGCGAGGGCGTGGTTCTAGGCTCCTAAAGGAGTGAGGGGGAGCTTACCGAGTACTTGCTTTGAAATCACCGCCCTAGCAACAAGCCACCACGCCAACACCGAATGAGAAAGGCTTGTAGAATGAGATTCAAAAAGATCCGAGTAAGGCCGGTCTTTGAGCCCACCTCAAACTCACTTAAAGGGCCCTGCACCACCCACGTTCTTCATTTTCGCATGATTCAACACAATTTATTACACTTTGAACATCACTCCATTTTCCCACAATATCCCGCGCATGCGGCAATCCAACAACAAGACAAAAATGAGTGGCATTCAATTCGATCCGGATCGGGACATTCCAGCGCTGTCTGGCAAGGTCATCCTTATAACAGGGGGCAACAGTGGACTCGGGAAAGAGTCCATCCTTCAGCTGGCCAAGCATGACCCAGCCAACATCTTCATGGGTGCTCGAAGTGAGACAAAAGCTGGAGAAGCTATTGAAGATATCAAGAAGATCGTTCCGAATGCAAAAGTCCAGTTCCTCCAGCTCGACCTTTCGTCGTTCGACTCGGTGCGGAACGCCGCCAACCAAGTTCTGGCGTCTTCTGAGCGTCTCGACGTCCTCATGAACAACGCCGGTATCATGGCCACTCCGGCTGCTGTCACGAAAGAGGGATACGAGATTCAGTTCGGTACGAATCACATGGGGCACGCCCTGCTCACAAAGTTGTTGCTGCCTCTTCTTGAGAGGACCGCCGCTCGTCCCGACGGTGACGTGCGAATCATCAACTTGAGCTCCAATGCTGCGGACAATCAGGCGCCCAAGGAGGGCCTTATTCTATCTGATGTCAAATCGCCAATGTTTGCTATGAGCACCTGGGCTCGCTATGGTCAATCCAAGATTGCCAATGTCTACTTCACCCAGCAGCTTGCAAAACGCTACCCCCAGATCAAATCTGTCGCCATCCACCCAGGCATTGTCAACACGAATCTGACGTCGGGGCCGAAACATTCCTTCAAGATCATGATCCCCATTCTCTTTGTCGTTAGCCGACTCTTCTTCACTCCTGTCAAATATGGAGTTTTGAACCAGCTTTGGGCTGCGACCGCCAAGAGCGAGGATGTGAAGCAAGGCGGCTTTTATTATCCGGTTGGGGTGGAATTCAACGGCAAGCCCATCTTGGCCAGTGAGAAGCTGTCGGATGCTTTGTGGGATTTCACGGAGAAGGAGATCAAGGCACACGGGTATTAGAGGGGATACTCGGGCATCGATGGGCGACTGTTGGAGAAATTGCAGTCTTGATTGTGTGCAAGAACGCCTGGTTTAATACCGCAGTATCGTATCTATTGTATTCATACTTCCTGCCCTCACTGGAATGGGAACCGTAAATCGCTTGTCTTTATCGAGTATGGTATTCCATAAGTTGCGAGAAATGCGACCCCCCGCTGTAATTCATGGATGTTGGCTTTGTCTTGATCGTCGCTTGGCTTTCATCGGATTGGCGTCGAAGGACCGGTGTCCGGCGTAATAAACTGACCGTCCTCTGCGGTGGTTCGATCTATATTTAAATCTCGGTCTTCGGCACTTGATGTCTTTTCGTGCCAGGTATATACTTCTACCGCTTCGAAGTTGGGGAGTGTCTTAATGGTGGGGTGTCACTAGGATTCTAGACTCACAGCTGCTTTGATCTACATCTAGCTACTTGCCCGCTGCTTACAAGCCGAACTTGCTCGAAAGAAGGCTAAAGAAGGCTTGCAGCCTCATATCCCTGTATACGGCGTACTCGCTAAGCTCCGTGCGCGTGGGTCTCACTAACGTAGGTGAGCGAACAGCTGATTCGTCTAACTTGCTAGTATGGACAGATGTATACCTGGTCACATCTCCCACTGTTTTTATATTGTGGCGCAAACTAAAAGAATCCTCGGGGTAGGTTTTTGGTAGCAACGTCACTATGATAGTGCGTGAACATTTCTTGTGCGTGAACAGTGTAACAATATATTACTATGTAAATGCAGTTACAATGGATCATTTTAAAAGCATTCGAACCTTCAATTTTCTTATCACAAATGCTGCATTTCGATGACTCCGGGCAATAATCAAATACCAATATCCAAAGGGTTCTACTAACATTGTGCCCCTTAGTCCTCTTTCTCCGCGACGGATCGAGCTAGCTTGGCTTATTCGTCATCCTGAATGTCTACAAGCTTCAAGAAGTCCTTCCAAAGTCTTTCCTCTTTCTCGGGGTCATAGGCGTGTGCGACATACCCGGGGTCCGACGGAACGGGATTCTTCTTCTCGCCAGGGACCCCTACGTCAGCGAGGTATTTCCCGCCCTTGTTCTCCCATTCCTTGGCAATGGCAGCCCATACAGTCGTAGCAGCACCCTGCTCGACACTTTTGATGGAGTTGGCGATGTCTGGGTTCTTTACAAATTCAGCAAACGCTTCGGGGGGCACGTGAACCGTGAGCCCAGTGCCGATGATTCCCGGATGGACAGAAGTCGCATGAAGTCCCTTCGATCCGTAGCGACGATCGATCTCGTTAGCCATGTAGATGTTGGCGGTCTTCGACTGCGCATATGCGCCCCAGGGGTGGTAACCTCCCTTCTCATAATTGTAGTTGTCCGACTCATTGATGCCACCCTGAGAGTGGGCATTGGAGGATACGTTAACGACTCTGGAATGAAAGCTGGGAGTCGAACTTGCGAGCAAGGCGGGCTTCAGAAGCTGGAAGAGGAGGAAATGAGAAAGGTGATTGGTGCCGAATTGCAACTCATGCTTGTCCTTCGTGAACTGCAAGTCTGGGATAGCCATGATCCCGGAATTGTTGACCAGGATGTTGACCTGGTCGTTTGACTTGCTAAGGATAGTCGATGCAGCAGCACGTACGCTATCAAAAGATGCGTTGTCCAGCTGAACTAGCTCAATCCGACCTTCCTCAAGGATCCCGACTAATGCGTCTTGAGCCTTTTTGAGGTCGCGAGCAGTCAGGTAGAGAGTCGCCCCGGTCGCAGCGAGGGCGCGGGCGGTCTCTATACCGATGCCGGAGGACGTCCCAGTGACCACGATCACTTTTCCCTTAAGCTTTCCCTCGAGTTCTTCGTCTTTGACAATCTGTAGGGCTGTCGGACGGGCATCACCTGGGCCCTGAGGCTTCGTGTGAGCTGCTGCGTAGCGAGACATGTTGGACTTTTCGATTTTGTTGAATGAAACCTGAATCGTGAGCGGTTGATGATTGTAAAAGCAAGATGGGATCCTGAAGAAGGTCTTTTAGTATCGGACTCCTGGCATTTAATACTCATGACTTCAGAGAGTCTCTGAGCTTCAGGCTTCCCCAATGCAGTCTAGCCCCAATCTACGCACACTTGGGGATCGAAACTACCCGAGTACAAACTTCCACACTGCGAGACTTGCTTGCCGTCCCGGCCAACACATGAGTATCATCATGGGAGGTCAATGAGATGCCCCTACAGCCTTCCCTTGTAGGGTCCCCCAGTTGCATAGAAACGACAAGCCAAGCTGCGGAACAGGCTCGGGGTTAACGAGTTACGTCCGTTCCAACCTACGAGACTGCTGCCCCTTATGCAACTTTCAACTTAAAAGTACACCTCCCAATGATCTCCTCGAGCTCGGACAAGGTAGACCCTACTACGGTGTTCATAATGTGCCGCATCCGACCCGCTTCGCACCACGATCTCCGCGAGCTAATACAAGATAGACCCACTACGGGGTTCTAAATGTCCCGAATCCGAACACTTCCCTTTCACTTACCAAGCTACAGACTTGCATTTGTCAGCCTCCTCTATCCTGTCTCGGAAATTCGCGTGGCTGGATGCATGCAGTTGATCTACAAGCCATTTATAGGATGTGATGGAATATTGCTCGTCTACCTTAAGATGATTCAATCGAGTCGACACCTCCTGCCCACACTCAAGTCAATCGCCCACAGACGCCTGCCAAAGCCCTCCTATCCCCGGCTTTACAATACAAAATTGCCTACTCATAGAAGTTACTCAGAAAACGCCATGGCAGCCCCGAAAATCAAGCTGTACACCAATCACAACTGTCCCTGTACGCTCCGCTTCTGCACTTTGGCATCCGCGTGCAGTTTCGCTGACCCTGACCTCTTATTTTGTAGTTGCTCACCGTGCTCACACCGTATTGAAAGAGCTAGGGATTCCTTACGAGGAAGAAATTATTGACCTATCTGTTCCTCGAACACAGGAGTACCTGAAGATCAACCCACGTGGACTGGTGCCCGCTCTTTCATATGATGGCGAAATTATCACCGAGTCTGTCGTCGTGAGTCAATTTCTGGCTGATGCGCATCCGTCTCACCTCGTACCGGCTTCCGACAGTAAGGAGGGTGCTCTGCGCCGAGCACGCATCAACTTCTTTGTCGACACATACAGCACGAAGGTGAATTCCATCTTTTTCAAGGTATTTGGCCACAAATCAGAGGACGAAGCCGAAGAATTGGCTAGCGGTCTCGTGGATGTCATCACAAAGGAGATCGAGCCTTTGTTGAAAGATGCTACCCCATATTTCGGCGGGAGCGAGAAGGTTACACTGGCAGAGGTACGTTTTGCAGATGCAACCGGATAACAAATGCGAGATTGAATTAACGCACGTCCTAGGCCCTCACAGCCTCGTTCGTCATCCGCTTGATTTCCCTCTCAAAGTATGGGGTCTTTCCTAAGAGTTTGGTTGGCTCCCTTGCGGAAAAGGCGCCCAATTTCTACCGGTGGGCGGAGGTTCTCATTGACACCCCTAGCGTGAATTACATATATAACGAAGAGTTCATTGTTGAGGCGATGAAGAAGAGAATTCCGAGGTTCAAGAGCCTCTGAGGGTCGTGCTGAACTTTGCAGTGGCTCGGAAACATTTCAACTGTTTGTCCACCAGCAGTTTATAAACAGAATCGGACTGCTGTCTTGAATTGTTGAGCATCTGAATATCTGAAATTAATTGCTTAGCAGTAGTAAGGACATATACACTAAAGAAATTCCCACGTAAATTATATTTCCCCCTTGCTATTAGAAACGAGCCTGTTACTACAATGAACTTCCCGACACCCTCCTCCCCCATCTCACCCTAAATTCCAATTCCGCCATGCAACTCGCGCATATGCGGATAGCACAAGCTACCGTCTCTGAAGGTTGCCAAGCATATCCAACAAATGTGAATGCCACACCCTTTACAGGTCACATGGTTACATCCCGCTGTCTTTTCGATCAATGTATCGCATTCAGGACAATCCTTGATCTCCAGCTCCCTCATGACTCTGGCGAGAGCCTCATGGCCACCAGTTGTGTCTCCTTTATGCTCGGCACAGGTTTTCCCCGCGTGTGAAACGTGGCAGCTCCTGCATATGGATGCTAAACACTTTCCACATGTGAAAGTTGTGGGAGACGCGGCGGTTTCGGACATGACGCGATAGATTTGGCTGCAATCAGGCGTCGAACAGTACTTGAACTCTTTTGGGTGCTGACGAACATACGAAGCGAAAGATGCCTGCAAGATCTCTTCAAGTGTCTCTGTGAGAAGTATGTTTTGAATTTCCGACAAATTCAAAACCTTTCCACATTTCCCAGAGTCTCCTTCGCAAGTGATTCGAAACTCGCCTGGCCTTGATTCTTCTGCTTGGCACATGTTGACGAAGCAGGCGCCGCAGTAGACGTGGTTGCAAGATGTGCAGATTGGATCCTCTGCTTCGCAAATGCAGATCGAACAATCCGTCAAAGAGTTGTATGTCTTCTTAATGACCTCACTTTGCCTGTCGGCTAGAACGAGTTTCGCCATGGCGAAGTCTTCATCAGAACCGCGAACAACGATACAGCGAGAGGGAACGTCAAAGACGGCCTTGTTTTTCCCAAGCTGCGCATGGAGAACGCCGAAGCCGCCGTTTAAGGCCCATTCCAACTCATCTCTGTCTTCAAGAGTAATCGAATGAGTTTTTGAAGCCACATCTTGGATGAGTGTGTGCAAGGCCTCTGCTGCCTGGGCGTAGTTTTCTGCAGGGCCGAAGACACGAAAATGCGATGAGCGGATGTCGCGGAGGATGACCACACCCAACCGTGTTTCGATCTTCTTCAGTCTTTTGTATTCGAACCCGCTGATCCTGAAGTCGGCATACCAGAGCTTCTTGCCCTCCCTTGTAAGGACTTGACCCTCAACAATCTTTTCGAGATCCGATTGGGCCTGTGCCACTAACTGACGGTCCTTGCCTTCTAGCTTCAAGATGCGAGAAAAGCCGTTGGGTGGAAATGCAAAGAATCGTATGTACTGGCGCTCCCATCTGTCCTTCTGAAGCTCGATTTGGCCCTTAACCACCTCGTAAACCCTAGTCGATACTTTGAACTTGACCGTTGTAATGAGCTCAGCGAACAGCTTGCTAGCAGCGCAGAAAGGCAAGGGCTTCTTGTCCAGGGAGGACGCAGCATCTCGGGCGTGTGACTCCTCGAAAAATGTGGCATAGGCTTTCACCCGCTTTCCTTGAGAACTGTTGGAAACCTGCCAGCGCTCCAAGGGTCCAAACTCATACAACATTGACATGATAAGCGTTGAATCTACTTCCATGTCGGTAACGTAGTTCAGTTCTCCCAATTCAATCTGACGCGGCCTGCACGACTCAGGAATGGCTTGTATGATGGTATCTTTCTCAGCAGCCTCGGGCAAAGCTGACAATCTGACCATCCAAGTTTTCACACCATGCTGGCCATGTTGTTGCGCCAGCGGTCGGCTTGCCGTGACTTTGGACCCAAGGACCTTGGATTTTCCAGTGCAAAACTTGTGAAACACTTGATCCGCAATTGGTTTACTTCCGAAATTGAGGGAAGCGGTTCGAGATGGTCGATGCCAGGAGCAGTGGACCTGTCTGCAATCGACCTGGTGAAAGTTGGAACCTGCAGGAATCGGGACCGGAATGGAGGCCACCTTGACGTTTTTGAGCGTGATACAAGTAGCTAGTTTGGCGCATGCGGCTTTGGCGAACTTCGGATCTTCGACCTTGACAATTGCGGTGCAGTTGCTCAAATCGGGAGGAGTCATGAGCCGAACCGCGTCTGCGGATATGGGCAAACTCACATTCGAGAGCAGGCCGCAAACATCTGCAATCGAGCTGCCAGTTGGAAGATTGGTGATGCGGATGGCTGAAAAGTCTGACGGCAGAGAGACTTTGATGGTGGTTGCGCCATCACCAAACTGAGCCCAGGCGCCTCCGAGCTCACGGGTCCAGTCCTCGATCGGCTCATCATCCTACGAATGGCAACTGTTAGTTTGTGGCAAACGCCAAGGGGAAATCAACTGGTGTACCGTATTATCATCGAAAGCTCTCTCCGTCTCTTTTGGACTCGCCGCGTCATGAGAGAAGCCGCATGCATCTCCTTTTTTGCAATGACCTCTGGCAAAGAAGTGACATGGCTTCCGAGACTGCGCGGACGGCGATGGATGAGTAGGGCGTCTGGTTGCGAACTGGCAGGCGCCAGTCTGTGAGCAAGTATTACGGCCAAATACTCTGCATGGGCCACAAGGTGTTTGAATGGTAGGTTCATCATCTAGAATTGCCGCTCTGTGATGATATTCACGGATGGGGGCTCTAGCCTCGTTTGCTGGTGGCCTGTACACGGGCGCTGGCTCCCTGTAATTCCACCCCGGCTGCCGAGGCGGCTCAGGAGCCTGAGATGAGAAAAGATTGCCCATGTTGAGATGACGTTTTCTCGGTAGAGAATGGATATTGAGACCTTGGGGGACAGGAGGGGAATTGTGCTCTTTTTATGGCCAAAGGCTGTGAGTCGCGGTGGTCAGGCAGCAACGCCTTACATAAAGCCTGGACATTTCACTGGTACGTTCACATGTCGATAGTCACAAGCAATAAAAGCATTACTGGCAATAGCTAGCCGGTACCTGTACAACACACCAGGCGAACGAATACGTATTGCTGCAGGAGGCCCTCCATGCCCCTCATCTTGTGTAACTCTCCAGAGGGCTCTTTCAAAAGTCTTATTATGCCAAGACGCTAAGGAATGCCACCTGAGTACCTAAGCGAGAGGAGAACACTGCGCCGGAATTACTATGTGACTGCTCTCTGTCCTATTCTCTCTCTATTACTACACTTTTCATTATAATAACAAATTGCCAGAATAATACTTTCATTCAGACTCTAGATGTAGCTCTAGAATCCCCCCTAAGCAGCAAGACTGCGGTTAAAATAGCTAATTTAATAGGTTTCTTGGTTTCATAGCCTTAAGATCGGATATTTCCCAGAAGCCTTCCGCGAAGCCTACAGGTGAGGTCGTCACAATAAGAAAACTTGGGAAGAAGGACTGCACAAACGCCCGATCCTGGAGACTGATTGCCATACTCTCCTACCTCGGTAAATAGCTTGAGAGATTGACAGCAAGGCGGATAGCTATGAGAACCCTTTGGCGGAAGGTTGTCAGTACCAGCAAGCCCGAGCTCTACCAGGCAGGTCGGCAACCAACTTACTGGCCTGTGTGACATAGGAGATCTAAAATGCCTTGGAGAATCAGGGCATAGCTGCAATTCTGACCTGAAACGTGAAAGACGCATTTGACACTACCCTCAGACGAAGGCTCATACTACGGCTGACCCGGCAGGGCTGGCCACGGAACCTCGTCAGGTTCATCGGATCCTTCATAGAAAATAAGAAAGCCAGCATCCGGCTAGACGATATAGCAACGCACCCTGGCTTTTTTAGATGTGGGCTACCATAAAGACCACCGCTGTCTCTAATGCTCTTCCTGCTCCACATCGTAGACATCTGGTTAGAAGATCGGGTACAGCGCTTCCGATATGCAGATTATATCCGCGTAGTACGAACAGAAGAGACTGTCTAAGTAAACGCCGAACTGCTAAGCCGAGACCTCCGCTAGATCCCCGATTGGGGAAAGAAGAATATGGTCATGCTTGAGCTGGACAAGGCTGACCTGATCTTCTTTAGCGGCTCAGGTGTGTCGACAAAGACCAGTTCAATAGAACCTAGTAGATCAAATATCAAAACCCGTCTTTGCATTTGCATGAAGATATGGGAAAACCCAGTAGGAAAACCATATCAAGACTTATACGCAGCCGAATCTGAAAATAATCATCTTTACATGGTCCCAGTAATTCCTCCGCTAACTGAGATAAACTGGGCAGTTATCCACCGGCTCTTTTCCGATACTAGCAGGAGCGTAGCATCGGCTATATCCTCAACTGTCCCAAGGCGATTCGCTGCCCGTTTCTGTTCAGACATAGAAATCTGGAGCGCGGTTGCAGACCCGTCAGACGCCACGAGGAGTGGTGTCGACAAATCTGTTGGGACTGGGCCAGGTGCGATGGTATTAACGGTGATTCCAGATGTCTTGCCAAGCTGTCCACCATTCAATTAGATTGTTTGTCTAACGCACACCCTAGAAGAAAGTCAAGGGAAGCTTACCTCGCCAGCCCATAGCATTGTCAAGGCATCCAGCGCAGCTTTGTCGCACCATACACAGGCGGTGGGACTAATATTTTCGAGGAGATAGAGCCGATGTTGATGATCCGGCCGCCTTGCGGCATTCGACCGACGCCGACAACAGCCTGTATCATGTAAATCACCCCCAAGACGTTGACCGCATATTCGTATTCGAGCTGTTCCGCCTTCACCTCCAAAAGAGGCGTGTTGCGTGCAGCTTCCGCATTGTGAACTAGTATGCAGGGCGATCAGTGTTGCTCATCTCCGAAAGGCCAACATATCCACTATCACATACCGAGAATACCGATATGGTCAACATCAAATGGCTCCAAAATTTGCTTAACCATGCTCTCTGCAGTATCGTCATTCTCCACCCCTCCTTGTATAACAGTGGCTTTGGTACCAAACTCTGTACTGATGTTAATCGCTACCTTCTCAGCCCGTGCCTTGGAGTCTTCCGACACATAATGAATCGCTACAGACGCACCGTTCCTAGCCCAAGCTCTGGCAATGGCGGCACCGATTCCAGTTTCTCTACCAGACCCGTAACCAACGGTCTTCCCCTCAAGTGACAGTGCATCGTGCGCCATATGTAACAAATTAGACAAAGAGGCTATCAAAGCAAACACTCACATAAGCTCAGAGTCATACAGGACGAACCGGAAGAGTTAATCGTCACCAAGTCTAATTATGAACCTATATGTGCGATGTGATTGCAACTATTAATCGATATAGACATTGTTAATTCATATACCTATTATTAATTCGTATGATCTCAAGGATCCTGGGCTAGGTATATTTCAGAGCAGTCATGTCTCCATCGCCTTTTCTAGCGTGCTAGGCCATTCTGCGTCTAAGAGGCGTCCGCTCCAGTACATTTTAATTACAAACCGACCTGCAGAATCCTCGCGACCCCGAATCCCTGCACACATTTCGACATATCAAAACATCTGGATTACGTGATATCCTGGATACGCAAGAAACCCCTAGCCAACATATATAGCAGGTGAAAGGCTTCTTGCTGGGCGGCACTTACACCTGACTTCTCCCTGCCGGCATATCTCCAGTCACTCTCATCTTCGGAGCAGGACCAAAGATCGGGTAAGCTATCGCTCGAACTTTTGCCTCGAAAGGCTACAAGGTTGCCCTCGCAGTCACCGAAGGAGCAGACAGCACAGACAAACAGCTGAACATCACGAGTGATCTCGCCAACCCCGATGGTGTTATCAATGCCTTTACCAAAGTCAAAAAAGTGCTGGGCATCCCAAGTGCCGTTGTGTACAATAGTAAGCTCTAATGCCCAAGGATGTAGTTGCACGTTTTCTAAAGAGATCAGTAGCGTCTCAACCCTCATCCCGCTAATGATCCGTTCGCCCTCCCATTGGCTACTTTCGATCGAGACCCAAGCCATCAATGTCACCAGTGTGTTTATCGCCGTGCAACAGGCCGCCCTAGACGTTTCGCATCTCTCGGGTTTTGCACCAAGGACATTCATCTACACAGTAAATATTCGGAGCGTTACAATACTCCCGTCATTTCTCGACTCAGGCATGGGCAAGTCGGCCGGCGCTCACCTGATCCGTGCTGCTGCTGCGGCGCATAGAGACTGTGGATTCAAGCAGGCTATCTATCCCCTTGGATTTCCCGCAAAGACACTAAATAATTTGTAGATTCTATTATGGCGACGAACAGAAGGCCGACGGAACGGCAAAGACGCAGGGCCCGTGGCTTCAGATATTCGTCAAGGGCATAAGATCTGCCTCGCCTGACGACCGTTACCCGTATAGGATCAAGACCAAAGAGCCCTTTTTCTGGATCGCCGACACTAATTGGGAGCTTTTCCACAAGCTCAAAGGCACAGATGTCGACCTGTATCTCGCGGGTCGCGCTGGCTTTACTTTCCTGCGCCCCTGGGATTCTCGCAAGAACTACTTCACATGCGCGACGAATTTAGACGTCCTCGCCACCGACTAGCGGAGTAGTATAAGGGCGACTGTGTATAGTTGATCGATTCTATTTGTTCTCAACCCCGCTAACCCAGCCACGACCGCCACAATCTCGTAAATACGAGAACAGCCCATTTCTGATTCTAAAGATAGTCATTTTTGCGTCTCATGATGTGTCAACTGACTTTTCCCATACGGTATATATCTATATATATCATTCACAGTTCTCGAGAGTTTGTTCATGGTTTTCACTCACACCACCTCAATGTTTGTAGACCATGTGCCATTCTATCCACGTCGGTATCGTAGTTGCATGACACATATAAGCCCAAGTCCGCATCAACCTCGTCGGCTTCCGAACGTGAACTTATGTGCTCACTATTCACCTTTATTCTGGCCTAGTTATTCATTCCTCGCCATCTTAACATAATGACACTGGCACTATCACCTCTCTCTACCATGTATCGATGCATGCTCCTCGCTCTCATGTCTCTCTTACCCATCCCCTCCCAGGCTTGGACCCCAACCTCTCTTCCGCAATACACAATCTCCTGCACCGTCGGCAATAACGCTCCTTGTCCAATCTCCTGGACCTGCACTCCCACGCAAACATGCGTCTGCAGTACCCCCTGTGGCGGTCTCTGCATCAATCCACTATCTACCCCTCCGCCCGTGATTCCCTGTATTATAGGAAACAACTCCTCCTGTCCTGCGGGTAGCACCTGTACGCCGACGATGTACTCCACGCCGGGCTTCCCATGGAGTGGCGAGTGCATCGCCACTCCAACGCCGGCGCCGTCTACGATTTGCACTGTCGGCAACAATGCGCCATGCTCAAACGGAAGCACCTGCACGTCGACCATGACCTGCAGGACCGGCGTGCCCTGTGGAGGCGCATGCATCGCCACTCCAACCCCGGTATCTCTCACCCCGTGCACCGTGGGGAACAACTCACCTTGCTCGCCAGGAAGCACATGCACGCCGACTATGGTGTGCACCACCGAGTTGCCATGCCAAGGAGCGTGCATTGCAACGCCCACGGTGGCTAGCACAAAGCGTCCGTGGACCACGTCGAAAAGAAAGTGACGAGGGCGGCATTGTTGGTATGATTGAGGGTCGTGGGAGTAAAAAGTCCTTGGATAGGTGTGAAGACGAATGCGCGGGTTTGCTCGGCTGTTTCTATCAGCAATAGATTAGCCGATATAGATATAACCCGATATAATTGGATTATATCGAGGCATCCAAGTCGCACGGCATAACAAGGCGCCGATCACGAGGACAAAAGAAATGGTATCATTGGAAAGCTATCATCTGACAGTTACCTCCAGAGCCGCATTCTTCTTGGCATCCCCGCTTTGAAGTTTCGATAGAGGTCGCTCATCACGAGACGGTTTAATACCTCAACGCGGACACTTGCCCTTAATCAGATGGGCATTCACCAACATCAGGTCTAAGCTAGGTCTCGCCAACTCATAGAAACGATGGAGACATCAAACCCAGCCACTGCCGCTCGGCAAGGCCTCCGCCAGCGCTACCTACAAGAAGAAAACGTACCCAGAAACGAGGAATTACGACCAGGCTACACCGTCACCGATACGACCGCGCCTACGGAGCCCGGCCCAGACATCGAATGGATCCCCTCCTACGAGACCTACCGTGAGAGAGTAAAAAGGCTTGCGGCTGAAAGAAGCAACAAACCCCTAGATGCCAGCCTGTCCGATGGCTTTCCCAAGGCCGTCGGCGGCGACCGAGTGTGGGCTGGAGATGAATTATGCGAGGACGATTACTTTGTCCACTTGGACGAAGCAGATGTCGGAGAAATCGCGCAGACGTTGGAAGAGTTTATCTGTAAGAGTCCACTGCGGTCTTCCCCTGCGGATTTCGTTTTTTGGCTGACAATAGACGCCATCCAGTCGAGTTTCCCACGACCGACCCGAACGACGTTACGACAGAGACCTTCCGCCTTCCAAGCCTGGGAAAGAAACTCGATCATGTCTCCCAAGCTGTCCATTCCGGGAGAGGACTCGTTTGTCTTCGTGGACTGGACCCTGACAAGTTTACTCGGGTTGAGAATGTACTTTTGTACGTTGGAATCTGCAGACATGTCGGCAGCCACTTTGGTATCCAGGACTCGGACGGAAGCTATCTGAGTACGCTCACGTCTCCTATACGAACTACCTTATACATGGGTTATCTAGGGGCTGACAGGTGGTTTTCAAGTTCACGTCAAGGACATTGGCCGGCAGGTTCCAGCCTCCGAGTCTCGCCAGGCACCGTTTGCGAACATGGCCCAGGTTTGTCTCCAACCCTCTCCCGAGCTTCCATTCTGGTGGCATGCTTGACCGGAAGAGTTGACGATATGTTACCAGCCGTTCCATAGCGACAGTAGCGATGTTGTCGCCATGTATGCACTTGGAAAGGCCCACGACGGCGGCGCCTCATGCTTCGCCTCCACGGGCCAAATCTACAACGAGATAGTCGAGTCCAGGCCAGATGTGATTCGCACTTTGGCAGCTGACGACTGGATCATGGACAAGTGAGCTACCCTGTTCCCCCCCACAACTCCTTACTTGTATCTTGCGTAAGGCGAGGCTAACGAGATGATGGTTTTGTCTAGGCCGAGAGGTCGTGGCGGCCGCTCCTACTGGTACAGGCGACCGCTTCTCTTTAACTTCCCCGAACACGGTCCAGGGCTGTACGTAAACCGCCGAGTCCTCACCGGATCGCCCGTCTCTCCACGAACGCCAGGCGTCCCGCCCATGAGCGAGGAGCAGGCCGAGGCACTCGACATGGTACATTTCACGGCCGAGCGGAACCAGCTGAAGCTCACGTTGGAGCCGGGAGACGTGCTGTTTGTCAACAACTTCGCCGTCCTCCACGCCAGAGACAAGTATGAGGATCAACATGAAAACAATGCCCCCGGCGAATCCCAGAGAGACGTCACCCGGCATTTGATGCGTCTGTGGCTGCGAGATGAGAAGCGTGCGTGGGAGACGCCGTCGGAGCTGGCAGCCTCGTGGTACGACACGTATGGCCCATCTCCTCGTCGTTGGAGAGCAAAGTGGAACTTTGAGGTCCCTCTCAACTACGCTCGGATATTTGCAAGGGAAAATTCCTGCTCTTGACTGGGCAAGTTTGCATGGGTTGGATATTTCGCCATGACACACATAGGATATTAAAGTTCTAGCGCATTCCTTTTCTCTACATTGATTCAATACACCTCATCCCTCGTCACTCGTACCCTAGATCCCGAGTGTCTTCTACATCGTCAGCGTCGTCGTCAACGATGTGTTTCTCGGTGGGTTCCCATCCTTCCAAAAACATCTGATGGCACCAGAAAAGATTTGTTTCGTATCTGGAAGCCACCCTGATCTGGCGCAACCTTGCCTCTATCGCAGAGAAATTAATGTCAAGAAACATTACATGACGTTATGCTCCATTTGGCCGCAACTTACCACGCTGGCCGGCCTCGGTGACCATTCTTTGAAGATAATCTACTTCGGATCTGGATAGGCAGACCAACTCTTCTTCTCTGGAACCCGAAGCAATCAAAGCGAGCGGTTGGCCCCTCGAAGCAAAGTGGAAGTGAGCTAGAAACGTCTTGGCGGCATGAAAATACGACTCGGATTGCGTAAACGAGAAGTATCGCCTCTGCAAACATTTGTCAGTCTTGGGTGGGAGAGGGCTCGCTCTCTTTCTTGGACCATGTACTCACTCCGATGCCATAACGTTTTGCCGTCTTTCTAGAATGAGCCAACAGTCTCTCAGTATTGTGAAGGAGAATGAAGACGGTCAAGTAGATCTGAAACCAGCTGCTTTTGTTACCCTCGTAAATCATCTTGTGAAGGTCGCTTAGAAGCTTTGACTTGAGAGGCAGGAGGAACGTGTGGGTAATGAGTCGGTCGAGTTGGTGATCCATGATGGGCGTAATGGGAATGATGCCATGCCAGGGGTTGGAACGTTCCCAAACTGGTCCCATCCCAAGCGTCTCGTCGCCACAGATACGCCATAGCCTCTCAATCATCCGGCACCCAGCCCACAGGTTCAGGGCTTGCTGTACGAGCGGCTTCTGTTGCACGTCAGTCTTGTTGGGAACATCATCAGCTATCACTACGTTGAGAGCTACCAACCTCTCCTCCGGCAGCGCATTGCAAGGCTAGCTGGAATGTGTCCCACAGCATCGGGCACGAGCTGTCGATGGTGTTGAAATAGCACCAACCATGTTTCTTTATGTACTCTTGAATAGAAGCCAAGGTCTCTGCCTGGTCCATCAGTTGGTAACACGGCATCTCCATTGTATGCGAGCCACCATGGTCTGTCCATGTGTACCCTGTCTTGTCGGTGGCGGTTGGCACAAATGGAGACACGGCCACTGTCAGAACGTGTCCGATATCCTGGGTCAGTTCAACAATGACTGCGCCCGCATCTCCAACGTCGCCTCTCCTATACAGTTTGCTCAATCCCAAGCCGCTTGATTTGAATTCCAGGGGATGCCCGACCGAGGCACCTGGGCCAACATGTCAGCCACTTGCAGCACCAAAGGTCCAGATACTCACTCTTTCGAAATACAACCGCGTCTACAATCTTGGAACGGAAACATGGCATCAGTACGACTGAGACGCTGACCTTGGCACAGCCTTGGCAAGGCGCGAAGAGGCCGGGACTCCATTGACACTATGAGTGAAGGAAGGTGTTAGACAGAGGCCAAGAGTACTATTATTGCTCGAGAAAGAGGAGTCAAAGGGGCACTGACGCGGACTTTGAGGTATCGACAACGCATGCATGCGCCGGAAGTGCGTGTCAAGGCTGTTTCCTTTCGCTTCTCTGCGGATTTGAAAGGCGCACGAGGTTGCTGCCGTCGACCTAGGGTATGAAATGAACCTTGGGCTCGGCCGGCGGAATCTGAAACAAGAAGCTGCCTCGATGTCTGAAAGAGGATGAGTATCTTTGGTGATGCGGTTGGCTCGGTAAGAAAGCGGTGCAACTTACCGGAATCTCGTCGTCGGTTTTGCGATGCTCTGTGGCCCGCCTCTTCCTTTTGGCAGCTTTCCTGCGCTCCACCTTTTCTGTATTTGGACCATCATGGCGAGCGGTGGCTGGTGACTCTTGGATCCACTGGAAGTCTCTGGACACGTTGGTGCTTGGAGATGGGTCGGAAGTATCTACGACTCTTTGTGGTGATGATGATGATGGCTGTGTCGAGACCCACGTTTGAGTTTCCCAGCATGCCGAACTGGCAGCCGCAGAGATATCGGCAGAGATATCGGACCGGGGCGTCGCCGAGAAGGTGAGGGCAGCGGATGGAGGCCCGCGATGGGCATCACCCGACATGTCCTGCATCCCGATCGGCAGCTGAGCAACAGTGTCGTTGTTGGTTGATGCGAGCATGGTCAAGGGAGAAGGGACGGGGGCAGTAGGCTGGTGATCTGCGGCATGGCGATATGGGCCGCTGCCAATTTCATGAGACTCAGCAATGGCATCAAAAAGATGCTGCAAGTCTGTATCAAAGTCCATCTTGTGTGGGGGGCGGGATTGGTCTGGTCTGGCTTGTTAGTCGCGATGTAAGAACAAAACAAGTGGATAAGATTTAGATTTAGTGCGAATGGGTAGCAGTAATTTAAGTAGCCGATACGGAGTCCCTCAGCTTAGGTCACACACCAGCATAACTCGGGCCCCAAGTTAGGTACCTAGGCCTAAGTTATAGGTACAGTACCAAATTAAACCAGGCTACCTTAACTTCATATACGGCATTGACAGCTCACAATCTCACCTGCAGCATGCAGCTTCCTCGTACTCCAATTGGCACAACCGCATTCCTGCCCCAAACAAGTCACCGGTTGCCCCCTCCCTGCCTTCTCAATTAGGTCACCGGTGAATAACCTGGAGCAGGTTCCGTAAAGAGAAGTCAGCCTCGGATTATTTTAACCACCCACGCCCAATTGTTGATACACTTGTGATTTCATCTTCCTCTTGACACGCTCGCGTCCTGACAACCTCACCCAATCAACCTAACCAACCCAATCGGCTGTCATCTTTTCCTGTACCTCGTTGGATGCTTGTGCTGCCATGAAGTGGTAGCGCCTACTCGCCTTCTCCCCGCTATTGGCAGACGCCGTCATGGACGACACCCACCAGCTCAGCCTCACTCTCGCTCCATCACCTGAGGCCATCATGACAGTTCGCCCTGGCACTCTGGATGATCTCGACGTCCTTGTCAACCTTGGCCTTGCCGCCATGCCCATGGATCCCCAGTGGGACTACCGCTATCCCCATCGCGCCGAGTACCCCCAAGAGCACCGCGAATGCACTGCCCAACGCTGGGAGCGCTTCTTCCACCCTGACCCGTCTGGTGGTGAATGGGCCGTCTATTTGGTTGATTATGTCCCCAAGGATAGGGATACCGACAGCGACAACAACAACAACAACAACAACAACAACAACAACTCTCCCGAGACTGTGACTGAGACTGAGAGAGAGACGGAGAAGGAGATGGACACGGGGAGGGAACTGGAGCCGGTCACCATATCCTTCTCCGTCTGGCACTTCCCTGATCATCTCCACGATGCCCTCGGGCACAAGCAACGCAACGAGCAGTTCGGTGTGTATATATTTAGGCGGTACCCGCATTCGCCCGCTCACTTCCTTCTTTACTGACACGTCATCGTCCTTTAGTCTTGACCGAAACCCTTGCCTGCAAGAACCGCCATGATTGGGATCCCCGACACATGCAGGCCTGGCGCGAAGCCATCCGCGCCGCCGCAAGGGATAAGTTCGACGCCAGATACGGCCAGCAACAGGCGCACCTGCAGATTCTCGGCACCCACCCGCAGTACCAGAGGATGGGGGCCGCCTCGAGTCTTCTGCGCTGGGGAATACGCGAGGCTGGCCATCACGGGCTGCCCGTGACTCTGTTTGCGTCGTCCATGGGCCGGCCGCTGTATAGGAGCTTCGGCTTTGAAGAAAGAGGTGCCGTCAAGGTCCAGGTCGAGGGTGAGGAGGAGAGCGTTGTTGTTGAGGCCATGGCTTTGGAGTTGACCGAGGATCAAAAATCGGACAAGTAGTGGCACTTGCAGAGACCCTCGCACAGAGTAATACCATCCATCTTTTCTTACCATGACTACCAAGTGGCCATAAATATCTATCTGCATGCACCTGGGAAATCGCTATTCTGGCTTGGTCAGCCGAGTCAGCCTTTCCGCCTTGCGGCGCCACGATAAGGGAACGCTCGACCAAATCTGCCTAGATTCCCACAATGAGGCCTACCTGATCATCCTTTGGATATCCAATAGGATGGTTTAGTCAGTATGTAGTAGCGATCTTCTTACTCGAACTAAACGCTGTATTACACACGCCTTTCTGTCCTTGGTCTTCAAAACTCACCGTGCTTCCTGATCGGGAAACAGCGAGCTGAGGCTTTCACAATTACAGTCACCGTAAGGCCATATTTCTAAATAGTTACCGGTGAACCTTTGAAGCTCGTTGGCCGTTTTTTCCGGATTCAGAAGCCATCACACCGCACTTCCATTTTCGGGTCGTTGAGATGAGTCTCAGCTACGTGTATAAAGACGCTTCCCCGCTGGTCCATGCTCTCCAACTTTGTCAAAGCATCTACACTAAGATTACAGGGCCCGATCTTCTTTTGGAAACACCACCAGCTCTTAAGCCATGTCCACAACAGCAACATCGGGATATCAATGGAGCACCAAAGTGTGGCCCGGCCAGCCTCAGCAACATGATGCCGCCAGCAGTAGTTCACGCACCGATTCGCTTTCCAGGTGTGCATCCAAACCACAACAGGGGGACATATTGTTACTGTTATGCTTACGCCGCTCAGATCCATTTATAGCGCAGACCAGGGAGAATATTCATTTGCTATTCAACGATATCTGGCTGAATTCAACCGCCATGAAACGTGGTCGACGCCCGTTGAAGGCGGCTATGGCAGCTTGAGGACGGTTAAGAATGGGGTCCTGGATGTTGATCCGATTATTGAAGAGTTGTCGGCACTCAGCCACAGAAGCCAAGTAGGCATCAGAAGGGTCAAAAATTAGTGTAGTCACCAGCTTTCGCCGGACAAGCTGGGTCAGATTTAGTAATAATTCCAACCTGTTAATAACCTAAGGTGCGCCTCGTCAGAGAAACCCGAAAGATTAAAACTGGCAAAGTGTATGATGCCAGATTTGTCTATTGGTTTGTCTATGACTTGTGACTAGATTTCAAAATTTTCCCAAAAGGATCAGCGGCTAACATGGAAGAATTCGATTTGAGTATGCTAGAACTAGACTATTGCTTCTTGTAAATTGTGTGGGTGCAAATAAGTCTCTGGTAATCAAGGATTTCCGATGCCTTTCAATACGACCTTCATAAAATCTTCAATATCCCGTTGAAATTCAGCTGGCCGCTCTAAGGCGGCGAAGTGTCCCCCCTGCTACAGTTCAGTATTTGCCTCACTCTCGAATTTAGTAAAAAATAAAACACAGAGATATGGCTTACCTTCTCATGTTGTCTATAGAAGACCAACTTTCCCTTGGTCTCCAGAATTTTCTGAGGTGCCGGTGCCAGCTCATGCATAAACCATGAGAATCCGAAGGGCTTGTCGATGAAAGGCAGGCTTGGAGGAGGCCCAACAAGAAAAGTGCCGCGATACGTATAGCTGCAGCGCGGAAAGCAATCCGTGAACCAATATAGTGACACATTAGCCAAAACCTCGTCAATGCTGATATCTTCTTCCGGCCACTCTAAGAACTTCTCCCCAACCCTCCTAACTGTCAGTCGATTTACAAAGAGAGCTGACGATATCAAAGGCTTACCAGGCTAACAAAGCTAGAGGATTGGACGAGACGACTGCTCCAATTGTAGCAGGCCGAGTGCTGTTCATAATGGCGGCGCCTGACGTCGGTGTTTGGAAGCGCTTCTTTCCTCGCTGGACAGCTTGCCTCCCAATTTCGGAAAGATCAGGGTCATCGGAATCAACCTGATCCAAGCTGGGGAGCAAATTGACTGGTCATGTCAACTTCTGCCTGGGGGTCTGGAAGGATCGTCACTTACGATGCACTCCGATGACTGAATCATACATCGTCCCGAGAAGAGAAGCCACAAGGCATCCAACATCCCCACCCTGGACAACATATTGGTTAAACCCGAGCTTCTTAAGAGCTTGATCAATGATTCGTGCCGCATCTTCCGCCACCCACGCTTTATCCTGGGGCGGGCCTGAGCTAAGAGTGTAGCCGGGCAAAGATGGGACGATGACATGAAATGGCAATTGTGCGGGCTGGTACTTTTTCTGGATCAGATCAAGGGTAGGGAGGAACTCGAGGAAGCTGCCCGGCCAGCCATGTAGGAGAACGATCGGAATTGCGTCCTCTTTGGATGAGAAAATGCCCACAAAATGGAGGTCGACAACACCTGTCTCGTCTTGGACCGAAAGCTTGAAGTTTGAGAAAGAATTGATCTTTTCCTCCTGGGCGCGCCAGTTAAAGGAATTCAGCTAATACTCTTTGGTCGAGACAAGCCACTCGTGTGGGACGCCATAGCTACCATCTTGGTGCTGATTTTCCCAAGTCAAAGGTCCGATGCGTGAGAGACGAAGGAGCTCTTCGAATTGTGAGTACTCATCATCAGGTATGTGTAGAGTGAAGGGTTTTGCATCTTCAGGGAGCGAATAAGGCATCTTAAAGACCGGTCGAGGCCGTACTCGTGGGGTTTGGTAGGTAGGTGACTGAAACCGTAAGACTAATGAAACTGGATGTGGATGTGTTTAGTATTCTCTTTTTTGTGAGCCATACCGGCTCCCACCTTATATTAAATAATTACTAGCAAGTGAATGGCGTTACATATTCACTCAGCTCTGCACAAAGATCGACATACCTGCCGGACTCGGATTTTAGACTCCTCTAGGTATACAACAGGGATGTTTTTAGACAGCCCACCCCACTCACCTCAGGGGCCAACTTGAAGACTCTGGGTATTGGCTTTTATTATTGCGCTAGCGGACTAATGGCCTCTAGTAACAGTGTTATTTTGCCTCTGTGCCATCAGCTCGCCGAGGTGGAGAGCATTAATTTACATGACCTATGGAGAGACGGCCAAAAGATGTAAGGTAAGTGAAGTTCTCTGCTGCTATTGAGGGAAGTTTAAAACGAAGGTATTTGATGATGTCTGCTGTGTAAGTCAGTCTCAATCTGTGTGTTGATGTTTCGTTATTCTGCTACCACAGTTGTGACTCACCATGTAGAGGGTTAACCGGTTATTAGGTCCTAGTCATGCAAGTCATCCTAGTGCCATGACTCTCATGACTCACTCTGACTCACCATCATGCTCCAGATGGCTCGTCTGCCGTCTAACCAAATTGCGGGGGCCATTTTTATCCGATTGAAGTGTTACATGGGCGGGCTCGGTGTTTAAACAATCCCGTGAACCCGAACGCCCTGGAGCGTGGAAGAATCCTTCTGTCAAACGCCGCGCGTCATTGCCTTTGCGACATACATGGCCCATACACAGGTCCACTTGGTTTTACCGTTCTTTCTCCTCAACCATGGAACCTCCACCACAGATATGGTCGCGGAATATGGGTTCCGGAAGTGACGTTATTTTGACCTCCGTACTATTCCCCCACTGAAGCAATCCAGCTCATGAGAATTAACTAAGCAAGCAAAGTTAAAGTTTCTAAACCAGGCCTCCCAATCATTGTCGTCACGTACCCCAATTGAACTCGAAAACCATCACTCATGCGCTTCTCCTAGTCATATCGTTACAAATTGGCATTATGGCCGAACCACCACCGAATGAAGTGGTCGTGGGACTGCCAACATGGACTACCCCTAGTTACACTCAAACAGTGATTGGCAAAAAGTCGTATCTGTCAGACGACCTGGATGAGTTTCGGGGCATCCCATTCGGACAAGTGACCAAGCGATGGGAGCATGCAAAACTCCGCACTCGTCTTCCCTACGACGTTTTTGACGCGACCAAGAACGGGTATGTTTTCGTAAAATAGGCGTAACAACAACCAGGTTTCTATTTTTGCACTCTCATATTCTGACCTTATCCACTAGGCCCATATGTCCCCAACCGAGCGCAGCAAGAAACAGCGAATACTTCCAAGCGCACTTGACTTTTCCAGACCTTGAAGCATCAGAATTCAACTGTTTGAACCTTCTTATCGTCCGTCCTAGTGCGGCTGGATTGTCTCGTGCGGGGATTGACGAATCATCCAAGTTACCTGTTCTCGTTTACATCCATGGCGGTGCTAGAACTGGTGGGGGCAGCGATCCTATGTATGGTGAGTGAAAATCGACCTTGTCGCTCGGCCCATACGTCAGGCCAAGGAGGATGATCACTCATGGCTAATTCCTTGAGACTAGACCCTTCCCGTCTCGTACTTCGGTCTCTGGAAATTGGTTTTCCCATCATCGCCGTCAACCTCAACTACCGGGCCGGCGTATTTGGCTTTCTCGGCTCCGCCGACGTCCTGAAGACTCAAGATCGAACAGAGGTTATGGGCCTCAACTTCGGCCTGTATGACCAGAAAGTTGGCCTAACGTGGGTGGCGCACAACATTATGCAGTTTGGCGGTGACCCTGAGCAAATCACCTTGGGCGGCGGCTCGGCAGGAGGCAGTTGCGTGTACGCTCACCTTCTCGATGCCGATGCCCACGCGGAGAAACCTCTCTTCCAGAGAGCCCTCGTGCAGTCGGGCGCCATGTTGACCCTGTTGCCAATGCCGCTCGCCGAGGCCGAAGCCAACTGGGACAAGCTGTGTCAACACTGGGGTATTGAGGCTGAGAGCAGTAGCCAGTATAAAGTGGAATCGCTGCGCCACGTCTCAACGGCGGCCATGCTTCAATCTGCTCTTGAGAACCATGTCTTCATGCTGCCGCCTATTGCTGACGGCTTGACCTTGACCAAGGAGACTGCGGCACTCCCCTGCGTGGATCTACGGCGGGAGATTAAATCCATGGGCTACAGGCCTGTTGAAGTCATGATAGGCGCAACCGACGTGGAAGTAAGTTGCCTTCCTCTCTAATTACCAACATGCATCTAGCCTGTAACCCCCGCAAGCTACAACGCAACTGCTAATCAATGTTGAAACAGTCAGCTGGTCATGCCCAATGCCATGTTGACGTCCAAAAGCTGCGCCAAGGATTCGCTGAAAGCTACCCAACACCTGAGGCGGGCGCCCAGGTCTTAGAAGCCTACGGTCTCGTCCAAGGTTTTGAACAGAGTGCCCTGCGAGCAGGCCTGGAGCGATTACACTCAGATATAATCTTTGATCTGGGTATCTACCGCGCGCGAGCCTTGCTCTGTGCCCAGCGCCGCGCCGAGTACGGTGACGCCACCAGCATTCAGCCCTACCACATCGAATTCGGGAATCCGTTTCCTGGACTCAAAAGAGGATGTGCGCATCACGGCATCGAAGCCATCTACATGTTTGATGCGTTCCATGACGCCCTTGCCGACGCGGACAACGGAGTCTTCAAGGCATACCCAGAATCTTATGCAAAGCGCACCGCAGGGTCAGAAGCAGAGTCTGCTTTGGAGGAGACGATTGCCGATTCAGAAACTCTCGCGGTGAATCACCTCGAGCTGGTAAAGGGCTTCCAAGACCATCTAATTGGCTTCATTGTTGGAAATCCCGCGCAAAGAGTTGCACAGGATGAGATATTCATCTGGGGCAAGGACGGATCATCGAGGGTTGAGCACCTGGTGGAAACCCCAAGGTGGGCGGAGAGAATCGACCGGCTGAAGCTGCTTGAAAAGGACACTTCTTCTGTGATGAAGGCGCTTCGGATCCTCTAACAAACTTCGTGTTCCGATAAAATCCTTCAGCACCAAAACCGTGCTTCTGCTTTCGCTAGTGGGGTCTCCTCGAGGGCATCGTTCGCCGACAACTAATGTTAGTTTGCGATTATTGCTTTATTTTCGTTTATCGCCCGCGTCTTCCCCCATTCAGTATCCGCAGTGCCAACGTTTTCAATGGCGGATGCCCCATGACCCCCTGCTGGCGCCATAATCCCCGGCACTTCGTATTGATGGTCCCACTTGGTGTTGGTGGCGGAGGGCGCTATGGCGATGGAAGCTGGGCAAGGGCGCTGCTGCAATGTGAGATGGTGGTTTTGTCTTGTCGCGGGGATGGGTGGTGCTCCTTGGATGCTTCAAACAAATTCCACCCAAGCATCAAAACACCTGAAAAAACACTTTGGCCGCAGGATGAGTCGGGGAGAGCGGTAGAGACCTGCCAGTGAGGCTGCTCGGTGCTTAATTGCATCAAGTGGCAACAGCATATCTAATGAAGTGTATGGCGTTAATGGCAATCATTCGTCAATAAGCTTGACTCTGAAATGGTTTTGAATGTGAATGCTCATCCCTTCCCCGAGGTTGCCATTCCAGAACCAACATATCTTTCCTGTCAGGCTAACATGACAGCCAGGCCGCAGAGTCGTTGGATCTTGGGAGTGGTGCCTGATCCCCCTCATCAGGGGCTAAAGCCAGAGTCCACGCAATCACTGCGCAGCCAAAAAACCTGATTGGCGCTATCGTACCGGATTGTCGGCACAGCCCCCGTCTAAGTGGGAAGCACGTATGGGGCACAAAGGGGCCGGGTGCCATTAGCTTGGCTTGACGCATTCTAGATAATACGATTAGATTAGTTTCTAAGACATGGCGGGCGAGCACTGCCCAGCTGGAAAAAAGACAGAGGGCTAGGCAGTCGTCTCGAATTTACCACCATTCCTTTGGTAATATTCGTATTTCTTCTTCTTTTTCGTTCTTCTTTTCCTTAATTCTCCCTGAGCCGTCCTTCCGTCACCATCAAGGTGACCGCCTCCCTCAGTATGCGTCCCTTCTTCCTCCTTGCCATCCCTCCCCTTGTCTTCCTCCTCTTCTGGATCTCACACCGTCCACGCTTTGACCAGGCTTCCGCTCATTGCATCTCCGTGTCTGACTTTAATCTCTCCTCCTCCCTCCCACGACTCGACTTTACCGCCCAAGGCGCGTCCCATCGCGACTACTACGCTTCCGAAGCCGCACACGACCTCTGCGCCGCCCACGGATACGATGTCTTTAAGCCTGGTGCTGCACCCCGCTCCGGTGAGCGCAAAGTTTACGACCTCTTTATGGTGAACACAGAGCTCGACTTTCTTGAGATTCGTCTACGAACCCTCTACGACTATGTCGACTACTTCATCATTGTTGAATCCACGCGCAGCTTTCAAGGAGGAGAGAAAGAACTCCTCATTCGCAACGCCTGGGACCAATTCTCCGATTTCCACGACAAGATGATATATCATCAGCTGCAATTTCCTGAGGACTTCAAACTCAAACTCAAGACAGCATGGGACTACGAGAACTTTCAGCGTGATGCCATGCTCCTCCAAGTCTTCCCATCTCTCAGTGGCCGAAAAGCCCCCGTCGAGGGTGACGCTATCATCGTGGCTGATGTTGATGAAATTCCCCGCCCCGCCACCCTACTTGTCCTGCGAACATGCGAGTTTCCCCGCTATCTCACCCTCGCCTCCCGGTTCTACTATTACTCGTTCCAATTCCTTCATAAGGGAGCCGAGTGGCAGCATCCCCAGGCGACGTATTTCGAGGGCATGGACAAGACGATCCGGCCGACGAATCTTCGCAACGGCGACGAAGGCATTTTCCTGCTGCGGGAGCTAGAAAAGGGCATCTTGGGCAATGCTGCGTGGCATTGCAGCTCCTGCTTTGCAACCATCGGCCAGTTCCTCAACAAGATGACCAGCTTTTCACACATATGGATGAATGACAAGTCCTACCAGGATCGCGACCGAATCGCCGACGCTGTGCGCAGCGGCTCGGACCTCTGGGGTCGCTGGAGGGACCAATTTAACCGCGTTGAGAACAATATGGACGTGCCGACGTTTCTGCTTGAAAATAAGGAGCGATTCCGGTACATGTTGAACCGGGATGGCGAGACGGCGGGTTTCAGCGACTATCCGTGATGAGGGTTTGCAACCGGCGTAAGGAGTATATAGATATAGATTTGAGACATATGAAATACCAAATCACACGATTAGTTGGGTAGCGGGAAGTGTTGATTTATCAAGAGGTTAGGGTGCCCTAGTACACACATACCCAGAGGGGGGACTAGAAGCTCAACAGTAGTTAATATTGATATTTATTTCATACTAATATGGATGAATAATAAGTTCTACAGACAAATACATACTACACTTAATTTCAAAATAGGATTTTGTAAAAATATTACTTTACTAAACTATACTTAAGTTGAATGAAATTTTGAAGTTAGGCTTACTATTATATAACATGAATATAAAACACTATAAAAGATCTCACTCCCCAAGACATATATTAAATAGAGAAAAGTAAGCCTAAATAGATCAACATAAGAAAGATATAGGACCTACCCTATTCTTAAGGAGCAGAGGAGTCACAGAATACAACTCTTGACCACGCTCTTTATATTCCGGAATCATACTTGAATCTACTGACTGTCTGTATCAGTGTTGTAGAAGGGAGAGGGGTCGCATCTTGATCAACACGTAGAAAGTCAAAATTACATTCTAAACATGTTCTCCCTGGGTCAAAAAACTCATATCTCCTACACAGCAACAGCGCAACACAGACAAACGGGTTAGCTGACGTTGTTAATCTAACCATCCCGGAACGGATGATACCTGCACTGCTCAAATCCAGACGTGATTGGGAATGGTGGGGTTGGTTCAACTGAAGTACTAGATATCCTCCTGCGAGCTTGACATCTCACCGGTTGCAGATTATTAGGGGATGCGAAGACTCGGATTGAAACTGCCAGCGTAATTTTTTTAACTGGCTACAGGTTGGTTTCCAAGTTTTATCACCTTATTAACACAACCCATGATACTGACTAAGTCGAGTGCAAGTCTCGTCACCCACACTGTGACTGCAGTTGTTAGCGTATGATCTCAGTGATTGATTGACAGTACCCCAGCACGCTACGCATGTCTTTTCTCACCCGCCATTCAGACCATCCGCAGACGCGACGGGAAGGGTAATATGGCTGTGCTCAAGCTCACATACACGATCATGGTTCAATTTTTATTTACGCAGACTATCTCAAAAGCCAGACCACACATTGAGGTCTTAATTGGGAACGCTGTTCAGTTTAACCGGCGGACTGTATAAGAAACTTCCACTTTATTCAAAGATATATTAGATAACTCTATGGAGCTTTTCAGCAAACTATTAAGTCATTAAAGGGACCTCAGTCTCAATTTAGAACAATTGGCTACAAAGTGAAAGATATCTCTCCTTTAATGTCAAATTCCTGCGCTTAACGTCAAAATAATATCGTGCAATCCAGCTGACTAGATTATTGTAATAAAGTGTAGTAAAGTCACTTGAGGACGTATTTACAATGTTCTTCCCTAGTTACAGGCTCTCTGAAGCATGATAGGTATTCCTCAAGGCGAACCTACTAAGCAAGGAATACCATGCAAATGCACTCGCACTCTAACAGGAATGATCTGCATAGGCTAGTCCCTTAGTGCGGGTATTCTCGGACTGTATCACTAACTAGGAAAGGTTTCAACTCCACCGGTTGATATCCTCGGCTCTAATCTCTCTCCACACTACCCACATTCCTTATTTAGCTCTGCTTCCCTCTTTCGCGCAACTGCGCGTTTTCTAGTCTTTACTTCTTTCCAACCTAGCTTCTCCCTAGCTTCTCCCTAGCTTCTCCCTAGTTTCATCCATCGATATCTTTTGGACCTTTGGTTCTGTCGCGTGACAATGCGCGTGGCTGTTATTGGTGGTGGAGCCTCTGGCCTGGTCCAGCTTAAGACGCTCCTCCACGCCCACGAGCATCTCGGCTGCGATGAGTTCGAACCCCGCTTATTTGAGGCAAGCTCGAAAGTCGGCGGCGTGTTTCACTCCCATGTCTACGAGGACGCTGAACTAGTGTCCTCCAAGTACTTGACATCATTCTCGGACTTCAGACCGAAACCGGATGACGAGGACTTCCTCTCAGCTGAGCGATATGTCGAGTATTTGGAGGAGTATGCTACACACTTTGGACTGTGGAAGTGGATCGACCTAGAGACCAAGGTGGTGAACATCAAACGGCAGGGAGGGGGACATGTTGTTGTGTATCAGAAACCCAATGGAACCATCGAGGAGTGGCCATGTGAAGCCGTCGCCATCTGTTCTGGCGTCCATTCTAAACCAAACATCCCTTCCATCTCGGGCATCGAGCATGTCCCCACCGTCATGCATTCTTCGGATTTCAAGACCCGCGCCCAGCTGGGCAAGGACAAAACAGTCATGGTGCTTGGGAGTGGCGAGACGGGCGCGGATGTCTTATACGTCTCCATAACCGCCGACACGAAACGGGTTGTTCTATGTCACCGCAGCGGGTGGGTTGGGGCTCCAAAGGTATTATCCTCGAATGCCTTGAGAAGTTTTGTTTCTGACTCTGTTTCCAGCGGAACCCCCATCAGCAGGTTCTTCCTTGGCTGTTTGGTTATGCACCCCCAGAGGAGAAGACCCTACCTGTCGATGTTGCTCAGATCACTCTATTCGACACCATGTACGTGCATCCCATAGTGCGGGATAGTATGATCGTTTGGAACTACTATCACACGCTAGCTTTGCCTATTGCAACTTGGGTGGGTAGTGGCAGCAAGTATGGGATAGACATGCATGTTGGACAGGTCTGGGGAGAGCGATTCCACATCTCAAGGTGTAAGTGAACTGGCAATGGCCTGCGGACAACATGCTGATCACTGAGTGCAGTATTCTTGAACAAAGCTTGGACAAGAGTGTCGCCGTACATCTACTATCCCTGGATCCCTGAGAGATGGACCCTTGCAACAAGAATCCGCCGCTTCTTGATGGCTCGAGACCTACCCCGTCCCTCGCGGACAATCGACGTGGCTCCATTCCCATCACACATCTCCGAGGACGGCGTTGCGCACTTCCCCATTGTCCCAAACCGGCCGGAATCAGAGCGTATCCAGCAATCGACCATCAAACCTGATATCCTCATCTATGCTACCGGCTACGTCCCGACTTTTCCTTTCCTCGACACATCCTCGAGCGACAATCCCTATCCTACCTCAACCCAAGCTGACGTTCGCGCAGTCTGGAAGAGAGACGATCCCAGCGTTGGATTCATCGGCTTCGTCCGGCCTAACTTTGGCGCCATCCCTGCCCTGGCCGAGCTCCAATCCATGCTCTTTATCCAAAACCTCGTCGGCCAACTGCCTCCCCTGGATCCAGAGGACGAGTACCACTATCGACTCATCGTCCCCCCCTCTGCGCGCATCGGCTACGGCGTCGAGCATGACTCATACGCCTACCAGTTAGCAAAGGACATGACCATCGCGCCCAGCTTCACCGATATCCTACGCCTCTCTTTCGGCGCGTCCCGCGGCTGGAGACTCCCTTGGGTCTGGGCCGCCGGCGGCGCCCTAAATCCCAAGTTCAGGCTCGTAGGGCCGTGGAAGTGGGACGGCGCTGCGGACGTGCTGACGGGGGAGTGCTGGGAGACTATCTCGAGGCGGAAGAACATCTTTGGGAACTTATCAATTGCTGTGCTACCGATGATTTACCTGGGGAGCTGGAGTTTGTATTACTGGGCTTACTCACACTTTTGGAATGGCCTCGCAAGAATTGGTGTTGCGAAGCCTTTGGAAATTGAGAATGTGCCCAAGAGGTTAATGGAGGAGCTAGCATTGAAGGAGATGATGTAGAGGTGTATATGGATGAATTGCGACATTGCAGACCCTAATACAAGGTATTTCAGATTATATCTAGAAGCCGCCTCGTTACAATTCCAGTTATGTGCACTGTTAGAAGAGTTTATAAAAGTGACGATAAGGTTCGTAAACTGGACTCTAGGGTAGGCTAATGCTGAACCCTGAAACTATCAGAAACTACGGCTTAGGGGGCTGCTATATTGATATTCCGCCCCGAGTCTTGCATGAATTAATCACAACGGCCTTGTTAAATAGGCCGTGAAGTTCCCTGTGGTTAGTGAGATGTACAGACGGCTGAGATGTATGATTCGTATAATACAGTAGGCATTCTCTTTACTACTCGACATCCCAAAGTTACCTCGACTAATTAGACAAGGATTAAACGTCACCTTACTGCTCTTATAGCCGATACTAGATACAGCTGAGTATAAGTATTCCAGTTAAGTGAAACTCTTTACCGTCTCTTGAATTCCATCTTCAAAGCCGGTCCACTCATCCTGATGAGCCCATTCCTTCAACAGTCGTCGCGCAAGAGTGTCATCGGTCGTGGCAAGAATCTTTCCCATTCCCGACAGATCGTCAACAAAATGGTGGGTCGGATATAGGCGTCGTAAAACGGTCAAAACATCGTTCCAGTTGAAGGGTGTAGCCCAAGCCTGGATCCTTTCCTCTTTGACTCGCGGATCCAATAGGGCCGCGACATGCAAAGTGGCGACATCCTTGACATTGACATAAATTGCTAAATCTTATTAGCCGGTGCACTTTGAATGATTCTAGGACACGCTCACCTGCAGGTAACATGCCAAGCTGGCTTGTATCCCCCTTCCACAATTGCTCGACCCAGCCCACAGCCCCTCTCACATGGGTTGGGTGAAGCGCCTGCCCCAGTGTGGTGAATGGACTGACGACATTGACGGTAAATCCAGGATTCTGTTCCTTGGCGAATTTCCACACTGCCTTCTCTGCTTCAACTTTGCTGGCAATGTAAGTCACGAGCGAGCGGGAGCCCTCATATGGGGGCGGAGCCCATGCTGCCTGCACAGCAGCATCGTTCCACGAGTCACGGCCGATCTGCCCCTCTACACCGGGCATAGGCATCACAGCCGCTGCTGCAGTAGAGGTGTACACTACGCGGCGGACAGACGGCTGAGCAGCGGCAGCTCGAAGAAGCGAGAGCACTCCTTCCACGGTCTGTGGGATGACGTTGTTGGGGTCCGGGTCGAAACTCGTGATGGTAGCGACGTGGGCTACACCCGAGACGCCCTTGACCGCTTCATTGAAGGCTTCGGGTGCTGCGAGATCTGGCACCTGGACAAGTTCAAGTTTGCCGGCGGCGTGCTCAGTCGAGAAGAGCTCATCTTTGAGCCATGAGGCCTTGGACAAGTCACGCACTGTGCCGCGGACGTTGTAGCCACCGGCGAATAGCTGTTGCGCAATGTGCGTTGCGATGTATCCTGTCAGGCCGGTGATGAGGATAATGGAGCCCTTGGGGATAACTGAGGTTGGTTCAGACATGTCGAAAAGTGGTAATCGGGGTGATGAGTTGGTTAAATTGTGACGAGATGAGTTGGTTGAACTGTGATGAGGAGCGGAGGAATTGCAGCCAAGTTATACTCGTCGGTCCTGCCCATTTTCTTCTCATGTGCATTCAATGGCCATCATGGATCGGCTCGCTCGGCTGTCAATTGCAGATTCTATCATTTGGAACAGGGTAAAAAGTTCAGATAGCGAGGAAGCATGATGAATCGTCTGGACAGATTAGAAATCAGTTTGGAGGCCGGCTGTTGGGAAAGAAATCATCTGAGGAACCTAGAGACTCAGAGTCGTCATGGTTACACGACCATTACCCAGAACCTTCAAAGTTTCCGTTTTAGGAATGTGTAGAGAAAGCCGGCGTGTTTCTCTAGTCCAGACTTGATCAGACGAGGCTTAGCGGCAGTGTAAGCAGTAGTTTATGGCTGCTGACAAATTCTTGTGTCCATGCTCACGACAACAATTTATGACTTGGGGTGATGAATCTGATTCTACAACTTCCAATTGCGGAAGGTCAAAAAGATTGCATACGCAGAAACCTCTACACCTGAAGATGCAGGTCCGCCGCTGGAAACACATCTCGGGAGAAAGTCGTGCCGCTGGCGAGTCAAGCACAGCGGCCCACCAGACACCCGTATCTGGGATGACCCGGTCTAGGAGGAGAGTGGCAGTGCAGTTCATCAACGCGTCTCATCCACGCGACGTCACCTCTGCCGAAGCAAAGAAGAAGATTCGCTCTCATGTTGCAAAGGATATCCACGCAAGCCGCCACAGTCGAAACAGATACGATAGTCAAGTCGAGGAACGAGAATCAGCAGAGCTCAACGTGCCACTTCCTGCACCAGAGTGCTTGCTCAGCTCGAGCCGCAAGGACCCGTTCCAGAGCTTTGCAAGGCCAGTTACCGAGATGGAGCACTTTCTCATCGATCACTGTAGGGGACATGAAACGTCTCATCGATATGAAGCTTACCTGATGTGCCCTTTAGATGTTACCATCGTTATTCCCAACGCGAGCTCTTATTGCGACCACGGTGACGCCGAGGCCCTGTTTCTTACTGGAATGAGATCACATTGGCTTCCTCTTGCATTTTCGGATGTTGGCCTCCTTTGCGGCCTGCTTCTTGCCGCGTGTCGACATCTGCTCATAGCTGGTCCGGCTGTTAACAAGGAGTATGCGGGGATGGCCTTACGATACAAAGGCGAGTGCATAAAATCGACTAATCAAGCTGTCGTGACAGAGGGGACGTCAGTCAGTGATGCTACAATTGGGAAAGCCTTGATCATGTCTTCGGACGAGGTAAGGTCCCCGCGCAAGTTTCCGAACCCACAGCCACTTGTTATTGACACCAGATGCATCTAGTTTCTCTGCGGAAACATGGAGATTTCCCGCCTTCATGCAGACGCCATTATCAGAATGGTCTCATTAAAGGGTGGGCTGCGTAATCTAGGTGCAGGCGGCTTCTTGAGGTCTTTGGTCACATGGTGTGTTATGCACCCAATGTTTGGAGAGGGTGAATCTTTGATTTTGGAAGAATAAACAGTTCCCAATCACAAGACTTGCGGAGATTTGACAGCGGAGGAGTCCAACACACCCGCCCTAGATATATCCACTATTAGGCCACCTATTCCATGTCATCATTTTTCCCCTTTTCGGAAGTTGTACAGAGTTAGGGCGTCAGCATGAGACTAAGCGGAACATACCAGAATAAACATGATGATGCAAACCCAGATTCACCGGGTCAAAGACCTTGACTGCTTACATATATCTCGTCATTCATAGGCATTCGTTCTATTAGTCCCAAGGTCACGCTTGTATAAAAGCAATAACATAAAAACCGGGCTGGTGCTTCTCCAGAGCTACAGAAATCCACTACACACCTTTTCGCTACCTCTTCCTAAGACATGCCAGACCAACCGAAAATCGTCTCTCAGACTATGCGTGCTTGGAATTTCAGCACCGCGGGTGACCCATCCTCTGTTCTTTCTTTCAGTGCCTCATTCCCGACGCCACCGTCCCCAACAGGGTCCCAGCTCCTCGTGCACATCTCCCATGCGGGCCTATCTTCGGCTGGTCTTAACTTGATGCGACAGATCCCGTCTTCCTTTCGGATGAATGCCGTTCCTGAAATCGACTTCTCCGGTCGCGTCGTATCCGCCGGCCCCTCAGTTCCAGCCCGCTTTTCCCCCGGTACGGCCATCTTCGGGACTGTTTCCAAGAGCGCCAGCGTATTGTCTGGTGTAGGAGTGTTGGCCGAGTATGTCCTGGTCAAGGCCGACTGCGTGGCCGTTAAGCCAGTGAATATGAGCTTTGCCGAGGCTGCTGGCTTGAGCGGTTTAGGGCAGACTGCGCTGGAAATGATCAGGCGAGGTGAAGTCAAGCAAGGGAAGCGTGCCCTCATCAACGGTGGGAGTGGCGGTGTCGGAATGGTTGCGGTGCAACTAGTAAAGGCATTAGGTGGATATGTTGTGGCGACTTGCTCTGGGCAGAATGTTGACACAGTAAAGAGCCTGGGCGCCGACGAGGTGAGATATAAAACAAACCATACAAATGACAGCTAATCGGGTACGTGTAGGTCATAGATTACGCCAGCGTGGAATCATTACCGGAGCATCTTGCTCGAACATATGGGAGTAGCCAATTTGATGTCATCCTCGACACAGTTGGATCTCAATCCTTATACAAATCCTCACCCAAATATTTGAAAGCTGGATCGCCTTTTGTCAACGTCGGTACCACGCAAGATACAAGCCAGGCCGGAAGTATATGGCGTTGGGCAACAAACTCCAATCTTCCAGCTATGCTGGGTGGTGTTCCGAGGAAATATATCATGTTCAGCGCCCCTCTTAGCGGAAAAGGTGCAGAGACGCTGGCCACGTTCGTGGAAGAAGGCAGCTTGAAGATTATTATCGATTCAACCTTCGCACTGGAAGATGTCCTTGAGGTGAGATTACTCTACGTTTGTTGATTGCAACCATTCTGACAGATCACCAAGGCATATGAACGGGGTACGAGTAGGAAAGCTCGTGGCAAGGTAGTTATCAGGATCGGGGATTTCGATAACGAGAATATCACATACTGAGGTTGTGATTTTTTTGCTCTAGCATCCGAGCACCTCTCGTAATTGACTGGAGAGGATGTAAGGATTGGACAGTACATTAATACCCTCCCATCAATCTTCTATTTGAACCTATAGGCAATATAGCGACTAAGTAAATGAAGCTAGATCTGAAATGATCTAAGTTGCAATTGCCGTCGACATTCCCCGAAGACATACCGCGAGAAGTAACTTGCTAGAAAAGTGTTCAAGTGACTCGGCTCAGCGGACGGAACCATGTTATGCTCAATCCAAGAGCTACTTTTAATTTATCATATCAAAAAAATCCCCCTACTTCGTTACCTAGGTAGGTGACGATACACGATCACAAGCCACATCCCGAGTTGGTTTTTCACTCACAGACAATCAGGCAGCCCAGGTGGATAGAGAGAATGTAACGTAGAATGAAAGAAACAGAGCATATATTATAGTAAGAGAACCACCAAGCTGGTTCACGTGTATCAGATATGTGTACATTAGAACTATTTAACCGACCAAGGGCTTGCTACCCTTTGGAAGAGTGACTCTGAAGACCAGCATCTGATTATCAAGATCATATCCTGACTCATCTGAAAACGGGGTTCGACCAAAGTTCATGAAGCCTGTCAAGTTTAAGTCAGTAGTAGACTAAAAATGTGGCAGAGGAAGACGTACCGTTCTGAGTGACAAAGTCATTGTCAGATGAAGCGAACAGGAAATACTCATCACCATCAGAGTTCCCAGTGCGATCTTTGCGATCGACTGGAACTAGAGCAATACCTTCCCATTTTTCGTTCAGGAGCGCGCCATCCTGAGAGCCTCCGTTATGCATCCCGAAGCGATTGAGTTGCGAGTTGATATTGAAGTCGAGAAAAGGACAGACTGTGGCAGGTACAATATTGTCATCGAGAACACCATCTGCTAATTTTAGCATGCAACTCTCGTGGAACGTGAGAAGGCTTAACGCACCTGAGCTAGCGATTGTGTCGCTGAAACCATCATGTGTCGCACTTTTCACATTTGTGGCTGCGGAAATGTCGAAGATATCAATGTGTCGGTAAACAGACTCCGAGCTCGACATCCCATGTCCATTGTTCGAGTCTCTCGGGAGGAAGAAAAATTGTTTGTCCGACACAAAGTGCATCTCGGACTGGGCTGCAACGAGCTTCTTGCCGCTCGCGTCCGTAAAGGTCGGCAACGGAACAACATACTCGGCCTTATAGACAGGAGTTGGAGTATGGCCATGTCCACCCTTGCCATCCTTGATCGAGTACTGCAAGAGACGAGAGTACCGACGAGTCTTCTTCGCTTGACCACCTTCCTGAAGTGCGGCAGATTGAAGAAGCACCCAGAGGGACTTGCCATCTGGGCTGGCTGTCATTCCCTCAAAGCCCTGGTTGTTTTGGCGGCCCTGCGTGGGGTTGGAGGGCACAGGTTCCTTTCCGGGGTTGTATAGAGGAGGGTTGTCTGAGGAGAAGCTGGGAATGTTCCTTTAGTACGTACCCAGATGAATCATGTCCCCGTAGGAGGGACTCACCTCACAGATCCGTTTCTCAAAGGAAGAATGGCGTCGGGCGGCGCGACGGCGACGGTCATTTTCCCCTTCTTGTCGAACTTGTAGATATACGGACCGTACTCATCACTAATCCAGAATCCCCCGTCTTCCGCGAGAACCAATGCCTCGGCGTCAAGCGTAGCACGCTTACCACCGGAGCCATCGCCACCAAATCCGTCCCCAGTGTAGGTGGCAGCGGGTAGGGTAGGAAAACCAGGATATTCTAGGCCACCCGTCTGGTCCGCATCCAGGCCAGTCATGGGTTTACCATCTGGTCCTGTAAGCAAGATGGTGTCCTCATAGACAAAGGCGACGTTTGGAGGCGAAGGATCCTGAATGGTAGCTCCAGAAGCCAAGGTCAACGTCACGGTGAACTCGTGAATGCGGGGTTGAAAATTGACAGTGCCGTTTGTGTTCCATCCGCGGTCTGGCAAGCCGTATAATTTTCCTTGGTATTTGGAACCCTTTTTGGCCCAAGACGCAAAAGCGATGGAAGATCCAAGGCTAATGGTGTCGCCATACTTGTCTCGAGCAGCGCTTGGTACGAAGCCGTAGCCAGCGAGTTCATTATAAGTATACGACTTGCCATTGCAAGTGGTTGAGAGGACAGCATATGTTGATGATGCAGGGGTGGCTACAGCGACGGAGGCCGTGATGGCTAGAGCCGCCAGTGACGAAAGCCGTCCAACCATTGGGATGTGAGGGCACAAAACAGTAACGAGACTGGATTTTGCAATTATTCGCTTCTTGTCCGACTTGTTGGGGGTACAATGCTTTAAAAGGCAGCCACGGAATGCCCTGTTGATACATGGGGTTTTCAGCTCCAAAAGACCTCTTTACCGAAGGCCCTTTCTGGAATAGCCTTGGTATCATTGCGGGCCAACACCCGTAAGCTGGCCAATTGCTAGCTATGCCCTCTTCGAGAGCGATCGTCGTACCCTCGTCCAACGTATTATCATGTCAGGGAGGGTGGCACTAGACTTAGTGCCTTATTTCCGAGTGAATTGCAGCCGCCTCTTATTTCGCCTGTCTCTCCCACGTGCCCAGGGGATCTGGGAGACAGCCAGTAGGGCCTTAATTTATGGCCAGACTCTTGCGTAAAGTCGTTGCACTAGAAGCCAGAAACATTGACCGAGTTGATGGAATCAGTGTGGTCCCAGATACGCTATTGTTCGGACCCCGAACGTTCTGTATTCAATTGTGATTTATGTAGAACTGTTTTTCCGGCCTACAAGTTCCACCTTAGATGGTTCCTTTTGCTCCAGTCGCGTAACTTTGAGTATCAATTACTATAACAAGAGCTGTTCTAACTTAAAATCTGTTAGACTGGTGCCTTCGACGAGAACCTATATAGCGCAGCTGCAATGTGCAGGCAGGCTGTTGACGGGTTTCGGAAATCTGCCGCTTATCTCCCAATCTGGGTCCTACCCGGTGCTCATTGAGAATACCGACATCTCTTCGCATCTATCCTCTTTTGTTAACACTAATATCATTTGGCTTGTAGTCGCAAACCTCGTGATGACCGAAACCCCACATCCAGTCTCACCAACTCCCTATGAGTGGGCGCCGTGTTGTGTGGCAGCAGCTCATCTAACACGTTGGCTAGCTACTCAAGACGTCGGCAGTCAACAGCCACCAGTCACTTAACGAATACCTATCCGGCTAGCGTCTCTGGGATCATCGCTACGAATTAAGGGATAGGTATTGCAGCCCGGCCTCGGCGAACCCAGCCGTGCTCCCCTTAAGCATGCTGTGGGCTTTGGAAACTAGCCTCACCTTCACTATTGTTGCCTGGTCCAGTCTTTGCAGTAGCAGCGATAATGTGGGTGTTTTGGCAACAAAGCGTGGTCCGAATGCAGCGCTTCACCGAAAATGTACTGAGCCCAAACCCCATCGTCCGTTCAATCATGCTGGGTGGCTCCAACTTCTGAGAGAGCAGCTCCGACGAACATTAGTTAAGGAGTCATTCGCCTAGGCAAGCAAAGATCGCGTGACGTGCTATTCCAAGCAGAGTGCGTAATCAACCAACCTATTTCCAATCGGTTGAAGCCGTTGGACCCTACAACTGGGGGTCTGACTCAACTGAGATCTCGCCCCCGTGCTTCGCAACCGGGGGATGAGAATTCCCCCTCTTACGAGTACTTATCTCGGGAGTGTGCCGGAGATTCCTCACCTGGTCCCAGTGCCGAGCGATCCGCTTTGGCATCTGGAAAACACGTTCCGCCATGCCCAGCTTTTCTTTATCAGTTCAGACCCATGAAGACTCATATCTAGTAGCCTGGGGTCTGCGTGGAAGTCCAGCGGCTTGAGTTAGCTCACGAGCTATCAATCGTAGTTGAGATTTCATGGAATGCGTTTCTCATCGAAGAGAATCTGAGCTACTCGATTTCCTCCTTGCTCAGCTTCCTGGGATTAGCCCAAGCTTCCACGCAAATGACACCAGCCCAAAAGACGTGGCTTTCGCAGAGGAAGCACCCTTCATCAGAAATACTGCAAGATCTTGGCAGGAGAGGCTAGAAAGTCCAGGATCAAATTAGTCGAGGAACCCTGGCACTTGTGATGAGCTCTCCGCTGCGGGGCTGCAGAGCGTGCTACGAATAATCCGAACCCGACAGGATCTAACACTAGTTAGGGAACACCGCAGGTCGAGCCATCGAAGTCCATTTAAGGTCTCGGAATAGAGATATAATCCTTGTAGTCCGAACCCGATGGGAACTGTTGGTGGCCCAGGGGCATCCACGGCAGACACAGGGTGATGGCAGAACTCCGATGCAACACACCAATACTAGTCAGTGTATTGAGATCAGTTGACAACATATCGGTCAGGATTTTCGGGGTGTCCACCGGTTGTCCTTTGCACCAGTCGTGAGTCTGACCCAACGCGCATCCGTTACATGAATACGCAACACGAGCTCTGCTTCTTCGCTTACTCTGCCTCCTCCTTAGTTGCTATCGCACGTGCGCAACAGGCATGTCTCTGCTCCTTTGCATGCCACGGAGTATGAACCGGGGAGTAAACGCAGAGAATTAAACGAGCAGGCTGAATTTCTCAGCAATGTTGGAAAAGCGTAGCGAATGCTTAATTCAATCTCAGAGTATCTAACTAAGGAAGCGGGACCAAAGCCCCTCTTTAAGAAATGCAAAGGTGCTGAAGAAAGAAAACATCGACATCACCCGGACCTCCAGCAACATAGTCCAAGGTGGCAGAAAGATTTAGAGTGGTTATACTCAACATGGCTTCCAGCCAAATAGCTAGATAACCTTGGCACCGCCGGGCACCAAGTTCGTGATCACCATGTCAGGGTCATACTTCGCCCTAATATCCTTCAATCGCTGCCAGTTCTCCTGGCCGTATCCAGGAAAGACTTCATTGGACTGGGTTTTTTGGCTGGCGCTCAGGAATACAAACGGGAGCACGGAAGAACCAGCGGCTTCAATGTTGGCCCTGATGTCCTCATTCGCTCTGGCATGGGCATTGAACACGGCTTCGTCATCGGTGGCCTCAAGCCAGGATGCACTCTCAACCAACCAGACCTGGGGATCGTTTTGTCCATTGTTAATAAGAGGGCTTCCGTCATTGGCCTCACTCTTTAGTAGGAGGCTTCGTGTGATGGGCATAATGGCCAGCGCGGTGAAGAACCCAGGGACATCAGCCAAGCCCGCAATGCCGTCGAAGTAAGAGTTGATGAGGATGTTGAAGATTTTAGGATCTGCGGGGATGGAGACAGAGTGCCAGAGCTGCCTTCTCCCAGCGTCTGCCGCGTAGTCTACCGAATTCGACCACTGTCCCATAGTCTGTCGAGTGACTTCTCCCGCCACAACCGGCATGACAGGTGCAGTGAAGTTCTGCAAGCCTGGTGCGCTGAAGTTCTGCGAACTGATCTGAGCCGTCTCACCGCTATGGAAGATGAAGGAGTCGTATGTCTTGTTGATATTCGTGGACGGACTCCAGCGGATTTGTCCCTCCACCGCGGTTTTAGGGTCGAAGTCGGCGTTGTGGGCGAAGCCGATCATACTCCGTACGTATTGCTCCTGAGCAGCTGTGCCATAGGAAACTGAGCCGATATCAACGGAAGAGACATTGAGCGTGCGAAGGTCGGCCCGCGTGACAATGCAAAAGTTGTTTCCTCCTCCACGCATCGCCCAGAACAGGTCAGCATTCTTAGTAAGACTGGCCTCGACAATGGTACCGTTTGCGAGGACGCACTATGAATGATTAGGTTTGCATAGCGTTATTGTTACTCAGAGCGAAGATAGCATACCTCAAATGACTGAACTTCAGTGGAAATCGATCCATGCTCGTAAGAAAAGAACCCGATTCCACCTCCAAGGAGTAGTCCGACAACGCCAACGTTGCCCAGGCGGATTCCATCAAGGGTGCGATTAAAGGTATCAAGGTAGGCATAGAACTCCGGCCACCGAATCCCGGGACCTACAGAGACGCTCTGCAGATCGCCAGAAATTCGCATCTCGGTGAAATTCGTACTGGAAATCAAAATGCCTTCTGGGCCTATGTTCGCTGCATTATCAACCGTCATTCCCCCGCCCGCCCGCACCGCAAACGGTACGCTTAGCTCTGCGAACAGCTTCACGGCAAACGAAACCATCTTGGGTGTGTTTGGAGCAAAGACACAGGCGGGCCCGAGCCATGCAGTAGCACTCCAGGAATCTAGAAGCCATAAGCATAAACTCAATCCACGACAGGTTTTGTGGCCCTTACATGTATTCTCAAAGTCATACCGTGCTGTTCCAGGGAAAATAGTTGACTCTGGATAGTGCTGTCGCAGGATTTTGCATCCATCCTGAGTTGGGTTTGCCCGTGGCCGTCGAGAGGCGACAAGGCCAGCCCAAATAAGGGACGGGAAAAGAAGGTAGTGGACAAGCATACTGGTAAAGATAGTGTGGTGAGTGAAATGGCTGAGTGCGTGCGATGCTACTGAACTACAACATCCAATGGTTCTTATATATCATAGCCATACAGACACTCCACGAAGTCTCGGGTCTTGATTGTCTCTCCTGGCTTGGATTGCCGAATCTACGGAAGTCAAATAAAGAGCCAAGGAGAACTACAAGACTGCAAGAATCTTGTGACCAGATCCTTTGAGTCGAATCCGAACCCGACAGTGTTGCGCCTTCCGAATTCAACGTCTGTGCTGACCCTGTTGCTTGTGGAGTTGAGGTTTTTAAACTTGGTTTGTATAGCGAGCTACTCGATCTCTTACAGCCCTGATAGTCCGAGATCCACTGAATCCACCTCGTCTATGTAGTTAACCGCTATCCTTCAGCTGTTGGAGGTACTACGTATAGTAGATGTATTTAAATCTAAGTTACCACGGGTATTCCCCACGCCCAAACGAAAGCTTCCGCAAAAGACCCACTCATCTTCAATCCCTGTTAACGATATAGCATAAGAGATACCCTGATCCACATACCACATTACTGCTGAAATTGCGGGCCGAATCTAAGTTTCCGTCTTAGTAGGGATCATTGCCGCCCGGGGAAATTATGAAGCTATAATAGGCAGAAATTAAGGGCTCTAATAAAAGAGGTGTTCGGGTTCGCATCCTGCCACCTTTGGACGGAACTCCGCAAGCCAGGACTTGGCGTTGTAATCATCTACAAACTCCTTGATTCTTCCTGGGCGAGTGAGAGAGGTTAAACGTTGTGCAGATCACCGTTCTCTGTGCTTGATTGGTAGTTAGAGGCGATAGTCAGCAGCTACAACATGCATGATGTCTATCCGATGGTACTTGGCAAATTAGTCTCATACGAAAGTTTTTTCGACAACAGGGCGGACGGTAACCCCTCTGCGGAGTCGGCTTTATACACAAATTATTGATTGAGACTTATTAGGTCATATGTTTATAGCGTAGGGTGGTATTGTTCGAGACTCAGATCCCTTCTTTGTCTCGGTAGCAGAGGAGCAGGGCAAACTCAAGATGGCTCATATAACGGACGACGACGCTAGAGGCAAGAGGCAAGCCGCCCTCTATTAGTTTGCGGGTGTCTATACCATGGGAGGTGAGAGGCGGGTGGGCATAGTACACCTTAGATAGCAGACCTTAGAAAGCAGCTAATGTGCCACTAGGTGGGGATACTGGTGGTCAGAGATGATCCTTGATAAGAGGGAAGCCGCCAGTCAACATGGCAACACTAAGTGAAAGGTCCAATGGCACCCATTCCCGGAATGACCGAAGCTGGAGCCACTTCCATGCCGCGAATGCCCTTAGTTCTACAGAAAGCATGGCAAAAAAAAGTGCCGCTCTGTCCATGGCCTAGAGGACCCTCTCGTCCCAATTGGAGGATGGGTAGAATGCTACGGTGGATGTGGAAGCGAGATCTTAAACTCCGCCATTCATCTTTCCACGTGCTCCACATGCGGACTAACAATGTGGCATGAATTATACGCGCATTCCAATAGGATCATTCAACTATGCCAACACACCTAGGAAAAGAGAAAACCTTCTACATCCGGTATGGGTATTGTGTCTGTTGAAGTTACCCGGAAAAACAAAAAACGTAGGTAACGCTAAGGGATAGCTACACACGGTGGCGTCACTAGATATTGACCACCAACGTGTTATTCCAGAGTAAGAATTGACTCAGGGTCTCTCTATCAATGATCCAACTGTTGATCAAAGGCCACTATTATGTCTTCTTCCGCAAACTTGGGCGAACCAGAGCTCCTCAAGTCGGATAGCGATTGCTTCGACTCTTGTCGCCTAGCCTTCATAATTGAAGTTCGGGTCTTTGTCTTGAGCGCGGTTCGCAGACTCCTATAAATACCCAGGCTGGGGTATGCAACAGTTCCAAATGCGGCTACAACCCTCGAGTTAGGTTCCTGGACAGTCCTTCTTGCTCTTAAGGTGGGTTAAAGGATTACTTACCGGAGGAGACTTTTGTCGAGAATCCTATGAAACCCTTCGCTAATCCCAGAACGCCTCCGGTGACGCCAGACTGGATTGTGCCTTCAATTGGTTTAACCGCCAAGTCAGCGAAGCCCTCTCCGATTCCAAGGACCAAGCTTTTTCCCGACACGACCAGCCCGGACTTCCAGTCGGTCACTGTGCCGTAGTCCCGAACCTGTTCTCCGTAGAGCTTTGGCAATGCTCGAGAACCTTCGGCAAACGCTAGGGGAATATCGACAAAGACGCCCTTGGAATAATGTTTGAAAAACCCGCCGACACCGGAAGCGGATGCCAAAGCCATGGAACCCGCTATTTTCGCGCCACGAGCGTGGCTTCTGGTGCTTTGCTTGTCGGATTGCGTACCACTCGAAGAGCGTAATGAAAGATTAGTTGCAGAGACCGATCGATGAAGCAGTGGCGGGCTCATTGGTGTCACACCATCAGCTGTAGATTTAATCGAGGATGAGCTAGAACTCGCTTGAACGGCAGTATGTTCGTCGCTTTTCGGAGTCTCTTCTGCAATCGCTGAGCGGTAGGCTTTAACAGGCTTGATAAAGATGTTGGCAACTGATGAAAACATTCCGTAATACGTTGCCACGGCGGCAGATGCTGTTCCTGTGATGGGATCCCATCGCTGGTTCTGAATGAGAATGGGCGAAGAGACGTGCCTAATTTGAGACCACCATGGTTATCAGCCTCGTTATTTCGGGTGCAGAGTCCCATCAAAATGAACGCAATGTCCATGAAATCAATCCAATCAGGAGGCTGAAGTTCACTTACAGATGTAGCTTCTTGGGGTCCACCTTGAGGTGATCGATCAGAATCTCTGCAGCCATACCTGAAAGCTTCACATGTTTCCCTTTCCGCCCTTTCAGCTTATATGTCCAAACTGCAGGGCGATCATCCAGAATATCACACGGCAAGTCAGCAATGGGCAGATGTGCATGAAACGCCTGCACCGCCCTTCTGACACCTGATTCCTGGTTCATTTTCATAGCAATCTGTTGCGCAGAAACACGTATGTCCTCTCTCAGACAAAACCGGATGGCAGCTGCAAGATTGTCACTGTTCAGGGCTTTGAAGGGAGTCGGAGGAGGTCCAGCATTAGCTGCGGCAACAATATGACCCCAAAACGGTTGGCTATATCCAGTCAGCTGTGCTCGCGGGCAGTTTTGTTCCAGGGTTGACAAACTCTCCAAAAAAGGATACAATGGCTGTTGGGCGGCCGCACTTTAAGCCACAGGCCGTGGTGCCGGCACCTCCGTGATGTATCACAGCGGCCACATGCTGGAACAGCCACTCGTGAGGGCAGTCCTCGATGTAGTAAATGCCTTCACGGGACTCCTCTTCTCCCAGTCCACCCCAGCCCTTCGAGATGATGGCTCGCACTCCAGTTGACTCGATAGCTGACAATATGATGCCTGTTACCTTGCTCGGATCATCCATCACAATACTTCCAAAGCCAATATAAATGGGCGCAGGCCCTTGATCGAGAAAGGCCACTAACTCGGAGGGAGGCGTATATTCGGGGGGCTCTCGAAAGATGAAACCAGAAACATCTGCTAATATGAGTCTTCAATCAATCTTGAAGAGGTGCTGAGGTCCTTACCAAGGTGCTCATCCCAGTCTTCGGGCTTGGGTAGTAATGATGGAGACCAACAGTACGTAAATGGGATTCTTAAGGTTTCGATGATGCCTGGACCCTCAGAAAGTGGTACAGGCTCTAGGTCAAGAGCTTTTCGCCAGTCGTTTATCACATCGCCGAGTCTAATGAGCTGTCAGGCAAACTGGAGGAAAAGCACATCTAGGGGCGGAACAGAGAAGATAAACTTACCCGTTCCAAGTCATCCACTCCACCATAGAATAGGAAACAAAGTTTGAGACACCCTGAGTCCCAGATTCTGTCTTTGGCGCCGAGATATTTGCTAGCGGATGGGGAAACGCCCTCGTGGTTGACCAAGGCATGGTGAAGATCATGTGTAGGGGAATACCAAGGGCCTGAGAACAATGCACATGGGCAAAGCTTGGTGGGTTCGCAATGATGGCGTCGGCGACAAACGGTTTCCCCGTTCTTGGGTCGGGATCAATGCATGATCGCCAGCAGCCGTCAAGCATTTCTGCCACCATTTTCCTTTTGTCCTGAATCTCTTTGAGCCGGAGAGATCCCATGTTCGGGATAAGTCCCGGGTTTTTCACCATGTAAGCCATGAGCGCCGAGGGATCGCCACCGATTGGGAAAAACTCGAGACCGGATTCGGTTACAAAACGCTCGAAGACATTGTGCGTCGCCAATCGCACTCTGTGGCCCCAGTTTTGGAGTTCGTTTCCGATTGCAACAAAAGGCTGGACATCTCCACGACTTCCGACGATTTGAATGACAATATTGAGTCGAACATTCCAGTGGCCGGATTTAATCTTCGGTACGACCGTCTCGTTATCCGAATAGCTTGGCGGCTGAGTTGGTTGGGACGGGCCAGCTTCGTCGGGGTTTTCGGTGGGAGGGATCTTGAAATCGGGAACGAACCGTGATAGCGTTCGGAAGAATCTAGAGTCAGCGTCCAGATTGACGCGACCGTCATCTATCTGCGCGTTAGAGTTGCGGAGGGCCGAGGGAGAGGTGCGCCGGAACGAATACCTGTAACACCTGTGCCCCCTTGCAGGTATTCCGATTGAAGCGCTTCGTCGTAAGAAGGCGGAAGTTCGAGTGTGTCGTTGTCGGGGAGAGGTCGTGAATCCGCCATGTTTGCAGAAGAGGGAAATGCACATCCCTGTCCAGAAGATCAAGAATAAAAAAACGTCGTGGGGACGCCAAGAAAGCTTGGAAGTCTTGACGGCAAGGAACGCATGATATATTGACTGGATGGTGGCAAAGCGCCCGTCTGAAACCTAGTTTTGCGAGCCGGTCTCCCTAAACTGGAATGTCTAGGACTTAGAAATGAAACTAGCGGTAAGCGGAGCCAGTCAGAGCACTGTATTGTACACGTATCACGAATGGGGACTAGCATGAATAGTAAAATACGCGTATCGTGAATATATTCCCAACACTACTCCACTCTCAGCTTCAAGCTCCCCATTATATCCCTCATGACTCGATGATCCCAAGCCGAGTACCCGGGCTGACTTTACTAGTTTTGAAAGCGTTTAGAGAAGGCCCGACAAAAAATGCCTAGTCCACTGGCTTGTCGGCAAAAGGGCTCCGATTTGTGTGATAGTTGTTGAATACGTTATGGTTAATTTGATCATATGAATAGTATTCAAAGCAACCGCTGTCTTTATACACCTCGGCCTATGTCATGACCAAGCGGTCAGGACTAGTAGGACGATAGGACCCCGTTTTGGTACGGGCTGGTCCTGTGGTCCCGCCCCAGACCGACGCTCCACCAGGATCGACGATAGCTGTCCCCCAGAGGACATGGCGGTCCGCTTAGGATATAGTCATCTGAGAAGTGCACATCCGGTATAGGCAGTTCCTCAGCTATCAGTAACACTGGGTTACATTCGGTCTCATTTGCTCTATTATTATCAAACGTAACTGACTTATTCAATCTGAAATGCCTGATTCATTGCTAGCAAAAAACATTCAGGATCAGCCTACCCTAGACTCACGAGTATACCTAGTGTGGTGTACCGATCGTCACATAGTAGCTCTATCGAGTGATTCCGCCCCCCTTCGGTAAGTTACGTAAATCTAACTTAGAGCCGTTGATTCTGGTTGTTCATTAGCTGTGTTGTCCTTGGCTTGTCCACCAATGAGTCTTACCTAGAGGGAGGACCCTAATATTAGCCTCAATATTTATCCCTGAATCACTAGCTGCGGCGTGGCTACCATTAAAGCTGGGAATCCCGGAGACCGCTTAAGGTAAGCTTAAAGCAGGTGCAGCGATAGCTTGTTGCGGGTGCCCAACAGCGATGTATATAAGGCCATGAATTTCTTACGTCGGTTCAGTGTTGGGCTGTCAGTTTCATCAGTACTTATAACCCTCGACTGCATACACCTATTGCTCATAGAGTCATAATTGAGTAGCCCTCCTGAAGGTATCATCGCATGTGTATAAACATGCCTCGTCCGAGGCGACAAATTATCTCTCCTTGTGCGCAAGGACAGCAAGTCATTTCACATTGGTAATTTAGGTCCACGCTCTAATACTGATTTTCCATGGTTCGCGATGACTGGGAGAGGAAGAGGGAGGAGCCTGAAAAGCTCTCTCAGATATTCTAGATGAACCATGGACCATCAAAATCAACCCCAATGCCATTTGGACCTATGCCGAGGATAGCTCTGAGCTCAGACATACACTGGCAAAATGATCTATCGGTAAGTATTAATATTGGATCCTCAATTTATGTGAATTAGCTCAGTAAGATATTCATATGGGTATTAACTAGCTACATCGCTGGTGCCAAGGACCAACTGATGTGAATTATCGGGCACTTTGGAGAGGAGGGTAAGGTTGGAATTGACAACATTTACTCCGCCCATACTATCACCCTGGACTTCGATGACAAGCAGGTATCCTACTACGGCTGCGAAGTCCTCGCTGCTGGCGAGCTTGCTCTACTCCTGCAAGAGAGAGATCTGGGTACTAATATCGACGATGAAGAAGCAACTTTACCAAGGCCCTCAACGAGGCCCTTATTAGCCGCAGTAACGGAAACTCCATAAGCGATGCCAGGTGCACCGGAATCAACAAAATTTAAATCCCCGAGCTTGCCCCTGAGCAGGAGACTGAACAAGATTTTGGTCACGGAGGTCCCTCTTGATCCTGCATTCGAGGCCGTTTTCGAGAAGCTCAAGGTTGGCCCCAACTCCTCCGACGGCCGGGAGGTTGCTGACTCTCGAAACACCAGTAGACAGACGTCGCCGCTCTCGTTAGCAGCTAAAGAAGGGCATAAGTCGGTACTGCGGCTGCTCGCTGAGTGGGGCAGCATAGCTGCCAACCTACAAGATCTATGTGGGCAATCGCCTCTCTTAGAGGCAGCGGCGAGAGGAAATGAGGGTGCAGTGTAGCTGCTCGTTGAAAGAGACGATATGGCCGCCAACTCGCAAGACTCGAGCGGGCAGACGCCGGTCTTGTGGGCAGCCAGACGAGTACACAAGGCTATAGTGCAATCAGTTGTCTCTCTGCCTTGAGGAATGAAGTCCTTCGAGGCTCTCTCTCCCCGTGTGTCCGTTCGTTTCCGAATGCACCTTACCTATTGGATTTATTTAATTCCTTCTTCTCTTGAAAATAGTTCACACGTGACACGTCAAGTGAGGTTACTGGCTTGGGCTGCTGTTTCATCTGGAAAAGAATCCCGTACCTAGTCAAGCCAGAGCCTATCAGGCAGCTTTGTTGCTCAGTAATTCTAGCTCTGTCTCTGCAGCAGCCACGTAGTCTGGCAACCTGTTGCCTATTAGGTCTCTCTCGCGCGCCTTCGGCGGGAGCGTGATGCCGTCCAGTGCCGAGCAATAAGACAACCACATGTACAGGCTGTAGGACGTGCACGTACTATGCCGGGTTATGTATTCCGTTTTATCAGGGCCAATAAGGAACTTGCAAGGGCTCGAACAGAAAGTACTAAGCTAGCCAGCATCAATCAAGTGGCAGAAAATTCCTTGACGAGCTCTCTATGAGGTATGGATGCCATGGCCGAAGACCCAAAATGTTGCAGTAGGTCATGTTTGGCAGATTAGTAAAGGTTAGATGACGATTTGGGTAGGGTGGGATCATGTTTGTCTGGTGACGAATCGTGTTAAATAGTGGCAAGGAAGCTCCTCGAAGCTGGAAAGGCTGAGAGGAATATCGCCATTAAAGATGACAGTTGCCACCTCCTGCGAAAGGATTACTAGCATCTAATTGATCCTATATGGCACGGCCGAGGCGTATAAGGCTCGCCCTAAACCGCCAGGAAAAAGAAGTAGAACACACAACTCACCATAATATCTTATAAGTCCTTGGTCTTAGATAAACGAATCCACTGCACCCTTTCGTTGAACAACCCTAGGTTCTGTACTTATGTGGATGATCGACTATTATTTGGCTGTATATCTGGTTCTGTCCGTCCTGACCGGTTGGCCTGGCCTGGGTCACGACACGGGCCGTGAAATCGAGCAAGCTGTCCCCAGTTTCTTAGCTTGCCCTGGGCTTCAGGTCAAGGGATCAGAAGGCTGGTGGAGTTCGCGAGCAAGTTCGGCTAGGCCTGCTTGTTTTAGTAGCGGCTTTTGCATTGCGTTGTTTGAACCGTACCTATCTATACTAAAGATATAGGGAATTAGGGTTAACGGTACTGTCCCAAATTGGTAAGAGCGTCGTGCATAGGTAACTTAGACAGCAGCCAACGTGGCGAAGCACTCCACCGTATTCGTATTCTCGAAGGACATTTGTTTCCTCTCCGATGCCACTTGTGGAGGAGCGGTTGCCGTCTAATGGTTCATCCGATATCTTGATAACCTTGCCGTAACTTGTCTCAGCTATCAAAATAAACGTTGAATTTCCCGAGTACGAGCGCCATACGACATGCGTCACTTCATACATTGGCCTATGCCCCACCCTCAACAGAAGCGCGTTTTATGCGCGACGGACATTCGGGTATTCAACTGGCCGACCGGAACGACTTCAAGATTTAACACAAGATCAACAGTCCTTGCTACTACCTTGCGGAGCAATAATCACACCGAAGCGAGCCAAGTATCAGCCCCCCATGGAACACCTTGCCTTATAAGTTGACTCACAACCTTTCTTTAGATAGCTCAGTTAGGAGAGGTCCAACAACTTGCATATTTGTTTACAGTAGCTGTTTTCTCCTCTCCTCCCTGGGCTCATTTGTGACCCTGTTTGTCGAATTACCAGACCGCTTCAACTTCGAGCATTGGTATTTTATTTAATACCCTTTACCTACAGATGGGGGTATCGGATATGGAATGGACTCTAGCTGTCTGCTTGCTTTTTTTCTTTGGGCTCGCGTTATTCTTTAACGCTTTCAACAAACCCACAATTACTCGAAACGGATCTCGGCTCAGGTTAGTACCACAATCAATTAATCTTCAAGGAGTTGCATCTCTTAACCCAGCGCTGTTTATTAGAAATTCTCCTGGTACCTTACCAATCGTTGGCAACGGGATTGTTTTTCTCCAGCCCCGGGAGAATCTCTTCAAGTGGTTCACTGGATGCATTGAATCCTATGGCCGGGAAACTCTGCGCATCAAGGTCCCTTTTCTACCCCCAGGAGTCATCATATCCGACCCTGCCAACCTTGACTACATATTTAAACATGACGGTATCTTCGAGAAAGGAAAATTCTTCAAAGAACGCTTATGGGATTTATTCGGAAACGGCATCGTTAATGTGGACGGAGATCTATGGAAGCAGCAGAGAAAGGCGGGATTGCAATTCTTTAGTGTTGCTAATATGAGACATCTGGCTAACTCGGAACTGCCAACGATACTCGAACATGCTGTTGAGAATCTGATGTTGAGGGCAGACGGGAAGACAGTGGTAGACCTGGAGGCCGTGATGCATGAGATTACAACACAGCTGATGGGCAAACTGGCTTATGGGATGGAAATGCATGCGGATGACGACTTTACAGTTGCCTTTGACTATGTTTCTGGCATGATCGCGAAGCGATTCCAAAATCCACTTTGGTTCGTCACAGAATTTATTACTGGCTGGAAATTGCGCAGATCCATTCGAACGATGAAAGATTTTGGCCAGCATCTGGTTTCACACGCTCTCGCTGTTAGGAATTCCAAAGCCATGGACAGCTCAAACATGGATCACGAGACATCAGGAGACCTCATTCATGCGTTGTTCGACTCTCTCGGGGACGAGAAACTGGTTGCAGATTCGGCTTTGAATTACCTTTCTGCAGGCAAGGACACAGTCGCCCAGGCGCTGACGTGGACGTTCTATCTGCTCATGAAGCACGAAGGAATGGCCGACACATTACACAAAGTCATCCAAGACGATGTGCAAGATAATTCTACCGATCTCTTGCTTACTCCGGAACATCTAAAGCCCAACAGCGTTGCATATATAGTCGCCACATTCTACGAATCGCTCAGACTACACCCGCCAATTCCAGTCGAGATTAAACAAGCTCAGCAAGATACGATTCTGCCCGATGGCACGTTTCTCAGCAAAAATACAATTGTCGTCTGGTGCACCTGGGCTCTGAATCGATCTAAGACAACATGGGGTAGCGATGCCGACCAATATCGACCCGACAGGTGGCTAGCTGGTGGACAAATTCTTCAGCGAAGCGCTGCAGATTTTCCAGTGTTTCAAGGCGGTTCGCGGCTTTGTCTGGGCAAGAAAATGGCCGAGTTGATTGCTGTCCAGGTTATTATGACGCTGATAACTACATTTGAAATTTCACCGGCATTTGAGGGGGACAAAGTTAGTCGGACTCACTTGACCTTGCCGATGGAAGGAGGGTTACACGTATATTTGAAGCGACGATCTGTGAAGGACCACACGGGACTTTCATCCAGTTGATCCTATCAATTTCTTAGACTAGACGGAAGCACACTAAAATTGGACTGTGAATAAATCAATCTGTATTACTCGTAGCTTCAAATTACATCCAATATGATTCAGGTAGACCCTGAAGCATCATGCAACATTATACACCTAGCTAACACGTTCATTCACAGTACAGCCACCTAGATAGTTCTAGTTTTGAATAGTAATCCCGCCGATAGTTAGCTCAAAGGCAGCCATTCGCCATACCTAAACGACGGCACGACGGCGCAAAGGGATCGATTTCACGACAATGCTGCCGTGTAGCGAGGGAGAGAGGCATCTGAGATTAACTGACCAAGAAATGAGATGGATTGGTTTGATGCAGCATAAGTCCGAAGGTGGCGCGACTTTATTCGAATGAAGTCTGAATATTTCATGCAACGCAGTGGAAACTTGTTCTATTCCTGATGAAATAGACGGTCATGTCATGCTCTAGTGGGTTAAGTTCTAGGGTCTAGCCTCTTCAATTATTTGGAAAACTTATATATACCGCATAAAGGTTCTTCTCTGATTAAGGACAGAAAATTATTCTAGAGGAAAGGCTTCTTGCGTAAGATTTTGGGGTGTATCTCAGCCAAAGGGAGTCAGATTTCCTCTAAAGGGCTTCTGAATCGTGTCCAGTCGCTCATCCTTGATCCTCCAGACACCCTTTGTCTCTGAGCCCGACAATGAAAATGCGGTGCCCTCTGCCAATTGATGAAAGACCTCATGCTGATTCTCAGGCACGCTGGAGAAGAATAGCGGCTCCCACGACTCCTCTCTCTTTTTCTCCTCAAGTCTCATCTTCCGCTGCGCCTCTTCTAATTTATGCTTTGCAGCGGATGCGACCCACAAGTCACCTTTATCAATCCCGCAGATGACATCCTTCCAAGCGCGCCGCGACTCCCATGGGTCTTGGTCCTCAACACATTCGGCATCCTTGGGCGCTGGTATATTCTCGACGGCATCGACATTGTATGTCTCCAAGATCTCTCCTGTACGCCCGTCCTTGACCTCCCAGCTCTCACTCCAGATCCCTGCTATCTCGTACCTGCAACTATTCTTTGGGTCGTCCTGGTGATATACCCGTGCTTCAAAGTAGTTCTTCTTACCTCGGAAAAAGCCTTTTCTCAAGAACTTAATCTCGGAAATAAAACCCGTGCTTGAGATAATCTTGGACGAACCCAAAGTCTCAGGATACAGGCAGGCGGATAAAAAGCCCCGAACCTGGACGTCTGGTAGCGGCAGTAGGTAATCTTCATCAAATCTGTCGATGTGTAGTATGGCGTGACCGATCTGGCGGACATTGACTGTTCCAGAGAATGTCATTTCAACTCGCGCGTAGCCGTCTGTCCGAATACCGTGCTCTGGACTCGAAATATGCATTGCCGTAATCGGTGGATGATGACTGACTTGCTCTGCCACCATCCGCGTCCTAGCTTTACCAGCAGGGTCAGTCCAGGATGCCAGGTATAATTCTCCAAGGAATGCATTTAGTGGTTTCTTGATGCTGAGGTTCGGTGCGCCGGCGACATAGAGCTGGTTACGGAGGCCAATGAGAAACATTCGCAGCACTAAAAGGCTGCGCTTTTGAGGGTCTTCCTCCAAAGCTGGGGCTGTGAAAACACATGGCCGCTGAGCCCAACATTGGGGGTTTTCGACAGTGGAGGACGGAGCCAAGAAAAATGGCGGCGCTGTGATGTTGGCGAGGTCTCCCTTGATGGTCGTAAGGAACTGACAAGAGCTGTTAGCTTCGACTTCGATTGACGTGCAGCGTGAAGCAGACGGAGTCGAAAACTTTTGCGCCTGTATCTTAAAATTGTTACGTCTCTTACCTTCAATAATTCGACGAACCGGGAAGGTATGGACTTGGAATCCGCCTCGCTAGGAGGCTGTTGGGGTATCTCCTGCGGCGTCATTTCCTCGGCTTGGGGCGATGGCTCAGGAAGGCAGAAGCACGCAATGCGAATGAAGCTGAGGCTCGTGAATTATCAAAAAAAAAAAAAAAAACACTCTACGGATGCGACCTGTTATTATGTGTTTATCGGACCTAAAGATCCTTAAGTGGCGTGGTGCTTAGTCGTTGCAAAATGCGCAGCCATCTCAGCCACACACTACTAGTCGGCCACCGGGCAATGAAACCATCCGTCCTGTTGATGCGACATCAGATCCGAATACGCGAATCCGATCGCTAACTTGTCTACATTACCTTGCGAGCACAGGGGACTTTTGCGTAGCGATAAGGCATTAGCACCACACACCTCTGCTACTGGAAACTATCAGACGAAGGATAGATTGGTCGGTACAGTTTTGTGACAATCGAAGATGGTGATTTCTCTATCTAACGAAGGGCTAGGGGTCGGTCTTGTAGATGAAGATGGCGGCGCCCACCGGCAGCCTCCCGGGCCGAGACCCGGAGGTCTGAAACCGGAAGACCCACCAGCCGGGGCTCTAAGACCTAGTCCAGACCGGATTCTCAGCAGCCGGTCTGGAAGCCATTCCAGATAGCGTATGGTGATTCCAGAATGTAACAGAACTAGATTTAGAGGCTGCTACAGCACGGACTGTCTGAGTCGCGTAAACAACACGCCTGCATCATCTCGAAGAAAGTGAATATTCCTAAATGTGCACGGGATTTCAACACTTAAATAATCATGTTTCTAACCCTGCCAATGGTGTCAAATGACGTTTTTCTGATAACGAATAAATGTCTTAAAGGTTCAAAATCTCGGTTCGGGGACCTAAATATCACAATAGCTGATGGATGGCAGCTGAACGTTTCCATCTAGATTTGCATATATTTTAGTTCCAAGGTAAATACATCTCTATCCTTCTCCACATATTCGATATTCAATCACTGCATGTCCACAAACCTTACACTGGTCCGGGTATGGTATCCTGTATTTCAACTGCTAATCTCAGATTGATGATCTCACAATGTTCTTCCCCGCTATCAAGCCACTCCCCTTGTCACTGAAAAAGGTCCGCCCCTTGGCGGCACTAACAACAAAACCAGGTATTTTTACCCAATTGTACTGCCCAGTACCAGTTTTCTTTCCAATAGTGACAAACACCTGTGGGGTCACAGCAGGCTTCAAATCCTTGACATCTTCTTTCCTGCCAACGAGAACGGCATCCAGGTTTTTCCCCAGGTGGATTGCTTGCCTTTCAGCGTAGATGAGTTGTTTAGGCTCAAGATCGCCCACATCCCCAACACCCCAAACGTTGTCGACTCCTGTAACCCGGAGATTCTTATCCAGCTTCAAATTACCTCGGGAATCCAGGAGCTGAGCGGGAATAAACTGGCTATTGGGACGCATCCCGTATAACGGGAGGTAAAGATCCGCCAAAAGAGTCTGGCCATCAGAAAGGGTGACCGACGCCTGGTGATCTGTGGTGTTGGTCGAGGTTACATGAACCCCAGGAATGATTTTGACCTTCAACCTTTCAAGTTCCACTGCAGCAGAGTTGCCAACGTCAGAGCGCAGACCAGGAAGAGGTTTGTCACCACTCGTGATGAGAGTAATCTGCTTGGTATCACCAAACGTCTGGGCAAGCTCTCCTGCGGTTTCAACGCCAGTTGGCCCACCACCCGCTATAACAATAGACTTGGCAGTCTTCACCTCCTCCTGCAAGGAGTGAAGGGCCGAGATGCTCGCTTCGTACGTTCCCACGATCGTGAACGGCAGGCTCCCTGGATATGATGATCCGGTGGCGATGATCAAGTGCGTGTATCCAAGGGTGGTGATGTCGCTGGCGGTCTTGACACACACACTGTTCGTAGTGATGTCTATGCCTGTTGCTGTGCCGAGGACGAACTTGAAGGCGTTCTGGGGGTAGTTCTCAAAGCCCGGCTCAATAGCTTTGAATAGTTGCTCGTCCGCAAACTCTCCAGGTATTATACCCCGTACGGCCGCCATGTTCCAGTAGTGATGGGTAGTTGGCGAGACGAGGACAACCGTGAGTTCCTTGACCTTGGGCCTCGTGTGTTTGAGCAGCATGTGTGCAATGCCAATTCCGGCGTAACCTGCACCCAGTATCACTACTGTCTCTGCCATTGTGGTTGTTGCGTCTTGCGTGGTAACGAAGGGTGTGATAATTTGACTCGGGTTGCTAGTGGTGACATTCACAACAATCATGCTTTTCCAGGTGCATTCAATTCGTGCCGATTTTAAATACACCTTGGATACTTGAGAAGCAAGGTGTCATGAAATTTTCAGGGGTCAATAGCATCCCAATAGCTCACAAGTTTTATCCGACGGTCAGAAGACTCGCCGATCACAGCCCGGTTTTAGTTCTTTGTTAGACCATCGTATCCATGGTGCTATGACTCGTCTACTGGATCTCCACTATCCGACCGTTCCCGAAACCTCAATTTTGTATCCTGGTTAAGCGACGCCTGCAAGACGGATCCCCTGGTCAAATATGCAGGCCGGAAGGCATCAAGATGTCTGCATAACTCGAATCCTGTAGATTGCGTATTGTCACAAGCGGAAACACTCAAAAAGGAAGAGGACCAAAAAGTCTAAAAGATATACTTTTTCGTCTCCACCGCAACTTGAACAATTCTAATAGGTGCAATTGGTTATCAAACCCGTTCGATTTTTGAGATTATTCCCGATTTGCAACTAAGGCAGAGGCGGCCGCCTCTGCGCTAGTAGGTAGTCTCAGCCTCCCTCTCCACGTAATTCATGTAAGACACACCTAGTAGCAGGTCCTCGTATTCGGGACCGTCTTGGCCTCACGCGGGAATCACTTCTCGGCTGACCACACTCGTACATGGGAAATTCATGGTTTTAAAGCACGGCTGTTGAGTTCCCGGGCGAGAGAGACGTCATTCTATGGAATGCGGCTTCGATGTTGTCCCGGCCTTTGGTCTATTAAGCCGTCGGGATGAATATACGGCCGGGAGCTTCCCCATCATCAATTAACATCCTAGTTAGACATGATTGCTCGCGTATTGATTCTCCCATGGGAACAGAACGCGAGCACCGAATGCACAAGCTACCGAAGGCTCAAAACGTCAGGGATATTCTCAATTGATCACGCTCGTTCTGCATCTTTGATCCTGGTCCCTCAAAACTCATTCTGTACGTCCGCTTCTGCCATTTCTTCTTTTGCGGTTACTCAAGACCAAAACTTTCGGGATACTCAATTATGGCAGCACCTAGCACGTTTGGAGAGTTAGGCCTCTCCATTATCGGCCTCGGAATCGAGTACCCGCCTCATTCACTTGACCACACTTCTGTACATGTCCTCAGCGCGAGGTTCTACCCAGATACACCATCGTGAGTACATTCCATGATCACAGCTCAGTCTTGCGACAATGAGGGTTCAAATAACTAAGCGCGCTAGAATGAAAAAGGTTCTTGGAATCAACCAATACACAGGCATACATACGCGGTCCTCCATCGGCACTCCAGACCAACCGGTCGTTAATCAACAGCATGCGCCTTCAATAGCAGAGCTCCACAAACTCTTTCAATCAGATGGGGTCCCTCTCGCGATCCGGGCCGCTCGCAAAGCCCTCGCCGAGGCTAAAATTGATCCCCGTCAAATAACCCACATAGTCGCCACGACTTGTACAGACAGCGCAAATCCAGGTTTCGACCACTTTGTCGCAAAAGGTCTCGGAATTAAACATGGCGTCGAGAAGGTTCTCTTACACGGGGTAGGATGTAGCGGTGGTTTGGCGACTCTACGAACCGGCGCAAACCTGGCACTGGGACATACAGCCCGAAAACTGCCTGCACGTATCTTATGTGTAGCCCTTGAGATTAGCACCACCATGGTGCGAAGCGAACTGGATAGCATCAACGCGATGCAGGAAACGAGAATAGGCGCATGTCTGTTCTCGGACTGTGGGAGCGCAGCCGTCTTGAGTAATGGCATCGGAGAGCCTGCCGAGCCCATCTACGACCTGCTTGGATGGGACCAAAGAATAATACCAGATACTGAGGATGACTTAGGCTTCGACGTCGATCCGGTCGGTAAGTCACTGCGTAGTGCTGCTCAAAATTTCCTCCCGATATAACTCTAACAATAAGACAGGCTGGAAAGTTGTACTCACCCCACGAGTGCCAAAGCTCACCAGAGCCTCTATGGCACCCACATTCGAAGACCTCAAGGCATCGCTGCCGCATCTTCCTCCTGATTACCAAAACGCAACTGATTTCGACTGGGCCATGCACCCAGGCGGTGCCGCCATTCTTTCCGGCGCCGAGCAAGCCATGGGCATCTCTGCCGAACATATGCGAGCCAGTTACGACACCTACATCAACCACGGAAACTCGAGCTCTGCCACCATCTTCAGCGTCATGGATCGCCTGCGTTCTAAGGAGATGGACGCCCTTGCCCCGGGAGGCCGGGTACGCGACTATGTTGTCGGATGTGCATTTGGTCCTGGTATATCTGTTGAGATGTGCATGCTGAAGCGTAATATGGGCTACGGCACCAAGGTGGACGGGATTCAGACACCACCACCCAAAACATCACTCGAAACACCGCCCGAAACCAAGGTCGAGGTGAGTAAAGTCGGAGATGGCGAGCGGGCCTCCGCGATGAGCGGGTTTCCAGCCGGGAAGCATTCGGTGATGGACTCATGGGACCATGGTGCGGCGTCTGTGACCATGTCATTAGAGCCTCTGAGTCTAGATTAGCAAGGAGTCGGTTGCGATATTTGTGGAAAGAGGAGGCTAGTAGAGAGGCGTGGGGAGAGCCCGTTTTGCATCATCATGGCGGGGACAGCACTGAGGACAGACTTGACACGCGAAAATTCGCTTATCGTCTTGGTTCAGTCCAACTCGGATTTATATATCGATTTTAGGGCGCCTGATAGATAGTCACCTGATGTCTAAATACCGTTGGGCAACTGGGTCGGGTACCTAATAACTATGCGCCTAGTCCATATACTAAATGTCTTCTGCCCAGACTTCAATTCAGAATTTTGTCCACTCCAACAACAAATTTCCTAGCATTGGCTCATCAGATCGTAGGGCCGAATTAGGTCTCATTATTGCAAAAATCAATCTTATGAATGCGTATTGCGTACTATGTATTGCGCTGTGACTCTGCTTCTTCGCTCTTGAAAGTGCCCGCTCAGTTACGCTACGCAGTTAATCGACATTCTACCAGAGCTTGTAGTGGTAATGAGATTGACCAGCTGACTGTATGTTTTGCCATTTTCCTTGCTTGGCCATCTCCGCGTAGCAGGTAGTTCTAACCGCAGATGGATGAGGTTTGATATTAAGACGAGAATTGTGCCAAATAATGACGGAGCCTGAGTGTAGATGGTTACAACTGCACCAACGATTCTTCCAGATATCCCTTGGACGATAATTATCAACTGATTCAACGCATTTATTCTCCCAATAAGTTAAACAGCTGCTTTTTCGGCCACTCGACTAATTCCAGAAACATTGGTTGGCCAGCAAGACGCGCCACGACCTCATCCAATATTTGTCGCGCCCAGCCTTTCAAGTACCAAAAGCTCTTTTCGGCAGATGCAAGAAACACGCTGAAATAGGAAATAATAAGCAATGCATGCGGGCGATATTCACTGAGGTCCCTGCGAAGGTTGTCTTGAACATGATGGAGCCAGACGAAAATATACCCAGCCTCAATATGCGTTCTAGAGAGAATAGCAAGACAGAAGCATGCTTCAAGGTTGTCAAGGGCCAACTGATATTGGTCAAGGCTGCCCAAAGGTAATTTGCATCTCTGAAAGGCCCGAAGTCTTGCAACGGCTTGATACGTATCTGGGGGAAGACACCTCTTTCCCAGATTAAAGTGACTGCCTCTACTCGTCAATATCTACTTCCAAAATGTGAAGGTGACTCCCAAGTGACTTACTCGGTCAAGTACCTGACAAAAGCAAGTGGCCATATGCTATAGACCAATGGCTGAAATCCGGAGTTAATAACACCAGACAAGAAAGGTCTGACTGTCGACTCTATGCCTCTTAGCAGCCCAATCAGCTCACCAAGGCTTCCTATTGGATTATTTAATTTGTAGTGATCCATGCGAGTAGGAAGTGTGAGCATATGGATCATCAGAAGCGACTTGAAGCTATACAAAGCTATCCAGTTTTGCGCGTCAATGTGTTGGAGTTCGACGCGATACCCTATCGACCCCATTGTTTGATGATAGTCAGCCAAAGGGAGAAAGATGTTTCGACAGCCTGGCTCAAGATATGCCCTGTGCGTAGCGGCGATGGCAAGGATGCCGTGCATAACAAAGGGATACCGATAGCCTTGCAAAGGAATGGCCGTCTGCCAAACATGGACAATTTCTTTCCTTCTAGACAGGGTCTCGGCCGTGACTGTGCAGTAGTGATGCATAAGCTGCCAGCCAAGAGCACGGAGTTCGTGTGGGGGAAACGGCGCCATCTTATCATGCATATGAATCTGGTTGCAATCTGTCACAGTGACCGGAGACGAATAGCTTGCGTGACAATTGGTAGGCTCAGCGATGATAATATTCGGACCAGAGTCTTCAACACGTTCGCTACGGCGAACGGAGCCTCTGGGAAGCTCATATCTGAGACTGCATGAGATATGATGCCGCCTGCATTGAAAGCATATGGGGCCAATTTCATCGCACTAGACAGGCGTCAGTCGACAGGAGCCAAACCGGAGCAAGATGGAACCAGCTGAAATCAAGCCAGACATGACGGGGAGGAGTGGGGACGCACTTTCACTTTGCGACGTTTGCAGCTGGTGCAGCCCAGCCGTGACTTGGTATGCGGGCGTCGTGTCGACATTGTTTCTGATTTCAGAGACGCGTAGACTATTTCGCATAGGAGCTAAAGTAGAGTCGCACCTTGAGAAAGCGGAGACTGGCCCGACTGGGCAAGATGAGGTGAAAACCCACGAGGATGCTGCTCGACTCCTGAGCAATTAATAAGGGACTGGCCAACAACTCTAAGAAGCGGGGACTAGGCGAAATACTCGCAATCGGTTTTCGGTACGCGTATTCGGTACGAGTTTTCGGTACGAGTTCTTGGGTGCGAGTTCTCGGTGCGAGTTTTGCGGTACGAGTTCTCGGTACGCGCTCTCGATCCAGCTAAGCTCAACGCAGTAAAGTGCTGAAACCCCTGTCATCTAGTGTTGGCTTAGTTCTGGAATTGAGAATGCGAGGCCTCCTGAGTGCACCTCGCTCCACCGCTTTGGCTTCCGACAGCTTGTTAGTGACGAGATTAGATGGGGGCGACTTGAATAGGGACCATCCTGAGATCATCGTGGACTGAATGAAAGACGCCGATTGTTTGAGATAAAATACCTAAGCCACATTTTGCCTGGATTTATGAACGGGAAAAGCTCGGGATTTTATAACTCGATAGACTCAGAGGCGAAGATAGCAGTCGGATTACCCTATACCACATGCTCTAGAAGCTGGGAGATACCACAAACCCCAGGATGATGCAATCCATGGACCAGGAGTCGTAGATTCGTGATCTCGGGTTCAATTTATGATTGAGCTCATTTACTTCGGGCGGTTCGTATGCGCATGTCGAGGCTTTGGTGCCGGTTGGGTCTTGCCTTAATGAGGTGCTTTGACTGTGAAATTTAGCAAACCCGAGATCAGCGGGCTGAACGCCGCCGTCGCCACCATCTTCAAAGAAATGGAGAACTTTACCCGGTTTGATGTGTCTGTAGCGGCAGTTCATCACATGGAGGTCCTCCAACGCATGGGAAAGGCCCAGGATCTGTTTGATAGACCGCAAGACAAGTCCCGAGTCTGCTCCCTTTCGACTCTTGTTCCTCCAAAAGCCATGGAGGTTTCCCCCGTCTGCCCACTTGATCTCAAAAATCTGGCTGACGTTGAAATTCCACTCGAGAATCATGTGCCTGAGGTGGTTCCCGATTTCATCCTCGGAGAATGCCACACTATCACGGTCATGCAGCAGGCTAATCATCCAAAGGAGAGTCACTGGTCCCAGTGACGCGTCTTCATTGCAAACAACTTCTCCGTGCGAACCCAGGAACCAACCTTGGTTCAATTGAGTTTCATCGTCATTTCTCCTGGATTGCTACACGCGCGGCTTGAATCTGGATCTTTTCTCGCTCAGAGTCAGGGTTGAAAATGCATCCTGCAGCATGGGGGTTTGCATCGATAGCTACGTATGTTTGGTTCACTGATGACGGTAATTTGCACCTTCAACGATGTTTGGGCTATTAAGTACATGGAAGGATGGGCTCGATTTGGACTTTTGACTTATTAGCCACCTGCAATGTGATATGATTTCAGAATGCACCCCAAGCTCATCGCCAGGTCAACCGAGGACCTCTGCGACGGCTTAATGAGCGCCGACACTGAGATTGCCGTCTCTGCGGAGGGCGATATGTGCGTGCCCTATGATCTTGATATCCTATTTCGATGATAGCAAAGACCCGTATTCCTTCAATTATGATACAGCCATCACGAGTTTGCCTTCGGTCTTGTACACTTTTGTCGAGTCTGCGTGCCTCACTATTTGCCAAACTACTTTTCAAATCACCGCGCCATACTCTCAAGAAAGTAACAAGATTGTATACACGACGGGAAAACGCTCCCACAAGCATCAAAGAGACCTGTGGAGCGTCAAAAATGAAGACGGGAGCGACCCAGGACTTTTGAGATTCTCGTCTATAACTGCAGTGACGATCCGAAGACGGTAACGAAGCGGATGGAGAGGTTCTATGAAAGCGGGTCTCAGGACAAAATTTTCCCCTCAGAGAGTTGCAGTTGGTTTCTGACAGTGGCAACAATAACAACACAGTCAGAGAAGTCTTCATTGGCCCCCTGTGGTCCCTGTAGATCAGCACCCGGCAGTTCTTCACATCATGACAATACCTCTACACACCTCTAGTCTTCTAGGACTAGATATTCGAGTATAACTCCCTTTTGTTAGTCGCATTGATGAGGGCGAGCGTATTAATTACAACTGGCCAATTGAAGAGTGCTGTGTCCACAAAGGCCACCTTATCAACCCGAATGCTGTAAGTCACGTCCTCGCCCATATTGGTAGGTATGGGTAACCTTTTGCCAGGAATTGCTACCGAAGAGGCCCAATATTATCGTAATGCGATCAAGCAGTTTAAGTCGATTGAGACGAACTTCGAAGTAGTTGTAGAAGGCGAAGTTGAGGTGCTAATGTTGGCGAAAAAAGCTCAAGACTGGCTATCTGATCAAGGCTATCGCCTACTACCAGCACGAAAGCAATCACTACTTCATGTTTCCAGGGGCACCCAAGGAGGATCGTTCGAAATTCTGGAAGGCGGAAGATAAAATCTCGAGACGGGACGAGACTATGTCATGTGGATGCTCACACAACTCAGCGGCTTGGCTGGAGTCATCGAAGAGCTGCACCGCGATACTTCCAATTGTCATTGCCGCCATGGTGACCTAAAGCATTAGGATATCTTCTGTTTTGGCGGGGAACGCTATTGGAGCACCTCGGTAAGAATCGTCATCGCTGACGTTGAGCTGCCTAGGATCCACGAGCTGGGAACCGTTGATCGCAGCCGAGCGTGGCCCCCAGCATCAACCAGTTTTTACGAAGTGCTTGAAATGAATATTGCCCCCAGAATTGCCACTAGATCAAGACACACAAATATATAGCCTATGGGCTGCATATTTCTCGAGTCTATAATTTGAGCACTGTATGGTCGGGAAGAACTCCAAAGATTCACTACTAGCCACGGCAAGACTTTATACGAGACTGAGAGAAAGGACAGCAATACAATTGATCCTGTGCATCCTACTGTCAAACACTGGATCAAGCACACCAACCAGGACTGGTGCTGTTCTTAAAATACCGCTCTGAGAGGTTTGGTCGACTTTGTTGAAACCAGCTTGCTGGTGGTGGCCGTCGATGCAGCCAAGAAACCAACCCAAATACATGAGGGAACTGTAGAGTAGCACGTCTTGTCATCTTCGGACCTAGATCTTCCCTCTGTTGTGGTGGGATGGCAACTCCCGAGGGACCACCGGATACGCATGAATACCTCAGCCCAACGAACACGACTCGGGTAAGCTAGCCTTGGCCTCTGTCAGACAAATAGGAATGAACTGTAAATCAGAGCGAACTTAGATAGTGTCACGTATCGAGATATCGGGTGTTAATTAGCAATTAAGGTCTACACAGGAGCGGTAAAGACAAAAAAGATGTCTCCTTGAGAATCAAAGTCGTGTCCTAGGTACTATAGTCCTCTGGCTTTAAATGTCCGCCCAACTTTCTTCTCGTTTCCTCGGTTTTGAGTCATCTTCCTTAACCTGTATCTTGACGGTAGTCTCTTTGCGAATCTCTCCGTATTTCCCCATCTCGTAATTGTTCGGACTCGGCATGATGCCTTCCCGGCTATTATTAGTATCGGTTATATCCGCATCGACATCGATACCGCTGCCATTTCGGAGATAGCCGCCTTTGGATCGAATGGCTGCTGATGCTGAACTTAGTCCTTTGCTGTTGCTGGTGGGCTTTCCCGTAGGGTAGCTGTTGAGAGCGCTTCGTAACCCAAGTTTGAAGGCAACGGTTCGGATAATGGGCTGGAGCGACGGGAAGCAACCACACCAGAATCCAACATGGGACTCCAGGTCGGTCCACACGCCGATCGTAGCCATCTTGAATGTCCTACACAAGAAGATTAGGGTGTAAAACGGACAGGTAGTACGAGAAACTCACGAATCAGTCCCCCAGTCCATAGTTCGGATGTAGTACAGGCGAATGATGCCAGTGATGACGACAAAGATTCCCACACTGAAGACGGCAATGACCTGGAATGTCTTTCGCGACCACAGCATCTTCTTGTAGATGACCCATATAGGAAGAGCCATCAACATAATGTCAAAGATGATGCCAAGAATACCATGTCCGTTCATCATCATGTCCATGCTCGATTGCGGAAGACAATTCAGATCAGGCAGTGGGGGGAGCCAGCCGTCTTTAACGGGACTGCAATGGAAAAGCCTAATAAAAAAGCATGTAATGGTAGAAATGACCACCATGCCGGATACAAGGTAGACAAGGAGAAGGAAAATCTTGTCTTTGTGCAACCGTGGGAGGAAGGCGAGGACGGCCAGTCGATCAAGGCCAACGCCCCAAAAGTACAGGAGATTCAGGTTTTGCAGGCCCTGTTACCGCAGATCCTATGTCAGCTGGAGATCAATGGATGAATTGTCTGCACTTCGTACCTCGAAGAACTTCAAAAGCAGCGGCTCCGGGATTAATTCCATGTGGGCGCCGGCGCCACAGTCCTTGAGGTGAATATTGAACCCGGACTGAGTCGTGATGACGCAGAATGCCAGAGATGCCACGAGATCATCCACGCCAAGAGACTTGGTCATGAAGCCTCTGACGTACAGACGTATCGCCAAGAAACAGCCTGAGATGACGATCAAGGCAATGTTGAGTTTGGCCTGTGTTCCACCGGCCCAGTCGGGCGTCTCCCAGAATTTGGTCCCCGGAGGGTAGTTTGACGTCGAATTCATGGCGAATAATGTGGGAAATGAGACTGAACAGGAACCAGTACGGCAGTCACTCAGCTACCCATACATGGAAAATTTTTGCAGAAGACTCGTCCAGCCCTTCTTCAAGGGGGGACAATGTGCAAGGTCTTTATTGCCGTGTGTCTCGCTATGTGTCTCCAAAGTACAGTGACTGTTTACCCCCAAGAATACCTAGCTCTGTCACATCCATTGCAACGGACAAGTTCACACCCGTTTCTCAGTCAAGCAGGAGCTTGCGGAAAAGCGCTCAGACCCGGTGTCAGACTTGCTCCAGGGGTTTATTCCCGGTAGGGATTGCGGATGACACCTCCTCGGTGGGTTGGCGCAGAGGGAGTCAACCCCGGATCAGCCACCATTCCCCAGTGTAACCCTAGACGGATGAACGAGCAACTTGGTGTTAATGCTTATTCTCAATATTCTTTAAGGAGCCTGCTGCATGATCTGATCGGTGATTACTTCTGACGAGGACTCCGAATCTTGTTGGTTGTTGGTTGTTGGTTGTCGAGCTGCTAGGGCCAGGGGTATGTAACACTTCGTTCTCTCTTTCAGGGCCGCACCAATAGAAAACTTGGGTGTAAGAGCGAACCTACGCGATGTAACATTCAGGGTAGACTTGAGGCTTCCCCGGCACTAGTCATCAATCCTACTCTAGGTTGCTGGGGTTAAGCGATGGCCCGGATCAAGTTAGGCTCCAAGCGCAATCATGATCTGAGTTGTTGGTCCATCCCAACTGAATCCCAAAGAGACAGACTTGTCCCTAGCCGCAGAAGATTGCATAGGTGAAGAATACAGAAGAGCCGGGGTTTGCCCAACACAAAATATGCGGACAATACTGACCACTTGTATTGTGAAACCTGACCCCCATCAACATGTATTATTTTGAGTGCTCTGGCAACCGATTGAATCTCTGGAAATAACCAAGCGGCGCTTTTGGTCAGCCGCCGCAGAGGCTTGCAAAAGGGGCTTTCATCGACGAATCAATCCTCGGCTTGGGATATTCTGTCTCGTCTCGTACATGGGCTCCGGGAATCTACCAGGGCCCCGTTCATTATTCCCGCATGTGACCTTCCGCAGATACTGTCCTGCATTATTTCAGTCGAATAAGACAGCAGTGCCTTGCATCGGTACTTACCAAGATTGTCGAGTTCCCCTTTATATGCTCATGCAGTGTGACGTCGCGGAAATCCTCGTACATCCGTTGCCGGACCTGTCTCCATGTACGGCAAAGTCACCAGCGTTTGCCACTATCTGGACCTGACCCTGGTCAACAATTCCTCACTATTGATACAGGGCAGTCGTAAGGCGCATTTGCTCATTTCACGGATGGCGCGGCCATTGAATATTGACGATTGATCCTGGTCATGGTTCGGTGCCGGTGAGATGAAGACCCAGTCGCTAATAAGGTAGACGATGATTCTTCTATGCATGGAAGAGTATATTAGCCCGCTGCTGTCTGCTGATCTGTAAACCGGTATCTCAGCTCTGCAGCCACTTGTGATCGGTCAATAACCATGAAGCTCCTTACCTTCCTTTCTGCAGCATTTCTGCTAGCCCATGGGGGCTCGACAGCCCCTACGCCGGAGGACGCTACCACAACGGCAGCCACCTCCAAGTGCTCCAAGACCCTGGTCCGAAAGGAATGGTATGGTTGCTTTGCCTTCGCCTCTCAAACACACGCCGCATTTGCTCACCAAGTTCTAGGAGGAAGCTGTCCAAGCAGGAGCGGCTAGACTACCTGGCTGCAGTAAAGTGCCTGCAGTCTAAGCCGGCCAAGACCGCTTCGCTCTACGCAGGGGTGAAGAACCGGTATGACGACTTCCAAGCAGTGCACATTGCAATGACGGAGAAAATTCACTTTGTGGTAAGTCTGTGTTCCTTGTATTTTTGTCAGTGCCGTCTGTATAACATCGGCGACAGGGTCAATTCCTGCCGTGGCACCGCAAGTTCTTGGCCATCTACGAGGCAGAGTTGAGAAACACTTGCTGCTACACGGGTGCTCAACCATACTGGGGTAAGCCACACCACAGCCTCTAGCTCTTTTTGTTTCAGACTAACCCGACCATTAGACTGGACCAAGGATGCGGTTAGCGAGGATGCTTGGAACAATTCACCTCTGTTCGACGACACCTACGGCTTCGGAGGTAAGTGAACCTTGGGGGGCATTGATCCTCGTCAATTGTAGGGCGGAACACTGACTTATCTCCTCGCATAGGTAATGGTGAATGGCTTGAGGATGTCTCTGGCCTCCCCAGTACCTCCCTGGCTCCCGGTCCCCTACAGCCCAGGACCGGTGGTGGTTGTGTTGTCGATGGCCCGTTTGCCAACCACACTGTCAGCTTGGGTCCCGGAAACAGCCTCACTTACTCACCGCACTGCTTGCGCCGTGACTTCATCCCGTCCCTCGTCACCAAGAAGCTGACCGCAGCTGAGGTTGCGTGGGAGTCGTCCGCCCCGACCTTCTACGAGTATACCCAGCATATCGAGATCGCCAACATGTCTTCCGATCTGTCTGGCATCACGACTCATGGTGGTGGTCACTTCGGTGTCGGTGGTATGGTTGGAGAGATGTCCGATATGTACTCTTCTCCCGGTGACCCATTGTTCTTCCTTCACCATGGCAAATTGGACTACGAATGGAACAGGTGGCAGCGTCTGTGTATGTGTTTCCTAGGGTGCCTCTGATACCCAAGCTCGATGAGAAGTTGCTAACAATACATTAGCTTGGGCTACCCGTAAGTCCGAAATTGGTGGCCCCGACACCATGTGGGCTTATCCCTACAACTACTGGGGTGACATCCCGTACACCAACATCACGCTTGACTTCAGTCTGGCTTATCCCGGACTGGCATCAAGCGTGACTATCCGAGATGTTATGGATATTACTGCCAGCCAACTATGCTATACCTACGCCTGATCGGCCATTTTCAATGGTATACTTGATACTTCTAGGCCTAGAGCTACTTCCGATTTGCTCATATAGTTTGACAACGTACATACTAGATAGATCATATGTCTTTTAATACTAGAATCCACTCGTCTAAGTCTTGCTCCATCAGTGTGGCTTCCATGAGCGGTGTCTAGACCTTCCAACTAGAGGTAGCATGGTTGAACGCTTTCTGCGCCTGATGCATGACATCCTGAGCAGACGACGGCTTTTCGAAGAAGCCGTGGAAGTACCAGGCCTACGCTGGGTAGGACAAGAGGTGGTAAGGTATGCCCTTGAATTTGTCTAGTGTGAGGTAGCGTCGGTAAATGTTGGAAAGTCGCGTTTCTTCAGCAACGGCGTGTGTGAGGCCGAGTTTCACAGCATATATTTAATTATATCAAGACGTCAGGGGGCCCTAGTATACACCTACTCAGAGGGGGGACTGGAAGCTCAACAGTAAAAGAAATACCGACAACAGTATTAACAATACAGATCATATACCCAGTCTATTTAAAGGTCAGCAGTTTACTCAGGCAGACTAAGGTCTCTAGTCCAACTGGTTACCATGATAGAATAAATATAAATGCAAAAGCAAATGCTGATGTATAAATGTCCTTCCGAAGTAGCTACTTTATAGAAGCTCTAGGAAACTGTCCCTCCTTCCCTGCAACAAAGCAAGGGTGAGACTGGAGCCGGGGCCAGGGCGGGAAGCAGATTATCGACTAATTAGTGCCCCGAGATAAACAAGAAGCTTTAGAAGAATAAAACAGACGGCCCTTCACTTCTCGACAGCCTCTTCATATTCCATTAAACAGCAGGCATTGATCCTGTCCCTTCGCGACCTTGTGCAGGTGTATCTGCCCGTGTAGGAATATTTGGAATATAATTGGGTGGAGGGTCCATGACGAGGATATCCAGTGATGCATGAACATACTGTGTCTTTTGTTAGGTATTCCTCTTTTTTCCCTACATGCGTTCATTTGATGCAGGGGATGAATAGTTACCTGTATCTCTTGATCATCGCCTCTGGATATTCCTGCAACTACTTCAATGGCGTGCTTCAAGTCTAGCACGCATGACGTGCATGTTGGCCAGGTATCCAAGACGATGCAACTTCCCCACGTGCCAGAGTCCAGCTCTAAACGCCTTTTGTCAAGATGGACCCGGCCTCGACAGCTCCACAAGTCATGCGTCTCTGTAGAGCTCCCGGATATAGTACCCACGATTGTCGTAACTGAGCTCTTGAGCTGCATAACTGCGCTGCGGAGGTAGATGTTCTCGCCCTCGAGGAGTTCGGGCGGAACATGGAGGACAACTTGAATTTGCGTGGGTTTTCCTATCGTTAGGATAGGTGGCGATGAAAGCACCACCTCGACCTGCAGCGAGGGCGTATATGGAGGCAGCCAGTCTGGGTTTGTAAAGCGAGACCTGTAAGCTTCTTGCAACGCGTTGTTCATTTTTGGACACAGCTTATTTGCAGGTAGACAGCCGATGGTCGATGACGGGAGGAATACCGTGCCGGCCTCAGATCTCAACGAGAGCTCGCGTTGTACTCTTTTCGTCCTCGTCACTCCGCACAGCATGTTTTGGCGGACAGCCACAACGAGGGTGTATTCGACCTTGATCCGCACTAAAGAAGATGCCATGTGTAGGGACGGCGGTAGTTGACACTGGCAGGAATTACTGGCGCTCGGAAATATAAACTCAAAAGGGGCCGAGTAGTCCGGCTGAGACCAGTCGTTGGATTTGTGCTCGGTTGGCCCTACAGATGATATTTCTTTGTTTATTTCGATTTGCTGCGACACTTCGAATAGCTGCATTATATTTAGTCGCCTTTTCAACACAAGTCAATATAGATTTTATTACACTCACCGTATGCATGACACGTTCAGGTGGTGCATTGCCTCGCGGTCGGACTAGTAGTTTAAGTCTGCCTGCTCGCCCAGATCCCGGTCAGTTCTGGTCAGGTCTGAGTGCCGTTGAAAGGAGGTCCAATCTTTCTTCGCGTACCTCGTAACGTGGCGTTGATGCTCGGCGGTCTCTTAAACACGCGGCCACGGATCTCCAACCTGCCTCGCACTTGGCCTCCAGGACTGAACGACTGCGAGCTGCCGCTGCCTTCGAGAATTATGTCTAGTTTCATCGGTCGAGAAACAAGCGAGAAGTTGTCGGTAGGATGATATTTGGACAGTTGGGTTTTTAGTCACAGGTTGAGGAGACCTGGGGCAGCAGCTAGCAGCCTGATATGTAGGGAAGCGGCTACTGGTGGTTTGATGATGATAAGTCGAGCATTACCGCATTACAGCAGAGAATTATGGTCGTAACCTTTTCATCACGTCCCAGGCGATACAGTGGCGTCCATCCCCGCCCGGGCCGATCGGGGTTAACATGGCGTGGACGAGGAATGTTAGACGCTGGTGTCAGTGCATTTCTCCTGCTTGTTTATTAGCGGTGAAAGGGCACAGACATACGTACTAAGTCATAGCTGCACCGAGACGTCATAGATAATACGCTGATGTACTTGGTACGTCATCGCCCTGGGTTGACTTTGGCGAGCTTCCCAAGCTAACAATCAAGTTTGGGCCTCCGAAGACCTCAGCCGGTGCATCCGTCCGGGCCGACCGGGAATGTCGGATCTACCGGTTATTCCGGGAACAAGTCTAGTCCACACAAAACCAGCCGTACATCCCTAGCATTCCGTCGAGCCAGGGAAACCTCCACAAAGTCGCCTCCTGGGCAGCATTGCTAACCACACTCATCTACCATGCAAGACGCCAGGGAATCTCCGGAAAGACAGAGCGGCTACAGGAGGAAGCGCGTCGCAAAGGCCTGCCACACATGCCGGTCAATGAAGAGCAAGGCAAGCGGCTTCCGGCCATGGACACATGCCTCACAGCCCTATTTCTCATGCTAACTCGATTCTAGTGTGATGGGAAGCGCCCCGAGTGTAGTCGGTGTAAGGGCTATGGATACAACTGCACCTACAGCGTGGGCCAGCCGCGCCGTGGGTATGTCGCCGTTCAGGGACAGAGTGAGCTCCGAAAGGCATTAGAAGAGTACGACGGACTGGTGGACCATCTCATTTCCAAACTGCAGTCACCAGAGGAACGGAAAAGCGCATCAAGTACCGCCTCACGCATAAAGTCACACGCCAATGCGGCCTTGGCCAGCATCGGTGCCTCCCTGCTGGGTCCACAGCCTCCGACGCGCAGCCCCAAGCCAGAAACTGCGTCACCGGGGTCCCAGATTTACCGGAGTGAGAGATATCTGGGCGAAGTTAGCGACGTCCGATTTTTCAACTTGGTGAAGCGGGTGCTCCAGACTCAAGATGGGTCACCAGGATCGGAAGAGGAGGTTGACAGCTACGAACAAGATGATGATCTTGAGTCTGCCAACGCCGCAGCTTGTAGAGCCGTCAAACTGCCTAGCCCGGAAACCTTCAAAGACTTCGCTGACATTTACTTTTCTACTATACACCTTGCATACCCTTTTATTCCTCAGTCGATGTTTATGGCATCGTACAATGAAGCCCAGACTCCATCCGGCAACCAGGCTTCTCTGGACACTACCCAACTCGCGCTCCTGTGTAAGTGCGATATCCTCTTTGTCTTCCCAATACGAGTTTGCTGATTATTCATCCGCCCAGATGCCATTTGCGCCATTGGTGCTTACTATAACTCCTTTCTTGACAATCAAACCGAAACGAACAAGCTCCATGAGGTGTACTTTCTGCGAGCCTTGTCTTTAGCCCCACCACTCGGCATAGATCTGTCTATCAACCACGTCTCGTTGCTGTTGGCTCAGTGTTTTTACCTCCTGGCAGTTTGCCGGACAGACAGGTGAGTCGTGTGCTCTCAAACTTCCCTCCTACTCTCCGCAGACCCTGACTTTGACGCAGCTGTTGGACAACTCTCGGCCAGGCTGTTCGTACAGCTCAAAGCATCGGGCTGCATGTAGAGCATAAAGACTCCGAGAAGTACACCACTTCGGGGTCTATAGGAGTTGAGAGGCGACGACGGGTCTGGTATTCCATATATGTTTTGGATCGTTTGCTGTCCTTGCAGCTGGGACGGCCGCCTGCTATTCATGACGGAGACTGCTACGTCCCGCTGCCTTCCCGCCTAAGCGATTGCGATATTGACTGGGATGCTGGCGAGATGCCAGTGGCTCCAGAAGGCCCCTCTTCAGGGGACTATTTTTTGGCAGTCATTTCATTCTCACATATCGTCGGGTACGTCCTGCGAGATCTATACAGCCCCAAAACAGGCCACGGCACAAACGCGGACATGTTCAACACGAAGGACCTCGACCGGCAGCTTATACAATGGAAATTGCAGCTACCCCGGCCGCTGCGTTTCGACTTGGGCCATGCTTTTGACAAGTCCCTTGCTTTCAGGCGACAGGTATTGCCTTACACTCTATACCCGTCGACCTTTTTAGTAGGCATAAAGCTAACTTTCTGAAGCGCAATATGCTAGCCGTGAAATATCACCACCTTAGGGCGCTCACGCATAGGCCATATTTATGCTACCCGCTTCTAAGGGACATGGATACGACGGATGCCACGCTTGCACAGTCAAATTGGCCGCTGGTGCGCTCGTATGAAAAGATATGCATTGCCGAAGCCCGAGAAATGGCCCGTCTCCTCCACGGCATCTCGAGCGAAAAAGATCTGGTACACGAGTTTCCTTGGTGGCAAATGATCTCCTGCTTGATCTGCGCGGGCTCCATCCTACTTGTGTCCAGTATTTTCATCCAGCAAACAGATGACGGAATAGATGAGTTCAACGCGGAAAGTCTCTCGGATGATGCAGAAACATGCCTGAGGGTGTTCGAAGCCCTCGGCACAAACTCCACAGGCGCCAGAATCGCGAGAGATATGATGGAGAAATTGAAGGAATGCGGTCTCATTTGGAGTAGGTATCTAGCTCTGTAATGACATGCCCATTGCTAATCCTTGCCAAGAAAACGCTGCGGCCTCCTCCGGAACCTCCAATCCCTTCTCTAGGAGGCAGGCAATCTCTGCGTCTGATGCACCACAGGGTACAGGATCCGTGGCAGGACTGATGCCTCCTGTGGACTTACTAAATCTACACCTGCAAGGATCTCTTGCGGATTTCTCTATGCCAACGCCTAGCAATTGGCCAGCTGAGATCATCGACTCCATGGCTTGGTCGGCGCAGTTTTTCGAAGCCATTCAGCCTGAAGAGTAGCTGTATAATCTGTGGATTGTATGTTTAGCAAAATGAACAGCGAAATACTAGGGCCTTTGGGATTATTACCATGCTTGGTACCCCCTTTTCATCTTCGCAGTAAGGATTTGGATGGAGGAGATTATATGCACAAGCCCGTTTTTGTTGTAGAGTTGTCAAGAGTGGTGAACCGCACTAGCCGGCATCGTTCGGGACCGGCTTAGCCGGCGTACATCGTAAGTAAGAGCCTGGATATCCGATATTGCCGGTACTATACGGCATCTCCGGTGGTATTGACGTACCATTAAGAGTGTTGTCGGTCCTCGCGCCGCTAAAAAGACCTACGTGGCCTATCCAACCTGACGGCGAGTCCAAGTTACATTGTCTATATATTCCCTTTGGTAAGGCATTCAAGCAGACGATGGAGCGATTCACCAACTCAACAAGGTCAAACTCAAGATGTCACGCCCTCATCAGTCTGCAAGTATCCCTGCATCTCAGTTACAGGACAAATCTTGCATCCGCACTCCTTCAGACCCAGGCCCAATATCGAACTCCATTGCTGTCTCCCACCGAAGAGACGGGGCCTACACAGATGATGGCATACAGCAGCCTCGAATATCAGCAGAGTTTGTCAAGGCTCAGCAACGGCGTCAGCGATACTCAGCCATCGACGCTGAGAGTGATATACCGGAATCCTGGGCTAATCTGGACGAAATTACCGCCGGTCAACCGGTAGAGAATCTACACGAATCGCCTGTGCACCACCCCGCAAGCTTAGAACAAGCACGAAACCAGGAGCGGGAGTATTTGGAGCAGCAAGAATGTGAATCTGGGCGACTCGGCGGGGCGCTCTCTTCGGGAGAGTCGTCGACGGCAAAGGGACCCACGAGATGGGCAACACAACTATACGTACACTCCTATCTTGTCTTTTTCTCCTTATTAGGAACACTTGCAAGGAAAGGACTGGAATCTTTGACAACCTATCCCGTCACACCCATCGCCTTTGACACCATATGGGCCAATTTTGCTGGCTGCCTGATTATGGGCATCCTCATGGAAGATCGCAAGATTTTCCTCCATGAATGGGGTTCTCCGATTTATAATCAACAGATTCTTATGGAGGAAAGGCGACTGAAAGACGAAGAGAGCGGAACAAGCTCGGAACAAGAGCCAATTGACCTTGCCGCCGCAAAAAAGACCTTCACGTCCACGAAAAAGTCCATCCCTCTCTTCATCGGCCTAACTACTGGCTTTTGTGGCTCATTTACCACGTTTTCGGATTTCATCATGGATTCCTTTCTCGCGCTTTCAAACGGCCTACAACCTCCATCAACCACTCTTGCTACGGACCGAAACGGCGGCTATGATTTCATGGCATTGCTTGCGGTTGCTATTGCTACAGTGTCTCTCTCTCTGGCGGGATTTACAGTTGGTGCACATTTGGCTATAGCACTGGAGGGTACTATGCCGTCACTCCCTTATGCCTTCATGCGGAAGTTCCTTGACCGTTTTGTGGTATTCCTTGGCTGGGGGTCATGGGTTGGGGCGATTTTGCTGTGTGTATTCCCCCCTCATGACCTTTGGCGTGGCCGCATGCTATTTTCTCTTGTTTTCGCTCCCTTGGGAGTATTCACCAGGTTCTACCTCGCTCTATTTCTCAATGGAAGAAGCGCATCCTTTCCTGTTGGGACGTTCGTTGCTAACATCCTGGCATCAATGGTTATCGCTTTGGCCTGGGATATCAACCACGCTGCTGTAGGTGGCATCATAGGATGCCAAGTGCTCCAAGGTATCCAGGGTGGATTCTGTGGGTGCCTCAGCACTGTTTCTACGTGGGTAGTAGAGCTATCCTCCCTAGGTCGGAAGCATGCGTATTTATACGGGTTCGCCAGTGTACTCGTTTCTTTCGCTCTAGTTGTCATTATTGCGGGAAGCGAAAAATGGAGCCAAGGAGTTCAGGACCCTCTCTGTTCAGCATGATCCTTTATAGAGCATTGCATCTATCATAGAATGTTAAAGGAAAAGTTCCTAGATCATGCACTGCAGATAAGCAGAAAGTTGTGACCCGCGTTTGCTTCTTGGAGAAGCTCGTGTCAATTGTTCGGTCCACACCGAAAGCAATACGTAGGTAGACTAGGCTCGCATCAGGGAATGCCTGCAATCACTAGGTCCATCAGGAATCGAGCACTTGCCTAACTCGGCGCTTGTGCGAACCTCATTTGCGGGGTAAGTTAGGCTAGACTTTGCTCTGCAGGGTAAGTTACTTATTATTGATAGGGAATAAGAATAACTAGGCTCCTTGCCTTGCCTCGCTTGACTTCATTGAGTATGTACTACGTGGTAACTTACTTTCTTTATCTCAAAGCCTGGAATTGTTGGATAGCTTGCCAATATCTCAGCTCCCACCTGTGCCCCACTATTGCAGGAACTCGCACGGCCAGAAGTATGGCCAGCCCATAATATCCTGGGAGTCTTCCTCCTCTCCTGAGTCTCCCCTATCATCTGCCGGAAAAGAAAAGTCATCTAGAACTAGCTAACATGATGGCACGCCACAATCCCACCGGTTTTATTCGCTTCCAACTTTGACATTCTCGTGACCACTTACAAGATCGTCTTGGGTAATGATACCGCCTGCCATGTCCTCATCCCCAAATTACTCGTTTAACCAGCCCAGGACCAGGACAGGCCAATCATTCCCCGCACCCATGGCGGCGGCTTGATTTCCGGCTCTAGTGTATTCCTAGACTTCTTTGCACCCTGGCACCGTGAGCTTGCATCCTGGCATAACGCCGCGATTGTCAGCTGCGACTATGCCCCTGTCAGGCGGCGGTACAGGCTATTGACCCAGAGCCTGTTCAGAAATAACACCACCTAATTCTTCATCCACCGCGTTCTCTGCACCCTTATGGATTCCCAACTGCCCCTAGCCAAACAGTCAACGCGTATGATAACAATAGGTTCATACGCGTTGACTATCACGGGCGGCTCAGCACAAAGTCGCAGTCGATGTCTTGGTCGTGTATAGGGCGCCCCTTCGCAATCAGTGGGACAAGCGCCGAGCAACCCCTCTAAGATAGATCCGGCGGGTCTCGCAACGCAGCCAAATGAGGCAACTAATTAGCGACAAGGGACGGGTGCTAAGGACGCTAATGTGCGGGGTCAATCTTTATGCCGGCCTTTCCTATCTAATGAACCTTGACTCGGATATCGAACTCGTAGCAGTTCCCCCCAGAAGCCTACTCCGTAGGTAGAGTAAAGAAAGTAACTGGGGAGGCTGGGGAGGTCTCTGCGGGCGTTGCCGTCCCCGGAGCCCGCGGATTGGATTTGTTCTTAGGGCAATCAGTTGATTTGCCTCTCTGGGCAAAATGGCGAATTACTTAGAACGCTCTACTAGACCAAGGCTACGTCATCTCCGTTGACAGAGCTTGGGCAAGGCCTACACCATATTAGGACAAATATTGGTGCGTGCTGTCTATTGCTCTTGTTCTAGGCGTATAAAGTTGGTAAACACTCCCTTTGGATGCTACGTCAGGCCAGCCTAGTTTCGTCCATCATTATGTCTCTCAGACTCTTCATCACCGCTGCTCTCGGCGCAGTGCTAAGTGCTCGGCAGGTTGCTAGCGCAGCAGTGCCGCCAAGCAAAGCAGCCATTGTTGACACCTTGAACGGGTCTTACTATGGAACGTACAGCGAAATGTACAGTCAGGACCTCTTTCTTGGCATCCCTTATGCACAGCCACCTCTCAATAACTTGCGCTTCCGCCCCCCTCGCAGTCTCGACACGACCTGGTCAGGGCTTCGAAATGCCACTGAGCTCGGATACTCCTGCGTGGGTTACGGCGAAGATACCGAGGTTGCAGCAAAGAACTACACGGGCGAAGATTGTTTGTCCGTCAACATCGCTCGCCCAGCTGGAAACTTCTCAAAGCCCTTGCCTGTGGCGGTCTGGATCCATGGGTAAGCTCTGATGCCATTGTTGCATCGATCTTGCAAGCTGACTGAGAGTAGAGGAGGCTGGACAACCGGCAGCAGTGCGACTAGTTGGTATAATATGACCTACCTCGTTGAACGATCCGTACAGATGCAGCAGCCAATCATCGGTGTCGGCGTCAATTACCGTCTAGCAGGTTGGGGTTGGCTTCAATCAGACGAGATTGTCGCGGAAGGCTCGACAAATGTGGGACTGAGGGACCAAAGGTCAATAACCAGCTTCACCTAATTGAAGCCAGGCTAATACTCAGCAGGCTGGCTTTGCACTGGATAAAGGAAAACATCGCAGCGTTTGGTGGTGACCCCTCCAAGATCACCATCTTTGGAGAAAGTGCGTACGTTTTCAAGAGCTCCTCTGGTCCCAAGTTGATTTGCTTACCATCCTCAGCGGGGCGGCCTCAGTTGGTGCACACATGTTGGCGTATAATGGCCGTGACGATGGGCTTTTCCACGCAGCTATCGGACAGTCAGGATCGGTAGCAGGCCTCGGCTCTTGGGACGCCACTGCAGGTGAGAACCACAAGTCGACGACGACGGAATACTCATGCTAACTAATATCAGAGAAATCGGCACTTGCTACTGCAAATATCACGGAAACTGTTTGTCCCGAAGCCACCGACCAGCTTGCATGTCTGCGCAAGGCAGATTTTGAGACTTTAAACAACGCTATCAGGGCCTCGTTGAATGTCCCACATGCGGGTGTTTTATTTGGACCTATAATTGATGGAGACATCATGGTTAGGTCTCGGGTCGAGCAACTACGCGATGGCGACGTTGTGGATGTCCCATACCTGGTGGGATCCAACAACGACGAAATGTCCTATTACACGCCTGTGATTAACGATGAGGCGGAGCTTCATCAATCTTTGATCCAGGCACTAGGCTTGAACTTCACTCAAGCCATCGAAGTCATGTCACGATACCCATACTCGGACCCCGAGCTGGTCTCGCCGGAAGTCTCCAACGCGCGACTCAACTCCACCGTGGGAGTGGTGTATAAGCGCGCAAATACCATTTTCACCGACGTCGTGTTCAAGGCTGCAACGCGCTACGGAGCGAGATTGTGGGAGCAGCACAAGTCGAGCAATACATACATCTACAACGCCAATACTACCATAACTAAGGGCCCCAACTATTTTGGCGCCGCTCATGGGTTCGAATTGGCTTACATGTTCTATGACATCAACGGAACAGGTTGGCAGGGAGACTCAGCTCCATTCCTAGGCGGCAATCCGTTCGAGGGAAGGACGCAACTTTATCTTGATCTCGCTGCTGTAATGAGTGGTATGTGGGTGGGATTCATGAACAACGGAGTTCCCCATTATGACGGGCGTAAGTTGTCTCATTGTCCAGCTCAAGACACAACTTTCCCACTCCCTGGACTTATTGCTAACACTAAGACAGAACCTGTGCCGGAGTGGCCCCCTTACAAGGGAGAGGATCCTATGATTATGAACTTTGATGCCCAGACTGATTGCTTGAACACGAAGCCTGTGAAGGAGGTTCGTGCAGCCCAGCAGGACTTTATAATCTCACAGCTGTATTGAGGGCTTCCACTGCCCAACATTGATGTAAAGAGACCATCACGGGTGGTAGTTGGTTTACCGGTTCTCTCACTCTAGCACCAATCAGCGCGTGGATGTCCTGAGAGAAGCTGGCTCGAGTTGTCCTGAGAGAACGTGGGCCTCTGTTGGAACCCCTTTACTCTGGCCCCGCCGGCGATGTTCTTGGAGAACAACGGGCGGACTGGCACCCAGGACTTTTCTACTCTTTAACCCGAGTCTACTTCTTTTCTTCACCTTCTACTATAAGTAAGTAATTAAGTTCCGCCCGAGGGCGTCCACCGCTTGTTATCTCCCGGGATATGGCGCCTGAGTGGATAATTGAGTTCCGCCCGAGGGCATCCACCGTTGTTTCCCGAGCTAGTTGCGCCTAAGTGGGTAATTAAGTTCCGCCCGAGTACGTCACTACAGATTATTCGGGTTCGGGTTTAATAGCAATAGCGCTATTCATACGGAGTAGTAAGTGCACGGGTCCGAGCAACAATTACCCCAGCAGGAGACATCATGTAAGGCGGGCGAGAGATGTCACAAATATTGATCATTCGGGCTTTTAAACTTCTGGTAATATCAATCCTTTACGTAGTGCAGGTTCTGAGATCGTCGTGACCACGGGATGGCCGACAGATAGTAATTAGAATATGTCTCAAGGCGACTTAGCTAGATTGACCAATTAATCCACCTATTAGCAGTGACGTTCAACAAGTGGAGAGAGTTTTACATCAGCTTGTGTCCAAAGAATCAGCCCAGTGATTATTGCGGTGAGTTCCAAAGACGTACTTGTATTTAAACCAAGTTGTGTCGCCTGTCCGTCGCCAGTTTCACATCGGATCAACCACCGTCCAATCCTTGAGATATTTAACAGGAAGTAGCAACTCCAAGCTCCTTTGGTAAGTCAAATAATCTATCCTTTGACAACGCGGCTAACTAGAGTCTCCCAGCAACCATGAAGTTCCAATCTCTCCTCTTTCTCGCTGTCGGCGCGATTGCTGCACCGGCCCCTGAGCCCGCTGATGCTGGTGCTACCGTCCCAGCCGTCCGCCTCTTGTGCTCCGGCCTCTGGACGGGAAATGACCTAGGATATAGTGATATCGATTGGGCTATGCATAACCGCCGGAATGAGCTCCAGCTTAATGCTGGGTGGTGGAACCAAGTCAACACCCAATGCACTTCCACGGACGGCAGAAACATCGCACAGAAGGGTATTTGGATCACATACAACCATGCCCGAGATCTTCAGGCGAGGACAAATCTCAAGAATAACGGCGCCATTGTTTGTACGCCGCAAAGCTCATGGAGGCTCAAGTGCGACCGGAGTTGATTCCATCGACTGCCAGAAAACACCAAATGACTGACAGATAAATTCGAGGACTGTTTTCATTATGGCACGAGATATAAAAGGTCATCGACTCAGATGTATAAAGAGCAGATATTGTGTCGGAGACAGGACTCCGGCCATGTTTTCTTTCTTAGTTGCCTAATTAGGTAACTCTCAATTAAAGTAGTTTTTCTTTTGCACTGACGAAGGAGCTTCATGATGTTGCTCTTGGCCCAAGTGAGAGCGTTCAATACCTCAATGTGAAGAAATAACGACCAACGTTGGCTGACGCATGAACACCTTATCCCTTCAAGCTATTTGGGATTCGAAAGTCGCCCAGGCTGTTCCCTTAGACGGTGAGATATCATACGAGGACCTCACAGCAAAATTTGTAGAGCTCAACAGCGGGTTCAACATCCCGATGCTAATCTCTGCCGCGTCGTGCGTCACGCCATGACGAATCGCACCCTTTGTTGACCTGGGAAGGGCTTCGTTGCACACACCCGCTCATCATGCCTCATTGCACAGGGCGCGGCCATGAATAACTGGTTAGTTTCCTGTATAATCTTGCTATGCAGGCACATGATATCGGAGAGGGACACTATGTGCACAATAAAATAACTTCTCAAATGAGTTACACTGGTATTGTCTAACTTTGTAACCATAATCCAAGTGCTTTTAAAGATCATTAGCAAGCGATGAAATAATGTCCTTCGCCTCGTCTCTCACGCTTTCAATAATCGCACCGGCATCATCTACACTATGTACCAGTCCTACTGCAGCCCCGGCGTACGTCGCCAATCTCCCCTCTGGACCCCATCCGGCATCACCGGACTTTACCGCCTCATCGTGCAGTCGCTTCAGCTCATCGAATGGGATACCATTTTGGTGATCGACCCAGCTTCTGTTGATCAGTCCACGGGGTGAGAATTGCTCCGGCCACCCGAACGTGCCCCGTAAATGGTTATATAGCTGTGTGCGAACTGTAGACGTAGCGCCGTCGGTTGCGCGAATAACCTCGTTCTGGTATCCCTTGCTGATACGCGTCTCGGTCGCAGCGAGCATGCGTGTCCCCATTGCGACACCCGCAGCTCCCAGACTCAGGGCCGCAGCGACACCACGGCCGTCGACGATACCTCCCGCGGCAATCAGAGGGATTCCGGACTCGCTTGTGGCGTCGGCGATCTCTGGGAAAAGTGCCATGGTACCCAGACCATCCTTGGCCCGACCATGGCCACCTGCTTCGGCACCCTGGATAACGAGCACATCTGGAGGTGTTGAGCTACGGACGGCGTCAATGGCCTCGCCGAGAGTGCCGACTTGGATCCAAATCTGGGTCTCAGGAGATGCCTCGCGGACGCCAGTAGTCCACTCATCCAATTCGCTCTGGCCGTGACGGGGGGCGAACAGCCACACAGCACAAGGCCGGTGCTCCTGGACTGCGGATAAGGCGACCTTAAGATCGCCGTTCCACGTCTGAAAGCCGACCCCAATAGGGAGAAGGGCCGCAGTTGAACGTCCGGGAGCGGAAGCGAGCGGGGATAATCGGATTAATCCACCAGCCTTCTCCAGGTCGGAAAACAGATCCTCCGCCTTCATCGTTGGACCGATAAATCCAAGGCCGCCCGCTGAGGATACTGCGACGGCGAGGCTTGGCCCAGACATCACACGCATCGGGGCGCCAACAATGAACGGCTCCTTAACCCAAGGGTACGCCTGGGCTAGCAACCGTCTTAGATCTCTAGGGCGCGGGGCTACCATGGTCAGAATAATATGTCAGGGTGCAGGAGACAACCTTGAAGCTTTTAGTTGTAATGAGTTTCCCAGGAGAAGACAGTGTTCCCCGTCTTAGTGGAAGGAGCCGGTAAGAAGATTTCTCGACGGAGCTCTACTAGAGGCAGAAATGTCAACTTCGCAGTTGCCAATGGAACTTAAGCATCCATCGCCGACACGGCTTAGTCACGACGCCTTCGTGTATTTATCAGCCGTAACCTCGGTACAGCCATGATGTAATTTGTAATGCGCCAACCAAGATGAGAAAGGATCAATTACTTGTGACAGTAAGCGAGGAAAAGTTAGAAGGTCGCACCCACCAATGAGCAAATCCCGGCATGTCTTACGATGCTTTCTCTGCAAAGTTTAAAACTGCCTCCAAAACTTCTCGTTGAGTGTTCTTCGCGTTAGTTCACCTCGCCTGTAATTGGTTTGCCCTCTGAACATTGGTGAGGCGCTATTGAATGGGTCTCTACTCTTGCTGCATTGACTTTTGTCCTTTTGGAGGACCGCGATTCACTTCCCCATTCATCATTCACTCGTTGTCAGTTCACCTTCTCAGGGCTGAGATCAACCAATGCCAATTCTGGGCTCAAATTATCATGTAAGTGAAGGATAAGCCTTGAAGAAGATATTCTCCCCATCATACTTCCTCTTAAGCACCTTCAGCCTCTCCATCGTCTCCTTCCCGTAAAACAACTCCGTGTCACACTCTTCCGGGGGCGAGAAGTTCATATACGCACTGTCGAGTGCTAACCCACGCTCCTTGATCGCGGTGGCCATGTTATCTGAATACGTCCTGGCCGCGTCCATCTCCTGACTCCCTGACCCGTGTGGCGGAGGAGGCGCGGCACCGATTCCGAAAACGATGTGAGGCATGCGGTTCACGAAGCACGACTCTTGGTCCGGCTTGATGGCTGCGCCATGCGCGTGGTGAGAGATCATGTGGCTTGGGCCAATGGGGCCCTCAATCTCTTGGAAGATTTGGACGAGCTCTGGAGTTATTTCCTTGACAGTGCGTGTGCGGAAGTGATATGGAAGTAGAACTGATGTGACAGGGTCGAGAGAGGAGGCGAAGCCGTAGGGGGTTGCTGCCAAATTTGTTAGCTTGGCTGCAGTTAGAAGGAGAGACATGGCGGATAATTTGGACTTACTCTCCGCGACGGTGTTCTGTAATACGTCCCCGATGGCTTGAAACTTTTCGAGGTGAGCCTTCGCCTTGCTGAGATCGCCGTCCTCCTGCACCCAGGTGTACAACATCAAGATGGTCTGCCCAAGACCCGGCACATAGCCGCAGAGGAAGTCTCCCGAGAATTCATCAGGGAATTCTTCGGCAATCGAATCCTTGAAATTGGCAAACACACTCTGAGCATCTGCGAGAGAGTACCCCAAGTATCCACCTAGCATCCTGGGTTGGGGGTAGACCTTGATCGTCAACTCAACCACCACTCCAAAGTTGCCATTTCCGGCACCACGAAGTGCCCACAGAAGCTCCCGGTCGTCCTTGGTGTCGACCACTTCGCCAGAGGCAGTCACAACGCGGGCGGCGAGGATCTGATCGCAGCCCAGACCGTACTTTGCCTGCAAAACGCCGTAGCCACCACCCAGAGCCCACCCGGCATAACCCACCCCGGTGCAGAAGCCCGTCGGAGTGCTCAGGCTCATGGTTTCGAGATGCTTGATGAGTGCGCCGCCCGTGATGCCGCCTCCGATCCGAGTAGAAGACCTATCTTTAGCAACTTCGACCTGATCCAAGGCTCGGAGGTCAATGACGACGCCATCCTCGACTAGACTGCGCCCCCACATATCATGGCCGCCAGCCTTGATCGCAAGGGGTATGCGTGGTGAATGTCCAGCGCAGTGTGTAACAACAGAGCTGACTTCGGCTTCGGTGCGAGGGCGCACGATTGCCAGGGGCTGGATGGTAACATTGCTGTTGCATGTCTGACGGACGTCTTCGAACCCGGGGGTGGAGCTTGTAAAGATGGGTAGGCGAGGGTGTTTCTCAAAGATAGAGAGGAGGGAAGGGGCATCCGCTTCAACGGTCGCGCGAGAGGCGCCTTCGAGACCTGAGATGGAGGGTGGAGGATACGGATGAGCCATGTTTGAAGAGCTTTTGTTATCGATTTCTTGTTCCCTGCGTGCCTAGCTCTCCTTTCGTGCCTAAATGGCGGCAGCACGCTTAGATACCTCTACACTTTATACTTTGGCGAGGCAACTGTAACAGCTTCTGCTCCAAAGACGGCGTCCGAAAGGCGTTGGTGGCCAGGTTAATAGCCTTGGGTACTGGAAGAACGCAGAAGATGTGACAATGGGCAATCCGCAGCCAAGTCCCTAAGTGCAGATGCATATGGGGAAGGTTCAGAGACTTGACGGGGGTGCATGGGTTTTATACGTGGGTGCATCTCGGACCATTCGCCTCCTCGGGGGTTTTGACTGGGCTAGTCCACCGGCTCAGGATACTACAAGAGTATAAGCTCGCCTCAACTAGGTCTTAGCATTTTATAGGTTAGTCATCGTTTTAGTCTCTTATCTATTTATTCCTGAACGAGAGTGCTTGATAAGCGAGCGGGGTGTAAGGATAGTTATAGCGGGGTCAGACCGGCTGGAGCAGGCGCTGCAACTAGACATCGAGTCAGATTGGCCGGCATTTTCATCCGACTGTATACGTACATCCCCGGGCAACTTGTCAGAAGATGAACACCTTCGTGGTGACTGGAGGTGGAGTGGTTGCGGATGTGAGAAATCAGAAGTTCTTGGCTGACTCGCCGCTAGAGCAAAGCAATGTGATATAAAGTATTCATGGACATACAACTATCGTCAGGAGTATGCGCTTCAAATTGAGCACGCCCCCGTAATCTCAAAATCTATCATATTTCATACAACAAGGCGACAATAAAACAGATCCAAGCTGGGACATCAGTAATTAACGTCCGTGTAACATGCATGCTAATCCACTTTGACATCTGGAGCTGTGCAAGTTCTGGTTCGGATAGAATTTGGTCCATAATTGAGAGCACCTAACAACCGCAATGTCAGTCTTGCTCACAATCCCCTAAGCCCCAGAGATAACTTGCCTTGTTGCCGAACCCAAAGTGCAAAAGTGTGAAGAAAAGGCCAGCTAAAATCCATCGAGAGACCGGGTTGGGCTGCTTCTGTTCTGCGCCGTGATAGTGGAACCAAAATGCTCTGAGGCCGCTACCAAGTGTAAGCGCGCCAAGTGTAGTCACCCCGACGAACCCGGGCTTAAAAAAGTCCTTGAACCAAAGAGCAATAGCCGGTCCGGAATAGTCGGTGTTATAGAACGGGATTGTGGTGATATAGCCGCCGAGAGCCATGCCAACGTTAAGAGAAGTTGACAGGAGAGGAAGCAAGGTTTTGGGTATGAACCGCTGTTGGAGTGCTGGCTGGATCGCGCTCGATGCCATTATGATTGAAGCTAGGACCGTAAATGTCCGGGATTTCGGGTGTTTGGGTCGATTGGGGAAGTTCAGAGGTAGACGTAAATGCTAGAGGTGGGATTGCAGCAGCGGATGTTTGGACACTTGATCATCACCAGAGCTCGGGGGCAGAGAAGAGGTTTGCTTGTTTTGTCTACGCCCCTGCTCAGTCTCACTTTATCTTAGCTCTGTATTAATAATCGCCATAGCAACTGAGCCATGTGGAGCATTATGGAGCCTGATCATCGTTCACTTATGGCCAAGCCGATGACCCCTCCTGAACTGCACATCTTGACCCTTAATCGGGCCTAGCACTCGATGTCAGCAGAAAGGTACATTGGGAAAGTGTTGAAGACGACACGGTATTACGAAACCTCTGAGGGGTGTCAGAAAAGCCCTCTTCCGCTGACCCGGCGGATCCGGGCTCAGATAATTATCAACATTATCTTGGTCGCTTTCACCCCTATTGCCCCGATCAGTTTGGCCGTTAAGGATCTATTAGCAAGTTATCAACCATTTATTAAATATCCAGTGCAAAACATCAATTCTCTTCGGTCTAACTCACCACATCGCGAGGCTGTATTTAAATTCATTCTTGCAAAATCAATTCGTTATATGGAATGCACGCCAAGTCCAGCAATAAGGCACAGTTGCGATAGATTGTAACTTTGTAGAAGCTAAGTCTCGTCAAAGAAAGGGGTGGTCCTATACGAGAGGGAATAAATTAGGTAATTAGCGGTTTTAGTCAAAACTTAGGGCTGACGTATCCCCTAGGGCGGCCGACTTTTCGACCAAGTACGACATATGCGTCAATACTTGGATATCTATGTGTTAAAAATGAAGATATGAGGGTTCCATGTTGAAAATAACTTAGATTCCGTCTAATACTAGCTTGTGGTAAAGGTGAATGGCAGAACGGGCTTCGTCAATGGCTAGATGGCTGCAAAACAGAATACAACCCTGTAACTGGACGCAGGTACTCCTGGTGTCCAGATCTGGCTCGCTGCCTTGACTGGTCCGGATCCAGCTCTATCAAGTTCTTCGGTGGCATTGGCTTCAACACCTACCAAGCAAGTGACGAGCTACTCGGAGCTCTTTAGCGATATCACGATTCGGGCTTGTTATGATTGCAGCTCTGTCACTAATCTAGCAGCTTATTTCGTCGAGCTTCTCCGGATGCTTAAGAATACCCTCAGCGACTTTACCCCCATCGTCTCCAAGCCTTCTTGACAAGCTCGTTGTCCGACACCCGGATCTGTTGACTCTCCAGCTCTCCTGTGTTAACACAAACGTGTCAATCCCGTATATCGACCTCGCTAATGAAGCGATGGAATCTTTTATCTTGAATATCGGCAGCCTTGTCCCGCCGGCTCCAGTACCGATCCAAGGGCTCAATATGACGGGCCAAGACACCGGCCAGCTGTGATGACCAAGGAAGCGGAGTCTCCGAGACGAGTGTCAGCATAATATCACCAGATTCCGCATCATCGACCTTTCACCGTATTTTTAATACCTAAGCTGCATACTTAAGCACGCCAGTCCAAATCATGGTCATCACTCATCGAAGTCGTGCCGTGGGTGCGGTTCCAGCTGAGATTTGGTCCCACATCTGCTCGTTTCCCCACGTCGAGGAATACGACCAGTATGGGTTTTGCCATAAAGCGCACCCCCGCCAAGAGGGCAGCGTCTATAGCGACGAGCTCCTTCAATTACTGGTCCAAAATGATCCAGGTCTTACTTCAATACTGCTCACAGGGTCTCCTCGACGGGATCCTTTCCCCGATTACAGCAGCGTCGTCGGCGAGTTCCAAAGATTTTACCCAGACGCCACCCCAAACCCCAAACGAGATCTGTACAGCTTTCGCCTCGTCTGCAAGCAGTTCTCCGTCATAGCAACGCCCTTTACGCACCAGCATTTCTGCTTCTTCCTTACAAAGAAGCATCTGCAGAAACTAGACAATGTCGCCAAGCATCCGAGCATACCCAGAGCCGTCCAAGCATTGCGGTATTACGCGACTGATTATGCACAATAGGATAAAGTGCTTGAGGGGGGCTACAACTACGGTCATGACACATGGATGAGTCCCCAGGACCTCATGGAGCCCGTGGTTGACCTATCTCTTGAACCAGCCGACTACGCACAACATTGCAGGATCCACAAGGAGCAGCATGAATTGAAACGCGACAACGAAGACGTCAAGTGCTTCGTAAACGTCTTCCCTCGATTTGAGCGGCTTCAAGCCATTGACGTGCTCTGTGGACCCCGGCTGCTCAAGCGTAATCGAGTCAGGGGTCTAGAATTTAACCACATGAATCTCCGCGAGGCGAGCTTGGGCATCAGGGCTCTGGAGACGGTCCTGTCAGCCCTGGTTGATGCGAGGATCAGGCTCAAGTGTTTCGAAGCTGGCGTATTTGACTGCAGATTTTTCGACCGACACCGCAAAGAGCTAGATCGGTTGTTTCTTCCCTTGCGTCATTTGCAGTGCCTGGAACTAGTCATGAGTGGTCAGAGGGCTTACCGGTTCGATACCCAGGCCGTGGCGAGAACGGGTGTGATCCGGGAGCTACTTGAGCCTATGAAAGAGCTGCGCAGCTTGGTGATTAAGCTACCTCCTATGTACTTCAGCATGGATAGTGTTACGGCTCGGCTGTCCGATGTCATCCCACCGTTCAAGTGGGAACACCTGATACGGTTATCGTTGAGTGATGTTGAGTGCACGAGTGAAGACTTATTGTTAGTCTTGCTGCGCCACAAAGATACTCTTCGGAAGCTATGCCTGGGCCGGACAGTCCTCCGTTCTCCTTCATGGGAGTCTGTTCTTCGCACCATTCGGCAGGACATGCGCCTGGAAACAGCCTGCTTGTGCAGCGATCTCTATGAGATTGTTCCTATCGACGATGACGGCGGGCATATTCGGAACTACTGGACGGCCAGATACAGTGACGAGCATCATACGCTGGAACATAAGGAGGGCAAATACGTGTTGGTTTTTAACCTCAATGGATACTGCTGTGGGCGTGGATCAGATGACGAGATCCTCACTAGAGAGAACGCCGCCATTTACGGCTTTCATGTACGACAGTAAAGGGGCACGAGGCTAAAGTCAGAGTATCAAGGATGGTCTTGAGTTACCGACGCAGTAACCATTCACATAGATGAATCTCTATTGGCCCTCATGTAGTGAATCCTTTTCTCGGAGTCAATCCAGGACATCACCATTACTTCAAGCATACTACAACTCGTTCATAGATATCAGAGTCAGGTCTCGGATCCTTTTTTTAAATTACGAAGACTCATATTATTTGCCTACTTATAATACGGCATGGGGATAGTTTATGAGCCACATTCTACCTTGATCTTTGTTTCCTATCCCTGGTCTAATGCGCCGGAAGAGGGGACGACCTTCTTACCAAGTATAATATCATGTAGAGGGATTTCTATGACGGAAGTCCGTTACTATTACGAGGGCTGGAAGCGGATTGTGGAGCTGTTCCTCATCCTAGGACACGTCAAATTCCATGAAGATATCACTAGCATCCATTTTGGAAGCGATATCTCTGAGTCTGAAAAGATGGTGCATCTCGGTGGTGATCGATAGGTTGTCAACAGTGGAAAGTCTACTGCGCGAACGAAGAGGTTTGGCGGCAGGATTGTGGACGGAATGGACCGCACAGCAGAGCAAGGCTCTGTCCATTTGAAACTATCCAATACGTGAGAGAAGAGAATTATTCATCTGATTATAACCAGAAATGGCGACATACAAGATGATAATGGAACCTGGACTATGACGGGCCAATTTATGCGTGGAATTATCGTCCAATGTCGTTTGAAGTTCCAATTTAGATGCGAAGCTCTCTTAGCGCGAGGATAATGGGAAGTTAAGGTCATATTATTGTCGGACTAGCGTATAGCAATTTGTACATCTACGAAGCACAGCCTGAAAGCGAAGAATAATAGTACGTATAATAAGTACACTTCTGCATATGAATCCCATTACGATAAAGGAAGAATCGAGAATCAGTACTGAGAAAGAAGGACTATGGGATTTCTCCAAGAAGCCAACGAGCCCGCGAGCTATTGTACGAAAAGCTAACTGTTCGAAGCTTTCGTCGATATCAGCTGGCCACACATAACCAATGTCTGTGATGGTGTCCACGAGAACTCCATGCAAACGAATAGACCCGGCTGGGCTGGAAGGATGCTGTTTCCTCTGGTTCTGGCTGAAGTTTGGTGCCAGTTGCCTTGAATAGAGACATTCCAAGGTCCTCGCTCCATAGGTTGCGGACGGGAAGCACCCGGTTCGGAGCCCAAGAAGGTGACCTAGCCTGTCTAGAGCGACACCACTTCAACACGCTGATGTAGCCCTCTTTCAATAGTGCTCTAGCAGTCATTTCATAAACAACTTCAGTGTCGACCGTATAGCTCGCCTTAAGATCCAGCCCATCTGTGTTTCCAGGAATCCCTAAAAGTCCCTATATCTTATCCCTTGGGTCCCCTGCGTCTAAAATCTGTGCTTCAGATCGCATGGAAGCATTCTATAGACGTCGATATAGCGGTTCTGCGCGTTTTTGTCGGTATTTCCATCGTCCCGACAACAGGCAACTAGCCGCGTCGCTGGGACTCGCAGTCTTTAGCAGTTCCAATTGTATCTCTGCGGCCATCAACTCTTCTAATACCGTCCAGCCTGTTACATTTAGGTAGCTAGGAAACATCTAGCATATTCTATGACGATGAAATCACTAGGTCATCCAAATAGCTGTTGAGTCATTAGTACGTAGCGGCATGCATCCGTCAGGCATGTTGATGTTCTGATATCAACGTACGTCACTCATCGGTGTTGTCATTTTCCAGCTAGATGAGTCTATTAGCCCACACAACTAGACGGTCAATGAAGGCGTCACAAATGTTGACGCTCACTGAGCGCGATGACGAGACGTGGCTCACAGGGCACGTTTTCTTTGTCACATGTTAACGAATATCGTCCATGCATGGTGATGAAAATTGACGTTCGTGTTGCAAAGCATGTCGAATCCGAGGTATTAATAAAAGTGAGATTAATTAAGGGAAATGTATGAGATGTATCTCCATTGGCTCAACATTTTCCTAATTTATCTCGGCAATTTTGATACATGCTCTGAGGCAAGATACAGTCAGATTGTCGTCATCAGGCGGGAGGTAGACAGAGAGGCAATTTCAATTACTTCACTGTTATACAAGCTTACGCGTTGTAATATTGAGTAATATAGTTTCATCGGAGAGACAAGCAGCCGACGAGGTGGTGCGGGCACCAATTGCATCCACCTTGATGATGTGGCCATGTCAGCCACAGCATGCATCACAGGCATTGAAGTGCCTGCACTATCCTATTCTGGACGAGGGTAGCAACGCATCGTCCCTGGTTCCTTTTTAGAAGCCACCGGCAAGCTTCCATCGCTCCCTCAAGGTTGTATTTTTTAGCTGATGTCGTTTTGATGATGTTCTGAAGCCGTTCGGCTAGGTCGATACCAAAAACGGAAGCTACTCGGGTCTAGCACTCCACATTTGCTACCATCAGGAGATCAAACTCACTTCCCAATATAGCCATTCTCGGCCAGAAATATTCTAGTTCATGGGCCTTGAGTGCTTTACATAGTGACTAATAGCTATATAGCGATGACACCACCTAGTCTCATCTGAGTCAGCAGAATCCCAGTTGCAGTTTCCAGACGGATTCCCTGTGAGATCTGATAATTTGAATATCACAAAAGTGGATTGAGATATTTCAGATGCCGTTATTGCGGCTGGTATATCCCCATTTGCCGAACAACAGATTCACTAAGCCCGCGACATAGAACTCAATCGCAGTTTCGGGGCTGACGACTATGTAGGCGTCTAAAAAAAGAAACTCGTATAGAATCGATTGCGCGTCTGCATAATCTGCTGGTAGCATAACTAAGAAAAGGTCTCTGCGAAAGTGAACGGGGCCCAGCCAGAATTCATCTCAACAACATTCAGTACAACGTCATGCATTCAAAATGACGAATTAATGATAGCGTAAGACCTGGGCCAAAGGGCGGGATTGCTCTAGCCTAGACTATACACAGAAATGGCCGCGTCATGTCATTTGTCCTATGCAGATGCCGAGATGACTTGGAGGTGTATTATCTGCCGAAGGTAGCAAAATCCATGTTGGCTTCAGTAATCGACTTCGTGCAGGCTAACAAGAAATTCATGTGATCCTGAGACCAGATGTGAGAGGCACAGTGCCATAAAGCAGCTCAAGTTATCCAGCTTTATGATAGAAGAGTATCTATAAATAAAGCTAAGCCTTCCCCCTCATCTTCAAGAATAAATATCTATCTCTATCTCCCAGCTCATACAGATAAAATCAATTTCATTTCCCCTAACAACCACTATCTTTTCTTCGCATACCTCTTAAACGAAACTTTTGCAATTCCTACTTCCTCGAATATCCTTCACCCATTTGACGTCAAAATGAAGCTCTCCCTCATCGCCCTCATTGCTGCTGCCGCCCCAGCCATTCTGGCCGCCCCTGCCCCTGAGGCCGAGCCAGGTACTCCAGCCAAGTACGGCGACCATTATCCTCCCAAGGGTGGATACGGTGGCTACGGAGACAAGGGTGGGAAGCAAAAGGGCAAGGGAGATGACGACGATGACGACGAGAAGTATGACGACAAGTATGACGACAAGTACGGCTATCCTTCCAAGGGCGGGGATAAAGGCAACTACAACAAAGATCGCCGTAGCAATGGTTATGGAGGTTATGGGGACGACAAGAACAAGGGCTATGGAAGCTATGGGGATGACAAGAAGAACGACGACAAGAACAAGGGTTATGGAAGCTATGGGGATGACAAGAAGAACGACGACAAGAACAAGGGTTATGGAAGCTATGGGGATGACAAAAACAAGGACGACAAGAAGAAGGACGACAAGAACAAGGGTTATGGGGATTACAAAAACAAGGACGACAAGAAGAACGACGACAAGAACAAAGGTTATGGAGAGGACAAGAACAAGGGCTACGGCAAGGGCTACTAGACCACTGGCTTCCAGATCCAATCTTGGTTCCGAACCAGTCTCTATGAGAGACGATTTGGATTGGGTCTGAGAAAGCGACCAATGGTGAATACGAGCCTGACTGGTGACGAGGGATCGAGCAGGGAATTAATGTGGACGAAATCCTCGAGGCTATGTTTTATGATTGGAAGTATTGACACACTCCTTTATGTTATGCGAAGGCATCGGAACGATGTAATAGTGGACAAGCCAAAACTGGCCTAAAATATTAAATACAATGTCTGTCCTTTACGAGACTTTATACAAGTCCCAGTCATTCTCTCATCTAGAAAGTCGGAAATTTACGAGATTAGTAGAATGCCAGCTTTGAAATATCAAATATTATCTAATTCAATATTACTCTAGATGTCTTGTATTTTACCCTCAGACGTACGAGTCTGAAGGAAATTCCTGACCTGGTTCCGAAGGTGTTAGAGACCAGCAATATAACTCCCAGGAGTTAGGCTAAAAGAGGAACCATTATCCGCACAATTTGCGGGTGCTAATGCCGCCAGGAAATCTAGCAATAATTACAACCTACACTAATATGGCTCAAGGCCTGTGTATATCCAGGAATTCCTTCGCTGCAAATGGACAAAGAGAAGACAGAAATAACAGAGTAAAAAAAACCCCATTGGTAAATTAAGGCTTTAAATGACAGGATCGAGTTCGGTAGTCTCCATGAAATGTCTGCGCTATCAAGCCGCTCACTTTCTCCAGCCCATATACGAAATAAAATATACCATGTCTCTGGCTGTGTTAATGATGTTAATTAAGCAGCCAAATATCGGGTCCTTCGACAGTGATTCTCCCTCCTCATATGACATAAACATGCTGAAAAGGGTGCAATGAGTGCCAGTTGACTCGGCGGTTATGTTGTTTGTAGATGTCCGGCGGTACAAACAAGAGTTTTCGACACTCTTAGCGCCGTACCAGGCTGAGTCTGTATTAACTGTATTAACATTGACACCCGTTACACTATGATCTCGCTCTTTGTTAAGGAACTTACCTAAGGGTGTTAGATATATCTCTAGATGCTTTGCATGATCGGGCCCCGTGTAGACTGGTCAGGATAATCGGATTTCCTCTTTTGATAATATCCTGAGGGAGAGAATTAGGCGTTGCAGCCTCCGCGTTTAGCTCTGGGGCTATCGTAGGAGCAACTCGTGGAATTTCGGGTGTTTTTTGCAGCAGCTGTTCAGCTCTTTCGCAGTCATTGGGTGTTTCTCACTAACAGTATCGATTTGTGATTTTGGACTTGGTACCGGTATTCTTCCGGAATTACCACACATAGAACTCAATGCTACCGATTCAGTCATACCTACTATTCTTTCCCCTGAATTCAGGTGGCACGTGTGCGTGTGTACTAAACGCGTCCAAGTGTAACTAAGGGCCATGATGTATAAGCCACGCTCAGTGCGACACCCCAACTCGGCTTACCCCTTAGAACTCGAACCGATCGTGACACTCTTTGGACGAGCTTGGTAAAGCTTCTGCTTGATACGACAAACGCCTTTTCCCTTAAATATCCGTGCGTTTGCTGCAAGAATGGCAGGCAGAATTCTGCGTAGTATCGACTCTCCGCTAGAGGGTAGGCGGAATTTTCCGCCTACGCCGTCAACGAGTCATGTCGCCAATCATGGCCTCTAACTGGTTTAATGCAAATCTCCACCGCGGGGATACGCTATGGAGATGAATCAACAACCCTGTCAGTGATCTTCAGGTCGTCTAGTCAGCTTCGAATTAAACGCGTCGAGAATGTCACTCTTTGCTGACAGCGCGCAGCAGCACAGTACTACCGTCTGTGGCTTAACATCACGGGACTATATGGATACGTACTTCGCCATGGAATCCTACAACCTTCTTCTTCCACTATCATTTCCCGCGTTTTCGCGTCAATTATCATGGCGATTGAAGAACAGTTCATCTTACTTTCGCTTGGCCTCGTCACGATTGCCGTACGGGTCGCCCTACGGTGGCAGCAGGTCGGGCCCTCTGGCTGGCAGTTGGATGACTACCTGATGCCGCTGACAGGGGTAAGTTCCCCTTATGCGCACCCTCTGGCAAATCAATCCAGACCCGGGCAGGCTCTGCCGTCCGACTAACTCGCCAGCCTATGTACTAATTGTTGTGATACCCAACGTCTTGACCGATCTATATCTACTATCTATCCCATTGCCGGCAAGTAACGACAAAACTCCACCTTAGCATCTCGACACTTTTTCATCTCTGACCTGGTTCTTCCCTATTAATAGCTGCTCTGGGGGGTGAACATTGGTTTGAGGCGACGTCTCACGCTCATGCTCTTGTTCAGCGGCGCCATTTTTGTTATCATGGCCGGCACAATACGAGCCGTTGTGATTATGACAGTAAGACCACCAAATGATGTGATACTCTCGTAGTGCGAGGTACTCCATATCACCCACAAGAAAGAGGGTTTTTTTTTTCTTTTTGGTTAACCATCTCTCTTCCATCTAGTCCGGTCCAGAAGGCGCTCTTGCAGGCAGCTCATGGGCATGTCGTGAGACCTTCGTTGCCATTATCGTATCGAACCTGCCAATCCTGCAGCCGCTGATGCGCAGAGGCGCAAACAAAATTGGGCTGAGCGGGCTGTTTAGTAGATCGTCACCGACCCGTGGCGAAAGTTACCAACTAAACAATGACGACAACGGGGCCAGCGGAAGCATGTTCGACACAAGGCAGAAACAACACGGCTCGCGTCGTCATCCCCTGTCCAACTCGCAGACGACAGCATGGGGTAGTGAGGAACGTATTATGGGCGCGGGCATACCTAGGGAGAGCGCAACAAACAAAGACGGCGGGATCGTTGTTGCGCAAGAGATTTCCGTTGAGTCGGAACGCATGTCTGCTGCAGATTCGAGTACAGCCGACCCGGCGCACAACGACTGGGGATTCAAGACTTTGGCGAGAAATGAACACGGGCGGTGAAGCAAAAGGAAAGCTAACATTGTTGACGGTTTTTTTCCCCTGTGACACCACCGTTCGGGGAAAGACTGATAAACAAGTAGGTTACAAACCAGGCAATCTATGCTCTAGTTAGAAAATCATGCTTAATCCTTATATTGCACCCCACTACGCTCCGTCAAGTGGAGTTGGAGCGGAATTTCCTATCATGTACACAACCCCGTTATCGATTAGCCTTTAAGCCCTTATATTTCTACTAATTCCACCATAGTTCGACGCTTAAAAGAGATTACAAGTCCAGGGTGGCCGACTAGGAGACAGTATGTTGAAAGGACAATAAGCCTATAGTAAAAATTAGTATAGTTTCTTGAAGATAAACAAGAGAGTCAAGGCCAAAACTCACACTCCCTCCAGTCCGACCAAGAGACCCTCATCTTTAACAAAATGTCCACTATATCCTTGATGGAGTTCTACCAATCGATATACGCAGCGTGCTGTTATCATAAGGATGGCTAAAGCCAGGAAAGCAAAGAAAAGCCTCACCCGTAGCTCCAGTGCGCTAACCTGGTTGAACCGGAAGTAACGAATCAGGTAGTCTCCAAATAGGCCACAAAAAATAATAGTAGTGAACACTTGGAACGCAAGGCCAGCAATAGCAAGATTCACGCGGGTCTGACTCGTTCCAGATGATATTGTTGACAAGACTCCGCCAGTTGCTTGGACAGCGAGTGAGAAGAAATCGCAAGGTATGAAGATCCAGTAAAAAAGCTTCGGTTGGAATCGAGAGAGGGCGGGCAAAGAATGCTCGACAAAAAAGGCAAGCGTAACGTAGATGGCCGCCCAAAAGTATACAGGGGTGCTAGAAACGCAAACTGCAAGGGTGGATTAGCAAGAGTGTCAGACGGACCGATAGGAAAAGTCAGCTCTGCCTAAGATTTGATCCGTACCGGGGTTTTCCTTCGAACCTAGATAGAGACTTTCAACCTAGATGACCCTGATGACCCTCAACAACCTAGATGATCCTCAACAACCTAGATCATCGGCTAGGGTCGGAATCACTAGGTCAGGGATATCTGGCCTCTAGATCAAGGATATCTGGCCTCATCAAAGGCATCTGGATCAGTCAGATCCCTAGGTATAAATAGCTAGCTTTCTCCCTTCCTAGACCAAAAGACAAGATCATCCATCGTCCCAAGCTGTCTCAACCAATCCAACTTGTCTGATAAAGAGTAGGGGAGGGGTTGAAATAGCATCATGAGGGGATAAATGAGTGACCGTACTGATTTGTTGCATGAATGCCCCAAAGTTGAAGGGATTATAGTACATCATGATGCGTCCAATATAGCCCATAACTGCGTTGAGGTAGCCCAGGACCATACACACCATAAAGAACCAGGTGCGCCATCTCAGCCCGAGGAAGACGTACAGGATGCCAGCGAGTGCGAAGAGAACAACAAACAGAATATTAGCTGCAAGACTTGGACGGTACCCGTAGACGCTGTATTCTAGAGGGCATATTTCCGAGGTACAGTTTGCTCCTAGGCCGAAGACGACCACATACTCTGGGAGTTGAGGTGAGCTGTCCATGGTCGAGACGTGGGACACTGAAAAGAGCGTGGGGAAAGATTCTAACGCAAGGAGAATCAATTGAGTCAAAATGGTATAATTATGGAGGTACAATCTTGCAAAGATTTAGATGCTTCGACTGCCGCTCCTCTCATCCCTTTATGAAATCGTCTTTTGACACTCCTTGGATAATGATGAGCGGCACAGGCTGACTCGCCTCCACATTGAGACAGGGATCTGGTTGGAAAACAAGCTGGGAGCCATTGAATTATCCCCTCTCTGGAAATATCTTGGCTTGGCATTCTAGCTTAATACAGCTTAGCCATTAGTTACGTTGCAGCAGTCCAGCTCCGCGGTAAGGGACCAGTGCCTACAAAAATCGCCTCATCCGCTACCAAGACGCATTTTTTTCCCATCCAGCAGCAAAGACAAGCAACTCAGTATGGAAATGTCTAAAAAAATCCATCCACAGGCGCTCAACCCCAGCACATTCCAGTTCGTTTATCTGGAGAATACTGGTAACATTCGTTCGTCGGCGATACAGAAGCAAGCTAAGTCGTACGCGGCTAAACGATTCCATGCCCGAGCAAGGCATGAGCAGGTCAAGAAGCATCAGGAGTCCCTACGGCAAGAAGCCAGGCGGACTCTGGTCCCATCACCTTCTGGGGTAGACCAATCTATCGATGCTGCCTTTTCGAACACAAACGCATTTCAGCTACCAAACCCCACGACAATGCTCTCAGCTGCTACCACAGACCCCTTTGCATCAGCTGCGAGGCCGATCTCCTCGTTTGAATACTTCCTTATAAGCCACTGTGAGATCTTCCTAGAAATCTCTAACCTTTCGATAGCTGAGAATAGAAGATATCCAAGTCATCATCCCTGCCGGGGGTTTCTACAGCCCGTCTCACCCAAGTCCTGAGGCATATTTGCATGGTGCCATAACGGAATGGATACCACTTGCAATAACTGATCCCGGCATGTTGAACGGCATCCTTGTCCCTGCCTGTCGAAGTCTCCATTCTCTTCAGGGCGGAGGCCATTACTTGGAGATGGCTCTTCGATATAAGGTAGCCTGTATTGTATCTCTCAACATGGATCTTTCGGAGCAAGGGGGAAAACCACGTGATTCGAGTATAGCCAAAGCGATTATTTTAGCTGGCGATGAGGTAGGATTTTCTTACCACGGGTTTTTTTAGAAAATGATGATAAAACTAAATCGGCTTTCAGGTCTCAATTGGTGATCTTTTGACTGGAAAGGATCATATTCAGGCGGCACACCAAATGGTTGCATCAAGGGGAGGTATTGCCACCTTGGGAACACACGGATTTCTGAGTGGACTGATTAATATGTTTTCGAGTGAGGGCGAAACAGAGTAAGTATGTGTCCTTGTTATAGCATCCCTCACCCTAATATATATCATAGGATACAAGCTATGCACGTGCTTAGCAGCTACAGTCATTTTAGCACCTCAGTGTAGCGATTACATTTACAAGCCACTTCGTAGTGTAGGGTAAGGGGAATTATTGCAGCTGTTATTGATATTTCTCTTTCTCTTCTTCTCTAAGAGATTCAGAAGGAATTAATTCATTACTCTGTGTCTCTTACCTTCAGGAGACAGCTTTTCTGTTGCCTTTCATTATCTCTTGTCCCTCTCCAGCTCCTACCCTACGGACGGGTGTGATCTCCACTAAAGACCTCTCCTAGTAACAAACTATCAGTAACAGACAGTATGTCGCCGGGCCGATTACTGCTGCTGCTGTATGCCTAGTATCTCAGGCGTAAAACGAGACAAATCGGAACGCAGGTCGAACAGTTGGGTCTACTAACACCAGAATACAGAAAAGCTCACAGCGAAGCAATTGGCCGCAATTACGTTGCTGGGGTGGGGCTAAACAAGCGTGCATTCCTTCGCAAAATAACCGAATTCAGTAAGTCTAAAAAGTACTGTAAAGTATTGATAAATCGAGAAGGTCTAGCGCTGGATTTAGTATAGTCTTGGCAACTTAACCAGGCTTAATTATAGGTCCGATTCAAGCTGGGGGTTGCATACAAAGCGGGTGCATAACACTCATGTGTCCTCCAGACGAGCGAGAAACTGCTCAATTTAGCAATCTTCCGAGACTTTTCAGTACTAGATACTAATCCTACAAACGCCTCGTGCGGGGTCTATGTCACCGTCTCTTGGCTTTTGCGGTTTCTTACACAGTCCATCGCAAAGCATACGGATCTAGTAACAGCTGTAAACTTGTGTCTTCTCAATAGGTCGGACTCGTTAGGACCCTTGTTCCTGGCTGATGATAGCCACCGGAGGTAGGCTTAATATTCACTATCTCTTGGCACTCACCATCTTTTTACAGCCACTATTCATCTTGGCACTTACCCCGCTACACCTAAAACATCAGTAATATAAGCTACGTCCCTGAATGTGAAGTTATGCTTCAAACCTTAAAGTCACATTCACCAGGTTTGTGCATGCAAGGTAGGCAATTTCCCTAAGCATAGCATACGATCAAGTTGAATTGGCCGTGTATATAGCTTGCTGTGCCTCACATTCTTCCAACGACGTGATAATCACACCCTTCTCTTATTCCTCATCCTTCATCAAATTCACGCCAAAATGTCGGACCATCGCGTGGTCCCTGGGACGGTTTATCTGGTAGATGTCCAGCATATCTCGCACTCTAAACATACTGACGACGGCGATATTGTGCTCGTTCCTATGCCTACGGATGATCCTGAGGATCCGCTCAACTGGTCTAGGCGGCGCAAATTGCTCTCAGTCACCTGCATGGCAGTGTATATGGTCATGGTTGGCTTGTCGTGCTCATTGGTGTATTCCATCATTGTTCCCGTGGCTGAAGACACCGGCCTTTCCGTAGCAGGTAAGGGACTTTGTTATCACATATTGCCCTAGCAGGCCACTAATCCCGTTGTTCAGATCTCAACGCAGGTACCGGCTACAGCTACCTGGCTTTCGGATGGGGCTGTCTGTTATGGCAGCCAGCGGCCAAACAGTTTGGGAAGAGACCTATCTATCTTATCTCGCTCCTGCTGAGTATCGGGGTTACTATTGCCGTCCCCCACGCACTCAGCCCTGGCGCGTGGATGGCTATGAAGATTCTAGGAGGTCTAGCGGGCGGCCCTCTAGAATGTCTGGGAGAGATCTCCATTGCAGACGTATTCTGTGCGCATGAGCGAGGAAAATTCATGGCTATCTATGCGTTCGTACTCTTCGCAGCTGGCTTCCTGGCTCCGATCCTTGCCGGGTTCATCAACGATGGAATGGGCTGGCGCTGGGCTCAGGTATGTCGAAATAGCGTCTTGGAGAATTTACAAAAGCTGACATTTGCTAGTACTGGGGAGCTATATGGTTGGCCATTGGTTTCTTATTTTGCTTCTTCTTCATGGAGGAAACAAACTTCACGCGAACATCCGTACTCGTGACTGAAGAGACACAGAATGAAATTGGATCGAAGACAGCTGCATACGACGAGGCGAACCGCCTTAACGATACAGACAAGCCGAACTGTATGGACGACACAAAAGCAGAAAGTGTTCAACCGAATACGCAGAACGATCTCTTCAACGGCACTATGACTTGGCCTCGAAAGACATATCTGCAGAAGCTGAAAATGTTCGATAATGTGCAGCCGATCCACCATTTCTGGTCAATGGTCTTACGCCCCCTACGCCTATTATCTTATCCCGTCATCGTCTACTGTGGCTTCTCATACGGATGCTCGCTTATCTGGTATTCTGTGCTCAACGGTACAGCATCTGTTGTCTTGAGCTCCCCGCCATATAACTTTAGCGCGTAAGGTGCCACTTGAAAATTTTCACAAGTCCAATAGCTAATCAGAGTTAGATCCTACGTCGGACTCACCTATATTTCCCCCATGATCGGTGTTGGCGTCGGCAGTCTGATCGCTGGCAACTTTGGCGACGTTGTTGTCATTTGGCTCGCTCGCCGTAACAAAGGAATATGGCACTCGGAATACCGGCAGTGGCTGAACCTCATTATGGTCGTCCTTCTCCCTGGCTCTCTTCTCCTCTGGGGCCTCGGGGCAGAACATGGAATACACTGGTTTGGTCTGGTCTTTGCTATGGGACTCATCGGGTGCTGTATTGCTATAGGAGCACATCTTTCGCTCTCTTACTGCATTGACACCTACACGGATTTCGGCGCCGACGCCGTGGTCGCTACGATGTGTATCAGGAACACTATGGGCTTCGCGATAGGGTATGGCATCACACCGTGGACCGAGAACTTGGGATACCAGAACGCCTTCTTGGTCGCAGCAGCTGCTGGTCTTCTCCAGGTCCTCACTTTCCTGATAATGGTAAAATGGGGTCCTCAGATCAGGGAGCGTTCAACTGACCGTTACCGCCGTGACGTGGACAGCGCCACAGAGTTAGGGATTACTCATTGATCTGGCATAAAACTCATCCCTGGTGGGCCTGCGATGATGGATTGGGCGGTTTTGTCGACGAAAGCGGGAATTATGTCTTCAGGCGGCGGACTTGACGCTTTCGATTCGTGGGTAATGGATCACCAGGCGTGGATAATAACAGGTTTTTACACAGTGACTAATCTCTTTAATTAAGGATAGAAATAAAGCCGTAGAGGGGAAAAAACCGGCGAGCGAATCAAAAACCCCCCAGGGCTATTCTCGACCTTTCAATCTAATCCCTCTGACCGACAAAGTGCCTTTCCTCCCTAACATAAAACCAAAATCAGCCTCTCGCTTAACCCATGCCGAGATAGCTAGCTGTTGAGGTGATTAAGATCCCGAAGCGTTCAATGTTTGAATGAACCAGTTGAGCTTGGTCAAGCTCTGCCCGTAAAAGTATTGCTGTCCGCCCACAGCAAAGGGAAACTGCACTTGGTAAGCTCCCAACCAATGTCCGTTTTGCAACTCTATCCCCATTTTGCCGCCTTCCTGAAGAAACTGGATAAACCATTTGCGTGTGTCCATGTCCTGGGCATAGAAATATTGCTGGCCTTCAATAGAATAAGGAAACTGCACCTGATACGGGCTCAGCCACTGGCCATTATTAGTTTCTTGACCCATTTTGCCGCCAGGTAGAAGTTGCCGAATGAACCAGTAGTTTGTGCTCAGGTTCTGGCCAAGGAAATACTGAGCACCGCCGATGGAAAATGGGGACTGAACCCCGTATGCGCTGCTGAAGGTGCCATGATCAGTTTCAGGACCCATTGTCCCATCAGAGAGAATTTGCTTAATGAACCAGCTGTTTGTCTTGAGGCTCTGGCCGTAGAAATACTGAATGCCGTTGATGGCAAATGGAAACTGCACTTGATATGCAATACTCCAGGAGCCGTGAGAGATCGGAGCACCCATTTTACCACCGGCGACAACCTCCTGAATAAACCAGTTCAAATCGGTCAGGCTTTGTCCGTAAATAAAGACCTTGCCTCCGATTGTAAAGGGGAATTGAACATCGTAGGAGTATCCCAAGCGGCTATTATCAGTTTCTGCACCCATTTTTCCGCTGGGGAGAAGTTCCTAAATGAAGAAACTACGTGTCGACAGATTCTGGCCATAGAAGTACTGTTGCCCGCCAATCGTAAGTGGGATTTGCACCCCGTAGGCATCAAGCCAAATGCCATTGGCAGTTTCGACACCCATTGCGGTAGCCATGATGGGCGTTCTCGTAAAGAATCTAGACTTGAAATCTCATTAGCACTACAAGATACTATGGGGATTCATGTATCAGCGATTAAGCCATACCTAAGTAGGTCCGGTTGTCGTCTTTCAGCGAAGGGGGGGATAGTCTCAATCGGGGGTCACCTAGCGGGGCGCTCGGCAAAAAAGAGAATGAAAATGTTGATCAGCTGGGAAGCTTTGCGAAGGTCAGTGATGTGAGGTGATGAGGATGAATCTGGTGACTTAGGTCTCTATGAACTCCTCCTTATATACTCCATGATCCTCCTATAAACGGTGCCAAAGTGGCTTTCGCACGACCTTGAAGCTGCGCTCCAAGACCTTCTCCGAATTCCAAAATCCTCATTCACATTCCAAAAATCCCATTCACAATCCAAATCACCCCTTGGCTCTTAATTATCTCGTAAAAGGTCTCTGCTATACCTGTACCACCGCCACTATTATCTCACATTGCTTTTGTTGCCTCTCTTTTGCTTTTTGTCGCGTTGGTTAGATACTTTCCACCTTGCTTACCACCCCCAGCCTCTCAATCCTGTCGACGCCATGCCATTTCCCCCAAATTACGCCGAGAAAACTACATCCCCAACCCGTCAAGGGTCTCCTTCCTGAGTGCATGCGGAATCGGGGGATCCATCCTCAAAGTGGCAAGTACCTAACAGGGGCTAGCGAAAACAACTCGTCGGTGGCGTAGCCGGGGCCTTCGGGCCAACTCCTAGCGTGGAGTCTGATTCCAGGTAGGTCCTCACAGTCGGGAACGATCGCGTGTACGTCATACCCAAGGCCAAAGACTCATAAACCTCCGGGTCCTCCCCCGTATTATAATATGTGTGCATGCGAGGATGAGAGTCTAAAAGAAGATGAAATTGGACCTCTCGAGTCCATCCAGACCGCAGGCCTTACCGGGCGTGATATACTCTACTGCTACATCCCCTGATGCAACGCAGAATGCGGTGGACACTGGAGCATCACGGGGGATCCTTTTGTTTCGCTGAGGTCCCTTGCAACGAAGGAGCCGGCCCACACACACCTTGTCACTATGGCAATTTGCTTTTCCCAAAAACAAACTAGCATGCCCGCCTTGCCGTCTTCCGTCTTGCTGTCTTGCCACCCTAGCCTGGTCTCACGCTCGAGCCTCTCGGGGCTCAATCCGAGACCGAAGTATTTGCTTTTTGTGGAAATGCATGGTTCCCACTCTGGAGTTCAGGAATTTACTATCTACATAGATGCACGGTGACCGGGTTGTGGCTGAATGCAGGTCGATTCTTTGGGGTGAAACAGATAATCCGGTCAAGGAATAGGTAAGCCACACATTCCAGATTGTCCCAGCGTATGGCGTTGATTGGCCATCCGGCGAAGCCTGTGGCTCGGCCTGAAGACGGCATGACAACTTGGCGCTCGAGTGGCGCTCGAGTGGCGCTGACTGGCTTTGGGATAGTTTTACTTCACATGACAGTCATTATGTCTGTTGAACCGCTTACCACACAATATTACGAGATAATCCATTGCCCCTCAAAAGGCGAGACATGCAGGTACCCTCCAACCTTCTCGCAAACTCTTACCAAATAGCACAGGATGATATTTGGCCTGATACATCCGTTTTTGCCACGAATCCGCTTGCAAAGCACTATCGAGAGTGCAGCGCAGTAGAGATTCCAAGTGATACTTTCTCCTTCCCTCCACTGTCATTCTATCCTTATCTTTTGTGGGAATGGTCTATTATGCTTGCCTTCTTATCTGTGATGGGTCGACAGCCTCCTCTGGTGGACGACTCGATCGGGCCACAGAACCTCGCCATCATCACTCCCATCTTCAGTCTCGGCATCCTTCTCTTTGTACTTAGAATCTACACGCGTGTGACCCCGATTTATAAGCTAAATGCTTCGGACTATACGAATGCAGTTGCAGTAGTAAGTTAAACAGCCAAGAGAGCGGAGGACGCGGGAGATTCTGATTGTTTTAGTAGGTTGCACAAGTACTAACCTACTCATTCTTCGCGGCGGCCGTCGGTAATGGGTTCGGACGTCACAACCACTTTCTTACTCCTGAGAGTACTGTCAAAATCTCGAAGCTTCTGTTTGGCGTTGTATTTGTAGGTTTATGGGCCTCTACCTTTGCCAGGGTCTCAATGGCCTGCTTATTGCTCCAATTTCACGACCTGAGATCAATTATGTGGAAGGTGGCTCTCTGGTTCACTATCGGTTTGCAAGTAGTGACCCTTTTCGCCAGCGAAGCCTTCCAGCTGCTGGAATGCCGCCCACTCCGACGCATGTGGGAAGAAGTTCCAGATGCGCAATGTGTAAGCCCACAGGACGCTTGGGTGGTTGGATATCTCTTCGTTGGTACGCTTTTGCTCAAAGTGTTTCAGATTACGTGCACTAACCCATCGAAGGAGTTAGTGTGGTCGGCGACTTAACACTCTCTATTATGCCCATATTCCTTATCTGGACATTGAATAGGCATGTCTTGGAACGGCTGTTAATATGTGTCTTGATGGGACTTGGCCTTTGTGCAACTGCGGCCGGGGTGCTGAAAGTCATTTACATGAAGACGTCCGATTTCACATCTCCCGACACCTTTCGAGCGATGATGCCTATCTTCCTGTGGTGTCGGATCGAAGAAGGTCTCATAGTCGCGGCTTCTTCCGTCCCCCTCCTCAAAGCCCCGATTGAAAGGTGTCTTCATCGATTGGGATTCCCGACTTTCCAAAATTCGGTCAGGGATATGGAGTCGCTCCATTCTCGCTGAAATAAATCAGAGCCCTGCGGGTACGTTTGTTGATCGTCACCAACAATAAAGGGGATGAGGGCACTGGCGGAGGAAGAACTCATGAGCGATGGATGCCTCACGAGCAAGTGTGGCATACGATTCACTACCATAAGAGGGATCTGCTTTTTACCACCGATGACACCTGAGGTGACAGGTGATTCTTGTTCTAACTACCATGGCCCCTTACCCTATCGTAAAAAGAGGAGTTCCTCAGCGTGGCGTTCCTGCCCCCAATCTGGGGATGGCCAATCCGGTTCTGGCCATCCTGTCGCGCCGCAACTTCAGTCGGCATAGCAGCTAGTGGGTTCTCGGGTTCACCAGCTGTCGGGGCTTTTGGCGGGCGAGGAGGAGTTGACATCCGGTCCTACATAGCGCAATGGTGACGAGCTTGTTGAAGGGCTGGAAGATGCCTATTACTTATTAGTGCAGTTGGATGTTTAATTTATTCCCGTTCCTGTAGAACATTCGATAATTAATCTCAATTTACACCATTGCCATCCACTGGTGATGATGCGAAAACGGGCATACACCAATGCGGCGATGCTTTCCTGTTGTTCTTGCGGCAGAGAATGACATGTCTCAGCAATTGATCATCTGTTATATTCCCCCTGGTTGTACTTAAGTGAAATAGATTTGGGCTGCCTTCTACTAATGTGACAATATTTCCTGGGGGGTAGCGTTTCGATAATCCAGCAGTTGATAATGTTCCAATATTAACTTGATCACGCCAAATACGTTTCTAAGAAAGATACTAAACGTTAAAAACTGAACTCGAATATCCTATGCGTATTTCTCTCATTTTGAGAGCTCCGATATTGACCGACATTCCGTGTGCTTATTCCAAGTATTCAAGCGGTCAGACCGGCGAGAAGACCAGCGGCAAGGGTAAGGAGGGGAGGAGGGAGACCGTTACCGCTGCCAACGAGAAGCGGGCTGAGGGCCGTGACAAGACCAGGAACAATGGCACCAAGAAGGACAATAAGTAGGATCAGAACGTTGGCAAGTATCTGAAAGACGCAATGTAGAACAGAGTCGAGCTAAGTTCGGATGCCATAAATGGTAAAGAGGCCTTTGACGATGGTAGTACCGTTAGAAACGAGAGCGACAACCAGGGTGTGAATGATCTTGATATACCAGTTGGTAATACTGAGGCCAGAAGAACCGATACGTTTGGTGACGAAATTGGTAAGGGTGTCTATCAGGCTGTTGTGCTCGGGGAGGGCTTGGCCAGCATCTCTACCATAGGAGAGGTCCCCACTCTGGACTCTATCAGAAATGTCGTCTAGACGTTGTCAGCCAGTGTCTCATTTATCCCGGTATCACATCATACCGAGGGAGATGCCCTGGGTATTGACGGACAAGACAGCACCCTGGAGGGTGCTAATGAGGTTGTGAGGGCTAGAGATGTCGCGCTTGGAGGTCTCAGCCTCGCTAGAGCAAACAAGAGCGTTCTCGACGTGGTTGAAATTGCGGACGCATTTTTAGCGTCGGAGAAGCGAGCAGCAAAAGCCGATATAGCTAGAGCGAGATCGAAGAAGAGAACGGCCTTCGTGGTGATAAGTCACGATGAATATTGAGGCCGAGCAGTGGTATGTGATGAAGATGGCTAGAATGATCTTGTATCTTAGGGAAATGGCGGGTTTATTTATATCATGAGCGGCATGATCCAGCGGCCATGAGAGTTTGTGAGGAATTATCCAAACGGGAGTTGTTCGGAACCTTCGCCAACCGCTCTCTTAGCAAGCAGTTTGCCCTCTAGGGTAAGAAAATCCATGTCTGGCCATATATCTCCACCTCGCAGCTCTGTGGCCTGGTTCTCGTGGTCACATTGAAACCTGCGGTTCGTTTGATGGATAAATGGGCTCTTTTGCACATTTCGATGTCAGCTTGCATAAGGTCCCTTTGTTTCTTGGAGCTTGTGGCCCTTGAAAATCGGACTAGAATATTCACGGCGACGTCAGCCGTGTGTGGTCGCAACACCAGCGAACCTTGCTGGAGAGGATCTCATTGAGGTCCTCGACACGTACGAGGGTGCACTACAAAACAAGGGAGTGTCTTCCAGTTCATCTCATGAGAATTTCGGTTGGGAAAATGAGCAAATTTTCAACGTAATCGGTGCCATCTGCCGTCATTTTTATGTAAACTGGGAAGCGCCCATGATATCGACTGATGGCGTCGCGCCTTTGCGGAATACCGGTACTCGAGGGTCATATGCGATTCCGTCGTAAAGCAATAAAAATCAGAGGCTGATCAGACCCATGAGAGTGGCGGGAACGAAAATAAAGGTATATCACAATACAGAACATGCACGTTTACGGACACAGAAGACCCATTGGTAATTCTTAACAATCCAAAAGCGATCATTTAGCAGACGATGAGCCATCTTGATTCGGGGACAGAAGGATAGGAAATCCAGGGCGGTAGTTTTAGGCCTAAGTGTAGATATTGTTTGCTCATTGGGAAGAATGTGAAGAAGGGAATGCGTGACTGATCATGATTTGCTCCTGTAGTGCTAATGACGGCACAGATATGCGACCGGGTCACTTTACAACTTCGATCTAGTATCTTTCTTCAAGTATATCCACGAATCCCGCCCAGGTATTTTTGACAGTTTTGGAAAGCCAGCACAGAGCCGCGAACTCAGAAAGGTCTCATGTCTCTGTCTAATTTAGTGAAGGCAATTTATTGATGTCAACCCTTTGGTGAGGCAAATGTGGACCCACTTCCTCGTCCACGCTGAACAGGCACGTACTTCACTGAATTATCTCCGCTAGATAGCCCCAGTCATTGAGCTACGTTGGGCGACATTGTCCATGTTGCAGTGCCTGAACTAACGCACAGCTAGCGTGAAATCTATGCTGGCCAGGCTGTTACGTGGAACATGCTATATCGTCACAACACATTTCAGCCTTTCCTAAATTGTCTCAATCCGACAATACCTGGCTGAATATCCAACAATATGGGCACTGGTTAGCGTATGGCGCTCCCTGAACCATTCATGGTCGCGTGTCTCATGGCCTAATTCGTGAGTTTCTAGCATCCAAACACGTTTTCGTGCGCGATTATCCTACGACGACTGCTGTACGCAGAGGGATCGATATGAATCACAAGGTAGGACTATATACGCTAAGCAGGTGTAAAGCCAGCAGTTAAGAAATTTTTTATAGCTTTGCTTGCGATTTTTAGCTCGTGTTGCCCACCACTCTATTGCCCACATCTTAGCCAGCTTCGTGAGGTCGATGGTCTAGTACAGCCTAAGTTCAACTCCGCGCCAAGTCGCCCTGTATCCCGGTAGGTTCAGAGTGAAGATCTACGTATCCGAAGGGAGTAGTAGTATGGTATATGAGCGATGAATATAGAGTGGAAATAAAAGACTGAACGACTATTTCGTGCAAGATGTGTAATACTAAAACTAACTACCTTGACAGCAAGGTCATTGACTGCAGCCGGAAATGTCGCTGACTACAGACAGAAACGTCCTTGATTGCAGACAGCAGGGTTGACGGCAGAAGAGTTAAATTGAAGCTTACGGCGAAGATCAGGTACACAAGAATATTACCATTTAGCTACTGTCACTTCTGGTGCTGGGTGTAGCACTGAATGCAAATACTGTACAGCTTTGATCCATCTCATAATATTGAGCAAAGCTGAAAATAAAAGTAAAAGTAAAAATAACTCTCTGGCTCTATTATCAATGCTCTGATTGTGTGGGTGGGAGTTTTAAAATGGCGCCCGTTGTGGAGGCGCTGCTCAGGCTGTGCTAGAGTGCTGCTTGGGTACACAGCTCAGGTCAAAATGGCATCATCTCAGTCTCCGGCATGTCTCGGAATACCTCAATGTCGAGATTAGCGTAGCACCTAAATGTGTTATTAGCCGGGGATCCAAGTACCAAGGCCGCCGGGAGACATCGAAGATCGGGGCCGGTATTCTTTTCCTTTCCTTGCACAGAAACACAAGACTGAAGATACACATCCATTCGGGTCTCACAGCGGCATCGGGATGAGTATGTGGAGCGGGGAAACTCGACATCTGCAGACTGCGCCTGCAGGGATCGACGCGGGTATGCATGAGGCGATGGCCCGTCTCGTATTCCGAGAGAACTTTCGTACCTGAGATACGTATCGACGAGATGCAAGGTGTATTCGCTTACTGCACTAGACTTTTGCATCGGCACTTAAAACCTGGTTTTTAGGGACGGCAGTCATCATCGCTGTGTCACCTGGATCAAATCGCCTCTAGAATAATCGACCGCCGTGAGTTCAGCTCAAATTTAAAGTTATTGAAGCCATTCGTGTAGTGTGCTCTTTTATCTTATTTTAGAAAGCCCGTTGACCTGGGAACGAGCCCGGCCCGAACTCTGTGCGCAACGTGCCGATGAATCGGGGCGAAATGAGGAGGTGCGGCATGCATTGTAACCCAACTGTGGCGAAGAAACACGAGCATGTCAGATCCTCCCCGCGTTGTGTCTGCTTGCTTCTAGACCTGGCATAACGGACATAAGGACGACGCCCCTCGCACTGGGATGGCGAATTAGGCACTGAGACAGAGGGCTGAGCCCCTCTCCGTGTGCTTATTCTTGTATTATCACGGTGGCACATATGCCAGGTCACACCTGCATTTCAGCTCCAATGGCGTAGACTAGCTCTATTTCGAAGTAGTGGCAAGCCCTTTTGTCGTCTTCCGTCCTTGTGGACGAAAACGAGATGACATGGCGTTTCTCTTTGTTGGCTGAGAGTAACCGTTCCGCCAGGGGCGTTTCCGTTCGCCAACGGCTGTACAGTACCACAGGGGAATCAATGATGCCGCCCCTTTTCTGGTCAGCTCTCGACTCGCAAAGAGCACAACTAGCCCCATCCGCTAGGTCTGTCCGAGTATAGCTGCGGTGGTGCAACGCGCTGACCGCACTGCGCTAGCATATGCGTGGCGTCTAAAACCGCCGTAATTTTCCAGTCATTTCCCTTGGGATGCCGGATGGCTTGAGGCCAATCGTGGATTGTGTCGCCTGCTCCTCGTATTCTGGCTGCAGCGAAAAAGCAACGAGCCAAGCATAACTTTTACATGTCGCCCGGTGGCGTGTGGGTACGTTTTGTGCCGTTGCACATCGACCAGTCCTCTCTCGCCCACGTCTCAGGAGCAGTTTCCATGTGTCATGATGCGCGAAGTGGCTGGCTGCGTGTGCCTTTGAGAGCCCGGAGGCCAACGATATCTTGCCGGTGACCCGCCGCAGCTCGTGTCTTTGACGGTGAGGCTGAGGTGCTGATCCAACGAAAAGAAACAGCTTGGCAGCCCTATCAATCCCGAACTGGCCGGCTCCTGCATTTCTAAAAGCAGCTCTCTGTGAAGCCACAGCACCGATTGGATACACGTTCATCCCGCAGGTGGCCCCCCCCAGATTGAGACTGGAGCCGGGTCTGGGGCCAAGGGGAAGCTATTGGCCTCCGGTCACGCTCACCTTGAATCTGGCCCAGTGGTGCCCGATCCGCCGGGTCTGCCACCCTTTCTTTGTTGCGCCGTCGCGGAACTAGACCTTCTGATTGACGCCAGGGCATCGGGGAGGGGATTTGGTGTGGCTGTAGCCGCCGCATATGAGGTGCAATTAGCGAGCTAAATATATAAGACCCGGCCGTCTTTGCCGAGCTGTATTCAATACGAAGGGGTATAACATCTGCTTACCTCCCCGTGCGCTGCGCCCTTCTGGATTGTGTCATCCTTCAAAGACTTCTGGCAAGGCGTCTAAGAGTGGTATCATGCTGTTCAAACTCTCCCACCTGGTTGCCGCAATCTGCGGAAGCTCCTTGGTAGCCGCCCAGAATGTTCCAATCACCGGAGCCAAGGTTGCCTCTGGCGCTAATGCCCCTTATCGACTAAGCATTGACGCTCTCCAAGCCGCTGGTGGCCCTCAATGGTGCGTCATAATTGTTCCCGTGCCGCCTTTGGTGGCATTTGCTCATCTCGCAACAGGACCCTCTACCTTCGCGCTCTCTCTCAGATGCAGAAACAGGACGCCACGAATCAGCTGTCCTATTTCCAGATCGCAGGTATGATATCCTAATGGCCTCCAAATTCGAATTGGCCAATGGAATTAACATGTTTATAGGTATTCATGGAAAGCCCTACATACAGTGGAACAACGCTGGTGCCGAGACTTCGAATGGATGGGAGGGATACTGCCCGCACGGCGTAAGTCTTTTTCTTTACTGTTTATGATGAAAGATCTTGTCAATTGCTAATACAAATACTTAGGAAAATCTGTTCCTGACGTGGCACCGTCCCTACGTGCTTCTCTTTGAGGTATAGAACCATATGACTCAAGATTCTCGAAGAAGCTATCTGACCATTTCACAGCAACGCCTCGTCGAAATTGCTACGACGATCGCTAACACGTATCCCTCGAGTGTGCGTGCTCAATGGGTCCAGGCCGCTTCAACTCTGCGATCGCCGTACTGGGATTGGGCAACTACTCTTGCTGTTCCAGGTGCAACAGTTCCCGCTACATTCAGCATCAGGGTTCCCAATGGCAGCGGCCTGAAGACCATCTCCGTCCCTAACCCCCTGGCTGGTTACAACTTTCCCCAGAGCGCTCTGAATGGCCAATTCGGAACTTTCGACGAGCCTGAGAACCGCCCCCGGATTTACCGCTGCCTAAGTCCCCAGAGCTATCCTTCATCTGCCAACGGCCTCATCAGGTCACGAACATACAAGCAATGGGTGGTGGGTTGTCAACCTCACCGTAAATTAACCAAGTGTATGCTGATCAAGATCTTAGTATGATGCCTTTACGTCTTCCACCACATTTGACCAATTCGCCTCAACCAGTAGCTCTGGCACGAGTCTTGAGCAAATTCACAACGCCATTCACTGGGATGGAGCCTGTGGTTATCAGTTTGTCGATGCTGACTTCGCTGCATTCGATCCCTTGTTGTAAGTCTACCCCGTTTTGCGTCAATTATGGCATCTAACTGCCCCAGTATGCTGCATCACACCAACATTGATCGACTCTGGGCCTACTGGCAATTTATTCGACCCAGCCAGGCTATCTTCTCAGGCTCTTACCAAGGAAGCGCCCGCTTCAATACTCGCGAGGGCGCCACCATCACTCCAAACTCTCCCCTGCAACCTTTCTACGCCTCTGCTGGCAGGTTCCATACGTCTACATCCGTAGCAAGCATCAGAGGTTTCGGTTACACCTACGAAGGCCTCGAATACTGGAGGAAATCCGCGTCCCAGCTGACGACTGACGCCACCCAGCTCATCAACCGCCTGTACGGCCCTAGCTCCGCCAAAAGGTCAGTGGAGAAGCGTGCTGGAGAGTTGACACGATACTTCGCGAGTATTCGGGTCAATGCGGAAGAGCTCGATCGTCCCTGCTCTATTGGTCTCTTTGTCAACACAACTAATGTCGGCAACTTCATCGTTTTGATGCAACCCGCTACCGGTGAGTTTAACGGCAAGTTTTCTCTCGACAGGGCCGCTCCCCCAGAGGAATTGGCAGGGGAAAAGCCCAAGAACGTGGTCGACGACATTCTAGCTGGTATTCGAATTAGCATCACCAAGGTATGTTCTTATTGTTCCAGACAATGCAGCACATGGACGTCAAAGAACTAATGAAACTTCAACAACAGCATGATGGAACTGAGCAACCCATCACCGAGGCGCCCAGCTTGAAGCTGGTGTTGGAGAATGCGGTCCTCGTGCCTCCGGAAAACAGTGCTTCGCTTCCAGTGTATACGGACAGCAAGACGACGACGGCACCGAAGAAGCAGTTCCAACCACCAAATTAGGGTTGATGTGCTATTCCGCTAAGCCAAGTATGTTGCAAGTGATTGTCGCAGATATCGAAACGTGGTTTGAGACTTTTGGCGTTACTCCTAACACCTCGATAACTGGCTTCGAGGCCGTACATGATATGACTTGGTTGTTGAGATCTCGTAGGGGTTGTGACTGGAAATAACGTACTTTTCTCTTCGTGCAGTTTCATTACGTGGTTGTATATATTCTTAATTGATGACATTGATCACGGACATTGATCACGGCCTACTCCCTACTTTTCCAAAATGATTCAAGATATTTTATTCTTGTCAATGTATACCTCTAGCTCTGCCAGCCTCAATTGCCCGGCAATGCCTGAGGTAAATAGCGAGTGAAGAGGCCAGATAGAGGAAGCCCGGCAGTCCTGCACCATACATAGAACATACTCTACTATCAATTCACTTATGTTGGTACCGGTTTCCTGCACATGGTGCTGGATGTCACTGTCTAACGGTGGTATAACATCATCGATATTTCTCGTGTGGAGGTACTTGGTACACCAACAACTATCCCAGTGCCGCCCGCGTTCAGCTTGATATTCTTCTTTGTTGAAAACAATACCAAGTGCTTTGGCATCTGCAACAGCGGGTTAGCTCCTGTCTACTACTCGGTTTGCGTGGGGTCTCCCGTAGTAAACCTTACTGTAAGAGTCACCAATATATCTTCTGGTACAGTGGGTAATGTTAAATCTGTCTCCATATTCTTGCAACTACTGAACGGCTTTGCTCCAGCCAATGATAGTCAGTAAAGGTAAATGGATTAACGACAACTAGCTACACTAGCAGTACATTATGCTTTGGATAGAACTAAAACCTTGACTTGATCTACTTCGATATTATCCAGCGTAATCGTCTTCCCCAGCCGCCCAAGGTCCTTCTTATCCCAAACATCTCTAATGCGGAGTTTAGACTGGCCAGCAAGTTTCTCTAGCTCCGCAATATCCGAAATTGAGATTGAGGCATTGACAGCTTCGTTTCCATAGTTCTGGACCAAAACCACATAGCGAGACTTGCCAGAACTTAAAGGGCCCGCCCAAATTTGATATTTGCCTTCTTCGGATAGGGATGGGAGATAGTTGACGGCGGCACCGAGCTCGTCCTGGTTGATAGCGATGATCTCCTTGTTCTTGAGAATGGAGAGGGAATTATCAGTGATGTTCGTGATATCTGCTCCAATGATTAGGGGGGATTTGAGGGCGGCCCAAAAGGCAAAATGCGTTTGCTCTTGGTACTCTGTCATGCCATAAGTCCCAACTTCGAGCATGTCCATGTCCGCTGCTCACATACATTAGATGAAAATTCAATTCAACGTTTAAGCAAACTTACCCCAAGACCCAGGTTTCTGGAACCTAGACAGCTCCCGCATCTTCCTTATCATAGTCAAAACGCTGACCCCAGCGTATCCTGTATTCAAGCAGTATGCCGTCGTACACATCCCTGATCCATCCTTCCTGTACGCGCTGTGGATGTCGCCCGACATGCGGTAGCTTTCACTAAACTGATCCGCCCAGAACCAGGGAAACTGATGGCCCCATTCGCAGAGAGAGTAGAAGATTTCACGCCCTGTCGCTTTGAGTGCATGCGACATACGCAGGAAGCGCTCCTGTACGGAAAGGGTGTTGGCTTGAAAGCCGCCACAGTTGTCGTATTTGAGGTAGTCGACACCCCAGTCAGCGTAAGTTTGAGCGTCGAGTTCCTCGTAACCGTAGCTCCCGGGGCTGAATCCGCAGTCAAAGATGCCTGCGTCACTAAGGAAGAAGTACTAGTAAGCACACCTTGCCGGTGATGAAAACCCTAGAGAGAACAAAAGACCAAAAGCGTGGGTTTGCTTTACCTGTAGATGCCAAATTTGAGTCCCAGGTCATGAATCTCATCGCCTACAGTTTTGATGCCATTCGGGAACTTGGTAGCATTGGGTTGCTGCCGTTCATTCTCGTCTCGGTCGAACGCTTGCCAGCCGCCGTCGATGACGACAAAATTATAGCCGAGCTTCTTGAGGCCAGTGTCTACCAATGCCTTTGCTGTATCTTTGATGAGCTGTTCGCTGACATTGTTTTTAAAGCTGTTCCATGAGTTCCAGCCTGCGGAAAATTCCTTAGTAGGGATCGTGAGAAAGGGTTCGAGTTCAAGTACCCATTTGAGGCTTTTGGCCTAAATCTCTAGCTAAGGCTGGCACGGCAAACAATAGGCCAAGCAACATTCTGGTTCCTGTCATGGTATTGTTGAAGATTGAGTTTCCTGGGCCTGGATCACTTGTTTGAATGGTGTGGAGGTTCCTTCAATTTTATTCGTGCCTACATACAATCAATTTACCCGGCATCACGCGGGCGTTGATGCCGAAACTTTCCCCGCAAAGTGACGTCCGCCTACACAAGCATTGGAGCGCTTGTCGCAACATTATTTCAGTGTTTTAGTGTTCTTAGGCTCCATCTCGGCTAACGGTAATGGTACTAAATTTCGGGCAAGACGCCGAGTATTGCCCCGGATCGGCCTATGTTGATACCATCGTGCGGAGTATGAAGAGAAACTCCGCCTTAATAACCCGATGCCCGGAATTATCTCGATGTTTCTCTACCCGACCGCTTTATGACACTTCGACCTACAACCATGCATTTTCTACTTGCCATTGCGGTTCTAGGACTGGCCTCGACTACAACGTGCGAGGTCTTGGATCGCCAACCTCTAAGTTACGCCGCTATACCGGACGGCACCTATGTTGCTCCAGTCTCTCCAACGACGACTACTCTGCTTGATTTTATTGAGTCACGAGATGATTTGTCCATACTAAGCTCCATGGCCAAAGAAGCGCAGGGTAAGAACAACCTCCCTCCTGTGGAACGAATCTTGACACTTTGCACAGGCTTTGTGCAAGCACTCAACACGAGCACCAATTGGCAGTTCACCTTTTTCGCGCCGTCAAACAAGGCCTTTGAAAATACCGGACAATATTTTGAGACTTTTACGAAAACTGCCAAGGGTAAATGGTGGCTAGGAAACCTGATCCAGCATCATTACGTGCCCAATTCGATTCTCAAAAAGTCCGCCTTTTCGACTAACAGCACACGCATCCAAACGGGCACGTTCCTGTACATCGGTACTCAAGTGGTTGATGGCATACTGGTTCTGAATAATGTCTCGAGCGTTACGGAGGCAGATTTAACGATGACCAATGTATGTGATTGCGCGACAGCTCATGCTATTGCTGACAAGGATTAGGGCGTTGTTCATATAATCGACCATATTCTTGATCCTTCGGCCCAGATATTTCAGCCTGATGTCACCAAGACAAGCCAGAAGTTTATTCCTGGAAGTTGTGCGAATCCTGCCTTGCCCTATTGCTGAGATAGAACTGAAGAGGATGGTGGAATATGTAGCACCAAGCTTCATAACGGAGAGTGGGAAATTTCCCATGCTAGTTTGGGGCAATGAGGAGAATTTGATGGGGTTGATATTTTTGCGGAAATTTGCGTATGATCAACTGAAGGAGCCGTGAAGAGGGAAGCAGCTAGTTGTATTGATTGCCCATTGAATCCGCGTATTGCATCTGTCCATTGAATGTATTTGGCCCAAACCATACGATTGTACAGTTGTGAGAAGCGATTGAGATGTCATTGCAATCCAATTCGAGTACCGCTGGACCAGCATAGCAACCCTGTTTTCTAAGCTCATTCATCTTGACATAAAAATGCGTCATTCAAGCGCTTCACCTACAGATTCCCTTGCGTCATTTTCCCAATACCCCACCAGCCTTAGTTCCCCTGTTTGCAAGGTCCGCCACTTTTCCCGGCGCCGCTGAAAGCTGATCGCTTAGAACATCGTTCGATCGACGAGAAAGCCCTCGCGCTAATACTAGGGAATACTAGGGCTATTCAAATGCGGGGTTGATAGTGAGGTTGAGAAAAGGATGCCGGACGACGCTCCGGGCACTCACCCGCGGCCGCAATTGCGGGGAAATGTGCAGGACCAGGGACCTGATCATCCATGCTTCGGAGAGGAGGTGTAATTGCGGGTTTTCTGGTGCGTTTACGAGTGAATAGAGATCCTATATGTACCAAGCTCAAGCGTTACATTTCAACCTATCCCAACACTCATATGACCTACACGTGTTAGATATACACATCATCATGAGAAAGGTATGTCGGGACACGCACTACAAGACCCATACGCCAAAATACCTGCTAGAGTGATTGAACAGATCTAACGGCATATGCAGGTCTGGATCGCAGTTATCGCCTCCACATTGGGGGCGGTGGTGGATGCCACTGTTGGCGGCGTGCCGGCACTCAATGGTAAGCATCAACCACTTGCCAGCGCTTCCTAGAGAGAGTGTACAAGCTTAATTTCATAAAATCAAGGTCCTGTTTTCCCGGTCAGCGGTATCCCAGGCGCAAAGAAACGTGCCGGTGATTTTGTACACCCCGGCCTCTGGCATACCCACGACGACCTAGAACGGATCCGGTCCAATGTTCTCGGCGACGAAGAGCCCTGGAAGACGGCCTACGAATCCTTTAGCACTGATCAATATTCCCTGAGCAGCTATACTATGCGGGGTCCCAAAGCAGTTCTATGCCGTGGGCCTTGCAGCAACTACACCAGTTTCACAGCTGACTCTCGTGCGGCGTGGCAGAATGCCTTGATGTGGTACATAACCAAGGACCAGGGCCATTGGGACCGCGCAACCACTATTCTCGATGCTTGGGGAAGTAACTTGACAAGCATCATTGGTACTGACACGTCCCTCTTGGTTGGTCTCGAAGGAAGCCTTTTTGCGAATGCTGCGGAGATCATGCGATGGGAGGGGAACTGGACCGAGTCCGGAGCGAGATGGCAGGGAGGTGCCGGCTTTTCGATCCAGCTTTACTGGCTTTTCGCTCGACAGTCTATTATTATCGGACAGGCCAACTATGGTATGGCTAGTATCATGGCTCTTCTCAACTTTGCCGTGTATCTGGATGATGTCACTTTGGTAGGTCAGCCCAAGATGGGAACGAACCTCACGTGTTAACTCATCCACAGTACAACTACGCTCTCAACGCCTATCTCAACGACCCCTGCGCTGGTATTTACGGAAACTTCGAAACAAAGACTGGCCAAAGCGCTGAATCTGGCCGTGATCAAAGTCACGCGCAATCTGGCTTAGGATGGTCTGCCTACGCCGCCCGCACAATCCAATCCCAGGGCTATGACATTTGGAGCGAAGGGGACAACCTGCTCCTCAAGGCCGCTGAGTATTCCGCCAAGTACAACCTCGGAAACGACGTCCCCTATGACAAAAAGTTCTACCGCTGTGAGGCCGTTCTCGTCAACGGCCCCTGGGCAGAGATTTCGGAGCAGTCGCGTGGTGTGGGACTTACGAATGGGGCACTGAGTCCTGCCATTTGGGATATCATTTATTATGCGTACAACCAAGCGAGGAAGAAGAGTGCCCCTTGGACAACTCGAGCCAAGAACAAGTTCGATGAGGATGGGGGACAGAAGGTTCCTCCGAAGAATGCGGACCATCCTGGCTGGGGAGACTTGATTTGGAGTTATAAGAGGGGTGAGTCTACGAAATCGAATGGCAAGACTATCTGGGGGGGAGGAGAGATTGGACCGCAAGGTGAGGGGATGGTTAACACATGATGGTGATCTCTATCTTGCTCGGGAGGTTGCTGAAGTGGGACTGGAAGTGTGTTAAGTTGGTGGTAGGATGGGATCAGGGTGTTGAGGACTTAACGTGGAGTGTTTATACTGTTGTAGGATCAATTTGAATACTACAATCGAATGCTACAGGCCATGAAACTCACGGAGTCATCAGGTAATAATGTGAGAATCAAGGTGAAGCCCTCAATACGAGGTTCTAAACACAAGCCATTGGAGGTCACAGAATCCACTATTAGGCAAATATGGCGAATCAAGCGTCAGCTGAGTATGGAAATAGTTGTTGTGGTACATAGTACTGTACGTTATAAGCTCTTCCTATTGCAACAGTCATAAGACTCGATTGAGTTGAATATGTGTCCCCGAGACCTGTAACTTTCACTCGCAAGTTGCTGCAAAGTTCCACTATTCGAATGACAGACTGACCATTTACCCAAGCCAAGAATCAAAATTTGATTACAAATAGATGGGAGATATTTTTCTCAAGCCGAAGTGGTGTACTCGTATACAGATTCCATTTTCGGCTCCACATCGTGGAGCGGTCCGTTTACCAGCAAAAGCCCAGTACAATGACAAGAAGGCCTGATTTAGCCGAGATTTTGCGGGGTTGCGGGGTAGTAGAAACAAGGCACAATTTTTCCACCAGTTCAAGTTTGAGCTTTTCCGTACAAGCGGCTTCGGCAAAGCTCCAGGAGCTACTTCGCCAGGCCAAGCCAAATGAAAGCGATCCGGAGGAGATACCGGAGCTGCGCCGAAAATAAGTCGAGTTAGCCTAACCAACATATGGCATAAAATAATCGTCGAGTATTCAGTGATCAGCACCTTACTCAACCAAGTTTTTCCAGGTCAATTCAAAATGGCCGCACTCAAGCTTATCCCCGCATTTTGGACATACTGGCTCCTGTTGCTACTATCCCCAGCCCAAGCAATCTGGAACCCTATTATCTCGGGGTGGAATCCCGATGGGTCCATTTTACGTGTCAATGATGATTACTACGCTGCCACATCTTCTTTTGAATACTGGCCGGGCATCCCCATCTACCACAGTATGCACTACGAAGCAAATCTTCAACTTCGACTTACAGCTGCTGACTCCATGCTGCAGGCAAAGACCTGTCGGACTGGAAACTCATGTCTCATGCCTTGACACGACCAGAGCAGCTTCAATTATATGGAACACCTACCGGAGCTGGTAGTCCACACAATTCGAACCTCGTCCAGTGCCCTCACTAACATCAGCGCAGGAGCGTGGGCTCCCAGCTTGGCCTTTTTTGACGGCAAGTTCTGGCTCTCAGCCATGACCCGCTGGACCTACGACCCAGTTGCCCGCGTTTGGCCTCGCGTCTGGTTCATGTCCTCGCCCGATCTCAAGAGCTGGTCCGACCCGGTATGGGCCGAACCTTGGGGTATTGACCCCGAACTCTTCCGCGATCCTGTAACTAACGCAACGTACCTGAACTTGATGGCGCCTAACAACAACAAGGACCGCCTTTGGGGGCTATATCAGTGTGAAGTTTCGCTCAAGACAGGGAATTGCATCGGCGAGTATTCAAGTATCTGGAACGGGACCTTGACACACAATGCCACGGCTAGGCCGGAGGGGCCAAAGATGTACTACAAGGATGACTGGTACTATTTGTTGATTGCTGAAGGTAATCGAGAATCCTCAAACATCCTAGAGACTCTCTTATAACGGTATACAGGTGGCACTGATCAGTTACATCGAGCGAGTATTGCCAGAAGCAAGGCTCCCTCTGGTCCCTTTGAAGCAAATCCTCACAATCCCCTGATGTACAACGGGAAATGGGGTTTCACAAACTTAACCGTCCAATCTACTGGACACGCCACCCTTGTCGAAACTGCCAAGGGGCAGTGGTACGCTTCGTTCCTGGCACGTCGCAACATCAACGGGTCATCGCCCTTAGGTTGGTCCTCCACCTACTCAGTACCGCCGGACGCTAATAATCTTTCATCATCCAGGCCGTGAAACTTTCCTCACGAAAGTTGACTGGGAAAAGGGTTGGCCAGTATTTAACCAAGGAAAGCCGATCATGCTAAGTGAACAAGTGGAACCCAAATCCGGCCCCAGGAGAACACCGCCAAAATGGACGGACAACTTTTCGGGTCACAACCTCGATCCATCATGGTACCAGCTCCGCACACCTTACACAAATAACTACGAGCTCAAGCAAGGTCGCTTGGTTCTCAAGCCCAATGTCTTCGGCCTCAGTGACCGAGACACCCCGGCTGCGCTGCTGCGCAAGCAAAAGTCCCTCAACATGACCTGGTCCGCTGAGTTGTCAAGCTTCAAGGGAATTTTGGGTCCCAGGAATAAACTCGGCATCTCCACATATCTTTCAGAGTTCCAGCATCAGGATATTGGGATTCGGGGGTGTGTCAATCAAACCGGGATGTGCATATACACGGAACTCAACAAGAACGGAACGCAAGAGGTAATATACGCACCCGTACTGAAGGAAAGCAGTCTCTAACTGACAATAGTATTGGCAAACGCCACTCAACCAAACTAAGGGTCTCGCCAAGGGATTAAAATTACACATCAAAGCCGAACCTCTGCGGTATTCTCTTGGCTACAGCTTCGGAAACGACGAACCAGGGTACGTTACTTCGATCGCTTCGAAATGGCAGGCATTTGCGCCACCAAATTGGTTTGTATTTTCCGGTGCATCTTTTGCACTTTTTGCGACTGGTGATGGGGAGCCCTGGCCGTATAGTGGTCCCAAGGTGGGATTTGAAAATGTGTGGGAAGATTATCACAAAGAAGACATTCCGGATTACGACAGATGGTAAGGCTAGATGCAGGTATATAAAATCAGTCATTGTTGCCGGTTACTGCTAATATGACGCGTCCGCTCTTCTCCGAGAACTTTTATCTATTGACATTAACTTTTCCAATTGGGTGACATCCAGAAAGCACAAGCCTGAATTGGCACCGACCTAATAATATTGATGTTCACCTCAACATTGGGAGATGGAACCTAGTACCTCCTAAATTTGCGTCTAAATCTTGCATTTTGAGCACCTTTTGTTAATGTATTTCAGATGTTAAAACCTTGCGTAGTAGGATAAGAAGATCTTTTCGTAATATTATCCTACCAATAGCGCAATTCGAATACATATTAAAGTAGGGCTATATGAATATTGAGAGAATTTTTCTTATGAAACAAACGTCTAACAGTTCATATTACCGCTTCCAGTATATTATGGGGTCCAGAGTGGGATCATGTCGCCACAACAGCGTGGTCACATTGCCCCGTTCATTTGATCGAAAGTCTGCGATCCAAAATGCAGGGTCTTTATCATTGCCCAAGACCCATCGACCTCGGCGAGAGAGCACGTTTCTTGGTTGCAGCCACGTAAATTTGTCGCCATCGTAGTGCGCCAGCTCGAACTTCTCCGAGTCTAATCCTTGAAAGGCCCACGAAAGCTTGCCGTTTTCTAACGTGACGACGTTTTTAAAAACGCCGATATCGTCAATATAAGTCCCCACGTACAGCTTCAAATCCATGTGCGGCTCCATAGCTCCCGATCGCCCTTGCTCGAGGCCGCCAACTATGCAAGAATGCCACTGCAAGTTCGCAGCAATCGAAGACTCAGCATAGCGAAGGAAGTCAATTCGTTCCAAGGCCGGGACTCCAAGTACAACTTCGAGTACCATTTGAGACACCCAATCAGGAACATCTGTCAAGGACAGACAATTGCTCATAACCAAGATGACGCTCTCCGTTTCGGGAACCAAGAGCACTACGGCGAGCGCACCAGGTAGAGTTCCTTGATGATATAGAACCAGTTGACTGGGTACTCCTCGTCCCACTACTGGCATCCCCCCGGGCATGAGCCGGCCGTTGAGACCAATATGACCCAAGGTGTTTGGAAGCTGCACTCGAGCCCATCCTAAGCCGTAGGATATCTCGTTCCTCGCCGTTTTGAACATGGGGACTTTGGCAGACATAAGATGGGAGACTTGCTTGAGCGGAGATCCGGGCGTCAACGTTTGGTCCGTCTCGAACTCGTGGTTGAAGCTCGTCAAGAAACTACTGTAGAGTCTGATCAGGTCAGAAGCGCAGGATCGCAGACCACCGGAAGCACCACCAACTCCGTTGTCCCCCAACTTTGGACTCGGTATGCGAACTGGAGTGGCATCGTCTAGGGCGTTGTATGATTTGGAGACATCGTCGATGTCGTCAGGCGGAGAGGTTAGGAAGGTCCTGTCCATGCCAAGAGGGTTGAAAATGTGCGCCTGAATGAAATCGTCCATGGAGCTCCCACTGAGGTTCTCAATAGCCTCGCCACAGAGGTCATATGCCGTGCTGTTGTATGCGAAAGAACCAAGCTGCGCAGGTACCAGAACTTGATTATTGACCACCCGTAAACAGTCATCTCTGCCGATCAAAACGTTACCCTCGCAACCCATGACCAAATTTCCACAAGATGACATGCCGCTGCGGTGACTGAAGAGATCGGCCAAGGTTGTAAGTTTTTCTAGAGTCTCATCTCTGGGTTTGAATCCTGGGACGGCGTCTTTGGCCAACATCTCCCATGAAGAGACCCCCTGTTCCACCAAGATACCCATGGCGGCGGCAGACACGGTCTTTGCAAGCGAGCATACTGGGAATATGGTATTTTCGGTTACCGGCAATGCCGTTTCCAGGTCTCGAACGCCATAGCTCGCGTGATAAATGGGCTGTCCTTTGGTCGCTACCGAAAGACTTAAACCAGGAGTGCCGCCCAGTCTCATCAACTCTTGGATGGAGGCGCCGAGGTTGTCTAACCGATGGTGTAGAGAATCCATGAATGCCAGAGTGTGGGTGGAGATAATCATGAAAGAAGGTGATGATTGAGCGTCGACGATCAGAACATATTCTGATATCCTTGGTTATAAGTCACAAATTTTCCAACATTAAAAGTGAAGGCTTGTGGCATCGTGCAACGTATCCTTATTTATAATATGTTGCTATTTTTAGCTGTTCCGTCTCCCTTCAGCATAAGGACTACTGGGAGGGGTTGGCGCAAAACACATAGCGATCAAACTTGTGTGATTCGCTAGATAAAAGGAGAGCTCAACTAGTGTACTATTATTCAAGGCGAGAGCGCATTAAAGTCCGGGACTTAGCCCGGTGTCTCGGCACGCCTTGCCAGATGCGTCAGAGTTGACCCCTGATATAACAATTAGATTGTCGGGATCCGTCTTCTTTCTTCATGGTTGGTGTGCTACAGTTAAGTTTAGGAACCCTTTCAGGTCCAAATATACCTTTCATTTTAACTGAGACTAATTTCGGTGAAAAGGATTGTTGTCGGGTGGTTCACAGTTGTCGTCGCAGCGATAATAACCTGACACAGTTTGATTAAGACCACCTAGAACTATATTTTTTGCGAAGGATATACTTTCCTACGAGAGATAGTTTCTGTTTCAGTACACACTTGTCGTAAAATTCACTTAGAATTATATGAGCAATTGGCAGCATGTTCATTGCTTCGTGTCTCGTGTAGGGTAAGTTACTGCACCCTGGCCAACTCGCTGACTAATCACGTACGGCGTCCATCAGCTACCAGCTCGGGCCCGTCAATCGCTGGCAAGGCTCCGGGACTTAACCCGTGTGCCGTTACGGAGGGCCCTTGAGCTCTAGTAGAAGAAATTGCTAAGATTAGACTTGAAGACTGTGTGGCATTCAAGTGATATAATCATCCATAGCTAAATATTTCCGTTCCTGCAATGGTTTATTCGTTTCTCGGGTGCTTTGTGCAAAGTCTGCACCTGGTGAACCATGGCCGTTGTCAATCCAGTTCTCACTGGGTTCAATCCTGACCCCTCCATTACTCGTGTTGGAGATGACTTCTTTCTTGCGACTTCAAGCTTCGAGTACTTACCAGGGGTCCCAATATACCACAGCAAGGACTTGATTCGGTGGAAGCTCATTGGCCATGCCTTGACTAGAAGGAGTCAGATTCATATCGCAGGACCTGAGCCAGGGGGAGGAGTTTGGGCGCCAACCTTGAGGTATCACGATAACGTCTTCTACTTGGCCACATCCAGCTTCGACAGATTCCGTCCTCAGCAAAACGAAAGATTATATCCTCGGGGGTTCTATGTCAGGACAGAAAACATATGGGACTCGTCATCTTGGTTAGATCCTGTATACTTTGACGTAATAGGTTTCGATCAAGACGTGAGTCTTTAGCTTTGTCCCCATGAGCCATATTTTTGAATTCTGATGACTTGCTAGCTTTTCTGGGACGCTGATGGAAGCGTGTACTTGTCTACGACTCACGTCAAAGCCGATCGTCCGCCCGATGCGGACAAATCGCGGCTCGACTTTGCGATCCATGTCTGCAAGGTAGACTTGAACACTGGCGATTCAATTTCCGAGTCTGTGATGATTCGAGAATCGCCAACAGGTATCTCCGAGGGCTCACATATTTTCCAACGGGGTCGGTACTATTACCTCCTGACGGCCGAGGGCGGCACTGGTTCAAGACATTCTGTATGGGCATTTCGCAACGACCAGGGACCACTGGGTGCCTGGGAGGCATGTCCTAAGAATCCTCTGCTCAGAAGCGGTACTGAAAATAAGGTGCAAAACACTGGGCATGCGGACTTGGTTGAGGATATCAACGGCCAGTGGTGGGCTGTCCTTTTGGGAGTCCGTCCGTATCGGCGAGATTCCGGAGAATGGGAAGAGTCAGTTTTTGGTAAGTTCCCTCCCACCCCTGTCTTCAATAGTACCAACACGACGGCATTTAGGACGCGAAACGTTTGTAGTCCCCGTGCAGTGGATTGATGACTGGCCGGTCATTAACAGGGGAGATGAGATTCGTCTCGGTCCTGAGCTGGAAGCTAGCACTGAGACACTATGGAGGGACGATTTTTCTGAACCCGTACTGGGACTTGGATGGTACAGAAAAAGTACGTCCGTATTTCTCTTCTCGTCTTCTTCGAGTTGCACATCTGATGCTGGATTCATAGATACACCGGATAAACTTGATCACGCCATCACGAGTAATCCCAGTCGCCTGCGCCTCTACGGCGGACCCTACAATCTTTCTGTGCCAGCCAGCCCAACCATGTTCCTGCGGAAGCAAACATTGAGATGTTGCATCTGGGAAACAAAAGTCTCATTCCATCCCACGACAGAACATGAAGAGGCTGGGTCAGTATTATGGTGGAATTATTTAACTTACAGCAGTATCGGGATTCGCAAAGCGCGCCGCGGTGATGGTATGAGCCCAGCAGCGGCCGCGAGAATGATTCATTTGAGATCGGCTCGAGGAGATGCGGTCTCACGACTGCTCGAGCAGCCCGACTCGGACGTTTGCCTCTATATCCGATGCGGCAAGAAGTATGAATTTGGCTTCAGGGAGCTTGTTGGACCTGGAGATGAAGATGGGCCAATCCAGTGGCTAGGCGAAGCCAGTAACGAGGTCATGACAAACCCACCATCTGCCGGCTTAGCCTTCTCCGGGATGATGTTCGGATTGTATGCCTTTGCAGACTATCAGCAGTCACTGAATGCGGCTGAATTCCACTACGCGCAAGTAAAGTTGATAGATGGTTGCCAGGAATAGATGCGTGGTAATTGACTGGGACCGGGTTTGTTCTAAAATGTTCCATCTGACGGTTCTTAAGACAGCGCTTGGTACAATTTCGCCAAGACTCGTCTCAAGCACTTGTCAAATAAGAGCTTCTTCAAAAAAGAGAGTATGTAGTGACATGTAGTGACTAGCTGCTGTTCAAACCACTAGTTCCAGGCATGTGCGAGGGCGTGTGGCCGAGACTCCGAGCTCGGCGGAAGTATCGGCTCGGACGGCGGAGTGGACACGAGATGTCGCCGCCAGAGTTGTGAAGCGAAGTTAGTAAACCTCAGTCAGATTGGGGATGCATCCCACGGGGACAACTCCAACGTCTGCTTCCACTTAGCGCATTCAACGCTCGCTTAGTGGATTGAATGGGTATAGCTTCGGCCTCAACTGCGAAACTTGCTCCGAAGGTCCGCAGCCGAACCCCAATCTGTGGCACGAGACAGATTCTCTCCACCGTCTAGTGCAGCCACCTGCTAACTCAGCGTCTTATCGGGGATGCGGCGGGGAAACTACGTGCCGGGGCAATTGTTGACATCATCTGATTTACAAGGCATCTCTTGATGCATATACGATAAATACACGCGACTAACGGGCGCTTGAGCTCCTCGTCAATTGATCGAATCAACAGAACGTCTGCTTTCCCGAGGGTAAAGGGTCTCGAAATTGTTCACTTTCTTCATCTCTTAGCCAAGCGTCAGCTCTGGCCTTCAAATCGTCAACATGTCACACCTTGGGGATGCGAAACACGATCTGGATGACCATCTGGATGACCTCGATGAGTTCCACGGCCTTGTCCTGGCCGATGTTACACCCGAACTCGAGAAATGGTGGTTTCAGTATCCCAACCTACTCAAACTGAATCTCTTGCTGCTCTGCGCTTTCTTGGCTCAATTTACCTGCGGTTTTGACGGTAGCATGTTGAACGGCATGCAGTCCTTGCCTCCGTGGCAAGCTTCTTTTGGTCACCCAGTAAGGCCACCCCGGCCTCGTATCCTTGACTCGACTGCTAATGCTGCGGATAGAAAGGCTCCAATCTGGGCACTCTGGTCAACGCTATCAACATCGGTGTACTCGTTTCCGCGCTTTTCTCCTCCCAAATGTGTGAGATCCTCGGACGCAAGAAACCAATCACGATCGGTACCGCTTTGATCACTCTTGGCTCCGCTCTTCAAGGCGGTGCTCAGAACTTGGCCATGTTCGTTGCTGGTCGCATCATCATTGGCCTGGGTACCGGTATCGTTGCCGTTGCAGCCCCCCAGCTGATGACGGAGGTCGCGTACCCAACTCAACGTGGAAAGATGGTTTCCCTGTATATGACGCAGTGGGTCGTGGTGAGTCCATCGACGTGCTACCTAGAATCTGGCGACGCTAACACAGAACGTAGGGCTATTTGGTAGCAGCCTGGACGACATACGGTACATTCAAGATGGCCTCCTCCTGGAGCTGGAGGATCCCTAGTCTCTTGCAGGGGGTCCCGTCAATCCTTCAGCTTGTACTCAGCATCTTTGTCCCAGAATCTCCTCGTTGGCTTGTTTTCAAGGACCGGCATGAGGACGCTCTGAAGGTGCTCGCCAAGTATCACGCCAACGGTAATCAAGATTCTCGACTCGTCCGCTTTGAGATGCTCGAAATCCAGGCCACATTGGAAGAAGAAAAAAAGCAAAAGGCCATCCAGTGGAGTGAGTTTGTTCGCACCAAAGGAAACCGAAAGCGTCTCACCATCTTACTGTTCATTGGCTACGCCGCCCAATTGTCTGGCCTTGGGTTGACTGGCTACTACCTGGCCAAGATCCTCAACAGCATTGGAATTACAGATTCCAAGACCCAGCTGCTTATCAACGCTATTGCGGCCATCTGGCAGCTATGTTGCTCTGTCTTTTTCGCCTTGTTGATCGATCGTGTCGGCAGACGAGGCTTGATCACCTTCGGCATGACTGTCATGCTTGTTGTGTTTATCATTTGGACCGTCTGTTCGGCCATCAACGAGGAGAGGCACTTCGGCGATCAACCTCTTGCGATAGCCGTTGTGGCCATGATTTTCCTATTCCAGGTCGGCTACCAGCCTTTCGCCATTGCCACAGTGCCCTATGTTGTCGAATGTTCTCTCTTTTCCCTTCGATCTAAAACAGCCATGATCTTCCAGTTTTGTGGTTACACGGCTAGCTTCTTTACCGGTTATGTGAACCCCATCGCGATGGACAGCATCGGCTGGCGCTACTATATCGTTGCCGTTGCCGTTCTGGCCGTCGAATGCGCATTTGCGTGGTGGTATTTGCCCGAGACTAAAGGCAAGGGGCTTGAGGAAATTGGCGAAATCTTCGATGGCGACGATTTTTTGACGGGTGTTCAGGCAATGTCCAAACATCGCGAGGAGCAGCGCGAGAACCAGATTCTTCGCGAGAGGAAACTCAATTGGTCGGATCATGTCGAAGTCAAATCGAGCGAGGCGTGATGCTCTGGGAAACTAGCCAACGATGCAAAGCTTTTACAGCTCTTGAAGTTCCCTACGATATGTTGGTACCAATCAACACTGTTGACGGCACTCCAGCGACTTGCACCTATTCTTCGCCTTCTAAAAGGCGCCAGTGACAATTTCTTGGGAATGTAATACTTAACAGTACCTCCAGAAGTAAGGATATTATTTGGCACACTATTTTCCAAACGCCAGAGTTGTAAAATTAATAGCATAAGTCAATTCTAGTATCCAGTGGAGTTCATATGGGTGGCCCGACATCGCATGTCTACGGATACAGCATCCTGCTCGGCGCTGGCGCAGGTATTGTCTTCAGCCTCGGCTTCACGGTCGCGAGTATCACAATGATGCAACAAACCGGCTCCAGGCTGGACGTCTAACGCGTCAGTTCGATGCAGAACCTCTCCCAGCTTGGGTGGCAACTAATCATTTTGCTAATCGGTGGCCAAATGATGCAGGGACTTTCGGTTAGGAACCCTCGACAGTACTTAATGGTCTGGGATTTTCTGAACAAGAGATCAGGCAAGCTACCGCGGGAACATCCAGCCAAGTGTTTGATTCCTTAAGCCCGTCGGGACAGAAACAAGTCATCGAGGCCACTACAGGTGCTCTGAGCAAAGTCTGCACTCTCAGCATAATCTCCGGCACAACCATTATTGTGGTCTTAATTTCCTTCCCGTAGAGGAAGCTGTTCCTGGAGTCGCTAGAAAATTCCAATGCCCTGAGCCTGGCTTGAAGTAGCTTGAGCTACGCGCAGAGATGCAATTTGGAATCTGCGGCGACAGAACAGCACTTCTTGGTTGTATGGTGAATATCGGTGGCGCATCAGATGCTGTAAATGCAATGGGGACATAGACTCGCCCTATTATTACTAGACTGTGCCACAATTCAAGTGAATCTATGGCCTATCTTATGTTCCTATTGTGACCTCTCTGTTCAATATCATGCACCGATAACCTATTTCCACCCCACAGTGATGCCCTTTTCGTGAGACTCTCGAGCAAGCTCAATAATCCTCAGCACATCCCGCGACTCGGTTGCCTTAACAGCCAATTCGGCTTTCCCATTGATGGCATCGGCAACAGCCTCGTAGATTCCCATCCATCGTCCCCTAATTGTTGGATACTTGCCAACGTATCTCTGCGACTTATCGTCAAAGGTCTGTATGCTGCTGTCGAACTCGTCATAGGTCGTGAGAGTGCCACGGAGCTCCTCCGGCTCGGCACCGAAAGCAGGATCGAGAGGTTGCACGCCCTCGGCAATTTGCTCCTCCTGAGGACATGTGCTCCGATTTTGATACTTGATGTAAGACCCCTTGGTGCCCCGCACCCAGAACTTGAGCTGCTGCGCCATGGGCGACACGACGGACGTCTTGATCGTCACTAGCAGGTTCTTCTGTGGGCCATCATACTGCAGTACGAGAGTGAATGAGTCCTCTACCTCGCTCTCCAGGCCACGCTGGACCCGATAGAAAGCTGTGACTGATACGGGGCGCCCGAACAGCACGTAAGCTTGGTCGATGCTGTGTGTTCCTATAATTGATCTCTATTAGAATGGTCCCAAATTCGCATGCTTATGAGCACAATCGTACCTAGGCCAAAAGTAAGCCCGGATCCGGGTGTGTACTTTTTCGCGGTCAAATAGTGCAGCCATGGAGCTCTGTCAAAATCGTAGTGAATCTCGGCCTCGGTGATCTCGCCGAAGGCATTCTTCTCGAAGAGTTCCCTTACTGTCTTGAAATCACCATCCTGTGGTTCACGGTTCTAGTCAGCCTGCCCAGAATGATACCGGCAACGGTAAGAGCAAGTTGTCTTACATATCTTCTGTTTTGGAAGCAGGTGACAATCAGCCCTTTCTGCTGGGCAAGTTCGATCACCTTGTCCGCCTCCTCGGATGAGTTGGCGAACGGCTTATCAACAATGACTGTGGAAAGGGAAGTCAGCCCCGACAATTAATTACTCAACCAAATGACATGCAGTCTGTAGCAGTACGCACCATGCTTGCCGGCCTTCAACGCCTGCTCCGCGAAGGAGGCATGGGTGTCAGTGTGGGTAGCGACGACTACAAAGCCTATGTCGGCGTCGGCAAAGAAGTCCTCGGCCGTCCTGTAGTGTTTAATGCCAGGGAAGTCAACAGTGCAGTGAGAGCCTTTTGGTGCGGACGCGGGATCTGACGGCGCCTCTGCCCTTTGGAGAATTGCGGCAACCTCGTAGTCGGGAATGGCACGAATGAATGGTAGGTGGAAATTCTTGGCGGCAAAGCCGTAGCCCACGATACCGACCTTGATAGGGGCCATGATGTTGAGCAGTTTGGCGGCGACGAGAATCAGCAGATAGTTGGCAGATTGGGTGCAGGCAGGTGGGACGGCCGGTTTATATCCGTACTCCTCACTTGTAGGATTTGTATTAACAAGCGTATGACGTGACTCGGTGCGGGATTTTGCCTATGGGATAGAGTGTGGGGTGAGTGGTTGCGGTATCCCAAATGGATGTGTGATGGGATGTCCGCTTGATCACGTCTCCATCAGGTTTTCGTTATCCGCTACTCCCCGCGCGGAAACTCGCTTGTACATGTCCCCTGTCTACCAAAATACGATGAGTCTTACCAGCTACGGCGAGGCGTTGTCACACATGAGGTAAACGGGTTGCAATTGGCACGTCGACTACGACTAGAGCGGTAGATGGATCAAGCAACCAGAAGATGCAAGAGGTCATGCCCAGGGAAAGATCGACAATCGGGGAGTGCCGGATATACTGTATTCGGAATAGTTCACATTGCGTGGATACCTCATATCCACGAGCCAAATGACCGGGATATGGCACATGATGGTACAGCCTGCATCTCTCGCTCTTCGGTACAATGCATGGCGGCCACTGTATAAAGTGATGCAAGCAGTGGAGAGACGGAATCGGAGACCATGTTGCTCACAGAACAGAATTGGTCGTCCCACTCAATCCGGAAGAACATTTCCTCGTTCAGCTCGCTGTATTTGCGTTACACCTTACTCAACCTAATCCGTTCTCAACGTAGCCGCAGCGCCTCGAAAAGTCGCAGTCATGAGAAGCCAGCCATCTCAATGTTCCTTTGGGTTCCTCTTCAATTGAAAAGGGCAATGCATTCGTTCACAAGGCCTGGAAACGTACGCCTGAGTAGCCTCGACCACAAGTGTATGCTACCATTCCCCTAGACGAAACGCTCAGGACCATGCGGCTGATGGACGGTATTAGTTGCGAAGGGGGACTGGTATATCCTCAAAATGGATACTAAAGACCTTCGCACCTACGTAGTGCGCCACCCAGAATATTTGCGCTCTTCAGCAGGCCACATCCGGTTTCTTCGCACTAGCTTGCTAAGCTGAATTGCTCTTGCAAGATTTCGCGTGCTCGCATGATATCTGGACTCTCTGCCTCCCAGTATCGAAGCCTTTCTATACAGACCCGAAAAGCGCGGCCGTATGCATTCTCTTGCGCCTCCTCAGTATCGCATAAAGGTGACGTCCAGATTATCAGACCTCTGATATTTGCCGCAAGGAGCACCAAGCCCGTTGCCGTACTCCCCCTGGCGCCAAACCACGTCCCATGATGGCGATGTGTCATCCCACAGCCATCATTGAACTCAAGACATACATCAAGTGCCTTTTGCACCAACCCTTCTAAAACAGCCCTTGTGTTGCTACTTGTTCTCCGAGTAGAATGAATGGCGTGGTAAAGAAATGGCCGGTACAGCAGGGTTCTGATACCCCAGTAGCGTCCTTGAGTCATAATGCGTAGCTCATCTAATACTTGGTCGGGAGCGAGGTTGTCGAAGCGGATCGCGTCGGGCATGGAAGAATACCTGAATGGTCCAAGTCAGCTCGCTCTATGTGCGAAACATGGGAGATGTAGGATTGTATGAGTACCAAATGGCCAACTGATGTTCAATACTTGTAGCGGCGGATACCATGGGTTCAATATCCATTCGTGTCCAAGAGTAGTGCTCTTCTTTGTAGAATGCGTTGAGGACACGATTCTCTATTCGACGGAGGGCGATCTCGCTTAGATAGTAGAGCCAAGACTGTTCTTCTGTTTTCTGGTAGGATGAAGTAGGAGTCAAATATGTTTGTGAGGAGGAGGTGGTTACAGAGGCTGCGGTTGGGGTGTGAAGAGAATCCTGGGGACTCTGCACTGGACTGCCGGGACTTGGGGGTGAGGGAAATAGATAGGGATATCCCAATTTGCAGAGGTCGGACTGGGGGAAATCCAACTCTGTTCTGAGCTCGCATTCTGACTTCAAGACGGTCCAGTAGAGTCGCTGCTCCAGGCGTCTCTCGGATGGTCCTGGGACTCGGTGTGTGCTGTCGATCTGGGCGTCCAAGGCAGCTTGTCCCTTGAGATACAGTGAGTAAGCCGAACCTGCTTGATGAAATGCGGACCAGGCTTGTATTGGTCGGACAGTATACATCAGGTAGATGCCGGAGAGCAGGTGACATTGACTTGCCATGATACTGCCTTCGAGCAACCCCAGCCTCTTGCGAGCTGCTTGGAAATAAACCTCGGCCGTCGGTCGGCGATCGGCCGTTTCTTCGATTGAGGTTCGATCGTGAAGTTGACCCGCCTCGCAGGTTGGATCAAATGGGAGCGCAATCGCTCCAAGCGCACAAGCCAGTAGCTATAGAAGTCATCAGTGCGCGCTCGATATCAGTCAAACCGTGTGCTTCGAGAATACTGCATGGTACTAATACCTACGTACCACCATACAAGACGGGGCATCCCAGCCAAATCCATCCTCTGCAATCATTCTAGCATAGTCGCGGACCTGCCGGATATGGAATATGGGGTTTTTGGAGTGGACGAATTGTAGGAACCGATCGACGAGTTCAGGGACATCTTCTTCGCGAATGCCCGGCTTCTGGTGCCTACTCCTCGGAAGAGCGAGCTCATCATTGTCAGGCTGGGCGGACTGAAAGCTTCCGGCGAGAAGCTCTCGTGAAAACATGTCGCGTGGCCATCGTCCAGCAAAAATTGGCCATGTAAGAAGGCAATCCGCAGACGCGAATGCTGTCGGTACTTCCAAGGAGCAATCGATTGAGCACTGCTGATCATACTCCGCCTCTTGGCTAGGAGTTTGGGAGCTTCCAGGTGTAGGCTCTGTGAATGTTTGCTCTGCTGAGGCCGGCTGAGGGCCCACTGCGCCACCGAGGTCACCAAGCATCAGCTTCATCTCGTTCAGCTTCTCCAAGATCAACAAGCTCGCGGGATCGAAGCTAGCGGCGTATCCAAATTAGCCTCACCGGCAGACATTCAAGCCGAGGTGGACCCACGATGAGTGATCAAGGCGGGGATCATATGAGCAAGGCAGCGTGTGCTTGACACACGACGAGCACTGTGGACGCTCATTGTCACACTTCGTCTTCCTGACCCTGCAGCTTTCACAAGCGGTGACGGCTCGTTTGCGCGGAAAGGACATGGCTCGAAACCTAACTTTCTGTGCGTGGCGCTGCTCGGAATTGAGTGACGAGCGTGATCCTATTGGGCCCGAAGGCCCTGCAGATGCAGAGCTGGAAGACATCAGTGCAGGCAATGCTGTGTAGTCGAAAGCTCCGAAGCGTCAAGTTTGGGATGCAATGAGCTGGGGAGTTTCGGAGACTTGGAATATACGAGTGCGGGGTTGATTGTGGACCAGCTTCAATTAGCCGATGGCTTCGGAAATAGATCCCGAGGGAGCAGGGAAGTGTTTAGCGGAGAGCATCGGGGAGTAGCGGAGTTATCTCTTTTATCGCCATGAGGATTTGTCCTTGCGCGCAACGGAGACATGAATGATTGTAATGAATTTGTGACTGAATAAACTAGCACGGGTCACGGTGACTTTCTTTATGACCGTCTGGCTGGGAGCTTTCTGCGCTCTTTTGAGATTTTTATTATACTAAGGTGTATACTTTTCGGAGAGCGTCTGTCTGTCTGTCTGTCTATCTGCCAGTTGTATCCCCGGGTAATGAATGGCAAAACGGTCAAGACTACAATGAGCACGCAAGGAGTGACACGAAACAATTAGATGATCATGAAGGCAAGCTACAAGACAATAAGTGGTCGATTTCAGGACCGTCAGAGCAGCCCCAACAAGTCTGCTGCCGACCGAATTACTGCTATGGCATTATTTCTGTGCCACGGCCAGTCCTACATAACGGAGACCGAGACCCAATATCTTCACTTTTGCGCAGCCAAGAATTCTTGCAAGCAATCAACAATAACCTGGTGATCTTCCTCTTGCGCGAGGCCGCTCACGACAATTGCACCAATCGGTCCCTCCACGCCCTTGACACGGACAGGGAACCCACCACCGTGTATCGCGTAGTCACCGGCCGTCTCACCAAGCTGGAACTGGGCCTTGAACTTATCCTCGTTACCCATGTCGAAGAGATGGTGGCCTGCCCAGGTACTCCATCCAAATCTAAGCACAAAGTTCCGCTTGCGGGCCACCCAATTGTCGTTCTCTGGAACGGTCCCAGGTCGCGATGCAGCGTGAAAGAGCAGTTGTTTGTTGTTCGCGAGGGTGATGTTGACTACCGCTGGATTTTCGGTGATTTCCCTCAGCTTGTTCCGAATCAACACACCTATGTCAAAAGCATCCTCGGCAGTAAAGTGCGGTAGCGTAAGCGACTTCTCCTGAGCCGTGATGCTGGCAAACTGTTCTGGTTAGCCAAAGCCAGCAATGTCGACACGAGACTGAGAACGGCGCGAGGAGAGCTTACAGTTACCGCCGGGGTGTCTGTAGGGTTGGACGCCATTGAGCTTTGGTGGCTTGGGCAATAGTACTTGCGGATGCGGATGGTCTCCTCTGCGGTCTACACCTAGACTTATGAAGGTGATATTTGTATATCTTGTGACTGGTGAAGCGAATTTCCATCTGACAAATCATTCCTGAATATGTGTAGTCCCCATCCACGACACAACAGTCTACTTGACCCGATGTATTGCCATATCTCCAAGTGCTCCGAAACTCCCCGGTATGGTATTGATCTGTCCGATGGAGCGTGCTACAAAGTCGGGGTAACCTTCCCTCGTGGAGCATTCTCAGACGCTAAAATACCTGGTCTTTACTGACGGATGTGCTCCGAAACTCCCCAGCAGTGTATAGATGCTGCCCAATCTACTATCTCAGTAAGTCCGCCCGAAGCTCTCCCGGTAGGACATCAATTTCTCCGATGGAAGGCGCCTAGTTATTCCAAACTCGTGGATAACGCTACCCTCAGCTTTCAGCCACGGCGGGGATCCTCATGGCTACGGAGACGAGTGTGGAGTTCCACTTCATCTGCGCGTCTCATAGCCCCATACGGGGTACTGGGGTCTTGGTTGGGATTGAACTCCGCAAGTTGCATCAACTCTCCGTGTGGTGAAGCTTGGTATCGAGAGTTGCTAGGGATATTGCGATGGTTATTCCGGGGAACGTCGGGCTTGCCCATTCTAGACCTAGCTGCGGAGTTTGAATCCGTTCTCATGACCCGCGACTAAGCTCAAACTCCCTACAAGCTGTTGGGAGGAATGCACGCTCCCTGGTCGGCCTCGGGAATTCCCAATTGATCCTATAGCTTTCCCCGCGTTTGCAGTACCCCGTGGGGTCGACCCGCATGCTTGGAGCAACTTCTAGTTCCCGGTACTTGGAGTTTGGGGCCTCGGGGGAGGCCGTTGTTGCATGACTCGTGTTGCTTCACCCTTCTCAGGGTCACACGACCCGGCAACTCGTCCTAAACCATATAATTGTCCAGTCCCCGCGACTATCACTTGGATCTCGACCTTCCCAGTCTGGAAAGTACAACGACACCGCGAATCAACGCCTTCGTTTTATCTCTCCTGTTCATCCCTGCCGCCGTTTCAACATGACTGCCAGCACTTTCAAGTCTGTTGGCCCGGAACTTGCGGCGCTTCTGCCCCCAAATGACACGCCATGGTACAAGAAGCGAAACCAAGTCTTCCTCAACTTCTGCCTCGCATGCCTCTTCCTCCTCTCTTCGGGTAACGGCTACGATGGATCAATGCTCAACGGCTTGCTCGCCCTCCCGCATTGGCAGTCGTTTATGCATCACCCCAGCGGCGCCTGGCTCGGATTCGTTAGCGGCGCCTCATCCCTCGGTGCCATGTTCTTCTACCCCGTCGTCGCATGGTCCTCTAATCGTTTCGGTCGTAAGCCAACTATCCTCGTGGGCTACATCTTCCTATGCCTCGGAGTGGGTCTACAGACTGGAGCCACAAACATACCTATGTTTGTGGTATCACGCGTTATTGTTGGTATTGCTAGCGCTTTTTTCGGCGGTTGCGTGCCTCTGCTGGTCACCGAAACGGCCTATCCCACTCACCGCGGCGTTTTCACCAGTCTCTACATGTGTGGGTGGTACGTTGGTAAGTATTGATTCCAAAATAAGCATACAAAAAACCACAAATGCTGAGAAATTATACAGGCTCGTTCCTCGCCGCCTGGTCCACGTACGGCACCCGCAACTACGACAATTCTTGGTCCTGGCGTATCCCATCCGTTCTCCAACTACTACTTCCCATCGTTGCTCTTCCTGGACTCATAATGATTCCGGAATCTCCGCGTTTCTTAGCCTCCAAAGAGCGGCACCAAGAGGCTCGCGCCTTTCTCGTCAAGTACCATGCGGAAGACGACGAGACGTCCCCCTTGGCAGCGTTCGAGCTTGCGGAAATCACCCGGAGCATCCAAATGGAGCGTGAGTCGCAGAAAAGCACCACTTATCGAGAAATGGTTGCCACGGCTGCCAACCGGAGAAGAACATTCATCACCGTCTTCCTGGGAGTCTTTGGCCAATGGGCCGGCCAAAATGTTGCAGGCTATTACCTGGCTCCAGTGCTTACTACCATTGGCATCACCACCATCACGAAGCAGACTCTCATCAACGGGTTCTTGCAGATCTGGAATCTGGTCTGCTCCCTGGCCGGTGCATTCAACGTCGATCGTGTTGGACGCCGTGTTCTCTTCCTGGCGGCCACTACTGGCATGCTCATCTCTTACATCCTCATCACCGCGCTTTCCGCGACCTTTGCCAAGGGAGGATCGGCAACGGTCGGTACAGCTGTTGTCCCGTTCCTCTTCATTATGTATGGTTGCTACTCTCTGGCCTTCACACCCCTGCTAGTGGCGTACCCTGTCGAGATCTGGCCATACAACCTGCGTGCCAGAGGCCTTTCAAGCATGTGGGTGTCGACAGCTATAGCCGTCTTCTTCAACATCTTCATCAATCCGATCGCACTCGAGGCGATTGCATGGAAGTACTACCTGCTCTATGTCTTCATTCTCGCCGGTGGCGGTGTTGTCATCTACTTCGCATTCCCCGAGACACGAGGTCATAGTCTCGAGGAGATGGCGCGAATCTTCGAAGGAGAGAACGCATCGGTCCCAAAAGGCGTTATCGCAGACAAGATCGCAGCGTCTGGAAGTACGAGCCACATTGACGATATTAGCGCGCCCCCGAATAACGTAGCAGAGAAAGTCTGAACGACTCAGAAAATCGACTCGGAGGTCACATCGATACACACGACATTGGTCCCATAATCAATACGGCCAGCTAAATGGCGGGAGGTGGAACCGTACGAGCAAAAGAGATGTGGAGATTTTTTGCTTCCTGATTTCAGTCTGGACTTACATGGCATCATCAGTAGTATGGGGATATGTGTATACTTGGAGCTTTTATGTCATGCAGAATCTAGACAGTAATTTGTCTAATGCGAAATCGCCAATACGAAATCGTCTTGTTATTATATCATTGCGGGTGTCAATTTTAAGATCTAACTCACGCATCCACGATGCATCGCGATCGGGATTATCTGCGAACACATTTAAGTTTTAGTGCTTGAGACCTTTTTTGCTCCAATGCCGGTGGCCGACCAACTATTGTCAATATACCAATCCACCTTCTGTGTAATTGTCGCTTCAAGCCCTTAGTGAGTGGTCTGTTTCTCTGCAACGGGAATCCTGGAAATAAACATGGGGAGGGTAAAAGGAGAAAAGAGACTGAGGGAGAAAAGAGTATTTCAGAAGCAGTAGATGGTATGATTGGGGAGCTTAAGGCGCTTGCTGACCAGTCTCGGCGTATTTACGCTGTGGCTCTAAACAAGGATTATTGGTTTCCTTCGTGTGCTACTACTTGAGGGATTACTTGGTTAACATTGGAGATTTAATAAGAATGTCAAGACTGCGACCTTCTAGCACAAAGGTAAGGTGGTAGTTTTTACTTTTCTATTGCCGTTACGACCTGAATTAATAACTGCGTCACTATGCGAAGGAACTTATAAAATAATTGACCCCTGGTAGTCAAAGAATATATTGGCCTGATATTAAATAATCCTTCATCCTGCCATAATGCGCCGGGGAGTCTAGCCGGCATCAAGGGTTTTAACGAGAGTGTGCACCTCGAACGGAGTGTTCCACGTCGCACTTGATCCCATGCACTCCCAGTCCCGTCATTAATTAGCCAGTGCATTCGTATTTGCGGCAAACGCAAGGAGAGTAGGACTTTTATGCGAGATGTAGACGTAATTAAACTCCAAAGCTATATAGATGACTGAAGATCATCTCCGAGCAGTCGACTCGGCCCCGCCTAGATATCGATAGCAGGGGAGAGGTAGCGGCCTGGACGCCAACGTTATCAACATAGCAATACGAAGTGCCATCCCCTTGATCTCACGGCCATGAGAGTCTGTCACATTTTTGAGCGGCTTGGCTACCACTAGCTAGCCTCGCGTGGGTACCGTTTCCTAACACAAGTCGACACAGATTTCGTATTCACTGAGCAGGACTGAGACACGACCGGAAAGAATTTGGGATTCACAATAGAATTGAATGTACCACTGCTGTGCGAGCTCGCGGAGTGAATGATCTATGGGATTCGATTTTTTTTATCACACTTAGGACTTCTGTTGAAGATTATGATCAAATCTTCCGAACTGGACCCGTGAGATTTAACCTGGTAGAGATGGTTACGCTAAGCTAATATACCTAAGGTCAAATGGACCCTGGTTTCATAAAAGTATCGGTACAACTAGAGCTTGGTTGGGGCTCCAGAAGACGTTTCCCTTTGATACAGTTATTGAGAATATAGATAACAAAGTTACTCAAACCGAGAGCTCGAGACCCTCCGCACATTTGGATGATATTGACAGCCGCTACAACATGTTTCGAGGCCATTGAGAGATCGCCCAGCATAATCTAGATGGAAACGATCAGTTCGCTGTCTGTGAGGAAGTATGAATGCAAGATAGGACTTTGGCCTCACCTCGTCTAGCGTTAGAACCAGCGCTTTCGTCACAGCGATGCGGCATGATGATGGATTATCTGAAGAGATTGCCTGTCGAAGACTCTGAATATATCTCAGCTTGTATTGTATAGCGAATTGCGCATAATCCCCGTCCAAATTGACCATGGACAGGTGACGGCAGGCCGCAAGCAAGAAGCCCTGTAAAAAGTCGGCATCGGTGGAGGAGAGGAATATCCAATTCTTCCTCATGTATTCACTAGATTCCCCCACATTCTTCAACACCGGGCAGTGGAAGTTCAAGTAGGGAAGGACCACCTGAACATCTAGGCTGATCGTTAACATACGATGACGAGAAACGATCAACACAGACTACTCAGTGCCCAAGTAGTCCTGTCACTATCTCAACAGGGACAAACCGGGCAAACGCAACTTACAGTGGTTGAACATAAAATGCTCGACGAATGTTAATGATTGTAAAAACTTTCCAAATGGTCCGTGATCAACCGTGTCGGAGGTGATACTTTGGGCAATTGGTGTTAGATCCGGGTGACTACCGGAGGTCTGATTCACCTGTTGGTGAGTTACGGCGGTCCAGGACTGATCTGGAGGTTGATCGTGTGATTGTTGCTTGTTGTGGCACTTTTCTCCACTGAGTTCCTTCTGGCGCATGAAATTGGCCACCTGTGCCTTTCTGGCTCGGGCGTGTGCAACACGAGCTGCGTGGGAATGAGCTCGTCGTCTCAAGTCGGTCAAGGAGCTTTGAGCGGGATGATTGATTGGAATGAACTCCATCTTTGAATACTGAAGTTGAGATATCTCGAAAAAGAGTGTATTTTGGGACTCGGACCAGTGCTCTCTGAGAGATTTCCCTTGCACGACTCAATGTATCGCGGTGGGATCACGGTGCTACTCAGAGAAGTCCGCCCGCCCAGCCAGGTCATCGTTTTTGAGAGCTTAATTTGTCATCGACTTGGTGCGAGGGCTGAGTGACGCAATCTCAATAATAATATTACAGCGTGGTCAGCGGCTAACTAAAAAGAACCTCGGCTCAACACCGCCAAGACTTGCTCCTACTACATATAGCCTAGTCTTTCTCTTAAATTAGCTCATATCCACCATGATTCCTTCACATGTGGTACGAGATCTGGTCGTTAATGCCGGCATGCACGGCTTCCAGAGCAGCGACTACGTCGTCAGGCAGCGGTCCCTGCTCAATCATGTCGATATTTGACTCCAGCTGCTGCGGGCTGGAGGCTCCGATGATGAGGGAGTCCCCGTACGCCTTGCTCAGCTGGCTGTGATGCGCTGTCCACCGAAGTGCCGCGGCGTGACCGCTAATTCCACGCTTCGACGCCACTGAGAGCGCCTTGTCCGTGGCGTCCATGATGGAGGGCTTCAGGTAGAGCTGGGAATAGAAGCCGCCTATGCCATGCTTCAACCAACGGCGCACGCGGTTAGTTTATTCCATCGTTTCGCAGCTATTGGGATGGTTGTACGTACAGATTTATCAAATCGCCCACCCGCCTTGACGTTTTTGTGGTTGCCAGCGAAGAAGCCAGCCCCAGCAGGACTGTAGGCGTAAAAGGCAATCCCGTGCTCGCGCAGGATAGGAAAGAGACTCTTTTCGCCATCTCTCACGACGGGGTTGTACTGGCCTTGATAGACGACGGGCTTGAGAAAGCCGCGCTCCTCGCAAATGTCCACAAACCTCTGGACTTCCTCAGCCGTGTAATTGGAGAGACCCCAATGCTTGATCTTGCCCTCTCTCTGTGCCTGGTCCATGGCTTCGCAAGCCTGCTCAAATGGCGTCACCCGATCGGGCATATGCAAGTACTCAACGTTTATTTGCTTGATTTTTAATGCCTCCAGCGAAATGTCGATTTCCTTCAGGATATTTTCCTTGGTATGGGACCCTTGTTCCCTCGAATTGACTTTAGTATCGACGGCAAATCGATCGCCTGCAGCAACGGCTCCAAGCCTGGGCTCAGAGCTCCCAGGTGCATGAGGGGAGTAGGAGCGAGCAGTGTCAATTTGATGATAGCCACGTGCAGCGAAGGCGTTGAGGAAGCCATTCACCTCGTCAGGGCTGTTGAAACGCGCCATGGGATCAATCGACGTGTCTCCGACCTATGCGTGCGCCACGTTAGATTGCAATACACCTAAAACCACCATGTCCCGATTGTTTTGCCACTGTCCGGATTACTTACGTTTCCTGTTCCCAGAACCAGGTTGAGGGGTGATTTGCCGGTGGATGCCATTGTACGTAGCGATCGGCTGATGGGTAGTAAAATGCGTAGTGATGAAGAGCCGAATGATAGCATAAGAAGAGGGATAAAGTCAGAGAACACACTCTTTTGTTTCTGCTTTTCAGGTCCTGAGGGATCTCCGAGACTCTTTTATGTTCTGGTCAGGTACGTACAAGTGGATAATCAAGAACACCCAATGCATCATCGCCAAGAAATGCTCCTACCCTTTTAGGAAGTTGTACATATCCACTTCGTAGGCTTCCTACATCATGCGTCAAAACTCGGTCAAACTGCGTAGTTGGATGTGCAATGATCTCAAAGTCAAAATCGTACTGGAATCGTATTTGTAATGCATGCCATTGACAAATTGGTTTATTATTATTAATGCAGGTCCTTGTTGACACGGATTTGTCAGAGGCAATCCGGGACCGTGGTGCTTGACCCTGATGCTCCGAATCACCCCTATCGGGACCCCTATCGGGACCCCTATTGGGACGCCCATTGGGCGTGCTTGTATTAGCAGGGGTCTTTCCGGGCATTCTGCGTAGTTGTAATACTGGGCAATTAAGCCAACTCGTCCGATAAACAACCGAGGATGTGACGGTACTATTGAGTAGAGATACACAGGTGGGATACCACAACTAGAGGACAGAAATTCTCGAACGAGCGCTTGCCAGTACTTTCCGTAGTCATAACCTATTGCATTCAAGATGCCGTATACTAGATGGCCTGACCTTTGCGACCATTCTTTGACGCAACTTCGATCAGCATCACCAGGTGAACGATGGGTCTAGGGTAAATGCGAGGCGAGGGGTGAGTGGCCATCGTAAAAGTGTATCAACAATGAGCGAGGCGTAGTTTACGCAGAAGGTATAGTCGCAGGATCCTTGAGTAGATATATGATAGTTTATTCTTACTAGCCAAATGCCATTCTACGTCAATAGGGTAAAAGAAAGCTTACTGCCTCACCCTATGCTAGAATTTTTAATTACACAGGCCTAGCAGTCCCATTACCTTTATTGGAAACAATTAACCTAAATTCCAGATTATTCCTGACCCTTGCCCATCATCGTCATCCTCGTTTGGAGTTTCCACTTCATCAATCTCACTGTAATGAGTTCCTGGTGCTCCTGATCCTTTTCGCTCATCTTGGCAATCGCCACGCTCTGATGGTGAGATCAGCCCATACCCCGCTCGACACGTAATGACGGACCGTATTCTGATTTACCTTCAAGAATGCGAGACATGTGGGTAAACTGGGGAACGGGCCGCATTACACAGATATAAATAGCATTGATATTTTTATAGATTCGATTGGACGAGGAGCAACAATAGGAGGCGTTCCTGAACGTGAAAGTTGGTAGGATGGGAAGTTTTATCAACATGTCGTGGCAATCTGACATTCGGCACATGACGAGGCTGGAAGGGACATGCATAGCCTAGTAGGAAGCACCTATAACAACGTATATGGAGATGCATAATAAACGTAACAATATGCCCAGTGGGTCGAAGTGTAGGTACTTCAAGGATCCTTGGGGAATTGCTATTCAGCGCTGGACATGAGCGTTATTGAATGGCAGCAACAGACAATACGTAAACATATTTTCAATCACAACTCAAGCGACGCAGTATCTTGCAAATGCGGTATATTTATCAGGTATTAAGGGACGACCGTCTAAGAGAAATAGATCAAGGTCAAGAAAAGCATAAACGAAGCTCTCCAGCCTATTTTAGGGCCCATGGATACAGTTCCGCTGGTGGTAGTCGAGGAAGCAGTGGAGTCCGGCCCAAAACTCAAGGACGTGGTAATATCCTCGATGGTAGAAGTATCAGGCGCCGTTGTTATTGTGGCCGTGTCCTGTCCATTCATTAGTCTTATACTTTCAAATCAGGGGCCTATTTCCCTACCGCTGAGGTGCTTAAAACGTCAGTAGCAGCTTTACAGTTTCGGAACTCCCAGATGTTGGACGTAATGGGGGTTTTTCCTAGACAAGATTGCGACCCGTCGATGTCGCACACCGATGCGAGGGAGACGAGCGACTCTTGACAGCGGCAGCTGGTGATTTGCGCAGCCTGGTCGTATGCAGAAGAGCAAGAGGTGATTGACGCGCTCAGTTGGCCACAGCTCTCAGCTATAGTTTGGCATGTGTCTTCATCTAACGTTCTTGTCGCCTCGGAAGCAACTGGGGTCGTGATGTCGGAGACATACGGACCACATGCGCCCTGCCAAGCGTCGATCATGTCATCGACGGAGCTATCGTATGAATTGCCCATGATGCATTGCCTGAATTCACCCTTACACCTAGATAGATCATTGGTCAACTGCCTGAATAGTGGCAAGAAATGGCGCTTACCCTATGTAGGCATTCAGAAGCTCTTGGGTGCAGAAGCAGTCGATGGTTTCCTGCTTTGAAAGATTACTGCACTTCCGAGCAATTGAATCGGCCTTTTCGCAGTTTGGGAATTCTGTTATATCACCCACGCAGGTGGGTGGGCTGAAAGATGCTCCATGGCACTCACTGATTGTGCTCAGAAGAGCGGCGAGAACAGCGATAGGTCGGACAGAGGGGAGCATCTTGAGAAAGCACACTGGGCTGAATCTCGACTGTTCGTTAAGCTTACCAACCTTGTGTCTTATGTGCAAAGATGGATGCGTCCGATCGAGATCGGAGAGGCTGGGGGCTTCTTGACCTTCCAGCCACGGCGTTGGTATTTGTGCCTTGGAAGGCGCAGCTCATTCAAATTAGCCCAAGGTCGAGCCCGTTCGAATCCACGGTGGCTTCAGTAGCCTGGCAACTATCGCCGGTAGCTGGCAACTATCGCCGGTAGCTGGCAACTATCGCCGGTAGTTTGGGTCACAGTGACGCAGCTGGAATGACGGGCCAATCCATGTCTAGTTCGGCTTCGTAGCGTCCAAGCTAATGAGGACAAAGGTCACGCAGGCGAGGCAATCGGAGAGTCTAAAGGCAAATTCCGCCTTGCGAGGTCAGACTGGACGCAAGACTGGCCGGGAAGTTCCATTCATGCAATTTGTTGGCGTCCCGATGATTTGGCTGTGGCTGGGAGTGGACACCTTACAAATATGTCGTCGTTCCGGAGATGCTCTCGACCAAGATTTGAAGCATTTGATGGTGCGTCGCATTACCGATTTGCCACAGCTGATCATTGTCAACTTGAAGCTGCTTCAAAATGTCCAGTCCACGTCAAGAGTCTCCCCCCCAAACGTACGGCTGGTTAAACGGCTGTCTACGTTGGCCTTCTCTCCTGACCTTCGCCATCTTCGACATCGCCCTCCTCGCAACTATCCTTTCTCTTACCATCGTGTCCTCAAAAAACAATGGATTTGCTACAATCGCATCCCACAACGTCACTTCGCCCGAGTCGACTGCCCAGTCGGGAAGTGACCCCAACGGCATCAACAGTTTCTGGGACCTAGGTGTCCTCTGGACAGCACTCCCCAGTTTTGTATTATCACTCTTCGGCGCTTATTGGGCCTGGATAGCTGGCTCCACTGCAGAACGTCAGCCGTACGTCGAGCTACGCAAAGTAGATGGCGCTGAGGCAAGAAAGTCAATTCTACTGGACTATCGTGTCACCGCCAGCATCTGGCGTTGGTGGGGAGCCTTTCGAAAGTCGCATTATACCGTTGGAGCAACGACTCTACTCTCTGTATTTCTGACCTACGCTGTCGCGCCCTTTGCTGCACGTCTGTTCGTGCCGGAGCTTGTGATGCTCTCCGAGTCAGTTCCCATCATCTACAATGAGGGATACGACGTCGAAGGCATCAACGCTACTATTGACTGGCGACCTGTCCTGGATACTGTCGCGGCCACGCTACTTTACCAGGGCAACAAGATTCCCTGGACAGATGATGAGCGTGCTTTCCGCCCATTTACCACTAGCTCCCATCTTGTCAGCGGATCGAATTTGGAGGCAGACACCATGGCATACTCGGCCTATCTGAACTGCGAATTGGTAGAGGATTACACGATCACATCCACTGACGCCTCGGGCGGCTCGGGGAAGAACATCCAAATATCCGCAACGGATAGAGGATGCAGCTTCAAGCAGAATTTCGGGGCCTCCAGCACGCAGGATATCTACTTCAAGACCACTGTGGAATTTGGCTGCTCTGCCAAGGCGTATTACAGCCGCCTGGTATTTACAGCCGCGACATACTCTGCTTCAGCACCTCACAATCTTGACAATGTCAACGTTATCTCTTGCGCAACGGGCTATCGTCAAGTCTCAGGGACTTTGAAAGTCTCGCCATCATCAAGTGGGCCCCCGGTCATACAGTCCTTCGATGAAACAGGCGAGCCAGATACTGAGCGGCCAACACTGTGGAGAGTCTTCGAGCAAGACATCTTTGGGCCGGTGTCGTTGAACCCACACACAAAGTGGTCTACCACGGATATGGGCAGTTTGATATTATACTATGCGCAGCGCTTACAGCCGTCGAATTTTTTGACATCTGAGGTGTTGACTGAGTCCATATCAAAAGTGTTCACGGCTATTTACCTGAATACTGTTGCAATTCACGGCTTTGGGCCACTCTCAGAACCCGACAAGACAACCGGAACAGCTTTTATCCCTACAACACGGCTCTTTGTCGTTCCTTGGGTTTCATACATCATCCTCGCCTTTTTGATCATCACCCTATGTTCCGTGGGGTTTCTGTTCTTCCGGCTGCAGGATTGCCCATCAATCCTAACCGAGGAGCCTCAGGGCTTATTATCCATGGCCGCAATCCTCGACAAGAGTGAACTTGCAGGTATTATTTCCGATATACGTCGGGGAATGGAGTTTGACGATGGGATACGAGAGAGAGGCATGGCGCGTGTTGAAGTGAAGGACAGGAAGTGGCGAGCGGTCAAGGGTTCAAAATCGAGTTCTTGGGTCGTCAGATCTGTTCAAAACGGTGAAATGGGGGCTGAAGAGCATCTTCTGGGTTGATGTTTTGAGTAGTGGTTTGGTTTTCATCGGCTTGGTTTCTTGATTTGGGAAAATTATCCTCATACATACCCAAATCTCATCATCGAACACATCCCATCATTCTACCTACACTTCAAGGCCATGAGCGGCCTAGAGGTTTCAGTGATCGCTAAATTCCACCATTGACTGAAAAGCCTGTGATGCTTCTATAAATTCAGCATAAACAGCGGGCTAAGGGAGCTGACTCACCTTGTCGTAGGGGCCTATTCGAGAGCTTCAAGACGAGGCAGGTGATGGTGTATGGGAAATCGATTCAGCCCTAATATATGCCATGTTTATTGGAAGGGTTTGGGCGGTTCTCCCTCACGACGCGTTGAAATGTGTTATGTAAGGGCGTGGAGAAGTTTGAGCCCATTGAGATACTCTGGATTCGACATTTCCTGATAATTTGAGTCTTGAGCGATTTAGCCTAGCTGCCCGAGGTTGGCTGCCATAAAATGCAGTACTGCAGACATTGTTCAATATTTAAGAAGCAACAATTTGCTCTGAAGGACTTGGTGGGGTTTCTTTGACTGAACCAGGGTGACTGTTCTCGGTGCCTCATATTCGCAAGGCTGGAACAGCACAATGATAACATCATTCCATTTCACTCTATTCCACGTCCAAAAAGACCGGTTCTGAATTAGTTGGGTTAACGGAATGTGATGGTAGCTAGTTATTTCTCCGAACTCTATCGTATCACTCTCGAGTGGGAAGGCGAGATATCCCAGATCCAAGGGGTTGCATTTAATAACTGGTGGATAATCTTTTCAACCACTACATGCACCGATTTCACGATCGTGACAAGAGGTATTCAGGTAGTATACATACGACATGTTGCATATGCAGGCAAAATTAAAGTGACATCAGACGGGTTTGTGGTTTGACAAAACGATAAACTCCATCTTTAAAACAACATGGACCGTTTTTTTTTAAGACGCGACTTGGCGTGCTTACCACTCTGAGTGTGACATGGCTTACGGAGTAAGTGACGTCAAGGTACTGTAAAATGTAGACTACAGATATCGTGTTTACGGAAGAACTTTCACCACCGACTTACGAGCGGGCTCCTGCTATTGGTTGACAATCTTCGCCAAGCCATTGTGCTTTGAGTGAGATAATCAATTATCGTATTTAAATTAAGGGGCGCTGTATGTAATCTGATAAATGCTACGACACAATCACTCAGCTCCTGGCTTATGTTGGTATTATTGGTCCGACACATGCAATGTGACTTGGCCGACGGGTTGTGTAACCGCATATTATAATGGGCCGACCTACCTATACGAGTTCCAATGCAGCAGGATCTTCAGCTGCCATATGATCCGTAATGTTTCAGCATAAGCATGGCATGACTAAATAGCGCGATTCCAATCAGCGACATCCCAGCCTGCATTTCCAGGTAAGGGTTTCCTTCTCAACTGGCCATGATGACTCACCTGATTCAAATCCTTCAATGTAACTGTTCAGCTGCTGAGAATATGCTTAAGATGTCAATCTTATTTAAACCGCCCTACTTCTCGTACAGATACTCCAGCTCCATCATCAAATTCACAAGTCTTACTAGCTTTCATTGTACATTCCCTCCCTGACAATGCGTTTGTCATTTTTGCCGTTGTTGCTTTTGCCATTGGCCCAGATCGGCCTTGCGTTGCCCCATCAGAAGACTCAACCAAAGCCGTGTGGATCAAATGGAACCACGAAATTTCCTCCACCTTGCAAACCGATTGCACCAAGGCCAGGCCAGGAGACTGACAAGAGGTTCTTCCGATACGGTGAAGCCTTCATTGTGGACAAAGACCTCACAAAAGCCTTCAGATATATCTCGGCCAACTACACTGTATGCTTTAAACTTGGAGTTTTGTTGTATGATTGCTCACGGAAGCCATAGAATCATCACCCGGGGGCGGGTAGTACAGTTGCTGCTTTCAATGATCTCAGTCAACTTTGGCCACCCATGAACATCACCGTACTCCGAATCGCGTTTAAGGGTGATACGGGCTGGCTAAACTACCTTGCAAACGGCACTGAAGTCGTCGATAGATACCGCTGGGAGTCTGGTTGTATTGTTGAACATGTAAGTTCCTTGCAGTCTTTGGAGTTGTTCTGGGCTCTTCTCAATTGCTTTTCTAACTCTTATTAGTGGGATGAAGGCGAGGTATTTCCAGACTGCGGTGTGTTTTAGATGATAAATGCACCATGGAATATTACTCGAGCTGAAGACATACGGACTGGTATTTGAACGGAGCCGAAAACGTTGATGACGCGTGAAAGTTAATTCGACCCGGCTGCTATCTTAGTGGAGTTTAGAAGGGAGTATCTAGAACTATTAGCGAGTATAAACGGCTGGGACTTGTGCAGGGTCTTGGATGGGAGTGGAAGTTTCAGTCCTTACAGCTTTCTTTACCTTAGTACCGGGGTCAATTGCCCAGCTGGTCATGTAACAAGCAATTTAATTATGTTGCCTCGGATTATCCGCCAACTCGGTACAATACTGGGTTGATGATGATGCGATTCCGGAGACACTGAACGCCACGAGCCCGGTGAATAGTGACGGTGTCGTATTTGAAAGAAACCTCTGCGCTTACCCTCTGACACAACGTCATGAAGGAGCTGGTGATGTTCAACCCTCAATGAGCTATTGATGTGTTCCTCTATCCAGACGAGAGAGGACTTGAAGATGGAAAATTGGAAATGTCCATTGAATTGATTAGATTAAACGAGGTTAAGGAAACCCTCCTGATAAGAGGTTCACAGGAGAGCCGTGACAAATATAACAATACATCTTGTAACCCTGTTTTGCATCCTGTCATACTCTTTGTCGTTTCTCACATATCCTCTCTTGAGCTCCGTAACCTGGAGTCTGACTTCGTTTTCCCAATGAAGACCCATGCTGCCCTTCGAACAAAGCAACTTCGCCGAGCAGCAACTTGGCATATGCAGCAGCCGTGGCAGCTGCATACTCTTGCCAGACCTTGTTCTTAGACGAATCTGCATAATCGCAGATGCCTCGAATAACAAGGCACGGGAATGTGTTCATGATTCCTGCTGCTTCCATCTCGAAGCACAAAACACCGCATTTTTTGGCCCATTTGTTCCGGACGTGAGCATCCTTAATCACCCGATTTCCAGAGGCAATGAGCCCGTAGAATACTTCTGGATCATTTGTTGACCGACGGGCCCTGCTCCTCAAATAGTTGTTGCGTTCGGCACACTCGCCAATGTCCTGGCATCTTGAGCATTCGGTCTGGGAGCACTGATCATATTCTTGCCCCGGGCGTTTGTACTTTGGCCTTTCGCTGAGGGGAAGACGCGATTCAATCTGCACAAGATAGGGCTGAAGAGAATTAGAGGCACGATCTGGATTTGATTCCAAACAGCTGATTGCTGTCATTAGGAACCATGGTGGCGGCGGGAGGGATCCGGTTGTCTCAAAGTCACTATTCTCATTTTCCTTGCCGCGGTCGTATTGGATTACGCCTGGGTAATCCGCTGTGGGTGAACTCACGACAACATCGCCGAGGCGAATGTCCTGCTCTCTCGACGGCACGCCACCGCCTATGCCCACCAAGAGACAAAACTTGATGCTTGGGAAACTCCTCCTCATGTTAGCGGCGGAATCAGCGGCGGGGTTTGTTCCGTAGTCTCCTTTGGGCAGACAGGCTGCGACAACCATATGCCTGTTCATTTGTCCCAATTTGTAATGGTTGGTGTCTCCGGCCACATTGTCGAGGCTGTCGTGCTCTTTATCGAAAAGGGCTCGCACAGCTTTGAGTTCCTTTGGTAGTGCACACAGGATGCCGACGGTATAGTCATGCTGAGAATAAATTTCGGCGACACCAGGCGTGGAAGTTGACCAGAGGTCATCGATGCCGTCGTTGCTCGCAATTCGATTCAGTCCTGGCGTGGTTGAGTGGGACAACTCCGAGCTGTCTTCATTTGACAATCCTGTACTGGAATCAATTCCGCTGTCATGAAATGAGCCCACGTCGGTTGCCTTAGAAAGAGGTGGCCGCGTGCCCTCTTCAGGAGGGCCATAGTCCCCCCAAACCCAGGGAAAAGCCGAGTGCTGCCCAAATATAACTGCACCAGAACTTTCCTCTGGGACAAGAGCCTTCCTAGGGAGCAGCAACTTCAACATTGCCGAAGGTAACAACGCTTGCACTGGTTCACAGTGATCTCGTCTCAGCGCCCCTTGGCATCGACAAGACACAAATAGGGCAGTTGGGGTGTGCCATATAGTCGTTTCGCTGAGTCTCACCTGTCCGTCGTTGTGGTAGTCGTTGTTATTCCTCACCTGAATCAAATCCGAAAGACCAGCTGCCACATAGTACTTTTGCTTGGGCAACTCAGACCAGTACTCGCAAGTGTCTGCACCGGCTGGCTTGATAAGCTCACCAAAGCCGCGACCAAATAGGGTGATTGTGTGCAAGGCTCGAGTCAAGTCAACCCATGCCTTGCCTCCGGCCTCCAGAGTGGTCACTCGTGGATACATGGGATCGCGGGATGTGACGAGGTCCCTGAAATCCCAGCCTTCGAGGTATTGGCGTGGTTTGTCAACCAATTTCGAGCCATCTTCACCTGAAACATCGGCTTGATGATCGATGAGTTTCTCCAGAATACTGTAGAAGCGCTCGATTCGGCTTTGGAGCAACAAGTGGCCTTCCTTCTCTTGGTATAGCTTAAGTGCCAAATTGTCGGGGTGGATGAGCACATCAATTGCTGAATCGGCCGTGAAGGGTGCTGAGGACTCCTTCATATCCTCTGGTCTGAAGAGAAATGCAGCTTTGAACTTGTCCGTACTATTGTATGCCAAGGATGCTCTGACAATGTATAGCAATGCACTGGTCCCATTGATGAGCCAGCCTCGTTTATCGCTTTCATCCCACAACAGTACAAACTTGGTTGCAATCCATTGGAGTTTCGGTATGTAGCTATTGCGAGCCACATGGGCTGGCGTATCTCTGAGGCCCAAAACAAACGCAGCGCCTCCCATTATGCCTCTGCCTGGAGACACAACTAGGTTAGCAAGATAACCGTGTTCTTGCGGTTTGCTCAGTCCCGAACCGCCCACATGATGGTTAGCCTGGGCAGAACCTACACCACGCATTAGCGACATAGCTCCGGCAATCTTGATGCCTCTTACCGGAATAGAACTCGGCTTCCGAGCACCAACCAAGCACATGTTGAAGACTCCCCAGATCAAGACTGCTAATGTCCCCGGCGTGAGGTACAGCACTATCTGGGTAAGAGATACGACTTCCATCTTTTTTGTAAAGTAGATGCCAGAGAAGCATGTCTCCAATGCGCTTAGCTGGAACAAGAAGAGTAGAGAATCCTTTAATGAAAGTCTTTCCGTTGAACTGATCCACTTGCTCGCTTCGAGCCAAGCCAGCCATGATATGGAGTGGAATCTCCATACCAGTATTTGACTCGACTCTCGACGGAATTGGATACCCTCGAACGATCATAGGGTTCAGAAACATGTCGTGCCAGCATTCGCAACTTGCACTGTCGACAGGCTTTTCAACTTCTTCGATACTAAACCCAATCTTGTATGTAAGAGCAGCTGATACCGACGATTTGGACAGCCGAGACGAAGACATGGACGGATTTATGTAGCGAATGAAGGGAGTGCAAGAAAAGAGACCATTTTCGCCAGGTGAAGGCTGAAGAGCGGACGCAAGCCAGGCTAACTGTTCCCCGACCTCTGCAAGAGAACTTGGGTTTCCGCAAGCCTCAAGAATGAATCTTGGCCTTTGGATCCGAGCTGAGAATGAAGTCCCATCAGGGAAATGGCCTACACAACAACTTAACATATAGACCTAATTAAAATCCAGTGGTACTGACCTGATTGCGCAAGACCGTTTTTCTCATCCAGAACATCTTTGACCAGTTGCATCATCAGATCTCCTGTGAGTGGCCATGTCTGAGCCAGGTATTCGGCACATGTTAGAGCCTGTGCATCTTGACCGGATCCAGTCAAGGTAATCACTTTAGAGACAGCCTCGGCATGGCCGGTAGTGTACTGTTGATGCTCCAAGAATCCCAGCAAGTCCCAGTGGATCACAAAGGTCGCTTTGAACTCTTCTGAGTGTGGTTCCCTGCTAAGTACATAGGATGGATATAGTGAAGATACAATAGTTTGACTTATAGTCTCTATTGACTTTGGTTCGGTTGGAACTAAGCGCATCTCCACACGTAAACGGGCAAGAAGCCATCGGAATGCATATGTGTCAAGAACGAAGTCTCGATAACCCGTTGTCGATGCAATGTCATCTTGAGCGTCTTGGTTGCGCCTGGAGTTCAAGTCAACGTCGTCAAATCCCTCGTGAAGTCCTTGTATCGATTTTTCTTCATGAACAGAAGTTAGATCTTGCCTTGCAAACCAGGAACTCATTAATTCATCGAGAGGAATGTCCTCTCCGTTGGCCTTAGCTGCATCTGGGGGATCTTCTTCTTTTCGCAGGCCCCTGTCCCTGAAAGCGTCGGCGATGTCTCTAGTCATTTAAATTAGCACTTGGTCTGCATGAAAATGAAAATATCCAAAGTGAGAAGATGGCAGTCTTACCTCCGGTATCTGTAGACAAATTGCATCACGTCACGATGCTTTGCTGTTGGTGCCTTATAGCTAAGTCTAAGAGCAAAAGCCATGAGCAAATGTGGGAGAATGGTGGACAATCTCCCAATTTCTTGTTTGTCTGGCTGCAGGTCATTGATACTTCTGAGTAGATCATCCGCAAAGTCCGAAATGTAGCTTTCTCTTTTCCATGTCGCAACACTCGGTGTGTGGGTGTATTCTGTTGCGGGATCGTCGAACTCCAAGATTGTCGCGTCTTGCTCATCCCAGATGGCCTTTGGTTCCACATGGCTTTCGTGTTGTCCGCGAAAATAGTCTCTAAAAGAAGCATATCCGGGCTCTGTTGGGGGCGGCCAGAAGACCGTCGTCGTCGGACCTATTGGGGCCGCACTCTGAGGGTAATGCCCGAGTGTTGGACTCATACTGCCCTGGACAGGAAATGATACAGGCGTCGAGAGTGTATTCCAGGGATCCGGGGGTTGATTTCGAACTGGGTTGATGATTGTGTCTTCTTTAAGCTCTTCTGCCACCTTCGCTTCCACAAGGCGTAGAACCGGTAGCGAAATTTGCTCCATATGCTTAGCCAGGTGAACCGTCAACTTCTTCCATGTTGGGAATGACTTGCCGCAGAATCTGCAGGGCTCGTCCTGTGGTCGGATTGGCGTCTCCATGTGGCATTGCTCAACCTTTTGCCAAGTCGGGTCGACTACCCCAGACCTCTTCATGGCTGCCTTAGTCTTGACCTTGGGCTCCTGGAACTTATGCTCCCGGACAAGATGCTGGAGGAAGTTGTCCCGGCGATAGCACCGGTGATCACAGCCTTCGAAATCGCAAGTCCACCACTCCAGATGTCGGTGACGCTCATTCTCGTGTCGAACCCAATCCGCCTTGCGCTTAAAAGACTTTGATGAATCCCGACACTTGTCCCACGTACAGACAAAGGGCTGCACATCCTCATGCACATGTTTCATCCAGTCGGATGGTTTTTGAATTTTCTTAGTCTGGTAGCAGAGTTGGCACTCAAATTCAGCTGGCAGAGATGTGGTAGGTGGCATAGGGATATCTCTGGGGAAGCTCTCATTGGTGATCCTCTCGGCGTGTTCTGGTCGCAAAATCTTGTCGGTCGGATCTAAAATAGAAGCAGATCCGCCCAGTGCAATACAGAGGGATCCGGAGGGGCAGGTGGTACCCTGGTTCAGATGGATGACCTTGAGCGTCAGAAGTTGCTTGTATCTGAGTACTTGCTGATGTGCGATTCGCTCCACGAGGTAATTGTTCGTTGAAGCCAAGGTCGGGTTTAGGTTGAGGACATGTTTCTTAAAGCCTTCCATGTCTGGATTGACAGTCTCAATTGAAAAGGCGCCTCTCGCATCGTCCTCAAGGTCAATTTCATCACCCTCAACCTCTGCATCATCGTGTCCAGGGGCGGCGATACTTGATGTTCTCAAGTTGGCGACAGGCGGGTCAGTTCGAACGTGGTTTGTTCCGATCGAACCAAAGTTGTTGGCTATAGGCACACTCATCAGAGTAGGGCGAGGAAGGCTTGCATGCTTCCAGTCCTGGCCCTGGCTGTCACTCCCTCGACTATCATCATTGTCCCCTCCTCGGTTTTCCTTAAGTAGAGAGGTGTTCGGTTGTGGGACAGAATCTGGAAGACCTTTGTGGGGATTGTCTGGCTTGTCCTTGATAGACAATTTCTTCAAAATGTCACCACTGGTGACTCTTTCCATCTCCGGATGCGAAGTGCTATGGAGCCTTCGTCGTCGTGTTTCCCAGGAAATGCGGTCTGCTGGATTTGGCAGCCGTCGACCCTTCACATCACGAGGCGCAGCGAGTCTATCATCGGTGATCAAATCTCCGGAAAGCCCGCTGCCGCCCGTTGTTGGGCTGTGCTTGAACTGGAGTTGGCCAGGCGGGACAGAGACGTCGTCGCCCTTGCCCCGGAACGGAGCTGTGAATGTTGGATTTTCGGGCCACGTTGGAAGAGGTGGTTGGGAGTTGAAGGACGGGACATAGACCTCGTTCCCCTGGTCCCAGAGTTGGAAGTGGACGCTTGGGACTTCAGTCCCCGTCGGAGAAGGTATTAGGTTGTTCAAGTATGGGTCACGCATCTGAACGTCCTCGAACACGAATGTGCCTAGGCTTTCAGTCCCCGTTGGAGCGATAGCGGGCGGTAGGCTGCTGATCGACGGAGAAGTCGGTGCTCCGTCTCTCCGATCTGTGGAATCTTCATTGTTGGCTTCTTGGTCCATTTTGTGATGATGAAAACAAAAGTCTGTTTATGCGTGATTCCTGGAGGATGAGGCTGAGCATTTGTCGCGCGATTTCTCATCTTTGAGCCATCGCATCATGTGACCTGACAGCACCCGTTGTAATTGGTTGCATTATTTCGCGTCGGGCTGTGTCTTGGCCTTGAAAGGACGGATCGAGTACCTCTCAACTTGAGTAGATCGCGCGGCCTCGGAGCGTCATGTCCTCCAGTTGCCTTGCCTATCGGTCAACATCCACGACTATGATGAGCGTTCCACAGTGGCCAATTAATTCAACCCGGATATCCATTGGAGCCTCGTCTGTATTGGGCTAGCTGCGATGTTGCCCCCAGTCCGGTCGGCATCGGCAATGGTTCCACTGCACGTCTTGTAAAGTCGACCTGAGACTAAATCCAAGCCGTCAGCTCGGTGATTGACCTAAACGCGTAGATAATGAGCCGAGATGAAGACTATTTAACTCACTGAACGAAAACCATTATATAACAGTCGATAACAGTGGCTGTCGTCATGTTGCCGTGCCGTATACTAAATCTCATGAATGCGCCGTTTATTACAATACACTACACCAAACTCTTAATGCCATATTTGTGCATTAGCGTGACGTGATGTTCTATTCCTATTTCTGAGACGATTTTACTTTCCAGTGTACTTCTTCTCAAAATATCTCGCGATGGGATACCATACGATGGTTATCGCTGCGCTCATGTAAATCCCCACGTCACCACCATCACCTCCAAACTTGGCCGCAATTGGCCCCACGAACCATGTCTGGCTCATCCCAGGAACTCCTCCACCACAATAAGCGGCGATCAATGCAGTCACAGCAGCAAGGCCCCATGGAAGTTTGTTCGGTTGGTCCCAAGCCATCAGATTGTACCCTTCATGCCGGCGGAACACGCGATCCTCAATGAGAAGGATAAAGGTAAAGCTGACTGTCCAGTACCCAAGCAGGGACACGAAATCGTTGACCACGGCAGAGAGGTTTTCTTGACCTGCAATTGCCAGGACGGCAACTACAATGGCGAATACGAAGGACCAAATAAATCGTGGAACAGCATGAAAATGGTGTCCCAACAGCTGTAGGCTCAGACCCGAAGAGTAATTGATCGCAATGTTGTTGCCCAACACAGAAAATGTGAGGAGCACGAGGCAAAACTTTGACCACCCGCGCGGATGGTATATTTCTGCGATAAGACCGCCCAGTCCATGGTTGCTATAAGCATCGGCGTATGGAGGGTAGGCAGCGGACAAGGCAGCGTTGCTGATACATGATCCGACTGTGATGGTGAACGTGGTTGGGATGACGATGCCCCAAAACGTGAGGAAGAAGACCTTCCATGATGGAATGGTTGCGGGGAAATTGCAATAATAATCGGCAGCGATAGAGCACCATCCAGACGAGTTTGCTGTTCAAAATGATTAGTCTTGATGGACAGTTCAATGTTCCAAATTCGAGGCTTACAGAAGTTGATGGCCAAGATGGTCAAAAAGGTTCCGGCATATAGAAGGCCGGAACTGCCATCTTCTCCTTTGAGGTCCGCATCGACGTGGGGAGTAGCCTGGGCGAGAAGGACACAGAAGATGATAAATGTATAGATCCAAGAGTATTTCTCAAATGTGTGGATGATCTTGAAGCCAAAGATGGACACGACGTATGAGACGATGGCAATGATGACGATGCCGACGGTGATGCTCATCTTGTAATCGGAAACGGCACTCAAGACTTGGCCGACCACGACATAATTGACGACACCAAAGCCGCCTCCGACCAAGATGTTGAGAACACTACAAACCTTGGCTCCCCAAAAGCCGAAGGAGTAACGAGATGTTGCAATCTGCCGCATGCCGAGCTACAAGTGTGTCAGCTGGTGTGTTTGCAATGGCCTTGTTTCCGATTAAACGCACCTTTGGACCAAGGGTTCCCGTATACGACGTAGTTAGAGCGCCCAGTACAATTCCGATGACAGCAGACGCAATGGATTGTCGTAGCGAGAGACCGAATTCGGGGCCCAGAATACCCAAGGCGAGCGTACCAACATGCGTGTTCAACGACCACCACATGAAGAAGATGTTCCATATCGACGGCGGTTGTTTCTCCTCCTCGGGAATACGCTCAATTCCCTGCGTCTCGACACCAAGCTTCTTGTCCAGCCATTCTTCACTCTTGCGCAACGCTCGCAGGAAGCCGATGCTGTTTTGGATTTCACGCGCCCGCTTTACCTCCCGGATCTCTCCGTGGTCGATATCTCCCTGTGGGGGTAAGGATTCGTCAACATTGCCGGCTTCGACGTCCTGTTTCTCGGTGGAGGACATTGTGGCGATCCTGGGCGGGTCCTTTGCTGTGGTCCCGATGGCGTAGCAACAAGATTTAAAGAAAACTCGTTCGCCAGGGAGCTTCCGCGGGAGCTTATGTATAGTCAATTGAGTTCGCCCTCGCCGGTGTCAACGTAACATGGGGCCCCAAATGCGAAGGAATGGCGCAATAGATAACCAGTATACTCCTGAATGGGTTGGCCCGTGTCGGGCACAGGCAAGTTGGAGTGATCAACCGGACCGACTTATGTGCCGCTTGATCCGGATAAGATGTGCAATAGCGCGAGCCGCTGCCAGGGCGCCGCAGAACGTGGGACTTTGGAAAGTGGTTTGAGATAAGCATGAGTGAATGCTTCCCTACCTTATCAAGAAGGGAAATATGATCGGGCTGGCAATGATGATGGTATAATTTATCACCCGTTGGGCTCGAATGCCGGCGTGATGCACAGTAATAAGTCGGGATATTTATTGGCTTGCCCACTTGATGGCATTTCTATTACAGATCGAAACGCTGTGGACCAAAGCAAATCGTGGGTCGTGTCCCGCAGTGGCAACTGATAAATGTCACTCCAAAGATGGACTTAATATCATCATCACGATAGGTACGTGGAGCAACCAGGTCCTGAATGAGACCAACGGGGAACTTTTGCTTGGCGATGGTGGAACTGTGGGGAGGATGGACCCCGATCGAGGCTAGGCCAGTTTTAAACCGCCTTCTTTCTTCCAGAAGACTTCCGATATTAGCAGGAGTTTACCTGTCTCGGGATAGCCATTGCCTAGTGCGTGTTGATGGGATGGGGTAAAACGTCGCGGTTGGCTGTCAGTCTCATTAGTCAAAGTGGCACAACCGGCCACCCCGTCGGGATACGGCACGCTGCGTTGCCACGGATCGTCGGCATTGCGTCTATCCCGGTCAGAGATAATATTAGCGTAGCTTTCGCTATCAGGCCGGCGGCGTCAACGAAACAAGACGCCTCAAGGACGCGTTTGCGCAGCGACTTTCACATCTCACAGCCTCGGCATCCACGACTGTTCGGCCCCCCCACGTTTAACGGGCAGATGTGTTAAATTCGCGTCAATCCAAGACACCACAAGTTCCGCTTATGCAAGCCAAGATTCTTCCGCTGTCGTCAGCAACGCAAGGCCCTTATAGTGGCCAGTGCCCTGCAGGGAACGCGTGGAAGGTGGAGGTGGCCGGCTAGTTATCACCAGTCCTATAATACTCGTCTTCAAGCCCAAGGTAAAGGGCAGAAGGAGAAATTCTAGCTTCGAGGCTTCTAATCATCGAGATAAGTGTATGTACCTTACGCAGGCTATACATAGCTTACGGAGCCTGGAGGGAGTGCTCGCAGCCGGGCTGGGTATAGAACGGCGCGAGGTACTTCAGGTGGAGCTAGATGACCAGCCTCTGGATGGCGAGCTTCTTTTGCTTCGAGGGGAATAGGGAAAAGCCTAGCTCGGGGCAACGGGCATTCGTATCCCGGATGGCTTCGATATGATGTAATGGACAAGAAGAATCCTCGACAGGTGAGAGCGGAAGCCAGTAGACCGAGGAGTGGATCTAGGAATTTGCGGAGGAAGTTGATAGGCACCGGGGGAGTTGACGGAGCAATCAACGGAGCAAGTTGGCGGGGGCCGGACAGGGGATCCGGCGGCATGGGAGCCCCATTTGGTCTCAGCAGACAACCCAGCAAAAACCGCAAGATACAGACGGGGGATTCTCGACACAGGCCGTGTTTTTCTATATTTAACTCTCTTTTCTTTTGTCAAAATATGCTTAGCATGGGCCAGATCGCTAATGAACAAACGAGCGCCGGGGCAAATCCGGGGCATACAAGTTGACACGCTGCAGCCGTCCTCCACCACCTTTCCCCTTACAACGACCACACGGGCTCGATTCCTTCCATCGGGTCTTCGTAACCTTCTTTCCACATAGAAAATTACTGATAAAATTTGGGAATTTTACTGCCCTGCCGGCTGAACCACACCGGTTTCGACCACACCATCTACCATGACGAAAGTAGCACCATGGTCCGCCTCAATGCTACTACCATTCAAAACAATTTCTATCGTTAACCGGGACGGCCCCGACGACCCTGCTAACCCAAGAATTTGGTCCAAGGCGTACAAATTGACCATCGTCGTCGTCGCCAGCTTGTCCGTGCTGTAAATGCGACATCTGAAATTGACACACCGTCAGCCTCCGTAGGCAATCCAGTGTCGTCGCCGAGCCGAATCAAGCCGACGCCGCTGTCCTTCCTAAACTCGAATAGGCTGAGGAGGGCGACAAGCAGAGTCATGATCCTACGTGGGAAAAAAAGACATAATATTAGCACGAAAATTCACAAAGATTCGCTAACTCCCAACTTAACGCAAACACTCCAAGACGATCGGAAAATAAGTGTATCTCCGAGGGGCGGTGGCGCATGAATCAATAGGTACGAAAAGGGGAACCACTTCAGAGAGTTTAGAAGAACACTCACCAGGTGATCAACCCACAGGTCACGGCGGTTTGCGTTATAATACAGAAGTACTTCTCCGGCGCGCCGTAAACGTCATTGTTCCACATATCATAGCAGTATGGTCAAGTAGGACGCACAGCTGGGATAGACGTGAATGCGACGAGGCCGACGGAGTAGACAAACAGTGCGAAGCATGCGCACGCGAACTGTGCCATGGTGTCGACCAGGGCCGGCTTCCCCACATGTACCTTCCAAGCCAAGAGGCCGCCGAAAAGTATCCAGTCAAGCGTGACGAGGACAGACTGTTCACAGGAACGGGTCAGTTCTCTTTATCGGTATTATCTTCGACGTGGTAGAATGAAGACAGCTGTAAACCTCCCCTCAGACAAGCCATGTGACAAATGAAGCGGGTTTCGAGATGGCTGGAGATGATGGACAGAAGAAGGGAACCAATTCCTTACTGCAGTGATGAACAAGACCTCGCCAATTGGCACAGAAATATGCTCCCTCTGTGTCGCGCTGCAACGATACCACACGCAATAGTGGTGATGATGCATAGAAACAAGGTAACACGCTGCATAGCCCGCGATAGCGATGCTGCCGAGTTGGACGAAACGGATCGGGTAGATGGCCACGGTCGCAGCAGCTGCAAGCTTTTCTCAGGAGATCTCCATGTCTGCTCGTATGTGAGAGCCTGTGTGTCAGACGCGTCCTTGACTCTGGATTGGATGATTGAGCGAGGTGAGACAATATGGCTGATGGGAGAAATGGGAAAAGGCGGGGAGCAACGCGACTATGGATGAAGGGAAACCAAGACAGAGGGAGAACAAGCGAAACTCCAAGTGATCTTAAGCTTAAGGAGAGAACAATCTATTCTTAGGTAACCCGTCCATGCCACAGCGTGTTGATAGGCTGATTGTCAGTCGAGGCGTCAATTAGTGGTGGCTGTGTTTCAGCCGCACAAGAAATCTCAGCCGCTCCATCTCAGGTCGCGAAGGCGGGGACAACACCAGCCTTTCAGATCTGGAGTCTGGCGCCTCAAATAGCCTAGAATAGCCTAGCCAAACAACGGCGTGTTGGTTCTATCTCACATCTACCAGCTCAAACGTAACATTTTGGTTGCTCTGATGATCACGAACTCCTCTCCTCTCCTTGCCACCCATCTTCCTTTGCCGTACCAGAGGCCGAGAACATTAGTTCTTTTTGTGTTCACGATGATAGAGCATATCGTTTCAAACAACGGAATGATTCCATTACTGCGAGTGACTGCTTAAAACAGTCACTTCGTCAACTGATCCAAGTGATGGCGCGGCCAAGGTTCTCAGAGGGACTAAATACGTCATCAGCAGAGCTTGAGCGTAGACGCAGCCCTAAGAGCTACCCATCGTCTGGTATTTGTCCACGTCTTGACTCATTCTAACAACTGTGCCAGAGAGACTTGAAGACGAGCTGATTCGAGCTGCCGGGGCAGTGCCCATTTCCTTTTGCCCAAATTATGGATTGGTATCCGTTAATAAACAGCGCGTATGGGGGCTAAGATGAATACAAAATGTCATGACAGATAGCAATAACATAATTGGTAACATAGTGCTTTTTCTAGTAGACAATACGGCTTAATAGAGACCAGTAGAAAACCTCTGTGCATTGTAACCCAAGTAATCTATATACCCACCCTACTTACAAGCCCAACCATGTCGTTGTTTGGTCAACTGTTAGTTCAGTAGTTGCACAGATCTGCGTGCTGCTCTGTCCAACGTACACTCCATACACTCCTTTCTCACTAAGCCAGCAGCCTAATAACTCATCCCAAAATGAAGTTGCAAGCCGATCAAGCCGTATTGTTACCTCTCTAACTTCTCCTGGCAGAAGATATACTTTAGCGAATCCCTTTAGTTCTTTCTTAGGTCTCGATATTGAGTTGGAATTTGCAGGGGAGATGTAAAGCTGTGCGACGGTTGAGCCGGGAACCTCTCCTGAATTGCGTGCGCGAAATCTCGCCTCAGTTGCAGTGACCCTCAGATCGGAGAAGGAGAAAGTGGTGTAGGATAAACCATGCCTGTGAACAAAACACGTTAGTTTTTATTTCTCGGGGAACCGCTTGCGACTTGACTAACCCGAACGGAAATGCAACGCTCCTATTTAGTTTCTCATAGTATCGATATCCTACGTAGACACCTTCTCCATAGACAGTTCGTCCACGCTCGCTCTCAAAATTCAGGAATGCTGGTGTATCCTCTATTGCGTTGGGAAAAGTGACGGGAAGCTTGCCACTAGGGTTCGTCACCCCGAACAGGACATCTGCAAGACCGTTTCCTGTCTCGTTGCCCCCGTACTGGTGGATGTTAGCCGTTAAAGCGTAGGCTGGCTGTACGCTCCAAAACTCACCCACATGTGGACCTGAGTGGTTGTCTTCGAAATCCAAGGTTGCATATTGATTGGTGAACCGGACTGAGTGACGATGATGGCATCCGGGTTCGCCTCAAGCACGGCGGTAATAAGTTGTGGCATCGGGTCGGGCAGGTTCATGTCGGGCCTATCATATCCCTCGCTCTCTAAATCTTTCTGCGGCGATAGTTAGCAATTGAAACGGCTCGCATTAGTATCTTACGTACGTCAAGTCCCACACAGACAACTGTGTACTTGCATTTTCTCGCGATACTGGCAGCCTCCTCGATGGCCGTATCGGCATCTTCGACGGGCCATACTCCGATGCGCCCTGCACCTGGACCGTAAGCCACGACTCCCTCCTTGTATATCATGGATGTTGGAAGACTTCCGAACTGCAAGAGAATTTGGTAGTCTCTATCTTTCTCCATGCCCAGAATAGCCTTCTCTTCAGTAGTACCTCTCCCAAAGAAAGAGTTGCCAGGCTTCTGATCAGAAGTATTGTCAATGATCAAGTCGCCGTCGATAAGTAGTGATGCTGTGCCGCAACATGCAATCCCCCACTCGTACTGATTGGTTTCCAGTGCACGAAATGTGCCTTCGACGTCGGCCCAGAACCGTGCTCCTAATTTCGGATGTGAATATCCCATCAATTGCCAAGTCGAGTCCTTGATCTCTAGTTCATCTACAATCTCTCTATCCAGAATAGACGGCGGATCAGCAAAGATGCGCATACGGAGTTTTCCCAGTTGCCCATCAGGGCTTTTGACTCTCTCTCCTAACAGGGGAAGGAACCCCCAAGTGTTAGCACCCGGTTCGTAGTGAACCTTTACTTGGCTAGGTTGCCGACCTTTAGTCAGTCGATCATATATTCCTTGGTAATTGGTAATGGTGTAGTAGGACTCGAGTTGAGCGCTGCCGCCGCCGCAGTACGCCCCGTTCTTCATGTTTGGCCCAATCAGGGCTATTTCGTCGATGTTGGCAGGAATAGGAAGAACGTTGTTGTCATTTTTGAGCAGTACAACGCTCTCTGTAGCCAGTTTGCGATTGAGTACACGATCTTCGGGCGTGTCTCGCGTTGTCTCAACTGGTGAGACGCCGTCGATTTGGATGCATCGCTGGACGAGTTGAAGCACATTTCGCACGCGATCATCCAAGGTCGCATGGGACACTTTTCGGGAGGAGACTGCGAGATCGGCCATGATTCCCCTTAATCGTGGTGGACCGGGCATCTCGAGGTCAAGACCAGCATTCAAGGCTTCACTGGTAGAGTATGTGCCGTACCTGGTTCGTGTTAGTATGTCGTTACTTTTTCGTAAATGAGTGCATACGCACCAGTCGCTCATGATCATTCCTTTGAAGCCCCATTCTCGTCTCAGAATGTCTTTTAATAGCGCGGGGCTTTCAGAAACGTGCAATCCATTTACCTTGTTATAAGACGTCATAACAACGCCAGGGTCTCCGTCTCGCATGGCGATTTGGAACGGGAGGAGGTAGATCTCTCGTAGAGCACGTTCAGTCACTCGAACATCTACAGCCATTCGCTCATGCTCTTGATCGTTGGCAACAAAGTGTTTCAAGGTGGACACAATGCCTGTGGACTGGGCGCCGCTGATGTAGCAGCCAGCCAGCTTGCCTGACAAGTATGGATCCTCAGCAAAGGACTCAAAGCCTCGCCCACCGAGCGGTGATCGATGCATATTCACCGTGGGGCCCAGCCAGACATGTGCTCCTTTTGCCTTGGTCTCATGGCCTATGAGGATTCCAGCCTGATGGAGAAGATCTTGGTTCCACGTGGCCCCCAGAGAAGTACCGCAAGGTAGACATGCTGCTGGAGTGCCTGCGGTGAACTTGGTGCCTCTCGCACCATTGGGGCCATCCGTACAGCGAATGGATGGCACCCCCAGACGCGGGATATCAAATGTGTGCCACGCATCTTTTCCTATCCACAGTCGACTCACGTTAGTACAGTTAGAGTGGATTTGAGGGGCACAGGATCAAGTACCAGAGAGCAACCCGATCTTTTCAGCCACCGTGGCTTTCAACATGACGGTTTCTATGTCAAATATTGTCATTTTTCCTTCGGGTGAGGTCGCAGCGTCAAATAGGATGGTTAACAAAGGCAGCAGCAATTAAATTGTGAGGAATCTTCGTAAATTCAAAGACAGGCCGTTGCCTGTTGCCCTGTAGCGAATTGAAAGGCGAACCTGTAATACTAGTTTGCGCCGCTGATATGAAAAATCGATGTATATGCACTGGGGATGCGACTTTACCCAAACACTGCTGATGAAAGCCGTCTTGAACAGATATCAAGATTCACAGCCCCTCTCCGCAGCACATGGAAATAGCCGAGTGATCGGTCCGATCAAGACACGGCCCGAGCCCCCTGCTTGGTAAAGGCTGTTAATAAACTAGTATACCTACACTAACTAGGAATGGACGTCTCTTATCTCTGGGCATGACTCGGCCCTCTCATGCCCATGATATTGTGAAATTCCAAGAACACAACTATTTGCGAATAAAAGGACGGGCGTACACGTCGACGTTTATTATTCAACCATCACTTTACCATTGTCTAATTCTAATACATAACTGCGTACCTTTATCCTGCGAAAGGAACAACTACAAAAGAAAATGGGGGTGTTAACCAAATTTCGTCCCAAGAATGCTGCACCGGCAGGAAACACCATTGTTGAGCTTGCCTCGGTATTCAATCCTGCACATCATCAGTGGCTTTCGGTGTCATAGCTAACCTTTTTTCAAAGTTTCTCCCAAATGGAGCGAAACCGTGGTATCTCACCAGGCACCTGATCCTGCTGAACCTGATACTTTGCGTGCCACTTCTCAGCTCTAGCGCTGTCGGCTATGATGGTTTGAGAGGCCTATATTATGCGCACACCATGTCTAAGCTAATTAATATCGCAGCATCCATGATGAATGGCCTTCAGTCGCTTCCGCAATGGAGGGATTACTTTGGCCAACCGAGTCCCGCGATTCTGGGTACAATGAACGCAGTGTATCCCATCGGCAAGATTCTCCTGCTCTTCCCCGTCTCCTGGCTCAGCGACAAGTACGGGCGTCGTGTACCGATCTTGATAGGACTCGTCTGTCTGGTAGCGTTCTCGGCACTTCAGGCTGCGTCGCAGAACATAGCTATGTTCGTCATGTCGCGCTTTCTGCTCGGTGCATCGACTATCATGATCGCACAACCCTCCCCTATCATCATCACAGAGTTGGCCTATCCCACACATCGCGGTAAATTGACGGCGCTATACAACTCTTCCTTCTACATCGGCGCAATCCTCGCCGCGTGGGGTACCTACGGGACCTTCAAGCTAGGGTCGACCTGGTCCTGGAGGATTCCCTCGGCACTACAGGCTGGGATGCCTCTAATTCAATCGTTATTCGTTTGGGCTCTCCCCGAGTCCCCCAGGTAAGTTGAGGTGTGGAACTTTCCTCTTCTCACACGTACACTGGAACTGTTCTCTAATTCCATGCGTCTCAAGGTGGCTCGTATCCAAAGGTCGGATCGAAGAGGCTCGAAAGATCCTCGTAAAGCATCATGCTGGTGGCGACGAGTCTTCCGCTCTTGTTGATTATGAGATGCAAGAAATCACAGACTATCTTCGTCACGAGGCGGCAGTGAATGGCGAAACATCCTACAAGGACATGCTTCGCACTCCAGCCAACCGACATCGGACTCTTATTGCTGTTCTCCTTGGGTTTTATTCCCAATGGTCCGGTATCGCTGTAGTACGTAACCAACTGAATCGGCTTAAATAGCACTTCTGACACGGTATCCTCTAGGTTACTTACTATCTTACCCTGGTTTTGGACACGATTGGGATCACAACGACCAAGGAACAGACATTGATCAACGGCATTCTTCAGCTCTTTAATTTCGCCGCCGCAGTCGGTGCAGGTGCGTTGATGGTTGATCGTTTGGGCCGCCGCACCCTCTTTTTGATCTCCGCATGTGGTCTGCTCTGCAGTTATGTCTGTTGGACGGCGTTGACGGCTTCCTTTGTGCGCACTGGTAATGAGGGCATGGGCCATGGTGTCTTGGGCTTTATATTCATTGCCTATTTCTTCTTCGACATTGCCTGGACTCCCATGCTTTACTCTTACACGGTCGAGATCTTCCCCTTTCGATTGCGATCCCTGGGGCTGTCCACCGCCCTCATGACAGCCAATCTCTCCCTCATCCTCGGTATGTTTGCGAATCCCATAGCCCTCAAAGCCATTGCCTGGAAGTACTACATCTTGTTTTGCTGCTTACTGGGAATTCTTGTTGTTCTGGTCTATTTTCTATTCCCGGAAACAAAGGGATGCACGCTTGAGGAAATCGCGTGTATTTTTGATGGGCCTCCCAAGATAGTTGACGATGCGACAGTGGAGGAGCAGGAAATTGGGCAGGAAATGAATCACAAGGTTGATAAGCCTACAGACGAATAATGCTGTCACGTATCGGGATATCGGATTTCAACGGCAATTGCGGGAGTCAAGCTTTTTTTCTTCTATCAGCATAGGCGTCCATCACCACCTGCCTCCATGTCAAATATACACCATAATTAAATGCTCCGTTATTGCATCTAAAACTATCTTCACCATGGCAATGGTTTTATAAGCGGAAGGGGCAGATAGACCATCCGCTAGCCCACAATACAACATCTCGAGGACTCTCTGAGGCCTGCCTATGTCCGCATAGAATCCCAAACGCAGATTCCCCAAGCTTGTCGTTGATTCGGGTCGACAACGTCTTTGGCTCTCAACAAGAACGCCATGAGTAAAAGTTTGGACATTGCGCATCGGGCCATCGTCACCAAGAGGTTTCCCCTGCGCTGTCGTTAAATGCAGAGAGCAGAGGTTCTGCGTGTTGCTCCCGAAACGCGGCCGTGTGAGCTAGGTTGGTGTCCACGAAAATAAGGCGAGCCGGTTTGTTTGTTTGTCTCTTTTCGTACAATACCGGAAGGAGAAGCAGCGCCAGAAACGCCGTTGGTAAATAATTGACTTGAATCATCTGCTCATTCCCGGTCAGTTCATATACCTAGAACTTGGGATATATACGCGGTGTATAGTAGTTAATAATTTAAGAGCGTAGGTACCACTCGAATCTTATATAATGATCGTCATGGACATCCTGCACCGACTTGGTTCATATTCATTGTACGGATCGACCGCCCTGGCGGACAATACGTTCACTCGTATCTCCAGTTATCACGACACTAACCCCATTAGGAAACCAGCCTGGTGGATCTGGATACGACAATAAACACGTTGTGGAGTCAGTTCTGGTCTGGAGGTAAGTTGCACGGAACTAGGATTGAGACCAATGCAACAGGGGTGAAATACTGACGTGTTGGTTTCACACAGCGAGTCCCTACCGCCAAGGAAAAACTGATAGTTGGATGTAAACGCATGTTAGATCCCAGACCAGATACGACTCTAAGACGACTCACCGCTGAAGCGTAAATTGATTAGGCGAAACTCTACGATTGTTCCGGCGTATTGCCACCCACTCATTCAAGGGCCGAATACTCGTCAATACACGAACCGGAAGGTATTGATAGTCTGCTCCGTCGATGCTGACAGAGCGAGTTTGCTGGTTGCCTCCGTATGAATAAGTGAAGAGGGTGATGATAGTAATCCAGGCCACCCACAAGAACAACATGTTCTTTAGCGTGGTTGATGTGGCACTTTAACCTTTTACTGGGGAAACAGCTGAGGTGAGCGCTAAGGATGAACAGGGGGCGACCGGGGAATGAGCCGACAGTAGGAGGGGATTACTGGGGGGCCTGTTGAACAGTGATGTTGGACGATACATATGCTCTGTAGTGGAGCGTTCCACTTTGTAAGTTCATGGGGCCTTGCGGTTACCCTAGAATCGTCGTATACATCCAGGAACTCTAATATAGCGTAATAATTAAAGCGATTGAAGAAGTACTTGACCCGGACATAGAGTGAAAGTGTGGTTTTCCTTCAAGATTTGATTCCGAGATGTCAACTTAAAATTGGTCGATCCTAGTTAGTGAAGTTACAGAATACTCCCCGAGCGCAAGATAATATCCTCATTTGAAATACTGTTGATAAGCGTATGGACGGGCTAAAGATAGACAATGACTGGCCAGCGGCTAGGTATAGTATTTATCTCTAGAAGTAGCGTGTCAGGAGAGGTGGTGGAGAGAGAAACGACCTTGCTTTTGTTCATGACACTATCGGAATATGAGCCTAGATCGATTGTTTGATCAATTGTGAGGCAAAATTGCCAGGTCCTTCAGACGATCATGGTAGAAACCATATGAGAGTAGGGTGCAGCTGTTTCCGTGGTATACTGTTGCACAGCTTAAGACATATGCTCCTGACCAAGGAACACGCAAAATAGTATCCTGGCCCCTATCGAGCATCGACACACCTACTGATGCTAGTGATCTAGCTCCGATCAAGGATTTCGTTGTAACACTGGTGGATTTTATGGGCTGCCGAGCTTTCACTACTGGTACGAAAATATGGTAATGCACAGAAAATGTTAATAATTCCTATGCTAAATCTAGCTAGTAGCCCTACGATCAAGACTGGGGTTGAAACTTAAAAGGGATACCCTTGTTCTCAACGAATCACAGCTGCATCTGAACAATGAGGTTTCGTGTCTGTCCCAAGGCCTTGTACGCCGCAAAGGCACTAGCCGCCTGGGGCTCCTTGAAAGCGACTCCAGCTTCCTAGGTTTATTGTCAGTACATGATGAGGAACGGATAATATTTGGGCATACCTCAACACTGTCCCATCCGATCATTCCCAATCCGACAGTCGGTCCGTCTCCGATGCTCTTACCGCCCCAAGTATCCTTGCCAAGAGCGGTAGTGAGATCCACCCAAGCCTTGGAGACTTCAGGACGGTCACCGCTCTCACCAAACACAATGGTGGTGAACTGAACGAATGCCTTTGGCGTGGCGTCGACGGGGAAGTCGGCAACTTCGAATTCGCCGGCGACAATCTCACTTCCGGCCTTGCTCTCGTATCTGGCTTTGCGCTCCTGAGCCCACGAGGACTTCTTGAACGTCTCAACATCCTCAGCAGTCTTGAACGCTACGTTTCGTTAGCTCGTATCATTGGAGTATCCTACAACACTTCAAGATACTTACCAATACACTGAACAAACTTGAAATCGGTGACAGCAGCGCCGTCCTCGGCAACAACCGCACCCGCGGAAACACCAGCCACGCCGGGCTGAGCCTTGATGTCGGCGCTCATGGTAGGCCAGGCCGCAAGGAACTCATCCTTTCGGTCGGCGGGGATTTGAGGAGCGATGATGTGGAAGTAAGGCATGTTTGCGAGTGGTAGATTCGAAGGTTGAAAGTGAGGGGGAAAAAATTGTTATCGTGTAGGTTGAGATGGCTTGTGTGGTTTTTAATGTAGAATGTTGATGAGTTCCAGTATCCAAACAATGCGGCCATCGTCGTCTTTATAGACGGCACCATGACTTACACCAGCCTCCAAAGCTTGGAAAGTGCCAAGTCAAAACGCCACTCGGGGTGGACGTTCAACCCGACACCGTAGCAATGCGTACGATTCCGACACCGCAACTTACACCTCCAGGGTCACCAAAGCACTAGCTGCCACAGCCAAACATCAACAACCCCTGACGATGGAGCTAATAATGCGACCAGGCTTGGCGAAAGTAAGTGCAGTGGGGCAATCGTCGGTCTCGCTTTCGCGTTGTTTTAGGCGTCAGCATAATATCGGGATCCCAGATTCCGGGGATCACTGCATAATGTATCATCAGGGTTAACCTTTATTTATGAAACACAAACCTTCAAGGTAGGTACATTGCTCGCCATAACATTTATATTTACGCATGACGATAATTTCGCCCGCCGTCTAGCCTACCCTACACCCTTGAATAAAATCTGACTGACAAATGACGATAAATGCTATGGAGGTGAACAAGGGATTAGGTATGTAGACGTGCAGGTGTGTACGATGAATTCCATCCGATTAAGAATCAGAATCAAAATCATTAATCCATGTGATAATGTCCGAGCTGATGGTCGAAACAAATGACATGACTTGTTACGCCCGTCCATGATCACATTTAAGGCATGTTACGATAATCAACGAAGCCAGTCTAAATTCGGTTTAGCATCAAGGTCTAGAATAGGCGGCCCGAGCGTTCAAAGCCTATTTTGAGCCCTGCAAGGCATTCTTTAGTAGGCAGGGGAAGTGGTACGGGGACACGTAGTTTAACTCACACCCAAGCACCCAGCCCGCCCCTGTAATATTCTAAGACTGCTTCTTCTTAATCGACTTCCTCTCTGTAGCGAGAGACCCAACAGCTGTAAGCAGTGCAAGACCTAACGGGATATACAATGTCTGTATAACAGCATTCTCGTATCCAGCCAGCACACTGCCTAGCTTTTCTGGTCCAATCAATTCGCGCAATCTCGAAAGTCCTGCCTCCGTGACTACTGTGACGTTTGTGCCCGGCGAGGAGGCGTGTATTTCGTCATAAAGACGACCCTGGAATAGCGTCGCCGAAGCGCATATCCATAGCGCAGAGCCCATACCGGACCCAAAGTTGAGAACTGCGCCACCGGAAGAGACGTCATCAATGGATAGCACAGTCTGCAGCGCAATCTGAGGGCCTTGAATGCCAAGACCTACCGCTGCACCAAGAAAGGCGAGAAGTGCAACTGCTTTGCCGATGTGTTCCTTTAGGTCAAGGGTGGTGAGGAGACCAGATGCAATCGGAGCTAGAACGCTCGTAGCCAACATGAATGCTTTATGCACGTCAGTAAATAACCAAGATATAGGCCAAAGATTACTTACGGTAGTAGTACCCAAACAAAGTTGTGCCAACACCAGAAACAACGAGTGCTATGGCTAAACCGCCAACCATGGGAAGAGCGAGAATCCCCGACTTGGTAGCTGTATAGCCTCGAACTCCCTGGAAATAGATGGACATGTAGTACTCGGTGACCGCAAGGATGCCCTCAGAGCATGCCGAGAACCACATACCAGCAAGGATACTTCTCTGCTTCCAGATTCTTGGCGGCACAATGGCGCGTTCACCTTGGCGGTGCTGTAAATAGCCAAAGGCCGCAAACAACACAACACAAGAGACAAGCAACAGGATGATCCGCCAGCTGCCCCAACCGTACTTGAGCCCTCCCCATTGCAGGGCCATCAGAAGGCTGGTAATAGCGGGCACGACCAGTACTGTGCCTAGAACATTGATTTTCTTAATCTTCTCTTTCAGCGTTAGAGTCTCAGCCTGGTTGGCAACGGGATCGTGGACCCCATATGCCGTTAGTAAGATACAGATGACTCCCAACGGCAGGTTGATACCAAAACATGCCCTCCAGGAGAGGGCATCAATCAACGCACCCCCAATGGTGGGCGCAGAGACCAGCCCCGCACTCTGCACTGCACCAATAATGCTATTCATGAGACCTTGTTGCTCAAGAGGGAAGCAGTGGCGTAGGAGTTTGAAAAGGCCCCCATTGATTGCGCCGCGACCAAGTCCAGTGATGGCACGTCCAAGGATGAAGATTGCAGATGTCGGCGCGAGTGTGCAGACAAGAGAACCTGTCTCGAATATTACGAGACCGGCGAGGAAGATAGGCTTGACTGGGAATAGGGTGTATATTTGGCCAAAGCTGATGATGGGTAAGAGTATTTTCAGAAGAGTTTCGACAAGACGAGCTTACAAGAAGACAAAGGCACTCAACGCCATACCACTGAATATTAGACATATTAGTTAGACTTGAATGATGGAATAGTATTTAGTAGAGCACTTACTAGGCAGCTGAGTACCATCCGATATCTGCGATAGTCTCGAATTGGTCGGTAAGGCTTGGTACAGCCACCGCGACGATGGTGATATCCTGTTTCCATGGTCATTGGTGACCAGTTTAGAAGAGATCGGAGGGGTGGCCAAAGAATGAGGAAAGGAAGAAGAAAGAAAGAAACCAAGTCTAAGATAGGACAAAATGAAAGGAAATGCCTGGATGATCTAAGAGAATTCCGAGACACCTACGAGTCCGCTGAGAAAGCATGCGATACAAAGTGAAGCCATTGTCGACCATAATTTTGGTCCCGAAGGGTACGTGATGGCCTCTGCGTTGGGATCATTCTGCTCCTCTTCAAGCTCAAGTTCCTCCATTGGTCTCGATTGCTGAGGGGAATGGATACTCCCTTGGGAAGGTACGTCGGGCAATTGCCGCTCGAGAGTGGTTTCAGACGCCATGGTTCAATGAGCTAGGTGATGAACGTGGTTCTATACTGATGAACAAAGTGCAGTAAGGGTGAATAAAAAGACAACGGGAGATGTTTTATTTCCGACAAGCCTTGCTAACCCCGCGTGTATAAACAAGGGACACTGCAGATATTTACCTGATTAGTTAAGTGCTTACGCTGAAACTTCAGGCTAAATGCCTGAATGACGTGGTGAGGAGCAACCGCCATCCTATGAAAGGTCGTTTGGCTAAGTTCTATTGTGGCTTAGACATCATCCTGTCGCCTGATTGACTGCAGCCAATTCCGTCCCGAGTTACAGTACACCGCGTTATTGATATTGCGTTGCGGTGACGCGTTCAACCAGGTGAATATTATACCGTGGGTTGGTTGTCGGGTTGATCGTATTTGGGTGCTGCAGCTGCCTGATGCTCTATCGAGATCTGCTCATTTCGAGTAGAGTTTAATCTTCTGTTGGAGAGAGACTCTATATTAGGAAACCTTCGGTAGATTGATATCCAGACCTTAGTTATAAAGAGGGTCAGATAACCCCTCTTCCGGCCGGTCCGGATAACCAGAAGATCATCGCGATCATCATCATCAATTTGGACACTATTGCAACGATTGAATTGACCGTATCGGATCCATCATCTTCCTATTAGTTTCTGCATGTAAACGTGTTTCGCTACGGTGCAAAAGGTCAAACCTATCTCTAGCCCTTTGTTTCCTTCCTTCGGACTTTCAAGCATCTAGGTTTGCGTAACGTTCAGCGAACCTTTCCCCTCTGAACTTTGGTCTAACTACTTCCAAGGCCGCTTTTGACGGCCATCGGCAGAAACAAAAATCCAGAGTAAAGGGATTCCAACGGGAAAGACCGAACGAAATACAATAATCAATGGAATCACTGTAGTGACTCCCAATATTATCTGCATTTAATCCCTACTGATTTGTTGAAATGGCCCAGGGCAATTACATCTGTCGTTAAACACGACCCCCCATCGCGACACCTACCCCGCCTCTTATTAAAAATCTGAAGCAGTATGGAGACAATGAACTATTACCATGAACAGCCGACCCTGTTTATTGAATCCGTAGCTGACGTAGGTGTGTGTCGAAACCGTGAGTGCACTGTTTATGACCTGGGTAGGTGGTATTCCAGTCGGAAAAGTGCCAAAACTACAGGATTATGTTCTTGGCTAAGTCTACCATGGCACTGGTCGAGGATTGTAAGGGCAAGGGGCTCACTGTGACTGGTTCCGACTTGCCATACATCTCGAAGTAACTCTCTGGCATGCAGATATCCTCCAGAGCCGTACAACTCGAGCAAGTGTGCAATATTGCACTACTACTCTGCCTCGTACGCAGCGGGAATATGGATGGGCTACTGCTTACGAAACATAATGGGACCGTTGCTGTTCGATGCGTAGGTCCATTTGACTAAATTAGTTACACTCATACCCATGAAACTCAGGAAGCATGCACCGGAGAGCTTTGTTGGACTTCTTGTCTGTTTCCCCGTCTTGTTTGCGAGCTTGATTGGAATTCGATTTTGTCCATCCAATAGGAAGAAGAGCCACGATGAAGTTTACGGGCCACCAGAATGCGAACATGGGCTGGAAGATATAACGGATAGGGAGAATATCTTGTTTCGTTGGAACTTTAGGGATTTGCAATGGGATGATACAAGGTGACAATTGCTATTTTAATAATTGCATTCTTCTGCGGCGAGACTTTGAGAAACACGTGTTGTTAAAGGAGCACATTGAATCCTTAGTAGATTATGTCACTTTGTTGCTTTTGGTACGTATTTGGCGGACAAGGTGCCGGTCAGTACAGGGTCCAAAATGGCGCTGTTGACGATTGAGCAAAGGCCTGCGGAATTAATTATTGTGTCAAATTTTCAACCTTATTAACACAAAGAGCAGGGCATTCTCACGAACATAATGTGACTTCACTATCTTGAACATGATGACAAAGGATCTGTTTTGAGACGTACATAGCCTCGCGGGCTGTCGGAGCTCTCACTAGAAGGCGACCACAATGGCGTGATAGCTACGGAAACGAGCTATTTGGGTCACGACATGGGATTGGAGAAACGCCATTTTATGAACAATCGAACGCCCCATCGGTGGGAAAACTTGACCATTGAGTTTCGTGATTATTTTACAGGCCGCCGCTGAAGCAATCGTCCGTCATCACAAGCCGACTAGGGAACCATGAAGGGGAATCCGCCGCCGAAGGTCGGTTACGACTGCGCTTCTTGCCTCAACGGAGCTGGATTAATGCTATCAAGGTCTAGGGTGCACCAACAGGCCGCTGTTTGCGGATCATCGAGTCCATTGGCTTCAGAATTACCGTCTCGCTCAGAGAGTGGTGATAGGTTACAATGCCGGACTTCAGGAGCGTCAAGCTCAGGGATGTGGTTGAAGGCTTCTATGTGCAGGTGCTCAAGTATAATAGCTGGGCCGACTTGATAGCCTACCGGCAAATAGGCTGCTTTGTCATGGTATGAAAAGGGAGCGGTGTGACATTCTTCTCCAGTTCCGAATCACTTAAGTGTCGGCGGAGGCTAGGGTTATCTCGGCGCTACTTTAAGGCTCGCTATAATTACTTCCAAAAATTATGGTATTATGTAACAGGTGGTATTTGCTAACTGTTTATTATTTCTCCCGACTTACACTGTAAAGTTGATCTAGAGGTGGAGCTGTACTCAAGGGTGTGCGATTAGAGGTGTGTGGTGCGGCAAAGAGTAATACTCTTAATATAACCTTAAAATGTAGCAATCTAGTGCTAATCGAGTTGAAGAAGTATTGGTACTCAATTGCTATATCTGACCCACCTACAGCTGCTTATAGGTTATGACAAATTTATTTAACGTCGGTGGAATTACATAATGCCTGCAAATACCCCGGCGGCACGATTTTGTAAGTGCAGATCTCGTACGAACGCACGATCCGGATCCACCTGCTTAGTATAGGCAACTTCAACACTGTCCGGAGAGTAGACATGCCCGAGATCCCGTATGAATGGGTCGCTGTGTATCCTGATGGGTATTTAACGACGGTATGTATTCTCTATCAAATGACAATAAGTTGGATCATCAACACCACACTCTTCTACCATCCACATCACTTTAGCTCACAACTCAAAATGAGACTTTACAACGCTCTACTCATCGCCGGTGCGGCTTCCGCTATGGCCCTAACCCCGTAAGCACGAGGCTTCTAGTCCGCTTTCGAAGGATCTCACTGAATAGTATTCACAGTAGCTCGCCCAAGTTGCCGGAGGCTCGCGGGCTGTCCCTCGTCGATCCCCCGCCGCCGCTTGCTCAAAAGGTTCGAACACAATATGTCAACGTGAACGGCACCAAACTGGCCTACCGCCGGTTTGGTAAGAAGGGCGGGAATCCCGTCTTCTACTTCAACCATCTCCGAGCTGCCATGGACGTTACCGATCCACTGCTGTTCAACTACATCGCCCAGTATCGCGAGGTCATCTTGTTCGACAATGCCGGCATCGGCCATAGCGGCGGCGATGTCCAGACCACTATTGAGGGCATGGGTGACACCGCCGTTGCCTTGATCCAGGCTCTCGACGTCCAGAAAGTGGTTGCTTTTGGCTTCTCCTTGGGCGGCGGTGTAGCTCAGTACATCTCGTGGCAATACCCCGAGCTGGTTGAAAAGGCAGTCTTTTCTGGCACGCAACCCTCTGCCGGGCCAGGATTAGCCTCACCTGATCCCGTGGTGTTCGATGTTGCCCTGTCACCTGGCGAGCCTACCGAGGAGGACATGCTTTTCCTTTTCTTTCCCGACACAAACACAAGCCGAACTCAAGGTCACGACTGGTTCCAACGAAGGACAGACCGTCGCGTCAAGGGCGAGGCTCTGAGCGGCTCTTTGATGGAACCTGGTGCCTCGGCTCAGGTAGCAGCAATCTCCGACTTCACCACCAACACAGAGAACTTTGCCCGGCTACAGGATATCAAGGTTCCCGTCTTGGTCACCAACGGATACAACGACATTATGGCACCCACTGTCAACAGCTATGTCCTGCAGCAACAGCTCCCTTATGGATACTTGCACATCTACCCCGACTCTGGCCATGGTCATCTTTTCCAGTTCCCTAAGCAATACGCCGAGGCACTGAAGGATTTCCTGGATGTGTGAAGGTGATCTGGACACCCTGTCCCAGACTGAGGGAAACTTCAACATTGGGGTATATCTTGGTTACTCTCCAACTGGGTTCATACTGAGCCATTCACTTCTTTCTCATCTTTTATACTACATGTATTATAAAGGTTCTTACATATTCTCAATTCACATAGGCATATCATGGCGATAAGTAAACTGGCCCATACGTCATGCCATCCTCTGAAGATGCCTCCTGTTACCGGACTCTAATTTCAGGATCCCGAGACTCTAACTAGAGGGACTAATTGCAGCCAGCGTGAGTGCCAAAATACTGTCCTTGGCTGGAACGGAGTCACATCCAAATGTATTCGAGAGCAACCCGGAAAGCCGTACATCGCGATTGTTGACAAATACGTGTAAGGAACTAGAAGAGCGGGGTCCTTGTAGGGTATCCAATTGGACTACATATGACTCGGTCGTTCAAGCTTCCACATCATATGCTATCTTCTGTATATCCAGACCCTCCACAAGCTCTGGAAATCGGGTAATAAATTCAGAAGAGAGCCCCCATCCATCATCATCCATAAAGCGTTCAAGGAACTCGTAACGTATAATGAGTCCATCGTCTCCATTTGATTCTACTAGACTCTCTCCACGAGGCCACTTGACTCTGAGGGATGACCCCAAAGTTCGTAAAACTTGGGTGATGTCATATTTATTCTGGTGTTTTATAATGTTCACGCGCAACTTTTCCCATAACAGGACGTCCAAAAATCCATTGTGTGGAAGCTGTAGCTGTTCCGGGGTCGGTCTCAGGCATGAGGGCAAACGTGCAAAGGTTTCAGCAGTTGGGTTAATAGGCCACTTCATGAAAGAATAGATGAGCCACCCGGCTGCTAGTCTTTCTGGGTCTCCACAGCGCCATTCTTGTAGGCAACCCTTGACGCTGCTTGCAAAGGTATTCTGCTTTGAACCGAACAGCATACCTTGAACTGAAGGGACCGGAGGAGCATCAAGCACGTAGCAAAGGTCGGCGTCCCAAGGAGTGTACTTTGGGGTGGGATTGGTGTTCGGCAGCGACGTTGGTAAACAAGGCGAAGCAGGGAAGCTACTTGTAAATAGTTGAAACCAAGATAAGCTTAATCCTTTGAACGGTGCCCCAAAAGCCTTCGGTGTGGTCAATTTGTCTTTGTCCCAAGATATCTCATTGGAAGAATGAGCTGAGGCGAAGATAAATGGAATGTTGTAGGGCATATAAGACTGCGGAAATATGAGATCCCTTGCTGCGCGTGTTCGGTCCAGGGATTCAGGGAAGTGAGACCTCGAATCAATGGGAAATCCAGGGTTGACGCTTTGGAAAAGATGGATTCCGCCTGTGGCGTCGTTGATGTCGTCATGTTCCAGGATGGAACTTAGGTCGGGAGGCCCAGAAGAGAATGCATGTTCAGGTGCAATCGTATTGGGTCCTAAAGTCCAAACAGGGTCGCTAACCTCAATAACCGGATATTCTGTCAACAGCTCTCCAGTAGTCACAGATACCGAAGGATCATCTGAGGTAGGGCTTTGGGAATCGTTGACCGAGTGGGGACCATCGTTTGACGACTCAGGAGTGAAGGGATCGGGGATCCTGTGAACTGAGTTGTCAAATTGAAATAATTGTGCGTCGTCGGGCGCAGTTAGAAAATCCAAGCTCCCGCTGCTGTCATCGCCGTTGGAGCTGTTTTTCTTGTTGCTGCTGTCATTATCGTCTGAGGAATTGCACAACATAATAGGAGTCTCTGGCGATTGATTGTTCCAGGATGCCAAGAGCTCATGGAGCTGAGATTGACGCTCCCGGAGAAGCCGATTCTCTTCTTGAAGGACTTTGCATGTTCTCAGTAGGTTGCTGATATCCTGTTGGCGGTGAAGTGATTTACACATGCTGAGTTGTTGCTCTAGATTCTGGATGTGTTTGATTCGTTTGTCTCGTACATTCTGCTGTGCCCGACGGTCGCGCAGACGCTTTTTTTCGACTGAAGTGAGGTTATGTGGCCCCCTTCGCTCCATGTTTTCAGTCATGGTGGCCTCGCTCATGCAAAAAGCAAAGAGTCAGATATTGATCGAAGAATGCCATTGTAATTGATATGTGGGCCTAGCATGATCTCCGAACTGGTAGAATGGCCATCTTCCCCGCATCCTTACTAGTGTTTGATGGCTTGATGTTGTCCGAGCCGTGGCGCCCGCGCGTCCCGCGGGTTTGGCTCCCGGACATCTCGCGAACGGGTTCTAGATCGTGGGGCATCCTCGGAAGCTCGGTAGTGTTGCAGCCATTCCCTGCGGTCGACCCGGGGATCCGGACAAGCGGCAGGCTCAATTTTGCAGCAGTGTGATATACGGGAGACGAGGGGCTCGCTATTCTGGTTATTCGCCCGGCTTCCTTCAATTGAGTCGCTAGATATATCCACAAGCGTAGAACTAGTCAAGCCGTCAAATTCAGATGATCGTCCCCTGACCGCTGAATCAGTGCCAACCCGCTCGCCCGATGTGGTTGAGGGGTCTACTCTCGTCTAACCAGCTAAATACGTATGCGGGCATGGACAAGGGGGTTGATTAGGGACAGCTACGTCCTGGATTAGTACTCAACGTAGTGAAGACCGCAGCCCAGTTTGCGTGAGACCTGCAAGATTGAATCTAAGAAAATCTCTAGCCAGTCTCCTCAGAGAATGCTCTTGGCTCGGCAATTGGCCAAGCATAATTGGTTGGTGCGTAGGCACCTACCTTCAAGCGTAAGCGCGCACTAAAGGCAATCCAATCTCCCTCAATTGCGTTGCTTCACTCTTTTGAGGGCAGTGCAAATAACTATACTATCAGTTCATACGAGCATTCCCACCTCAATGTAATGAGAGCACGGTGATATCAGGTACCGTTCACGTAGGCTGTTAATTCAACGAAGCCGGGTCTCTCCCGATGTTACTAGGGGTTTCGGCTAACAAATAATAACTACCTATCACCTGTGCATAAAGTCCGGAAGAAGCCTCTCGTCATCTAACATAAGGTCTACACTGGAAAGAAAGTACTCCCCAACCTGGAATTCCACCCCGTTTATAACCACGCAATTATGTAAAGACGCGGGTTTTCGAAATGTATTCTGGAATTCTGTCCAGATTTCGCTCCAGGCGTCGTTGTATTTCTGCAACTGCCTATCTGTCAAGGCGTTGACGGCTCTTTCAGTCCATGGTTCGATGGCCGCAGACACAAAGCCGGCGATGGGAGCACCGCTGACAGCACCGTGAATGGACCTCAGGATGGTCGTGCCCAGATCGGCCTTCTCATTCCACTGTTGGATGGCAGCGCGGAGGAGCCTGGCCTCGCCGACTAAGAGAAGTCCAATCTGGAGACCCCGGTCTCTGTCTGCGCGCCACGAACAAATGATCACTTTAAAGGCGTGGATGAACCAAGAGGCAGGACTGTTGCCTAAAATTTCCCCGGAACTCTTCAGGAGAGAGGCAACAGCTTTCGTTATGGGCTCGACGATGGCCATCTCACCGTAGCCAGGTCTGTCTATTTTGCGTCTCTGTGAGAGTACACGTGCTGCTCCATGGGTGAGCTCGACAATGACCGACGCATCTAAGAACGGCCGACGATAGAAGGGCCGCATCGCTTTGATGGTGGCGGGTTGAGACAAGCCCACAAGCAGGCCGGCGAAAGCGTGATTTCCCCGTAGGGCGATGCTGAGAATCAGCACGACAGCTAGATCGAATTCGTCTCCGTCCCTTCTCGTGACGAGTTTCCTTTCGTTGTCATGCACTATGATCTTGGCCTGTTTTCGGGAGAGGCGCTTGAGCAACATTATCTGAGCTGATCGGCTTAGACTGAGTATGATATCGGGGTTGAGGTAATGCACTGGGACTCTCTTGGGGATCATGGCGACTTCGTCATCTGTCATTTCGCTATCGGAAACCTCAGTCTCGTCTGGATCGCCGACTGGAGTGAGATTCAACCCAGTTGCTCGTTTACCGTGGAATACCTCAAGATATTCGTCACGAGCTTTGATGACGGCAAAGGCGTCATTCTCCACTCCTGGGGGTTTCTCGATAGAGCCATTATCCGTCCGTAGTGACCTGTCATCCCTTTCGTCGATCGTGAAATCTTCCGTTTTGAGGGTTTCCCATATCCGGCGGGATGAATCGGCGGGGCTTCGGGGCGCCGCGGGCATTGTCGCTGTATTTGATGAGTTGTACGGGCGTGTTTTTTGACTTGTCGAATAGGTTCTCAGGAGGTCAGGGCAAATTATTCTGCTATAAAAGAAGGAAGAAGAGGTGACATGTATTGATGTAATAGTAAAGTGGCCCTTATCTCTGTCTGCCTTACATATTTGGGGCCAGATGTGTCTATCTGCATGTCTGCCTCAGTGTCTGCTTATTTGTCAGCCTGCATGTCAGCCTGCATATCTGACTACATATCTGCCTGCGGGAATCCACGCAGTTGAGCATCACTTCAGTCGGACACTACATGCAGTCGCGTCCACTGCAGTCGAGCACATCACTCGGGCGACACTCACACTCACATTGTGTAACACAGCAATGAGGCTGTGAAAATTCAACTGGATGAAGAAGGGGTGCGGAACATAGCGGAGTCTAGCCAGGTGGCAGGTGTCTAATATCATTCAAACCTCCCCACGTAATTAACGCCTACTGTAACTAATAGAAATCACAGGAACGATAATATGACTTAATAATCTGTATGAGGAAGACTACCTAGCTATCTATGTGCGGCAGACGGTGCGTCCAAGTGGCGTCCACCTTTGTCGCATCCCCGCTCAACTCATCGGATGTTGAGCAAAGAATCTCAAATTGAAATTAAAGGAAGGGACGGGCCAAGCTCCCCAGTCACCCAACCTAACAAAACAGTGTAATCCACAGGAACATGTGATGGGATAGGCCCATTGCGCTTGCATTCGGCCATGCTAAACTGCTAGTGCGTGTTATGATTCCAGCTACACCACTGATTCAGCGTGTCGGTTAGACGCACCCTAGCCTGCTAGTCTCATCGCTGTGGGTTAGATCAAGAAAACCCCGTGGGGAAAGTCCGTGGAATATCCTATATTAAACCTAGAGTCCTGCCATTGATTGTGCCGAATAACTGGAATACCAAAAGCTTGGGAGATTTTACTCAGACCGACGCCATTATTCTCCTTTTTTCTTCTCTTTTGGATGAACTTGAATCCCCCCCTGGATCCTCATTATGTCCTCTAACCCAGACGAGAAGACGGATGCATTCCATACAGAAGATCCACACCACGACCTCGATGGCGACACGACCCCAACTGCACTTGAAGCTAATGAACCAACTGAGGAATTTCAATTGGATCTTGCCATCTATTTGAACCACTTGGCATTGATGATGTGTTACTTCGCGTCAACCTGGAGCTTGCTGATCCCCACGTCATGCATTCACTTCATCGTCGAAAAGTCCCCAGAGGTTGTGCCTAACGACAAGCGACCGGTCATCCAAGGCTTTTCAGGCATCGTAGCTGGTGCTGCGTCTCTTCTTGGCCCTGTGATTCAAGGTGTCTTTATCGAACGAGAGCTTGGGGGCGCCCTTGAGGGATGGCGAGTCGGATTCTATCTCTCGGCAGCCTTTTATGCTACCTCGTTTGTGCTCCTGGCTATGTTTTACCACCCAGTTTCTCGCCCGAACGAAGCAGGGGAATCCATTACAACTAGAGTCATGCACATCGACTGGTTCGGCATCTTTCTGGTTGCTGCAGGACTTGTTCTGTTCTTGGTCGGCCTTCAATATGGCGGTAATCCGTATTCATGGACATCAGCTATGGTGCTTTCCACCCTTATTGTTGGAGCTGTGCTCCTAGTCGTCTTTGGAGTATGGGAGTGGAAAGGCACAACCACAGGACTATTCGTTCATGATCTTTTCAATCACCGAAACTTTACTCTGGGTCTTGTTCTCAATTTTGTCAGTGGTATTGTTCTCTTTGGCGGTCAGGCGTATCTTCCGCAGGAGATTGCTGCCCTCTTCACAACAGACGCCATCATGGCGGGAGTACACAACATACCCTTCAACTCCATGTCTATCGTCGGCGGATTCGGCGGTGGTATCATCATGGGAATCACCAAAGAGGCCAAGAGTCTAGTCGTGGGATCCTTTGTCCTTTTGTTGATTGGGAGCGGATTGATGGCCGTCATGGAACCCCATATCAACTTCGCCGCTTGGTTCTTCCCGACTGCTCTACTTGGATGTGGGGTTGGAGCGCAAGCTGCCATTATTACGGTCGTCATTAGCCTCTGTACTCCGAACAAATTCATCGCCACCGCTCTGACGCTTGGCGCGTCGGTGCGAGCCCTTGGAGGAAGCATCGGAATTGTTATTTTTGGCCAAATCTTCAACTCCAAGGTCACTGATACGTTGTATCCGAAGCTCGGCAGGGCTGTTGCTGCTGCAGGATTGCCAACGGACCAGGTTGAGACATTCTTGACGATGGTTGCTTCAGGACAAACCGACGCACTGAAAAGCATTCCAGGCGTGACAGGCAAGGTTCTTGAAGTGTTCCAATCTACATACGTGTCTGGCCTTGCTGATTGTTACCGATTCATTTGGTATGCCATTACCCCATTCTCGGCAGTCACTTTGATTATGTCGTTTTTCCTCCTCAGCACCAAGGCCCAGATGACACGCCAGGTTGCTGCAGGTGTTGAGCGGTAGAATCATACAGCAAAGGTTCTTGTGCGGAGAGATATATGTACTAGTCAAGCCAATCCCATGGGGATAGAAGTCGCAGAGCATGAGTGATTCTTGAATAAATAACATTGTCACGGCCTGATCTCCATCACTTCAAAGTATGTCGCGCATCTAATATCATGGAGTCTCAGTAGAACGGGGTAGCAAAGCAATGTTTGCGTGGTCGGTTCTGGGATAGGTTTCTTAACACAATAGCTAAAGATGTGTTCAACTCCTACATTTCGTAATGGGCCAAAACAGTGTTCGTGGTTATCACTTCTCCCATGTAAGCTGAACCTCGGCACATGGCCTCCCGAAATCCTGCCAGTCAAGCGCACTCCATTTGTCTGGATTCTCAGCCGCCTCGACAAAATGCTTTATTGCCAGCACGGCCTGATTAGCCCACGTCGTTGCACTAACACGCCCCACGCCAGTAGCGAGTGGTGTCATGAGAATGTTTTGGATCGTTTCTGCATATTCTCTGGGATGGCCCATTTCCATCATTTTGTTGTGGTTGTCGACCTCGCACAGGAGACTCCAGATGCATTCGTACACGACCTCGCGGTCCCAACGGACGTCGTTGGGCATGCGCATGGTCGGACAGAGAGCAACGTAGCGCGTACCCCAGATATTGCGGGAACGGTCCTTGAAGCTCTTTGGGATATGGACCAGCGTGCACGATCCGGGGGCGCAAAGCCGCGACGGGTTTCGTAGAGGCGTTTTTGGACGACATGCGTGAGGGCGAGGTAGTCGTCGCGAGGAGACAGGGCGCGCGAGATGGCGTCGTCAAAGGCGCCATCAAGACGGCCGTATGAATTGGCCGGCGAGACGATGGCGTCGAACTGGACAGAAGACGGAAGCTGAGCGAGGGCGCAGTCGTGGATTTGGACCTCCACCGACGCGGGCAGTTTTCGAGAGCGGCTCGCCTCTTTGAAAGCGTCGGCGAAGTGCTCCTGCATGCAGAGGAGATGGATCTTGGGGATGCGCGAGACGGCGTGAGAAGACATGGTGAGTCTTGTTGGTCTTTTCTTTGTTGGGTTGAAGTGAAGATACCCGGCGGATTGACTGATAATGCCGCCATTCAGGATGTCATTGTCAGATGACGTAGGTACAACTAGCCCCGCGCTTACAATACAATACAGCCCACTTGCAAACGAGGAGGAGCATAAGCCGCAGAGAAGATCATTGTTAGTTCTACATATAGCGAATAGATTTTCTACAGCTTCTATTTTTTATAGTTGGCATGTATGTAGAATAGACAACTAGAGACGCTTTCGCTAAAAATACAAGCTGCATCTTGACAGATCTCGGCTGCTCGTCTCGCTCAAAGAGCTCCAGTGAAGGAACAAATGGTGAAACTGCGGCATTCCAACTAACCGTCTCAGCACTGCACGTTCCCCTAGCTAAACATGAGTGCTTTTTATTTTATTTTCTCGTATTTATTTGAATTACTGCCCTACGTCTATAAAGGGACGTAATAGATACCAGTCTAGGGTAGGTTACGCGTTAAGCCAGGTCTACTAGGGTCACTTGCTGGGATCCATGTCTTCATAATCTTCCTAATGTTCTTGTACTCCCGTACCGTTCAATTCTTTCGAGGCCAATACTTATCACTTGATATTTTTCCTGAATTTGTGGGCGGAAGAGACACAGGGGTGCTGAGGATGCTGACTGTTGCAAGCAGTCAAGCTCCAACAGCCTCATTTCCCCTCAATCATGGACCTCAATGAGGCATAAACCTCCCCTTTCAGCCTTCATTTGTACTGCGGGTTCCCATTATCATTTAAATTTCTCCTTAACTTTGACTACCTAGGGTATTACGGCAATGGATGGGTCTCATGATCTCTGCAATACTTGCCGGGCAGTCAACATTGCCGAGTATTTCTCTCACAATGACCCTGTCACCACGTCCATGGGACATTTCCAGGATATCCTGAAGAACGAGAATTGCACGCTATGCAAACTCATTGTCAAAGCACTGAGTGTCCACGCAAAGAGCTATTGGCAGCCGGGAAAGTACCCCATCGAGACGTGCTATCTCGGTAGGTTCAGCGGCAATTCGACCCCACGAAGAGTCGAGGTATGGTTCCACGCAACGTCCAAGACTCTTCCAGACGGAATTTGGGGACACTCCACCGTTCTCGGCCGGATCAAATGCCTTGACAGTCTCGAGCCACCGCTCCTTGAACGACTCAACTACTCCCTAATTAGGAGCTGGATGGATGATTGTGCAACTCGTTATGGTCCAAAGTGCAATCCGCCCGGCTCTGACGAATCTTTACCTCTACTGCTCCTCGATGTCAAGCGAATGCGGCTCTTCAAAAGCGACCGGTACTTGGCTCTCAGCTACGTCTGGGCAAAGTGAAGCAATTCCAAACGGTGAAGAGCAACTTTCAGCAGCTCCAACAAGATGGTGCATTTTTACGAGTCCGTGACCAGTTGCCTCAACTGATAAATGACGCCATTACTTTTGTGGCGGATCTTGGAGAGACCTATCTGTGGGTTGATGCATTGTGCATTGTGCAAGACGACCTTGCCTTGGAAAGGGAACACCCAGCCGACAGCAATGGAAGCTATTTTAATTAACGTCGTCTCCCTTACGATCCATCATGCTAGATCTGTGGATTCCGTGGAAGCTATTTACGTTCCCTATCGTTCTCTTTGCATCCTTTGTAGTTAGCTAGAGCTGTAGCTTTATCTTGATTCATAATTTTATATAGATATAAGTATTTACAGTGCCTTCTTATAACCTAAGTTTATAGTTAATTAGTATATTTTTTATTTATACTTATTAATATTTGAAATTAATATTTATAAAGAATTTATAAATTTCTTATTTTTTATTAGAATTTTAATTAGTTTTATAATAATTAAACTTTTAAGTAATTAAATTTCTATTTATATAATAACTTATAACTCTTAATAAGGAAACTTAGTATTTAAATTTACTATATTTTGTTATATATATATTATAGTTACTAAGGCTTAAATTTTAGATTTTAAGCTGCTTTTTTCTTTTTTATTAGAATTCTATTTAATTTTTTTAACTCTAACTTTAATAAATATACTAAAAACTCCTATATAGAAGATATCTCCCTTATATTCTATAGCTTGAAATAAGGTTACTATTTTAAGATTATTAACTGTAGATAGCAGAGTTAAAGTTAGAGGAGTTAAATAAAAGCTTTAAGTAGAGACTAGTAGGTAATAACCTTATTATTTAGCTACTATTTCTTTTAGTGCTAGGTATATTACTTATTATTTACTCCTACTATTTAAGATTACTATATAGCTTTAATTTATTTAATAATATTAAGTAAAGCTAAAAAAACTAAATAATTAAAATAATTTTTTTTAAAAAATTACTAAGTAATTAATTTTATAATAATAAAGAAACTTTAATATTTATAATATTTAAAATTAATATTAATATTTTTAATAATAAAAAGAAATATATTTATAAAATATATATTTTTATAATTAATAAGTAAATATTAATAATAATAAATAAAATACTAATTTTAATTTTTTAATTAAATAAGTTTTATATTATTTCTTATTAAAAAAATATTAAATTTAAAAAATAATTAATATTAAGTAAGAAAGTGAGTAGAGGATACTAAGAATATACAACCCGCCCAGAAATAGAGCTATAATAACCGCGATAGTGTTATATCGGAAGGGTCGGAAAGGGTTAGATTTGGGGTCCGGATAAATCGGATAGCCGGGCAAAATAGATAGCTTTTTTAGCTGATACCGTTTGATTAAATGGACTTTTAATAGGTCCCCAAAGAATAGGTTAAAAGACTGTTAATTGAAAAAGATGAGATGCTAGGAGGATGATGCTTCTGTCTTGCCTCTAGAAGGTTCTGTCCGAGACCTTTCCAATTTATGGCTCTAGTAGGTCTGGCTACTAGTCTTACTTGATATAGTATTTCCTATTAAAGAAACCTATTAATTCTAGCTTTAGTAGCTATAAGTATTTAATTAAATAATTTTTATTTTTAAAATTAAAAAGCTCTAACTTAATATTTTAAAATTATAAAATTTAAATATTTAAAATAAATATAAAATTTAATTAATAAAATTATAAAATATTTTAATTTAATAATAAGTAAAAGTTTAAATACTTAAGAATTTTTAATTTATATTATATTTAACTTTTAAATAAAAGAAATATCTTATATATTAATATTAAAAATTATTATAATAATAAAATTTATTTATATTTTACTTAATTTAAATAATATTTTTTTTATTTTTTTTTATTTTTTTAATAGTATTAATAGCTTATTTTTATAATTTTAAATATTAAAAAGTTTATTAAAATAATATTTAGTTATTTTTTTTTTATTTTTAAAAATTAAATTATTATAGTTAAATTAAAATTAATAAGAAAATTCTAAATTATTTATACTTAAGCTTATTTTTTAAAATAAAAATTAATGAATATTAAGTAGAAATAAGTAAAAAATATTAAAAATATATAATCTACTTAAAATAAAGTTATAATAACTATAATAATATTATATTAAAAAAATTAAAAAGAGTTAAATTTAAAGTTTAAATAAATTAAATAATTAAATAAAGTAAATAGCTTTTTTAGCTAATATTATTTAATTAAATAAATCTTTAATAAATTCCTAAAAAATAAGTTAAAAAACTATTAATTAAAAAAAAAAATATTAAAAGAATAATACTTATATATTTAATATAAATAACGTACATAATAAGCGAGTACACAATACAAGCAAGTGCACAATTTTTCTTCTAACCGCCCCTCTTCCCTCTTTTAACTCCATTTTTTCAACCACACATTATATCGTCAATAAGCAATAAGGCAAATATCAATCTTGCCCTTCAAGCCCTTCAGAAAGACCCTCAATTAACTCCCTACCGCGCCTCAAAGATCTATAAGGTCTCTCGCCATACTCTACTACGCCGACGCGCCGGCATTACTTCGCGACGCGATACTATGCCCAATTCGCGTAAACTATCTAATCTAGAGGAACAGACTCTTCTTGAGTATATTCTTGACCTAGATTCGCGAGGGTTTCCCCCGCGACTGAGCGGTGTGGAAGAAATGGCCAACCGATTGCTCGCCGACCGCGACGCGTTACCTATCGGCAAGCGCTGGGCTTCTAACTTCGTCAGGCGACAACCAGAGCTTAAGATGCGTTTTTTTCGTAAATACGACTATCAGAGGGCTAAATGCGAAGATCCAACCATTATTCGCAATTGGTTCCGGCTTGTGGAGAATACAATCGCGAAATATGGTATCGACCTAGCCGATATCTACAACTTTGATGAGACCGGCTTTATGATGGGCATAATCGCAAGCAGAATGGTTGTTACAGGCGCAGAAAGGCGTGGAAACCCGAAATCAGTTCAGCCTGGAAACCGGGAATGGGTCACGGTCATTCAGGCGATTAATGCAGAAGGCTGGGCGATCCAGCCATTTATCGTGGTTGCAGGCCAATATCACCTCGCTAACTGGTACCAAGAAAGCAACCTCCCGGGCGATTGGGCTATTGCAACGACTCAAAATGGCTGGACTGACAATAAGACGGGTCTTGAGTGGCTTAAGCATTTTGATCAGCATACAAAGGATCGATTGATCGGTCGCTATCGTCTTCTAATCCTCGATAGGCACGAAAGTCACCACTCCGTCGACTTTGAGAAATATTGTGAGGAGAATCAGATTATTACGCTTTGTATGCCGCCTCATTCGTCTCACCTACTTCAGCCTCTTGATGTCGGGTGCTTTGGGCCGCTTAAAACAGCCTATGGTCGAGCAATTGAGCAATTGATCAGATGCTCTATAACCCACGTTTCGAAGACCGAGTTCTTCCCAGCCTTCTACGCTGCCCACGCAGCCGCTATGACAAGGAGTAATATTGAAGGAGGTTTTCGAGGAGCTGGACTTGTTCCCCTAAACCCAGAAAATGTCATATCGAAGCTTGATGTGCAGCTACGGACTCCAACACCGGCTGCAGAGGAGGTCGGCCTCCCCGACCCTTGGGTCTCGAAGACCCCAAAGACAGTGCTTGAGGCCAGTTCGCAGTCTGAATATCTTGAAAGACGAATGAGAAGGCATCAGAGCAGCTCTCCAGCATCAATTCTCGAGGCGCTTAAGTCACTTTCAAAGGGAACAAAGGCAATAATGCATCAGAATGCTCTATTGAAAGCTGAGAACCAGATCCTTCGACAGGCAAATGAGACTCTTAGCAAGCGGCGCAGAGCAAAGAAAACCCGCCTATATAAAGGAGGGAAGATGACTTTAGATGAGGGCAGGGGTGAGATAGATCAGAGAGACGTTGATGCACAGGTAGCAGCTGAATCGTTGAGAAGTAGTGGTCGAGGGAGGTCAGCGATACCGAGGGAAAGGCGCTGTGGAACTTGTGGAAAGGCCGGTCATACTGTAAGGACCTGTCAGACTATAATTAAGACCTCTGAGGAAGAGCATAGCGATTAGTTTTAATTGATTGATTGTATTGTTGTGGTTTTATTGAGGTTTGAATCTTAGAGGTTAGGAAAAATTGTGCACTCGCTTGTATTGTGCACTCGCTTATCATATACGTTAATTTTATTTAAAATCTTTTTAATTTATAATTTTAATAGATCTAGCTATTAATTTTATTTAATATAGTATTTTCTATTAAAAAAACTTACTAATTTTAACTTCAGTAGCTATAAGTATTTAATTAAATAATCTTTATTTTTAAAGATTAAAAAGCTTTAACTTAATATTAAAATAATTTATTTTTAAAGAAATTAATACTTTTAAATTAAAAATTAAAAATATAAATATATTAATATTATATAATAATAAAAAATTACTAAATAAATTTAATTACTATCTTTTAATTTTTAAAGTTTTTAATAAATTTAATTATATTAAAAAAGTTATAAATTTACAGAAATTTAATTAATTAAGTAAAATTTATTTATTTTTTATACTATTTATATAATAAATATTAATAATAATATTAATAAAGTTATTTCTTATTTTAAAATAAATAATATAAATACTAATAATATATAAAAATAATATTATAAAAATATTAATAAAGTTATTTTTTTTTATATTCTTAAAAAAAGTTTTTATTAAAGTAAATAATATAAATATTAACTAATTAATTAAGTTTTTTAAATTAACTAAATAAATATAAAAAAAAACTTAACTTTCTTAACTTTTTTTATTTTTATTAACTAATTTTATAATATTATCTTTAAATAAATTATTTATTTATTATTTTAAGAATTATTTTATAATTAAAATCTTAAAAATAATTTTATTTTAATTTAATTCTTTTTATAGCTAGCTAAAGATAGTAGTAGTACTAAGCTTTAATTAATATTTATCTATAGAAATATCAAGGCTAAAAAGCAATATATTATTATCCAAGGAGAATTATATTACTTAAACCTAGTGTGGTAAGGGTATTTAGTGTAACAGATAGCGCCGAGGAATGGTAATAAGGAAGGCGACGAGGAAGGCGACGAGGACGGATGAACGGAAGAAAGGAGGGGCTGGTCCAGACCGATCAAGGTAATTGGCCATCGGAGCCCCTCCTTTGGCCAGGCTATGAGTGGGGCCATGTCGCAAGACCCCTCACCTACTCAGCCAAACGGTCGTGACCTTTAGGCAGCAGGATCCGCCCTAACTACCCCTG